CGCTTGACATGACCAATACGGTCGGTTTGAGACGGGCGATGCGGGCAGCTCGATGTGGGTGACGCGAACTGCTCGACGCGCCCGCAACGCGCCGCTCAACGCGCTCGCAACGAGCCGCTCGGCATGGCCGATGCGGTTGGTTTGACACAGGCGACGCGGGCAGCTCGATACGGGCAACGCGAACTGCTCGACACGCCCGCAACGAGCCACTCGACGCGCCTGCGACAAGCTGCTCGACACGCTTGCAATGAGCCGCAACGAGCCGCTTGACATGACCGATACGGTCGGTTCGAGACGGGCGATACGGGCAGCTCGATGTGGGTGACGCGAACTGCTCGACGCGCCCACAACGTGCCGCTCGACGCGCTCTAGTACAACGCATAAGACAGATGATAATAGAACGTACCTTGTCGCCCCGAGACCGGCGTGCTACAGGCACTACATCGTCATGGTCGTCCTGGTCGACGGCCGCGTCAGAGTGCTTGTAGTTCAAGTCGTACTCGTTGCGGACGAGAGTCTTGGCCGTCTCGATCCACTCATCTTGCCAGTGATGAGTCTTGAAGTACTCGAGCTTGAAGCCCGGGTGCAACACTGTTACAGACGAGTCTAATTGGTTACAACGTACAAATGAATAGCATTAGAACTCACCCATGGCGATTCGATAGCACTCCGAAGAGTCCGTGAGTTCGTAGTACTTGTTGAGGACCTGCTGCGCGAACTTGTGAGCAAAACGGATGGCTGGGTCATAGGGTACACGACCCCCTTCCCCCTCTGTAGCCGTCGGTAACGGCGGTACGACCCCGTCATGTTGCCGTCGGTAACGGCCATACGAGCTCGTACGAGCTCCGGTCGTGTAGCCCGTCAGTAACGGTCGTACGAGCTCCGGTAGTGTAGCCGTCGGTAACGGTCGTACGAGCAGTGGTGGAGAAGTAATATACAATGCCAAATGTATCATTCCGGCTGTCGTGTGCGTGATTTGAGGTCCTCTAGTGTGCTACTACATACGCGCAAGAACATCCCGCAGCCCCAGGGAAGCCAATACCGGGCTGATACAGCAGGGGACGCCGGCTCCGGTAGTGGCACGTCCCACTGCCTACATTGCGCCCTACTGCACCGTACGTTTCGGTAATGCGTTCGCTACGTTCCCCTGGGTCGTACGAGCTCGGAACACTCGTTTTTATCCCTGTGCGTGCTGTGGTTGGCCCAGGGCATTGAAAACACTGCTCAGACTCGTACGAGCCTGTAGCCATCTGTCACGGTCGTACGAGGCACCTCCGGTGTGCACCCGGAATATTGCGGTAATGGATTCGGCAGATGCGCGTTACTGTACCGAACGCAGCGCACTCAATTTCGCTGCGATGCGTGCCATGGTTGGCCTGGGGTAACAAAAACGCTGCCCAGGCTCGTACGAGCCTGTAGCCGTCTGTCACGGTCGTACGAGGCACCTCCGGTGTGCACCTGGAATATTGCGGTAACGGATTCGGCATATGCGCGCGAGTGTACTGAACGTAACGCATCAAATTCCATTGCCGTGCATATCGTGGTTACAGAGGGAGGGTCAGAACAGTGCTCAGGCTCGTACGAGCCTGTACCCTGTCTCAGACAGTCGTACGAGTACCTCCGGAAGAGCGGACACCCGGAAATCTCGGCAATGCATGGCGTTCATTGCCGAAGGTTACCGGAACGCAGCAAACCTTATTTCGTCGCTTTGCGCACTGTAGTTAAGGTGGGAGAGTCGAAACAGTGTGCAGGCTCGTACGAGCCTGTACCCTGTGTGAGACGGTCGTACGAGTTGTCCCCAGCGGACCTCATTTTTTTCCGGTAATGCTTTCGGTAGATGGGCACGGATACGTTGAGAATAGCGAACTTGATTTCATTGCTGTACAAGCCGTAGTTATGAAGATATTGTCGAAACAGTGTGCAGACTCGTACGAGCCTGTACCCCGTCTGGAACGGTCGTACGAGGTGCTCCTGGTGGGTATCAAAAATTTCCGGTAACGCATGCAATGCATTGCCGGAGATCACTGGAACACAGCGCACTTTGTTTTATTGCTGTGCGTGGCATGGTCAAGGTGGCGGAATTGAAACACTACAAAAGCTCGTACGAGCTTGTACTCCGTCTGAGACGGTCGTACGAGTTGTCCCCCGGTGAACCTCGTTTTTTTCGGTAATGCGTTCGGTAGATGCGCACGGGTGTGCCGAGAATAGCGCACTTGATTTTAGTGCCTTATATGCTCTGGTTGGGGCAGCGGAGTTCAAACAGTGTGAACACTTGTATGAGCTTGTACCCTGTCTGTGACAGTCATACAAGGTGTCCTCCGGTAAAAACCCACTTTTTCCGGCAGTGTATTCATTACCGAGATTCCGGCAGCCCTTCCATTACCGAGATTCCGGCAGCCCTTCCATTACCGAGATTCCGGCAGTCCCTCCATTACCGAGTGTTTGGTCATCTGTGTGTATTACCACTCTCACAACCGAGTTTTTGACCACCTGTGCATATTACCGCTCTCACTGCCGAGTTTTTGATTGCCTGTATTCATTACCGAGTTTTTTGCACCCATTGCCGAGTTTTTGATCACCGGTATCAATCAGCAGTCCTCATTACCGAGTTTTTTACTGCCTGAATCCATCACCGAGTTTTTGGTCACCTCCGGACTTCAATGCCGAGTTTTTGACCACCGGTATCCATTGCTTGTCCTCATTACCGAGTTTTTGGACACCTCCAGCCTTCAATGCCGAGTTTTTATTACTGAGGTCTGTAATCCATTATCCCGGTGCTCACTGCCAGTGCTCTCGCTGACCTCTGGCCTTCAATGCCGAGGTTTGAATACCGAGATCGGTAATCCCGGTGCTCACTGTTGGTCCTCTGGCCTTCAATACCGAGTTTTTGTTACCGAGGTCGGCAATTGTGCTACCAGTGGTGCTCACTGTCTCAAACAGCGAGCTCACTGTCAGACACAGTGAGCTCAACATGTTGCCCATCTCTGTATCTGTCCCTCATTTTTTTGGAATGCACCTCTGCATCACATCTGAATGTATTGCAGCACCTTGCAGCATATTTATATGAGTTGGTCTGCCTGTACTGAACACCTTCTACCTGAGAAGTCACCCTTCACAGCAGCATGCGTAGATGTTATTTAACCTCGCTGTTTTTTGGATCAGGGAGGAGCATGCAAGAGCTGTGGGTGTGCAAATTTGGAGGGCAGTAGCTGCAAAAGTGAGGGAGTAGTGTGGTATGATATTTTAAAATGACATACCACACACAGAAATGGGATGGGAGTGTATCACATTCCGAACACCTGGATATATTCATAGACAATATTATTAATGCAATGCAGAAGAGAGCGCACACAAATCAGGATTTCCGGTGAAGATACAAGATATCTGTGGAAAGTGGAAGTTCTGAGAAAACACGACATGCATAAGTTCATGTGCAGACATGATATAAACATGCTGTTTGCTGCATCACAATGGGTACTATTGGGGTGCTCAGATCGGAATTTTCAAGCTTATCGGTGATGAGATGTATATGGGGCATCATATGTCATTATTTCATGACATACAGTATCTTGACACAGCATATGCTCCGATTAGAATGCGAAAACATGGAATAGAACAGGGTAGAGCATAGCTATCCAACGCAGAAGAGAACTTGAAAAACGGTTGAGAATCAGTGGAGATGTGCAAGGTGAGCCAGAAGTGTGGTTTATGCTGAATGTACTCTGACCTCGCTTTCACTGCAACCACACTTCTGGCTCACCTTGCACATCTCCACTGATTCTCAACCGTTTTTCAAGTCTCTTCTGCGTTGGATAGCTATGCTCTACCCTGTTCTATTCCATGTTTTCGCATTCTAATCGGAGCATATGCTGTGTCAAGATACTGTATGTCATGAAATAATGACATATGATGCCCCATATACATCTCATCACCGATAAGCTTGAAAATTCCGATCTGAGCACCCCAATAGTACCCAATTGTGATGCAGCAAACAGCATGTTTATATCATGTCTGCACATGAACTTATGCATGTCGTGTTTTCTCAGAACTTCCACTTTCCACAGATATCTTGTATCTTCACCGGAAATCCTGATTTGTGTGCGCTCTCTTCTGCATTGCATTAATAATATTGTCTATGAATATATCCAGGTGTTCGGAATGTGATACACTCCCATCCCATTTCTGTGTGTGGTATGTCATTTTAAAATATCATACCACACTACTCCCTCACTTTTGCAGCTACTGCCCTCCAAATTTGCACACCCACAGCTCTTGCATGCTCCTCCCTGATCCAAAAAACAGCGAGGTTAAATAACATCTACGCATGCTGCTGTGAAGGGTGACTTCTCAGGTAGAAGGTGTTCAGTACAGGCAGACCAACTCATATAAATATGCTGCAAGGTGCTGCAATACATTCAGATGTGATGCAGAGGTGCATTCCAAAAAAATGAGGGACAGATACAGAGATGGGCAACATGTTGAGCTCACTGTGTCTGACAGTGAGCTCGCTGTTTGAGACAGTGAGCACCACTGGTAGCACAATTGCCGACCTCGGTAACAAAAACTCGGTATTGAAGGCCAGAGGACCAACAGTGAGCACCGGGATTACCGATCTCGGTATTCAAACCTCGGCATTGAAGGCCAGAGGTCAGCGAGAGCACTGGCAGTGAGCACCGGGATTACAGACCTCAGTAATAAAAACTCGGCATTGAAGGCTGGAGGTGTCCAAAAACTCGGTAATGAGGACAAGCAATGGATACCGGTGGTCAAAAACTCGGCATTGAAGTCCGGAGGTGACCAAAAACTCGGTGATGGATTCAGGCAGTAAAAAACTCGGTAATGAGGACTGCTGATTGATACCGGTGATCAAAAACTCGGCAATGGGTGCAAAAAACTCGGTAATGAATACAGGCAATCAAAAACTCGGCAGTGAGAGCGGTAATATGCACAGGTGGTCAAAAACTCGGTTGTGAGAGTGGTAATACACACAGATGACCAAACACTCGGTAATGGAGGGACTGCCGGAATCTCGGTAATGGAAGGCTGCCGGAATCTCGGTAATGAATACACTGCCGGAAAAAGTGGGTTTTTACCGGAGGACACCTTGTATGACTGTCACAGACAGGGTACAAGCTCATACAAGTGTTCACACTGTTTGAACTCCGCTGCCCCAACCAGAGCATATAAGGCACTAAAATCAAGTGCGCTATTCTCGGCACACCCGTGCGCATCTACCGAACGCATTACCGAAAAAAACGAGGTTCACCGGGGGACAACTCGTACGACCGTCTCAGACGGAGTACAAGCTCGTACGAGCTTTTGTAGTGTTTCAATTCCGCCACCTTGACCATGCCACGCACAGCAATAAAACAAAGTGCGCTGTGTTCCAGTGATCTCCGGCAATGCATTGCATGCGTTACCGGAAATTTTTGATACCCACCAGGAGCACCTCGTACGACCGTTCCAGACGGGGTACAGGCTCGTACGAGTCTGCACACTGTTTCGACAATATCTTCATAACTACGGCTTGTACAGCAATGAAATCAAGTTCGCTATTCTCAACGTATCCGTGCCCATCTACCGAAAGCATTACCGGAAAAAAATGAGGTCCGCTGGGGACAACTCGTACGACCGTCTCACACAGGGTACAGGCTCGTACGAGCCTGCACACTGTTTCGACTCTCCCACCTTAACTACAGTGCGCAAAGCGACGAAATAAGGTTTGCTGCGTTCCGGTAACCTTCGGCAATGAACGCCATGCATTGCCGAGATTTCCGGGTGTCCGCTCTTCCGGAGGTACTCGTACGACTGTCTGAGACAGGGTACAGGCTCGTACGAGCCTGAGCACTGTTCTGACCCTCCCTCTGTAACCACGATATGCACGGCAATGGAATTTGATGCGTTACGTTCAGTACACTCGCGCGCATATGCCGAATCCGTTACCGCAATATTCCAGGTGCACACCGGAGGTGCCTCGTACGACCGTGACAGACGGCTACAGGCTCGTACGAGCCTGGGCAGCGTTTTTGTTACCCCAGGCCAACCATGGCACGCATCGCAGCGAAATTGAGTGCGCTGCGTTCGGTACAGTAACGCGCATCTGCCGAATCCATTACCGCAATATTCCGGGTGCACACCGGAGGTGCCTCGTACGACCGTGACAGATGGCTACAGGCTCGTACGAGTCTGAGCAGTGTTTTCAATGCCCTGGGCCAACCACAGCACGCACAGGGATAAAAACGAGTGTTCCGAGCTCGTACGACCCAGGGGAACGTAGCGAACGCATTACCGAAACGTACGGTGCAGTAGGGCGCAATGTAGGCAGTGGGACGTGCCACTACCGGAGCCGGCGTCCCCTGCTGTATCAGCCCGGTATTGGCTTCCCAGGGGCTGTAGAATATCGTTTTCATTGTTGTTGTACCAATTAAAATGTACTAGGGTATGTAGGAGAGTTGGAAAAGCACTAAGCTATCAAGGGGAACTACCTGCCCCCCACATCTCGTACGACCGTTACTGACGGCTACATTACCGGAGCTCGTACGAGCTCGTATGGCCGTTACCGACGGCAACGCGGGCACCTCGTATGGGCGTTACCGACGGGCTACAGCACTGCCACCGAGTGGGTACACCCTTCGAGGTCTTGCTGCCTGGCAACGCTGTGGTGGTGAGGCGCTCATCGAGGACGTCCATGACTGGGATGACGCTCGCCAGGTTTGGCGTGCTGCGGGAGAAGAAGAGCGTCGCGTCCTTGAAGACCTGTTGAGGTTGGACGCCAGGGATTCATGAGAGATGGGGATGGGTAGGTGATGTATGGAGACGAGACAAGACAAGACAAGACAAGACGAGGATCGGATGAGGAGATGGTGTGAGGAGATGAGGAGACGGTGCGAGGACAAGAATAAAAGGAGATACGGCGTGGATGCGGTGTGGATGCGGTGTGGGTGTGGGGACAATCGGATGAGGACGAATGGAGATAATGCACAGAGACGATGCAGGGAGGCGAGGCAGGGAGGCGAGGCAGGGAGGCGAGGTGGGGAGACGAAACAAGGGTGCACAGCGACGATGCGGGGAGACGAACCGGGGAGACGAACCGGGGAGACGAACCGGGGGCGTGCAGAGACGATGAGAGTAGTCAGAAAAGACAAGGATATGGGAGGCAGCGAAACGGGAAGATGAGAGAGACCACATGGCAGTGGGAATAAGCAGAAAGATGATCAGAACGAAGAAGAAAAGTGTGAGAACAAGAGACACATACCTTGAGCACCTCGAGAAGCTGCTCTGCAATGGACCATTCCCGCTTTGAGAGCTGGTACTTCTCAAGATCCAGAGGATGTAGGTCGTTGTCGGCCTCGCAGAAGGACTTGATAGCCTTCTTCAGGCGGACAGCCCGCTTGAGCATGTCGTGAGTTGAACACCACCGTGTTCTGACGTCTTGCTTCAGCATGAGAATGTCTTGATTGAGCAATTCGAGCTGCTTCTTCCATGCTGGCAGCAAGATTGTCGTCGACTTGCGGATGGTGGCAGCCAGGCGACGGAGCTTGAGACAACGAGAGTCGAGACAGTGAGTGACCGTGAGGCGTCGAACGCAGACGATAGGAGTGGGAACTCACCTTAGTAAGCATCAAGCGCACTGGGCGGAGATTGGAGCGGAAATCACGGAGCTCGCCTGGAGTCATTCCGGACATGTCGTCGACCCACTCGACCTCGTCCATGATCCCCTCAAGTCCGTCCTCTGTGTCTTCTTCCTCATCCTCGTCATCCTCATCGTCCCCATCCTCCGCGTCCTCGTCCTCCTCTGTGGCAGCATCCTCACCCTCACCTGGCTTCTTCTTCTCTGGGTCGAACTGATCGAGCAAGCCGCGGCCGACGAGCTGGACGACGTGCCCAAAGCAGGCGACATGTCCGGAAGACGCCCGGAACTTCTGAAGACCTTTCTCCATCGTCTTGATCATCGCCAAATTAGCGGATGCACTATCACAGGCGACACCAAGGAGCTGTGTGAGTAGTTTTATCATTCTTCTTCATATGTTTGTACGCATTCTGAGGAACACACCATTTCCTTGATACCAAATTCGCAGAGGATACGAATCTGAGTTTCGCCGAGGGTCTGACCTGTGTGCGACTAGCAGATCCCATGGTCAGCGGACACTGGAGAGGTGGGAAAAACATCAAGGTACGCACTTTTGCCACCTCAACGACGTCGAGCACCATACTGAGCGGCTCTCCATCATGCTCAAAGTGCACGATAACCGCCATGAAGGCATTCCCATTTGGAGACGACCAGCAGTCCGTGGATATGCTAAGTCGTCCTTCGTACTCCTGTGATCTGATGAGTACTAAAATGTCCTCTACAGCCCGCTCTACTCACCCGAAGAAGACGGCTGATCCGAGTGCGCGAGCGCGCGAAGAGGGTCTTCACATCGCGCGCGACCGTTGAAGCGGATGGGATCCAGTATCCCGGTCTGCCCGTCTTCAGTAGTGACTGGAGACGGGTGTCCTTGACGATATCAAACGGACGGTAAGACTCTGCGACCCATCGCGCAAATTCCGCACTAATATGGTCATCAATACAGCAATCAAACCAGGCTTGGATAGAACATACCGTGTCTCAGTGCGGGTGTGCTGGCGATGAGAGTATGTCACCGGTCCCTTCCCCTTGCGCTCGAAGAAGGAGGTGACGTCCCCACTCTCCAAGGCATTCTTGCCGAAGCGCTGACGAACCTCTCCAGGCGTCATCGTGGCCTTGACCACGCGCTTCACTGCATCTTCGCCAAAGCAGTTTTTTGCGTGCCTTGTCATGTTGCCAGTTGACGTCGCGTCGCCTTTGTCGATGTAGCGATTAACAGCCTTTTTGATACAGCCTTTAGCCATGCACTCGAAGACGTGCACACGACGTCCGTCGATGTCCGCGATCTTAGGGATGGGCTTGAAAAAACCGTAGATAGGGGAGTCCCACCCACGGTCCATCATGGCCGCTATACATGCCGCAACGTTAGTGAGTACATCTTCAGCCAGGATTACGACGAAGTCACACTTACCAAGCTGCTTTAGGCCCTTATCATCGTCCTCGAACCACGGCACGCCATTTGTTCCCTTGGTGAAGGCTGGCGCTGGCGAGTCTGACCTCCCACTGTCCGAGTCCGAGTCGTCAATGTTGATTACATCATGATGTGCAGCCGCCTCCTCCTCTTCGGACAAGCAGTATGGTGAGTGATAGCCCCCCGTCTTCCGAGTCGGCTTCACAACACCCTTTCCAGACTTCAACCGCTTCTTCGGCTTCCGCGCCTTCTTGCGGTGCGCACTCGGCCCTTTATCAGCCGCAGCAGCGTCGCCAGCAGGCTTCGCGCGAGGTGGGGCGTCACCAGTGGCAGCAGGCTTCGCGCGTGGTGCGGCATCGCTGGCGGGCTTCACGTGGGGTGTGGCATCGCCGGTGGGCTTCGCGCAGGGTGGAACGTCACCAGCAGGTTTTGCGGCACCGCCGGTGGCCTTTGCGCGGGGTGCAGCATCACCGGTGGCCTTCGCGCGGGGTGCAGCATCGCCGGTGGCCTTCGCGCGGGGTGCGGCATCGCCAGTGGCCTTCGCGCGGGGTGCGGCATCACCGATGGCCTTCTCGCAGGGTGCAGTGTCACCAGCAGGGGCTGCTACACTTGCACCCGCGGCACCAGGCTGACCTCGACGTGAGTATATATCATTTAGTGCAGAATGGTTGAAGACTCACCACCATTCCCTCGTCTTCAAGCATCCGCTGAGCCCTCTTCGTGAGGGTGCGATGGCGCTTCTCTGCCGGGGCATCTTGCTCCACCGAAGGGGATGCGGGACGCTTTTGAGGTGGATCAGGGTGGACAGTGGTGGAAGTCGACATCGACGAGATAGACGCGGAAGTGGGTGGAAAGGCAGACTCGCAGAGACGGGGCGGAGAGGACAGGGAAAGTCTCATCATTATATAATCCTATAACTGTACAGTAGGTGGCGCTAGCCACTCAGGGTCAGGCTGAAACCGGCACGGGCTGCTGGAAGCGCCCAACCAGGATGTTCAGTACAGTGTGACATAACCGCCGGGTTACCCACGGGTCAATGCACAAACGCGCGGGTCGGCTCCTCACCACCCGGACCCGGACCCGCATGACCCGGACCCGGGACCCGGCCGGGTCAGGCCCACCCGTGGTGATCACTACGCGCGACATCCTGCCACTCGAGTCGGTCATGTGTCTGTATGGTCAGAACCTGGACGAGACCGCCGCCTTGATCGAGGCAGGCTCCTTTCTTCCTTTCTTTACATAGAATGTCTGATGCTGATTACTGGTTTCCCGCAGGTGTCGCCGCGAGAAGTACTTGGAGGGGTCCCATCGGCACGTTGGGTTCGTGACGTGTGGTGCCGCGTGGCGTATGTCTTCCCCTGCATGCTGTATATGGGGCCCGAATCGCTAATCGTCGCCATCTCAGAGGGCGTGGACAAGGGCATCCAGATCGGTACGACCTGTACCTACGCCAATCTCATTGGAAACCGCAGGCCGTCTCCTCGGGTATCCCGTCGCCCATGCTACAACGAGACATTGCGATGGGCTACGTCAAGTCCGGGATCCACGTCTAAAGCAAGCTGGGCACACGACGATTACCCTGGTGCCTTCTGTGTCAGCCAAGTTGTTTGTGGCTGAGCATCCACACGTCTGGTGCGTTCAACTTGCGCTCGCTCCGGAGCACATGGCCGGATGTTGTTTGTGGGCGTCACGCGGCACCACGTCGTCGCAGCCCGGCACGAGATATAAGTTGTCTCTGTGTTGCCTGCCGATTGTCCAGGATTAGGACCTCCAGAATGGCGTGGGGGCAAGACAGACGGCCCGGTGGGTCATAAGCTTGTCTAGTGACGGAATCGACTGCTGATTTGCGCTGGACCGGGAGATCGGTGATGAACGTTGTTCCCCATGTCCTGCGCGCGGTGGACACGAGGCTGAAAGTGAGTTCGGCGTCCCTATCGCGACGTTTGTGTGCGGCCTCGTGTGCAGTTGTCTCCTGGTGGGAGCATCGCCACATGGTGGTCGATGCACCGAGAGTTTCTTGGCGTCCTGTTCGTCGCCGGAGACATGCATGGGACTAGATTGGATTTTTTGTTGCGCAAGTTTGCGCCACCCGATGTCAGTTCGGAATCGGCTGGGCTTCTGCGTATACTCTTTCACTTCGAGCCTCCGTGCGGGCGGAAACGACCGTGTGCTCGCATTCCGAGCAAGACGACACGCATCAAGAAGAAGCCATGTATGTGGTTCTATGTCCTAGGCTCGTGGTACGCGCTGATAAGACACAACAAGGGTGTTCCTGGAACGGCTGCCGGCTTTGGCGTTGACTCATAATTCGTCGAATGCAGTATCCGATGTTCTACCCCAAATAGAATGTCGTCCCCAAGGGCTGGGCGCAGACGCGCGCAGGCGGCTGCTTTTGTCTACCGCGAGTCATCAACTATGGCCTCGAGGCGCCCTGAAACACGCTTGACCGCTGCTTCTACGACTTCCGCCGCACGTGCGCTGTGTCCAGAAGGCTTTGATGATGAAATCCGTCCCATGTGAAGATCGTTCTCTGAGCAGCTGCTAATCGCCAGGAGCATCCGTTGCGACAGCCTTTCGGCAGGGTGCGGATGCATCCGGTGATCCGTGATGCGCGCCCGTAGAGACGCGCCCCTGTGGGCGGCAAGGACGCGTGGCGCGCATCGTCGCGCGGCTATGATGCACGCCCGTCCCTGCCCTTCGCCGTCCTTGCTCTCCTCCCCCTCCTCCTTCCCGCTCTGCCCAGGCAGACGATAGCGGCCATACGGTCGACTGTCGTCTGCTATTGGAATACAGTGTCACTTGGTGACACTGCTCTCCTCTTCCCCTCCTGCCCTCCACCTCGACTTCCATGCCGTCCTTCACCCACCTTGCCGGCCACCCTCACAACGTCAAGAGCGCACGAGGACGTCCATCCGGACGTCCTCAGCATGGAGATTAGAATATGGGAGCCGCGGCGATGTACCGCGGCCCTAGTTTTGGTGAGTCCGCTCTGACCTCCTCCCCCTTCCTGCCTCACCCGACCTACTGCCCTGCCTTCACGCCCGCCTCCTCCACCCCCGCATCGCCGCGTCGCCCGCCTTCACCTTGCTGTGTCGCCCACCTCCGCCCACCTCACCGTCCGCCCTCCTCCGCATCCGCGTCCTCCGCCTCCGCGTCCTCCGCGCCCACCCCGCGTCCTCTTCGCCCTCCTCCTTCGCGCCCGCCTCGCCCGCCTTCGCCTCGTCGCGTCGCCCTACTCCGCACCCGCCTCCTCGCCCGCCTCCTCTGTGCCCGCGTCGCTCTCACTCGCCCGCGTGGCCCGCCTCCTCCACAACGCGCTCCTCCGTCCTCCGCGCCGCGCCCCTCCGCGTTGTCCTCCTCTACGTCGCCCCCCTCCACCTGTGTCGCCCTCCGCCTCTTCCAGGTCTTCCGCGCGGTCTCCGCCGCGTTGCCGTTGTGCGTCGCGCACAACCACCTCCGCCTCCTCCCGGCCCCCCGCCTCCTCCTGCGAGCCCTCCACGTCGCCCTCCCCTGCCTCCGCGTCCGCCCGAGTTGCCCTCCTCCTCTTCGTCCTCCGCCTCCGTGTTGCCCACCCCCTTCGCATCGCCCGCCTCCGCGTTGTCCGCTTCCCTGCGCGTCGCCCGGCGACCCACCTTTGCGCTGCCCGGCACCCGGCGCCTGCATCCGCCCGCCTCGCCCGTGTCCGCGCACGTCGCCCTCCTCCTCTGCGTCCTCCGTCTCGCCACCCATCTCCCCGCCTCCGCCCACATCGCTAGCCTCCATCCGCGTCGGCCCACGCCTCCTCCACCACCTCCCAGCCGTCCACGTCGCCCTCCTCCACCTCTGCCTCCGCGTTGTCGCGGGGCTGTAGTATTCCTTGCTAGTCCTACTGTAGTAGCTTACTAATAAATATATTTTAATCGCAAATTCTATACAAAAGGTGTGGTCTGAAACAAAGGGGGAGGTGAGCTCACTGTCGGAGGCAGTGAGCTCGAGTGGGAGGGCCAGAGGCGCCGGCGGTCAGACATGTCGGGGCAGCGTGTCGCCCGTGGCGACGCGTGAGCGCACCTGCGGAAGCGGCAGCGGCGTAGATTGCAACCGGGCCGATGGGGGTGACAGATGCATCCACACCTTGCCGAGAGGCTATGGTAATGGATGCACCAGTCCAATAGCTACTGTAGGTTCTCTCGCTAGAAGGCGTCAGGTCTCAGATGAAAGTAGCACATGCCTGCGATGGATGTTCTCCTCTGGTGGGGCCTATGATCGTCTTGCACCCGTACAGGTTTAGAGGGTCCGAAAGAAAGAAATTCATATCCCACGCGCGCATACACTTTTTTGTCCGACTCCGACGCGTACGCCGTATATCAACTCAACTCCCGGACCTCCATCACCAACGCTCCATTCCCCCACCGCTTCTCATTCATGGATACTGCTGCGCCGCCGCCGCCTACATCCTCGCCGCCCGACGAAGCAGAGTTTGGATTCTGGGCCATTCCCGTCGACTTTCCCAAAGAAGCCCTTCATGCCCGCACTGAAGCCTTGGTCTGTACTCTGTATCATGTTTTCCGACGTTTTATGCGTGCTAACAGCGACTACTCAGCTTGCACATGATCTCCTCCACCGCCCGGAACGTTTTCTCGTCGCAGAAGGCGATCCCGCCACTCAGGAGTCTACAACGGCGTCTTCTGTCGACGTCGCTGACGCTCCCAATACTCCGTCCTCGGTTGCATCCTTCGAGATTCTCACTCCGACCTCTCCGGGAAAGTCCGTCAACGACATGATCCCCCCGTTGAACTCCCTTCGGTTCGAGCGCAATTCCGACGATGAATATTACGACGACGAGAAGGAGTACAACCGGGCTGGGTTGTCAGTAGAGACCGCACACACCTCAGGATTCACAAGACTCGGACAAGGCTCGGCTGAGTCGGCGGACCCTACCAGTATGCAGGGCATCAATTTTCAATCAATCACAGCACTGACTCTTTATTCAGGGCTCTCATTCGTTGCCCGTTTCGTACGATCTCAACCAATTTTGGCCTGTGCTCCAATACTTACCTTCTATGGGAATCTATAGGGGGTTTTGAGCGACGAAGACAGCTCGCACGAGCATCTGATCAAGCTTCTTGTCGATACAGGCATGTTTAATCATCCAAAGTTTTGGTCATCTTCTGACTGAAGCGTCTTGGATAGCGACCACCAACACGTACACTATCTCATTTCTCAACAAATTTCCGTGCGAATCTAACTGTGTTGTGTAGATGGACTTACTTGGAAGACTACTTGAAGATCTCCTCGGAAGACGGGGGCGCTTCAAACTTGGCGTACTGGCCGACGAACATAGCCGACGACGAACGTCCCAAGCAGAGCCACCTCTACGTCAAGGACTACTCCTCCCCAGATGTCCCCCCACCTGGCAAAGGCTTCGAATACGTTTACAAGGCACCCACCCTCACAGGTCATCTCAAGTACGGGGATTATCTCTCTGTGTGTGCGTGCATTCTTTTGTTTCGATTTTCTCTCCGAGAACCGGTGTATTGAAGACAGTTTGTATTCAGGTGTCATCTATCCAGACCCGCACAACCTCGTTATGCGAGTTCCATACTGTATTCCCAGAGAGTCCCATACCTCTGAGAAGGCCATACAGCTTCGACGCTGTTTGTGTCTTGCGTATGCACGTAACGACAAGTGTAAGCATGACAGAACGGACGGTATACTGGGCCTGGGGCCTACGAGGTGATTCTCACCTTTTTTCCTGGTAAACGTGATATTGTGCGAGTGTTCTGACTTCTTGCATAGCTTCCAGCGCAATCTCGGAGTTGTGGAATTACCTTCAGGGCCTTCAGTAAGTCTATCACATCGTTTATCAGCCTGCGTATCTCAAAAATATGTCAGGCTAAAGACATGGGTGCCCCTGCGTCGTTCACCGAGTCTATGATTCGAAGCGGATCATTGGTGAATATCCCAGACGACCAAGAGGTACGTACTTCGCTGGGTCATATCGTGACGCGCCATCTCTAATTACAAGCGTTTGGTACAGAAATACGGGCCTGGAGTTTACCTCAATATGAATCCATACGAGGGCGGAGACGCGTGCGTACTCAGACACATCACGCAGGCCTAATCGATCTTATTCGGAAACGTTAGCTACCTGGCTATTCCTCACTGGGGCTTCGTCTCTCGTAACCAGTTTCAAGACATCGCCGTCGTCTCTCAACAGCCGGTGAAGGCTACGGAGTGGAGGGTTTGGCTCACAGCAATAACAATCAAACGCCATGGCCCTACAATCGATCATGAGGAAGTGATCAGGATCGTACTTAACAACGCGGTGACCGGAACCGGACTCGACGACAGGCCAAAGGCGCCGGGCCCGCCGGTTAATGTTCTCCTCGACTCGGGTACGTTAAGCTCTACTTATTTTGTGCGACCACAACGGCTCACTTCGGTTTCCACGTGAATCTGGAAGGTGCCTCACGCTCTTTCCTTCCGTGTTTCATGCTCAGAGAGCTGCTCCGTGCCGTGACCAAAGGTGGCCCTCAGAGAGAGACACTTCTCCACGGAGCTACGATGAAACGAGCACCCCCTTACATGGTCAGAAACCCCCAGCAAGCCTCCCACTTCGGGATCGACTTCGAATTCAAAGGCCTCGAGGAGGGGAAGACGGTCACGGTATCCGGAAGTTTGGCGAACTTCTTTTTCGACACCAAGTCCTCAGAAGGTAGAATCTGGCCCAACGAAGAACACAATGGACTGACTCCTGATGATCCTTCGGCCGTATTTGGCATGGTGAGCCACTTCAACGGGATGCACTTTGTCCCTCCGCGCACTACTTACTTCCTACTTTCAGGGATTCTTCATGAATATGATCGTCGGTCTTCACCCGGGCAAGGTCAGGGCGCCCCAGTCTAGCTCCATCACGTCTTGTGTTCGCATGCTTCCTATGCCGCCTGGAGGTGGACCTCGTCTCCCTCCGAAGGCTCGGAAGTAACTCGAATATTCGAATGAAAGATGTCAATGTGTCATGTACAGCCAAAGTCGCTTTGTTAACAATTCTACCACCAAGTCTCTAGTTCCTCCGTCCGCATACACATGTCTGTGCCACTCGGTCTGAATCTGAGCCAATGGTGTCCGGTGCCGGGATAGGACAGATCCACGAACTCGATCGCGGGCCCCAGGACGCGTACGAACGCCACAGCGATCAGCTCCAGACACCAGTCCGCCACGTACGGCTCCCCTTCGTGCAACGCGGCGGCGGCGGCTTGTATGTCGGCCGGCGCGCCGGCGAACGCGTCGAGGCTGATGTAGTGCTCCTCGTTCCATCCGATGTGCACTCGCACGGAACGCAGCCCGCGGATACCACGGAGGAAGCCGGCGACGCCGAGCTGCGGGCAAAGGAACCGTCAGTCCCATACGCGGCGCACGGAAAACGAGAGGAAGGAGAGGGAAACGCACGACGTTCGCCCACGCGGGACCCAGCTCCTCGTTCTTCGCGTCGTTCCGCAGGAGCGTCAGCCGCTGCAGCGCCGGAAACGTCGCCGTCACGGTCTCGAGGAGAGCGTTCTCGCCGTCGTCCGTGGCGTACTCGAGCTCCAGCACGGTCACGTTGCACGCGCTGCGGCACGAGGCAACGATGCGGGACAGCGTGGACGACGAGATGAGCGGCGAGCGCCATGCCAAACCCGACCGAACCGGCATGGAGTAATGGGACTCGTACAGATGGAGGAGCGTTCCTCGGTGCGGCCAAGAACACAACCGCAGCTCCCGCAGTCCGGACGGCAGGTGACCCCACAGCTGATCGTCGGTGCGAGGGTGGCTCACCGTGAGCTCCTCGAGCGCCTGCAGCGGAGGCCTCTTCGTCGGAGGAACTGACACGGGCCAGACTGCCGGAGGCGGCTCCAACCGCGACAACAGGGTGTAATGGGGATTTCTGTGCACATCCGCTGTGTGCAGGCGGAGACGGCGGAGGTTCGGCATCTTGGCGAGAAAACAGATGTACGGCGTAGGAGTGACGTCTGCCAGCGCGAGGTGCTCGCCCTCGAGAACGAGTTCATTAAGGAAAGGCCAGTGGTGGAGCGACATCTCGTGAAGAGGCGCGTTCTCGAGGGGGAGCTGGAGCGTCGTGACGGAGGCGCTGAGCGGTGGGATGATGAGCCCGAGAAGAACATATTCGGATCTGTACGCTCGAGGGCCTTCGCGATACTTGTGTGGCGTGTACCTAAACGTCTTCACGTGGTCCAAGAGGAGGGGTGGGGTTGGAGTACTGGGAATGGGGTCGTCGTCGTGATACAAGGTGCGGGTGAAGACGATGTGCTGGATGTGCGAAGCTCGTAGGATGGTGAAGAGGACAGGGAGAGGAAGTCCCACCTTATCATGCAGGTCTTCCCAACTATATCCCAAGCATGTATAAGGGTCGCCAAGAACGACAGAGCGCAGACGGGGAAAGGAGTGAATGATATTCGACAGATTTGCTGCCGTGCGACACTCAAGCTCGCTGACCACCTTGGGGGTTCGTGGCAACCGTTGGGCATCTGAGTGAGATGAGCGGTGAAAGCACTCCTTTATCGTGAGCGTACTGATAGACAGTCGTCAGTGGTCAGCATAGTGAAGTGGGCTCGACTAGTGGAGGCGTACTGTACGTGGCCCCGGGCATGCTTCGGCAGGGTGTTGATTGTGCTTGCAAACAGGAGCCCAGGTCGAATGCAAACCACGGAGAAGAGGGAGGGAGAGCATAAGGAGCGCATTCGGTGACATGTCATGGATAAGTTTGTCAGGGAGTACGAGGCAAGAAGTTCAACCAGTTGGAGCAGCACGTCGTCGTTGAGGTGCTTGAACGATGTGGCAACCGGCGCACCGCTCGCCACTTCGACCATTACTGATTGCAGTGCAACTGAGCATATGCTGGGGGAGGAAAGGAAAGCCACATACTTTCGATAGGCTGCAGTCACAGACGACAGGCCACCTGGCGTGCTTGCGTTGATGGTGGTTGGAGTCAAGCGTGACATTACCAAATCACCACGCGTTGCCCAACGGCGCCAACTGGGCGCTTGAGTTGCAGACCGGCGCCAGTGGCGATCACTAATGAATAAACGCTTTTATGGATGAAGTCTACTTGAGGGTTGTCATAGCACGTAATAGCACAAATGCGAACACAGGCAGCCGTCAATATCCTCCGACCACGAGTGGCGGGCACGATTATTGGAAGCCACTGGAAGCTTCATCCTGGATGGTCGACCGTCGGACTCACCTTAAACACGCCGGCAGTTGGATCTTGCCTGAGCAACTACACGGGGATCTCGCTACGAGCACTGAGACGGAGAGGGCAATACGGTCGCACATAGTCGGACTTTGTGGGCAAGGCGGAAGGTGACGACGTGGATGTCGTTGCAGACACTTTTAGTATACCGTGGCGCATGTCCGGCCGTTACGATGGAAATGAAACGATCATGCACTCCGGAAAAGCAGCTGTTCCGCAGGCACAGGAGTGCACCAATGGGAGAGACTTCATCTGAGAAGTTCAGTGAGACTCGGAGAACTCGCGTCTACTTAGCGGCATTCAGCTTCCTCCAGTTATGCAACATAGCCCAACTTGTTATTTCTTGATATCGGTACTGTACCATTTCGTATTAATCGAACGTCACGCGTCACAAGAGCGTCCAAAAGTTCGAAATTTCGGGGGTAGTCACGGCTCACAAGGCCGAAGTTCGAAAGCATCTCGCGGGCGCTTGCCAGCGCCCACTCGGTTTGGGCGTAAAAGTGCCTAAAACTCGATGATGGGTTCGAAATTTCCGGGCCGTCACAGACGGCCCGGTCAAAGTTCGAATCCGCCCGACCAAACCCGCCGTCACGCTCCAAACGGCGGTTCGATCAATTCGAAATGGTACAGTATGTATTGAAACACATGGCTTCGGACGCTTCTACCACCAAGGCACTAGTCTCTCCTCCCGCATACGCATATCCAGGTCATTCGGCCGGAATCTGATCCAGCACCACTCGGTCCCGGGATAAGCCAGATCTACAAATTCAATGGCCGGGCCCAGCACTCGCACGAACACTCTAGCGATCAGCTCGAGACACCATATCGCCACATCCGGTTCCTGTTCACGCATCGACGCCGCCTCGGTTTGTACTTCAGCAGGGGCTCCGTCGAAGGCTCCGAGGCCGATTTCCCGTTCTTTGTTCCATCCAATGAACATTCTGACAGAACACAAGTCGTGCAGACCACGCAGCGCTTCGGCAACGTCGATCTGCGTGCGAAAAGAAAGTCAGCCCGCGCAACGCGTAGCACGTAAGAGAAGGCGCACGATGTCTGCCCATGCTGCTTTCGTCCCCTTGTGGTCGTCGTTCCGTGAGAGCGTCAGCCTCTGCAGAGCCGGGAACGCGGCGGCGACAGTCTCCAGCAGCGTCGATTCTTTATCGTTGGTGTGGTATTCAAGCTCTAGTTTTGTCACGTTGCACGACTCGCGATAGGAGGTGATTATGTGGGAGAGCTTGGAGGATGGGACATGCGGCGAGCTCCAGCACAAGGTGGTCCCCGCCAGAGGGAAATTCCGACCTTCGCCCAAGTGCTCGAGCGACCTGTGGTACGGCCACGAACGAAGCCGTACATTCCGCAGGCTAGGAGGCAGTTGTCCCCACAACTGGTCGTCGACGCGAGGATGGCTGACGGTGAGCTCTTCAAGTGCCTGTAGAGGCGGCTTTGACATCGAGGGGGCTGAGGTGGGCCATATCGCCGGAGGTGACTCTATTGCTGATAGTAGAGGTGACATAGGAGCCCTGTGTACATCTGCTATGTGCAGGCGGAGACGACGAAGGTGGGGCATCCGTGCGAGGAAGGAGATGTACGGCGTGGGAGTGACGCCGGCGAGCGCGAGATGTTCGCCCTCGAGCGCGAGCTCTTGGAGTGCCGGCCATTCGCAAAGCGACATCTCGTGAAACGGCGCGTTCTCGGTAGGGAGGTGAAGCGTTGTGACGGAGCCGCCGAGCGGCGGAATGATGAGCTTGAGAACAGCGGCCTCGGCGTCATACGCTCGAGTTCCTTCCCGATACGTCGGCAGCACGTAGCGGAACGATTTGATGCGTGGAATGTGAAGGGGAAGATGTGGCGTTTCGGGGATGAAGTCGTCTTCATGGTACAGTATGCGGTTGACAATCATCTGCCGAATGTCTGAAGCGCGCAGGATGACCATGAGAACATCGAAAGGCACCCCGACTGTAGGAGGGTTCCTCCCAAGCCACCGGTAGAACCTATAAGGGCTGTCTATAATGACGGTCTCCAGATGAGGCATTGAATGAATGATGGTCGATAAATTCGCTGCTGCGCGAGATTCGATGTCTTCAGTGACCCTCTTCGGAGCAGGTGGTAACCGGGTCAGACCAGACTCTGGGTATGGGCGATCGAAGAAGCCGTTGAGCCTCAGAGTACTGATGGCAAATAGTGTGTCATTAGATCACAAATTATAGCAGCACTCGTGGAGGCGTACCGTACGCAAAATCGAGCCTGCTCCGGCAGAGCGTTCACGGTTCTTGATGAAAGACACTGGGCACGAATGGAAGCAGTGGAAAATAGGGCTGGGATACATATGATGCGCATACGGCGACACGTCGTGGATAAATTGGCTAGATTGAACCAGTGTAGATAGGAGACCAGTTCGAGTAGCACGTCGTCGTCCAGATGATGAAAGGTGCTGGCACGGCTGATTGCCAGTGGTATGCTCGCCATCTCGCCCACTGTGGGTTGTGAGCCGGTTGGGGTGAGCAACTAGAAGGACATTAAAAATTAAGCTGCTTACGTTCGATGTATCGTGCAATTTTTTGCGCGGTGGTGGCTGGTGGTGGTCGGAGTCAATTGCCATCCGGCCTCAGGGGCCGCTTATATCGAAGACGTATGCCTCGACGCCAGCGAGAGTATCCGTAATGAAGATAGCGTGCGCGCAGGTAGCCCCGGCGACCCGACTCTACAAAACAAGGTCTATTCAGGTAATACAGCGTGGGATACACGTACAATAGTTCACGCAGAGGCAACAGTGACGACCGTCTTCTCGCCCTTGCCCGAAGAACCCACCTCGCACGTGCCGATCTCCAGCCCGCCATCCTCACCCACTATCGTCGTAACCTCTAGTCGTGTCGTCCATCGCCCACCCTTCTGCTGCGCGAGCGTCGCGGGGAAGGACACCGCCGCGAGGTAGCTCTCTTTCTCCACCGTCTTCTCCTTCACCTCCTCTTCCTCCTCTTCCTCGTCCTCACCGGCCTCCTCGTCGTCAAGCTTCGGAGGCTTGACCATCTCGATCTTCACGCCCTCCTTCGCCTCCCACACCTCGAACCCGACCTTCTTCTCGCCCTCGCCCTCGCCGAGGTCCACATCGAACGCGACGATGCGCCTCGCCGGCACCGGCGTGTCCTTGAGCACCGCAGGGACCCACTGCCCGCCAAGCGCGCCCTCCGCACCGTCCTCGGGGAACAGCAGGCCGATCGTTTTGCCCGTCGCCTTCGCCTGGGTGTACTGGTGCCCATGTGTGAACGACGCCTTCACCTCGCGCTCCTCGTCCGTACCGTCCGCGAGCCCGGCAAGAATCTTCGCCTGCATCGCGCACCCGCGCGCGAGGATCGTCGTCGGGTCGCCCACGCCGCCCCCGACCACCGTGCCCTGCGTGAACGGGGTCACGACCGCCTCCTGGAGTCCGGCCGCGAGCGCCTCATCGAGCCCGGGGAGGCTCGCTGAGCCGCCGACGTACACAACCTCGTCGACGTCGTACAGATCGAGCCCAGCGGCGGCGACAAGCTCCTTGACCTTCGCGTACACCCGGTCGTAGATCGTGCGGACCTCCATGTCGAAGCGGAGGCGGGTGATCGTGCCGGTGAAGTCGAGGCCGTCCTTGAGGGACTCAACGGAGCAGGTCGCGGCGCCCGGGGATGCGGAGATCGTGCGCTTGGTGTGCTCGAGTGCGAGGCGGAGCTTGGCCTCTGCGCGCTTCTCCTGCGCGTCCGACGCGGGGCAGACGGTCAGCGCCGTCTTGGTCTTCTTCGTGAACTCCTTCGCGAAGTGCTTGATCAGCTTGTTGTCGATCTCGTCACCGCCGATGGTGTCGTCGCGCAGCGTGGCGAGAGAGAACGCAAGGCCTTGCCGGATGGAGAGAAGCGAGAGCTCGAGGGCAGAGGCGCCGAGGTCGACGATGAGCTGAGTGCGGTCTGCGCTGAGGCCTGCAGTCGGTGGGCTACTGGTGGTAGTGACGGCTGCCGCGCCCGCTTCATCCAGCAGCTGGAGGACGACAAGGCCCGCGTCGGTGGCGGCCTTCTCGAGCGCGTCCTTCTGCACCTGCTCGAACCAGCTGGGGACGGTAATGACGGCACCCTGCACTTTTTTGCCAAGGAAGTCCTCCGCGGACTGGACGAGCGACTTGATGAAGATTGTGGCGACCTCCGATACGCTTAGGACACGGTCAACAGCGACGGGTTCCGAGCGGGGAGTGGCGGCATGAGACGCGGCAGGGGTGTTGGACGCAGTAGTGGGGAGGGGAGAAGGAGATGCCTGAAGAACCTTGACCTTGTATGCAGGTACGTCCGGAAGCTCGGGGTGCTGGATAACCGGAGCAGAGACCGACAACGCGTTCGCAGGGATCTCAGAGAACCTGCGCACAGCGTTGAGCGTTGGCTCAGGTGCAATGCTAATAACGGCACAGTCTACTCACTTCTTGCCCAAGATATTCCTGAACCCTGTGATAGTGTTCTGCGAGTTCTTCACGAGTTGATGTTTCGCTTGATTGCCGATATACTGTCAACTTGTGAGCAATGAGATCATACAGAACAGCGACAATAATTCGGACGCTCCGCCGTGCGCGAACGAGACGCATCTCACAGACGGTGCGATCTCTCAAGAGCAGGAGTACGAGGTAGTCGAGCGCACGATGGCATATGTCCCGCCTCCAATCCCTGCCATTGACAGCCGCAAGTAAGAAGACTCACCATTTCCTCGCCATGAAAAGAGATCGCGCATGCGATCTGACGCTCGCCATCCTCGTTCGCAATGCAGTCCGCGGTACCTTCCTATAGAACATCCGTTTTCAGAGTTCCTATCAGCATTCTGATTGACGACGAAGCAGCGTTTCACCAACCTTGGTGAGAACAGAGATGGAGGCGTATGAGTTGCCAAAGTTGATACCGACAACGGTTGGGATCACGGAAATGTCGATGGGGGCGTCGGCGGTGCCGTTTGCTGCAGCCATTTTGGGGGAAGGGGAGGTGGGGAGGTGGGGAGAGGAGGACCTGGGGAAGGCGAAGGGTATGGACAAGGACAGTGCGCCTGTATGCACTTGTCCAATGGCAGCAATTTTTGGCGGGGCGACGAGACAGATAAGATAGGCGCGCGTTTGATCAAGCTCAGCAATTCCGTAGGCGCTTGCTTTCACGCCTCTCTTGCTCGCGTTCGGCCACCATCTCAGATCGTGAACGCATATACACCTATTTCCCACCAACATCTCCTCCAAAACCACATACACTCTTTTTGAGTCTTCTGAAACTCCTAGATCTATAGGTATGCTCGAGATCTTGGCCGAGTGGCGGAGGGTTCTGCCCCGTTGCTGACGTTGGATGGCACAGGACGCGATGTCGTGTACTCACATCGGAGACATCGCGCGTCTTCAGCAGCCAAAGCTCTCCCAGTCCGTTCATCGCGAGGAGTGTACACAGTGTTTCGACAACCAGGTGAGTTCCTCCCCCTGTGTGGCGCCGACTGCCTGTCAACTTCTCCGCAGGATGGTCCTAACGGAGTCGATGTATGCTTGACGTGCTTCAATGGTGGATGCCTAGACAAGGAGAGGCACCACGCACGAACTCATGCGGCGAAGACGGGGCATGGATTCACGCTTAATATGAAGCGGAAACCGAAGCCGTCTGCGAACAGGGTACGTCCTCCCGTTACTTTGCCATACTTGTGGGTTGAGGATGGTGCTGCGGTAGGCCGAGGATGAAGAGCCCCCTGCAAAAATGAAGAAGCTTGCCATCGTGGAGGAGCGTGAGGAGGACAAGTACGAGCACAAGACCGTCCTCAAGTGCTGGAAGTGCGACTCAGAGCACGGGCTCGAGCTTCCCGACGCGTCCGTCGACCCCCATGTCCAATCCCTCATCTCCGGAGTTACCCAGTCCATGTCCTCCGCCCGTCAGTCAGAAGTCAAGGCGTGGGAAGAGGAGTTCGCGGCTTGTGAACACACGCTCATGCTCGAGCAGCTCGCGACCGGCTCAATTGCGGCATCAGGTACGCCTTTCTCATCTCGTGGTGATGCGCCATTGACGCGACTCGCTGCAGGTCTTGCACACTGCTCGAAGTGCGAACTGAAGGAGAACCTATGGTTGTGCTTGACGTGCGGCTCCCTTGGATGCGGTCGACAACAATTCGGGGGAGTGGGAGGCAACGGCCACGGGCTGAATCACTTCGAGGAGACTCAACACCCCGTCAGCGTCAAGCTCGGTACGATCACTCCCGAAGGCGGGGCAGGTACGCACATCGTTTCGTCTATGGTTTCGTGCAGGCTGAGCAGTCGGCAGACATATACTGCTACATTTGTAATGATTCGAAGTTGGACCCCGATCTTGCACGCCATCTCTCAACGTTTGGCATCAATGTGCAGAAGCAGACCAAGACTGAGAAGTCCATGACGGAGTTGGTACGTTAATCGATGCAGGTATCGAAAATCAATCTGACTCTGGCCCTTAGCAAATTGAACATAACCTCAAGTTTGACTTCTCATTGACGGGAGAAGACGGCAAAGCACTCGAACCTGTCTTTGGACCCGGGCTCACTGGGCTGTCCAACCTTGGGAACAGGTATGTTCTGCATCGTCTGTTCTACTCCATTGTGCTAACCCATCGGACAGCTGTTACATGGCATCGGTCATGCAGACACTGTTCTCTCTGGACCCCTTCAAGCAGCGATACCTGCCTACCTCCGCGACGCACTGGGAACTCTGCCAGGAGCTTCTCCCCGCGAGCTGCCTCGATTGTCAGATGCACAAGATGGCAGATGGACTTCTCTCCGGACGCTATTCCCACCCCCGCCCACATGTCTCCCCATCGCCCACTGCTCCGAAGGAGACCAACCCCTTCGCCCACGACTCGCCCATCCCCGTCTTCCAGGAGGGCGTTCGTCCCACGTCCTTCAAAGCACTTGTCGGCAAGGGCCACGAAGAGTTCGCAACGATGCGCCAGCAGGACGCAGAGGAGTTCTTCTCGCACCTCGTCTCGACCCTCCGTCGTCACGCGAAGCGCCTCGGACTTGACGCGGCGAAGGAGCCAACCGCGGTTTTCGCGTTCGGGACGGAGCAGCGGCTGGAGTGCGGCGAGTGCAAGCGCGTGAGGTATCGAGTCGACGAGACCGACACGCTCAGCATACCGGTTCCCACGAAGGAGAAGGGGAAAGACGAGGAGGGGAAGGTGCTTTACGAGGAAGTCGCGCTGAAGGAGTGCCTCGAGATCGTGATGGGTGCGGAGGCGTTGGAATACCAATGCCCGGCGTGCCAGAAGAAGGTTATCGCGACAAAGTGAGCGAATATATGCGCTCGAAGGTTTCGGTGTATGTTGCTGATGGTGGTGTTCGTAGGCGGACGCGGTTCTCAACGTTCCCGCATATCTTGGTTGTGCACGCGAAGAAGTTTCAGTTGGTGAACTGGGTCCCAGCGAAGCTCGGTGAGTCCCTTGAGCAACTGGATTTCTTGCTCTTCTGATCTATATGCTACAGACATTCCCGTCAACCTCCCCGAGGACGATCTCCTCATGTTGGATCAGTACTTGGGTGGTGGTCTCCGGCCTGGAGAGACAGAGCTCCCCAACGACGAAGCCGCATCTCCCGGTCTGCCTGAGTTCAACCCGGCTGCCATGGCCCAGCTTGAAGCGATGGGTTTCCCTACCATCCGGTGTCAAAAGGCGTTGCTCGCGACGGGTAACGCAGATCCAGAGGCGGCAATGGAGTGGCTGTTCGCGCACATGGAAGACCCAGGTATGAGACATTGCCTGTTTCCAATAAAAAAACTCTCCGTCAACGACTCCCACTAGACATCGATGCGCCGATCCAGCCGTCCGGCGGCGGGGGAAGCAGCAATTCTGAGCCGTCGGCGGAGCAAGTGAGCATGCTTGCGGATATGGGGTTCACGCCTGCACAAGCGGGGAAGGCGCTCCGCGAAACGGTACGTGTAGTCTGAGAAGCCCATCGTGTACTCTGTCTGACAATTCGTAGGGCGGAAACGCTGAGCGCGCTGTGGAGTGGCTCTTCTCTCACCCCGACGACACCGGCGAAGAAATCGCGCCAGCGGCAAGCACGCCGGCCGCGAGCGTTGGCGGTTTGGCGACACTTCCGGCACGCTTCCGGCTCAAAGCATTCGTATCGCACAAGGGTCCGTCAGTGCACTCGGGACACTACGTTGCGCACATAAGGACAGAGAACGAGGGCTGGGTGCTCTTCAACGACGAGAAGGTGGTGAAGGCGGACGCCGAAGGCGTGCGGGAGCTCAAGAAGCTTGCGTATCTGTACGTATTCGAGAGGATCTGATTGGGGCATGTCGGACACAGAGCAACGTAGCACACGACACGCGCGGCAGGTCTTGGGCAGAGGGCGATGGAGGTGTAAGATTACGAGCTAAATCGATGCGATTCAGATGTGGCTGCCTCGCTGCACCCGGCATGTGTGCTTTGTGTGCTCTGCCCGCCGCGATATCTAATCTTGATTCGACGCCCGCCAGAGCGCCTGCTGAAGACATTGTTTCTCAAACATCTTGCGCGAACAAAGACACAGGGAGGGGAGCGCGGAAACGTACAGGCGTCATATCCATCTAGTCAACGGTTCCTGGCCAGACTTGCGGTGCCGGGGCAGGTGGTGCAGATGAGGTCGGAGGCGCGGGGCGAACGGTGCGGTGATTCGAACTCCGACCGGCCATTTTGCGCGTGAGGCGAGCTCAGATTTCTGCGCCTCGACCTCTTTCACGATCTTTGTCGTCCGCCCCCACCACCTCCCTCCCACCATGTCCGTCAACATCCCCATCAACCAGGTCGACCCGACGGCGCCCACCCCGCAGAACACCCCCCTCACTCACGCCCCGATCGCCCAGGGCCTTTCGCGCCCGACGGTGCCCGATATCACGGAGGGCGACGAGGGCGAAGAGGCCGAGGAGCTCGGCGGCACGATGCAGCAGGCGATGCTCGGGCTTGTCCACGGCAAGCTCACCGGGCTCGTCGGCAAGAGCTCGGGGTACGTCGAGAGCCTCCCGGTCGAAGTGAAGAAGAACGTCGAGGCGCTCAAGGGCGTGCAGGTCAAGCAGGTCGAGCTGCAGAACCAGTACAAGCGCGAGTGTCTCGAGCTCGAGAAGAAGGTGCGCTCCTTTCCTCATCCTCTGTAGATTGCGATGTCGCGTCGGGGGTTGAGGCATCGCGGGATCGCGCGGCTTGTCTGGGCGGATCTTACGCGTCTTGTTGATGGACGATTGCCCATGCGATCTGTGCACCCGCCGATGTCTCTGCCGGCCCGTTGTTGTGTGCGGGGTGCCGCTCGTCTTGCCGGAGGGCGAGCGGGCGAGCGGCGGGCCCGCATAGATCAGACAATTCAGATCACGGATGCGGGGTACGAGATGATGATTTCGCCCCGAGCGGCTTGTGCAGATGATGCCGGTGCGATGTCCTTCAGAATCCCCGTATCCGTGATGTGTATTCGTGTCTATGCGGACATCAGGCCCGTCTGTCCGTTGCTTTGGATGTCGCTCGACGAAAGGGGTGGGCTCTGGCTGCCGCAGCTCCAGTCATATATCGGTCTTCCGTTGACGCCATCCTACACGATGCTAATTACGGCATTTCTACAGTATCTTACTATGCAAAAGCCGCTGTATGACCGCCGTCTGGCGATCATTACTGGTACGGCACCCCCTACCGCCGAGGAGATCGAGGCCGGCGAGAAGGCATCCCTCAAGGATGATCCCGACTACGTCTCGCTCCCCGACGACGTCCAGCCCTCAGCGACGGGCATTCCCGAGTTCTGGCTCACCGCCCTCCGCACACATGTCCATCTCGGCGAAATCATTACCGACCGCGACGCGGAGGCCCTCAAGAGCCTCAAGGATGTCCGCCTCGAGTACCTCCCAAGTTCGGAGCCTCGGCCTGGCTTCAAGATCCTCTTCCACTTCGGCCCCAACGAGTTCTTTGAGAATGAAGTCCTCGAGAAGACGTACCTCTACCAGGAGGAGGTCGGGTATAGCGGTGACTTCATGTACGACCGCGCCGTTGGGACGGAGATTAAGTGGAAGGAGGAGAAGGATCTGACGAAGAAGTTCGAGGTCAAGCGGCAGCGCAACAAGAGTGAGTCGCGTCCGAGGCATTTAACCTTTTAGTGTTCGCCGATCGGCTGATCGTCGTCTTTCCAGACACGAACCGTACTCGTCTGATCAGGAAAGCACGCCCTATCGCTTCGTTCTTCAACTTCTTCTCGCCCCCTTCGCCCCCTTCGCCGGAGCTGGTTGACAGCGGCGACATGGATGAGGACGAGCTCGAGGAGCTCGAGGAGAAGCTCGAGATTGACTACCAGCTCGGCGAGGACTTCAAGGAGAAGGTGCGTTTGAACATGCTACCATGAGAGTGACTTTCTGATGGATGTTGTGAACAGATCATTCCCCGTGCCGTCGACTACTTCACGGGCAAAGCCCTTGAGTATGAAGACTCTTTCGATGATGACGACGAATTCGAAGACATGGATGACGATGAGGACGACGAGGACGACTTTGAGGACGATGTATGTTTGTATCCATTTCCTTCCTTTGAAGTGCGTCTCATAGCTCACCATGCTGTCAGGATTCCGACGACGACGATATTCCGGCGAGGAGACGTGGCCCGCCCAAGGGCCGCGGCGCCGGTGGCAACCAGAGCACTGACCCTGAGGAGTGCAAGCAGCAGTAATTGGACGAGTACCCGAACAAATACGTCCTCTACACCATACAACTTGCATTCCGGCTGCCCAGGGTTCCCGCCGCACGCGTGGCACATCTCCTACGTATGGTTCATCGCGATCTTGGTCAACGTCTGAGCGAGTCCCCTGCACTTCATCCTCCCCATTCCTGCTCAGAACGTTCGTTGCTCATTGCCACCATTTTCTGCTCTCTCGTATACATCCTCCACCCCTCCCTCATATTTCCGTGTCCTGCTGGCATATAAAGTAAAGTTGTAATCGTCGTCTCCCTCCTGTACTACAATCCGTCGAACTAGGTCGTGCGATCGCTGGTGCTATCGTACTGCCTGTGCCGCGTCTCCGACGTTCCACGGCTTTGTGAATTTGCGAGGCCCGGAGACAAGCGCTAAAATTGGATGTGGACGCCCGTCGGAGCACGTGTCGCGCCCGCTCACGTCGCGCCGCTTCTCCTCCTCTCAGACTCCAGCTTCCCCTTGTTCCTGCCCCGCGTTCAGCTCGCGAGTCCAGACGGCGACGGCGCAGCGCATGTCCTCCGCGCTCGCCAACTGGGACGGTCATCTCTCGGCCACGTCTACTCCCCCTGCGACAACCCCTTCCTCCGAGGCCCCACGCGATAAACCCCCTACCACAGGACACGGGTCCCCCCACCGCGCTCTTGTGTTTTCCGTCACCGCCAATCCACACGAAGAAGCGCACACAATAAAACACGTACACGAAGCGCAACTTCCCGCGTCGGGATACTCGCATACAATGAATCCGAACCAACAATCCACCACAGGCCGCCCTGCCCCCTCGCCCTCCACCCCCGCCCCAACCTCAAGCCTCCTCGCCAGCATGTTTTCTTCCCCGGCGAAAATCTTCGGGGAGCTCAACGCGGCGTCTTCCGCGATCGAAGAAGTAAACGCGCTCGTGCAGATGGCAAGCTCGGAGCAAAACGGTGTGGTGGACGCGTCGCTGGTAGCAGACGGGCAGGACCAGGGCCAAGAAGAGGTGCGTCGTCCGTGCTTCGCGCTTTTTGATCGCTCGCTGACTCGACCCTGCAGGCTCAAGCACAGCGACACGCGACTCCGGGACCAAGCACGCATACCCTTGAGGTTGTCGAGGCTCAGACGGTATGTGGGCTCTTTCGGCGCGTCGGACGCGTGTTTCGCGAATGGGATGTGTCCTGACTGCAGTATGAGGGACTTAAGACGATTCCGCCACCGGGATCCGGTGATCGAGCTCAGCCCCCGACGCAAGACAGCGACCTCCCCAGCCACGTCGTCAGTATAGAGAGCTTTGGAGCGCTCTCCACACCTCCTTCTGCGAAAGTTCGGGGTACGCACCAAGACCACGCGGAGGTAGGCTCAGTCTTTAATATGTGAGACGTCTTTGAGCTCATTTTTTGTTTTGGGTATGGCAGGAACCGACGTTGCCGGAACCAACGCGTATAGCTCCCTCGAACGAGGACGTGCACGATCTGGACGCGGACGGTGAAACGGACCACGAGAGCGTAGCCTCTGTGCACCCGCTTCCTGCTCCTACCAAGCGATCGGGTCCGAGTATGTCGAGCGCAGTCAAAGTACGTTCTCCTTTTTTGCTTGGTGTTTCGTCGAGCACACCACATGCCACGCGAAGAGGTGCTTGGGGACGCTCTCCTTTGCCATTTCCCCAGTGAGGTCTATCTCTGATATCGGTCTAGCCTCCTAGGGCGTCGGGATCTTCGTCCAAGGCGTCTCGAGGGCGCACTGCGACCCGAGATAAATCGGCGCCGGTCCAGAATGGCTCCATCTCCGACCAACTTCTCGTGGCAACGCAGGAATACTATGTCTCCTCGGAGGTAAGTGGACTTCAGCCACGTAACCCTGCGAGACCTCATTCCCCACCTCGCAGTCTCCCGAATTTCCGAAGTCTCTCGCGGAGTTCTCTTCCACTGCGCTCGCGAGCTCGTCATATGCACAGGTATGTATATACAGCACAAGAGGCTCGAGTCACGCGACTGACTCATTGTGACAGCTTACCTCTCCTCCACGCTCGAACGACAAGCTTCCGCTGTTCCTCGCGAGCCCGACCTCGCAGCCGAGCTCCCCCATTTTCCCGGCGAAGCGCTTGACGAAGAAGCGGCGCATGATTATGGACTACGTCGAGGTGCCTCCGATGCCCCTCGTTCACCGCCAGCTCAAGGAAACGGACCCGTTCGACGAGCTCGAGCTGCAGACCCAAGAAAACAACAATGCTCTAGCGCGGTTGACAGAGCAGCTGAACATAGCACACACCGCGAACGCGTTGCAACACCACGATCTCCCGCCGCTAGCGCCTCCTCGCAGCCGTCCGGCCCCAAGGAAGGTCCCGAGGGATGTCCCCGAGGTGCTGGAGGAGCCAGGAGAGACGAGCGCGTCGGGGAGAAGCAAGAGGTCGAGGACGGCGACGGCGAAGTTGAGGGAGTTAGTCAGTCAGGCGTCGCCGAGGAAGCGCAGCCGGACGGCTGGATCGACGACTAAGCCGGTCAAGAAGCAGAAGCTGAACGCGGACAAGAGAACTCGAGCTACGCGGCGCGACGACGACGACGAGACTGGCAACGACGGTGCGGAGGACGAAGTCGCTACCGAACTAAAAATCGAGACCGAGACCGAAGATCCGTTCTATCAAGACCTCAACGAGGAGGGCGACGAAGAGCCGCATCAGGCCGCCGACTGCCTAGAGGCTTTGTACCCATCGACCACCGTCCGTCTGGGCCCGTACCCGCCGTTTTCGCATCAACGTGTGTTGTTCGACTGTCGCCATATCATCCACGAGCTTCAACTAGCGGCCGCTCTTTCACCTCCGCCACATCCTGCGGTGTCAAAAGCCCCGTCACAGTCACAGGTAGTGGCCTCGCTTGACTCGTCGCTGCCCGATCTTACTGAAGTGCAGGATGATAGGCCATCGTCGCTCCACCAGCTCCTTAGACTAAGATATCCCTCTCCCGCTCCTTGCCGCCCGTCGAAGACAGTCTTGGATGCAACTGCAAGCCGGGTACCGCCGCCGTTCCGCATGATGTTTCCACCCTCATGGGCTCCTCCGATGCCTCCAGAATCAATTCCTATCACTTCTTCTGAGCCGGTCCCAGCGACTCCTCATTTTCAACCACGACCTGCGATTCGATCTCAAGAGCATTCCCAGCCAAAAAGTCCAGTTCCGTCAGCCCTTGGCCTTCAAATTCCCTCGACCTCACCATCGCCTCCGCGTCATTCTATCCTACACTATCCCGTCTCTGGCCCGTCTTTAACTCCCCCGTCCGCGATACTCCCCACTCCAGTCGACACGCCCCATGTCACTCCTCCGCCACCCTCCCAACCCCTCCCCCACATCGTTGACGAGTATCTGCAAATACCCCCGCAGTTCGCCGACTACTGTACCCCGGTGGCAGTGAACCTCGACGCCGGTTTAGACATCAGCTCGCTCGTGCACTCCGACAGCCCGGCGGACGGACCGCGGCTCTCGTCCCTCCCCGAATTCCCCCCGCTCCCCATGCCGTACTTCAGCAACTTCTTCAGCGCGCTCCACGGCACCTCCGTTTCCGGCGCGCCGTCCGGGTCCCCGCTCGACCCGTGCAAGTCCGCGGGCGAGTGGATGTACCCCTCGACGGAGCCCGACACGGAAGCGGACGCGCAGCGTGCGACCACGATCGACCCCTCGCTCCTCGGCGGCCCGCCTCCCCCCGCCCCGCCCGCGCCCTCCCCCACCCCCTCCGCGTCGGTGTCCGCGTCCGCGACCGCGACGACGAGCACGGGGCCGGACAAGGGCAAGGACAAGCAGCAGCAGCAGCAGCAGCAGCCGGTCGCGGGCCCGTCGATGTTCTCGTCCCAGTGGGACGATTCTTGGGGGATGCCGACGGCGGCGTCGTACCCCACGTTCTCGGACTGGGGCCCGACCACGTCCGAGGAGGACCTCGGGATGTACAAGAAGTTCGAGCCGAAGAAGAAGAAGGCGCCCGCGAAGAAGAAGGCGAAGGCGAAGGTGAAGGAGGAAGTGGTGAGGACACCGGTCGTCGAGGAGCGCGAGGGGAAGCGGTCGCGCAGGTTGACGGAGCGCGCGGTGGCGGCGTATTATGAGAGCGAGGACAGCGACGAGTACGTCGAGTCGGTGTCGGGGAAGGGGAAGGGGAAAGGGAAGGGGAAAGGGAAGGGGAAGGGGAAGGAGAGAGAGAAGGAGAAGGAGAGAGAGATGACGAACTCCAGCAAATCCAAGTCCAAGCTTCAGCCCAACGAAGCCGGCTCGAGCTTCCCCACGGAAGCGAAGGTCCCGTACTGCCACCAGTGCCGCAACAAAGCGCGCTGCGACAGGATGCGATGCACCGCGCCGCGCAAGTCCGGCATGCCCTGCGGTCTGTACTTCTGCCAGATCTGCGTGGAGGTCAGGTGCGTCACACACACGCCGCGCGTCCGTCCGTCCCAAGGCTGACCACGCGCCGCACGCAGGTACCCCGAGCTGGAATTCAACCCGTTCGCGACCGACTTCACCTGCCCGCGCTGCACCGACACGTGCAACTGCACGAAGTGCTGCAAGCAGCGCGGCGAGCCGTACGTCTCCTCGCGCGTCTTCGGCACGCTCCCCGCGTTCGGTTCCGCCGAGTACCGCTCGCTCGCGGAGGAGGCGCTCGCGGAGCAGCCCGCGGACGAGCGCAAGAAGCTGCACCTCCCCGAGGTGCGAGAGGACGCGCCGTCAGGGCCGCCCCCAACGGAGGTTGAGCTCGTGGCCGGCAAGCTCTACAAGGTGTACGGCGCCGTCAAGAACGAGAGCGTCGGGATGGCCGTTGAGATCAAGGGCGGTCAGATGGCCCTCCAGCCGCCGACGGGCGCGAGCGATGGCACGGCCGTCGACACGCGCAAGAGCGCAGTTTCGGGCACAGGCAAGGGCGCAGACGCAGGCCACAAGGACCTCAGCGCGGAGAAGAGCGCGATCGCAAGGGCGCACCCCCCACTCAAGAAGGGCCCGAAGACGATCACCGCGGCCATGCGGAGGCGGAAGCCGTGGCTCGTGCCCGCGGAGGCGTACGTCGGCGCGCGGCGCGTCAAGCACCGGAAACGCCAAGGCGTCGACAAGCCCGGGTGCCCGCCCGCCGCCGTCGCCGTCCAAGCGCGGCGGCCCGCGTCGCGCACCCCGCCCCCGCCGTGGCGGCGGGCGTACGTCGGGGACCGCGCCGCGCTCACGGGCGGGAAGTACATCCCGATGGACGACCTCGTGGAGCTGCTGCTGTCGCCGCTGACGTCGCCGACGCCGTCGGCGGACGAGCTCGACGCGGACGCGGAGGGCGTGGAGGAGAGCCCGACGGCGGGCCGGGTCGCGGTCCTGGACGGCGCGGACATACAGTTCGCGATCGCGAAGGCGATGTTCGCGCTGCGCACGCCCGCCGCCGAGGAGAAGGGGGAGGGCGGGGAGGGCGGGGACGTGGATCTGGCAGAGGCGCAGGTCGCTGAGGCTGAGTAGAGCGGTGGTCGAGGGGCGACTTTCAGCGACGGTCTCTGGTGTTCTTGTGTGCATTCGCGTTGGCAGGTTTCGTGTAGATTTCGATCCGTCGTCTGGACAGTTGGACCGTTGATAGCTTACGTCTTGTGTACTGACTCTTCTGTCTTATTTACTCGTGCGGTAATCTACACCCGTGGCCGTCTGAGCCTCCCCCTCTCGACATGGACGAACTGAGTGGTCAGGCTCGAATAAAAGACGATGGCCCCGCTCTGCAGCAAGCTTGCGTACCTGCCTCTCCGACTACGATTCGATGGCGCACGTCGCAAGGTGTGTTCTGAGGGCAAGCCAGATCACACCAGAGCGAACGTCCGAGCTCATCAAGAACCGCGTGCTTCCCTTCAACGCACTGCCGTCACCGAAACTACGGGCAGGCGCGCCACCCGCGGGCGCCTCTGCCACACTCCCCATCTCCCTGCGGAGGACAAAGATCGAGATGCATCCGTCCATCAAGGCAAATGAAAGGAAGCCGGTTGACAGCGTGCCTGGCGCGTGTCCTCCGCAACGCACGCCAAACGCGGCAGGCGCTGGGAGAAGACACGGGCCCGGAGGCGATAGAGATGCGTTTGTATGTTGCGCTCGACGTTTGTGACCAGCCTCGCGAATCAAACGTCGCGCGGGCACTGCATGCGCTCGGGCGCTGGGATCAGAAGGATCCTGCAGGCACCGAATGGTCAGTACTTCAGTTACGCACTGTTTCGCTACAGTCACCAGAGGCAGCCTGCGTCACCGAAAGGCTAATTCGAGATACCAACTTAGGGATCTTACCACCTCCCGTCGTGATGGAAGTCGAACGTTGATGCCTCACATGTATATCCCGTGCGGCTCGTCTGTCTTATTTACGCTGGCCATAATGTACAACTCTGGCCGTCAAAGCCCGCGCTGAGTACTGGGGAGGCCGTCGGCGACCACGTCCACGTCCGTCGTGCCAGCGTCCGCGAGCGCAGAGGCGGAGTCGACACCCGATCGCGGCTACATCTCGCTCTCTCCTGTCGAAACGAGATGCGGATGATCAGTGCGTGTCGCGAACTGGCGGACACCGAGCCCGACGTACGTGATCGCTCCGGATGCAGCTGCTCGTAGTGCGTCTGCGAGCCCATCGTCAGCGTCAGCCCCACGGCGGCCCCGCCCCCAGAGCGAAAACAACGCAGCGCTCACCCGCAACCTGCCCGGGCGGTCGAACCGCTTGCTGCAGATCTCGCAGAAGTGGTACTTCGTCTTCCGGCGGGAGCCCGCCGCCTGCGTCTGCGTGGGCGACGGCGCCGGCCGCTCCGCCTCCGGCAGCGGCGTCTGCACCTCCGCGGACGTCGACGGCGTCAGCACGTCCGCGACGGGGCTCGTCGCCTGGCTCATCGTCGCGGCGGGGCTCCTGCTCGCCGCCGCCGCCTCCGCCTCCTCCGTCCGCTCCCGATCCGAGATCGGCGAGGGGCTCGGGCTCGAGCTGGGGCTCGTGCCCGTGCTCGGGTCCGGGCTCAGGCTCAGGCCCGCGCTCGGCTCGCGCGGGTCGAGGGGCGACTGCGGGAGGGGCGGGGGCGGGTGCTGCGGGGCGTACGCCTGCGGGTGGTGCGTGAGCGCGTGCGGCGCCTCGGCGTGCGCTGTCGCGTGCGGCGCGGTGGGCGAGTACGCGTGCGCTGTTGTGGGCGAGTACGCGTGCGCCATCGTGGGCGAGTACGAGTGCGCTGTCGTGGGCGAGTACGCGTGCACGGGCTGTGGCGGGTCCGGGGTCGCCCAGAGGTCGAGCGGGGCGGACGGCCCCGGGGACGGCCCCGGGTCGTGGTCGGGCGGCGCGGGGCGGGAGGCGCTCCTGTACATGTGGGGGTAGCCGGGCAGGCGCTGGGTCATGACCGCGAACTCGGACGAGCCCGTGTACGGCCGGGGGACGTGCGCAGCTGTGCGGGCGGAGAGGGGGGCAGGGGGCGGTGAGCACTTAGCCGCGCGGAGAGAGGGCGGGCCGGGTCCAGTGTTTCGAGAAGAAGGTGGCACGTACGGGTCCGTGGCGGGGCGTTGGCGTGCGCGCGAAGGTCGTGGGTCCAGTGCAGCGCTGGCCCGCTGCCGCCCCCGCCCCCGCTGGTCGGTGTGAAGGCGTCGGGGCTCGGGCTGGGGTCGCGGGCGAAGGGATCGGTGGCTGGGTGCTCCATCGCGCGCGGTGCTCGGTCGGGTGCAGGGTCGTGTGGGCGGCGAGGCGGGCTGGATGGGCTCAGGGCATCGGCTCGGGTATATATCCTTGCCTTCGGACGGGATGGCTCTGAGCGCGCACAAGATCAGCACAAGCCTCCCTCGCCCGTGATCGCCCCGTCACAGATAAGCTTTTGATGTGACCCCCAGCCCTGCGGTCACCCCCCGTGACAGGCACCCCGGGGATTACACAACGGGCGGGCGACAACGATTACCCGCCAGTGAGACAGTGTAATGCGGCTTGTCGGTTGCGACTCCATCGATCGCCGCGTCCATACGCGATCGCTGCTACAATCCTCCTCTATCTCGAGAATGCTATGTCCAGGGTCTCCTCCGTGTCCGCGTACACTCCGCCAAACTCTCGCGGGACGAGACGTCATCCCGCGCACGACTCAGAACGCTCGCAGCCCCGACTCCCCGCTCATCGTCCGACCCAAAACGCGAACGCGGGTCCGCACTGCAGCAAAGCGGAAGCGTGAGTGGCGAGCGCGAAGCATCGGCGCGTGAGGAAGAAGACGCACCTGTGGGGTCGCGAACCTCGTGTTTCACCGGTCACCCGCCGCGTGATGTGTGCGCGCAAGAGCTCGTCACCACTCCGCGGGCCGGACACCGGGGTCCAAACGCGGGGCCGGAGATGGCGCACTGGCGCACAGTCGGTGAGCACGAACGCGGTGGGGGGGTCATCGGCGACGGTGTGGGCTGTTTGACGCGGCCCCAGTGCAGCAATGGCGCGAAGGTCGACTGGCTCAGAAGACTTGGAATTTAGGAAAACCCGCGCCTCGGGAGAGAAGAAATGGGTGGTCCGGGTGGTGGCGGTGGCGCAGTCTAGAAGCCTGAGCGCAGAGTACGAAGCCTGGTCGGCGAGCATCGCGGAACAAGCATAAGTTGGAAATGGACCCGAGATTAACCTTGAGATGCTGAGGGCTACGCAGGCGGTGAAGTGGAGCGGACTCCGCTCATGGCGGAAGAGAGCTATGTGATGTGGTAAATATCGAGAACCAGCGGGCGGCAGCGCTGGAGGGATGCGAGGCCGCGAAAGCGAGCAACTTGTGCCTCCAGCTCCATGAGTCTGGTTGTCGGAGAGAGGAGCTGGTTCGAACGTAAGACCGGATAAGCGGCGTCGCGCCACGAGAGGCAGAGCAGAGAACGAGCGAATGTAGAGGCCGTGGCAAGGAAGAACTAGATGGCGTAGGCGAAAAAGTCAGCGTCCAGGCACACCACTCCGAACGCTTGATGGATGGCTGGAGGATACATCGGGGGTGCGCGCGAGGCGAGCTTGCTCGACTTCTATGGAGGCATTCTCCGCCTAGATATCTTCGGGGACGAACACCAGGAGGCATCGATCGCGGGCAGATATGAGCAGACTCGATTGTCTGTGCAGGACCTCAGTGAGCGCGGAAGAATCATGCAGGAACGTCGAGAAAAACGTACGCGGATGTCCGTGCACTAGTCCAAGTCCGCCGGGACCCGTGTAGGCAACACGGTGGCTCCTGGGGAACGTCGCCGACGAAGGAAACCCAGGTCGACGAGAGAGGTGACGTAACAAGGAGCGCAGTCGAGCCGGTGCGAGGGCCTCCGGGCGCGGTCGCGACCATCGGGATAGGTTGAGAGAAGCGGCTCAACTTTTCGCAGTAGCGTCCCGGGGGCCGCTATGGGCCGGAAGGTCGACGGAGGTACGTTCTCCAGTGGGGTCTATCCGAATTTCCGAGGGAGTCCGCGCATGGGGCCAAGCGAGAGAGTCGCGGCCGAGAGGAAAGTGATCGAGTGCAGACCATCGTCTACCGGGATAGGAAGGGGTTCACGTTCGATATGGGCGACAAGAGGGTCGTCAGCCTACGACTGGAAGGTCGGAGGGATATATAGATGGCTGCATGGGGGATCGCCGAGTTTAACATGGTTGTGACCCAGTTTATCAAGGGGAGCCTCGCTTCGCATGCATGACAGCGTAAGATGGAAGGCGAGGCACAAATGCACGCGCGCCTCGATCGGGGCTATAAGTGGGAGGCAGAAGCGCCCAGGTGCCGTCACGACTCACGGGCCATGGGACGTGATCCTGGTGTGACGTCACGCTTGAACTTGACTCCGTCCATCATCAACGCAGGTGGCTTGTCGTCTGTGATCTCAAGCTATCAAAAGTATGTCGTTTTTTTCTTTGCATTTGGCGCATGCTCATTTGCCGGTCATGGGCGAAGTGGCGAGCGGTGCGCCGGTTGCCACATCGTTCAAGCACCTCAACGACGACGTGCTGATCCAACTGGTCGAACTTCTTGCCTCGCACTCCTTGATAAACTTATCCATGACATGCCGCCGAATGCGCTCCTTATGCTATCCCTCCCTCTTCTCCGTGGTGTGCATTCGACCTGGGCTCCTGTTTGCAAGCACGATAAACACCCTGCCGAAGCATGCCCGGAGCCACGTGCAGTACGCCTCTCTAGTCGAGCACACTTCACTATGCTGACCACTGACGACTGTCGATCAGTACGCTCACGATAAAGGAGTGCTTTCACCGCTCATCTCCCTCAGATGCCCAACGGTTGCCACGAATCCCCGAGGTGGTCAGCGAGCTTGAGTGCCGCATGGCAGCAAATCTGTCGAATATCATTCACTCCTTTCCCCGTCTGCTCTCCGTCGTTCTTGGCGACCCTTATACATGCTTGGGGTATAGTTGGGAAGACCTGCATGATAAGGTGGGACTTCCTCTCCCTGTCCTCTTCACCATCCTACGAGTTTCGCACATCCAGCACATCGTCTTCACCCGCACCTTGTATCACGACGACGACTCCATTCCCAGTACTCCAACCCCGCCCCTCCTCTTGGACCACGTGAATACGTTTAGGTACACGCCACACAAGTATCGCGAAGGCCCTCGAGCGTACAGATCCGAATATGTTCTTCTCGGGCTCATCATCCCACCGCTCAGTGCCTCCGTCACGACGCTTCACCTCCCCCTCGAGAACGCGCCTCTTCACGAGATGTCGCTCCACCACTGGCCTTTCCTTAATGAACTCGTTCTCGAGGGCGAGCATCTCGCGCTGACAGACGTCACTCCTACGCCGTACATCTCTTTTCTCGCCCAGATGCCGAACCTCCGCCGTCTCCGCCTGCACACAGCGGATGTGCACAGAAATCCCCATTACACCCTGCTGTCGCGGCTGGAGCCGCCTCCAGCAGTCTGGCCCGTGTCAGTTCCTCCGGCGAAGAAGCCTCCGCTGCAGGCGCTCGAGGAGCTCACCGTGAGCCACCCTCGCGCGGACGACCAGCTGTGGGGTCGCCTGCCGCCTGGACTGCGGGAGCTGCGGTTGTGCTCCTGGCCGCATCGAAGGACGCTCCTGCACCTGTACGAGTGCCATTACTCCATGCCGGTTCGGTCGGGTTTGGCGTGGCGCTCGCCGCTCATCCCGTCGTCCACGCTGTCCCACATCGTCGCCTCGTGCCGGGGCGCGTGCAAAGTGACGGTGCTGGAGCTCGAGTACGCCGCGGACGACGGCGAGAACGCGCTCCTCGAGACCGTGGCGGCGACGTTTCCGGCGCTGCAGCGGCTGACGCTCGTACGGAACGACGCGAAGGACGAGGAGCTGGGTCCCGCGTGGGCCAACGTCGTGCGTCTCCCTCTCGTTTGTTCTGCGTCGCGTACGGTACTGACGGTTCCTTTTCCCGCAGCTCGGCGTCGCCGCCGTCCTCCGTGGTATCCGCGCGCTGCGTTCTGTCCGGATGCACATCGGGTGGAACGAGGAGCACTACATCAGCCTCGACGCGTTCGCCGGCGCGCCGGCGGACATACAAGCCGCCGCCGCCGCGTCGCACGAACGGGAGCCGTACGTGGCGGACTGGTGTCTGGAGCTGATCGCCGTGGCGTTCGTACGCGTGCTGGGACCCGCGATCGAGTTCGTGGACCTGTCCTATCCCGGGACTGGACACCATTGGCTGAGGTTCAGACCGAGTGTCACAGATATGCGTATGCGAACGGAGGAACTGGAGACTTGGTGGTAGAATTGTTAACAAAGCGACTTTGGCTATACATGACACATTGACATCTTTCATTCGAATATTCGAGTTACTTCCGAGCCTTCGGAGGGAGACGAGGTCCACCCCCAGGCGGCATGTTAACACGAGGCGTGGTCGAGCCTCGAAAGCCTGGCTACGGCCAGGCCTCTCGGAGAGGCGCCTGGGGCTCATATCACACGTGCCCCGGCCAATGCCGGGTTGCCCACGAAGCTTAAGCTTAAGTGCTTGTCTTCAAACATCATGCACATGCGTCAACGTGCGTGTCATGTCTTCCGCACGTAAAAAGCACTCGGTATGTGACTTTCTTTTTGTTAGAAGTCGGCGGCTCGGTCGGGGTCGGACGAGGGGGTAAAGGCAATCGATACCACGCGGTTGGTCCCTATGGGCACCGGGAGGCGAGTACAGACGGACGCGGGGGAGAACGAGGTGGTGGTGAAGGGCAAACGCGTGAGGCGAGTGCGGAACGAGGGACGGCGGCTATCTACGGGATGACTAAGCGCTGGTACCGTACGACCGAGCTTGCTAAGTATGCGGGCAGATTCCAACAGGCCCCCACAAGCGAGGGCGTATAACGAGCACGAATCGAGGGAGAGATGGTGGCACAAAAGACGAAGGGACGAGGACGAGGGATCGAGGACGATGGGTCGAGTACGGAGGGTCGAGTACGATGGATCGGGTTACGCTGGTTCGGACGATGGATCGGTTACGCTGGATCGGATACGATGGTTCGGGGTTTACGCTGGATCGAGGACGAGAATCGAGACGGGGGCATAGATGGGGCATAGAGCATAGGATCGAGGAGACAAATCGACGTGACATGGATCGGGAGCGGGGATCGGGACGACAATGCGGGCGACCAGCTACAACCTCAAGAGAGCAAGCGAATCACGATGTCGAGCACGCCAATGACGGCCGGCTAAAGTAACCACAACATGCCGACAGGGGAGCACGGAGGCGAGAAGGGGAAACAAGAAAATGCGCGAGGGGATCGTAAATCAAAACGTACAAATGTCCCGTGAACCTAGTAAGAGAAAGCCACAATGGGACTCTCCAAACAACTCCGGAACGGCGCAGGCGGTGGGCCAGGTGCCATGGCTAATGCGGCGCGCTTCCTGAATGCGGAACTCGACCACGAGGAACACTGGTGGGAGCGGGAGCGGCGGCGGCGGCGGGAGCGACTCCAAGCAGCGCGGGCGGCGGATGTGAGGGCGGTGGAGATGGAGGGGCGATTCTTGCGATAGGAGGTGTGGGGGTCGAAGATCGGCGGGGAGAAAGCGGGATCGGAGGGTCGTGAACGGGTCGGGAGTCGAAGAAGTGATCGCGGGTCGGAGGGGGCTTCGGATCGTCGAGATCGGATGGCGCGGACAACGAGTAGGCCGGGCGCGGGCGCGGAATGACCTCCGGGCAAGGGTACGCGTTTGTGTTAGAAGTCGGCGGCTCGGTCGGGGTCGGACGAGGGGGTAAAGGCAATCGATACCACGCGGTTGGTCCCTATGGGCACCGGGAGGCGAGTACAGACGGACGCGGGGGAGAACGAGGTGGTGGTGAAGGGCAAACGCGTGAGGCGAGTGCGGAACGAGGGACGGCGGCTATCTACGGGATGACTAAGCGCTGGTACCGTACGACCGAGCTTGCTAAGTATGCGGGCAGATTCCAACACTTTTCTCGTTCTGCGAGCCTGACTTCACGACGCACTAGGGGCAGCGCAGCCTTGCCATCGGCACTCGCCGTTTGGCAACTTGCGTGAGTGGCGTGTCAATCTAGTGCAGGCTTGGCTTCCCGATCCAAACCTCCGCTCTGATGGCATATCCTGGTCTTGCAGATCCAGCAGGTAAGCGCGTGGCAACTGGCACGAACGTCTTCCTCTCCTCTAACAACCTCCCGCTGACGCTTCTCGTACGCCTGGGTTTCAACTCACGCGGAAAGCGTCCCTTGCGCGGCGAGGTCAATTCACATTGCGTCCGACGGTATAATCCAACGACGTGCGGATTTATTACGACCATGCTGCGAAGAATTGTATGGTCGTGGCCGCGATTTCCGAGCTCGTGGGACCCTCCAAAACGCTGCCTTATATTACGACTCCTCTCGCGAGTCCAACGTTTGCAAGGCCGACGGGGTTCCGCACTTCGGGCCCGGACGGATGTCACATCGCACGTGCGGCTCTTCCCTCCTCTAGGGACGGAAGAGCGCGCCTCGTGTTGCACGAGGATCGGGGTAAGACTGAGACCATCAAGTACGTTTCTCACTCTATGTATTCCTCCCCGCACTTGTTCCCTCGTTGCACTCGTAACACTCTATCTTATACGTTCATACCTGCCCGGAATCAAACATGGTCGTCGTCAACTTGATCCTCCCGAAAGCATCCCACGTCCGATCCCTCAACAGGGGGAATCACATACTGGATGGGCGCGTCTTCAAGCTTTGCCATTAGCGGGTGCGGCGGATTCGCAGCCACCGCTGATCCTTAGCCGCACGAACACGCTCCCTCCAGTACTAACGTCAGAATGAGCTCTCCGCAACTATTAATATATATCCAGAATCACGAGGAGCTGTTTCTGCGACGTGTATCTACGATCTGCGGGATGGTGGTTGACCGCGAGCAAGAGAGGCGTGAGGTTAGGCGCCAGTGACCTTGTCTTGATCGCCTTGAGCGCTTATCTTATCTGTACCTCGGCCGCCCAGATGCCGCGGACGAGCCTGCTCTGTCCTCCTCCATACCCATCCCCCTCTCCCACTTTCCTTATCCCCTCGTCCCCATGCTCCTCTACGCGTGCAGCAGCCAACTATGCTGCTGACGCACGGGTTGAAAAATCTACGCTCCTAACCGTTCGGCGACTCGTATGCCGCCCTAACGAAGACTGGCGGGCCCCACTATCACTCCCTCGATTGCTCGTCTGGCCACTGGCGGATACGGCACCACTGCCAAGCTCCAGGATGTTTTTTGTGGCGAGGATACGGTGAGTCTTTTGACTTGCGATCGGCAATGGCATGAATTGGAGGCGGGATATATGCGCGGGGTCTGTTGTATGCGTCTCGTCGCGCACGGGCGAGCTTCCCAGCGATTTTTATTGCCCCCTATAATATCAATGCTCACAAGTCGACAGCACATCGGCAAAAAAAACCGAGCACCAACTCGTGAAGACATCTCATAAGACCATCACTGGGCTCAGACATATCTTGGGCAACATGTGAGTGGAATTTTCCGTTGTTAGCATTGCACAGGCTGAGCCAACGCCCAACGCTGTGCGCAGGTTCTCTGAGATCCCTAGTGCGAACGCGTGCCGGTGTATGCCCCGGTCATGTAACACCCCGAGCTTCTGGATGTCCCCTCCGTCTCTTCTCCTCACTACCGCGTCCAACACCCCAACACTCCTGCCACGTCGCACGTCTCTACTCCCCTGTCGCCGCCGACCGTGTCTTGACGTGTCCACGGTCGTCACGATCCTCGTAAAATTGCTCGGCAAGAAGGCGCAGGGTGCCGTCATCACTGTTCCGAGATGGTTCGAGGAGGCGCAGAAGCACACCCTCGAGAAGACCACCGCCGATGCGGGCATTGTCGTCCTCCGGCTTGGAGAAAGCGGGCGCGGCAGCCGTCACTGCCACAAGCAATTTACTGACGGCAGGCCCCGGTGCAGACCGCACCCCCTCGTCGACCTCGGCACCTCTGCCCTAGAACTGTCGCTTCTCTCCGTCCGGCAGGGTCTCGCGTTCTCTATCGCCACGCTCCGCGACGACACCATGGACGGCGCCTAGGCCTGCTCAGTCGAGTCCCTCAAGGACGGCCTCGACTTCACCGGCACGATCACCCGCCTCCGCTTCGACATGGAGGTCCGCACGACCCACGACGAGGCGCCGGACTTCAGGAGGCGGTCGTTACCCCGTTCACGCAGGGCACGGTGGTCGGGGGCGGCGTCGCCGACTCGACGACGATCCTCGCGCGCGGGTGCGCGATGCAGGCGAAGATTCTTGCCGGGCTCGCGGACGGTACGGAGAGCGCGCAGGACAGGCAGGACGGGGTCCCTGTGGTGCTCAAGGACACCCCAGTGCCGGCGAGGTGCCCCGTGGCGTTCGACATCGACTTTGGGGAGGGCGAGGGCGAGAAGAGGGTCAGGTTCGAGTTGTAGGAAAGAGGAGACAGCGGAGAAGGAGAGGTGCATCGCGGCGGTATGCTTCCTCGCGAAGCTCGCGCAGCCGAGGCGTGGGCGGTCGACGACACGGTCTGGCAAAGGCGAGAAGAAGGTCGTCACCGTTGCACCTGCATGAGCGATTGTACGTGTATCTCACGCCTTAATAGGCCGTTGTTTGTCAGCGCAACCGATCTGGGGTCACACGGGCCTGCGTAGTCAGCATGTTAGCTCTCCTAGGGCACCAGCTCGCGCGCTCTTCAACAGAGCCATGGCGGACCCTCTTGCTGGCGTTGAGGCATACCTCTTCGATGTCTTCGGAACTGTAGTAGACTGGTACGGCAGCGTCAGTCGCAGTCTCAAGGAGTCTGCTCCAGCCTCCTTTCAAGACGAAGGTAAGAGTTGGGCTTTGTACTATACGTACCCTCTGCTGACTTACGCCTTCTGTAAGTAGATTGGGGCGACTTCACCAAGGAATGGCGGAAGGGATACATGGAATACACGTAAGCTCGCTACGATATACTTAGATGTTCTTTAGTATGATGATCATTCGCCAGGCGTCGTGTATCGGCGGGCGGTCCTGGGTCCAACAATGCCGACATCATGCATCGCGAGGTATGTGCGCGACTCTCGAGTCCACCGCGAACTGATCTCTGATCCCAAACAGATCCTCGACGAGATGTTTGTCTCTTCGAAGTGGGTGCACCTCGCTGTACACTACGATGATAAGAAGAGAACCGATCTCGTAAACCTCTGGCATCAGCTACATGGTATGCGGACCGGCTCTTCGCAAATCACTTAGTATAATGTGTTGATACGATTTCTCTTCTCTAGGATGGCCGGATAGCAGTACTGGCCTGCACGCGTTGAAGAAGAGAGCCATAATATGCACGCTATCAAACGGGAACGTTCGACTGTTGGTCGATCTGGTGCGTCATCCTCGACTGCACGCATGCGTGAATAAATTTCTGAATGCCGCCGCCCAGGCGAAGTTCTCCGATCTGCCTTGGGACGTCGTGTTCTCCGGCGAGTTGCTGGGGTCCTACAAGCCGTACGTCCCCCGCTCCACAGACCACACAACGTCTGGCTTGGTGCAGTCTGCTGACCCGGTGTCTTCACGCAGAAACCCGAAGGTGTACCTCGGCGCAATTCATCATCTCTCGTTGCCTGCGGAGAAGTGCGCGATGGTCGCGGCGCACGTTTATGACCTCCGGGAGGCTGCTGCCCATGGGATGAAGACCGTGTACGTCCGGCGCGCGACGGAAGAGCCAGAGGTTCACGCGCAGATAAAGAGCAAGGCGGAAGGCGGAGAGGTGGACCTCGTTGTGGATTCGTTCGAGGAGATCGTAGCGCATAGTGTGCCGTGATGTTTCCCCCTACGCAGCTCAGATGGTGAGGCAGTATGGGATCAAGTGGGCCTGTATTTACATAGGCGAGTCATGAGGAAAACGTAGTCGCGTCAGGCGCCGATTCATTCCGTCAACACGAGAAAGGAGCGTCGGTCACGTGGCCGGTAGCGTTGACGCCAGCACCCTAGCCTAAGCTTTGGCAGCGCGCGTCTTGCAGTGGGTGACCACTATCGCGTTCCCTACGAAGGCCTTGCAAACTCGTCCAACCGTGAGTACGCACCTATCAACCCTGAATTTAAACTAAAGTTTGGCTTAGAGACACACGTACTGTCGTGCGATGGCGCATTACCGAGTCGTGCAGGGAAACCTGCGCCACTTGGACGACGACGCGCTCCTCCAAGCATTCGATTACCTGGCTTTTAAAGATCTTTGTTCTCTGTCCGAGACATGCTCTTGGATGCGGGAACTGTGCTCTGCTACGATCTTCCGCAGGTGCAAGGTCGACTACGAAGACCTAGCCCAAAAATCACCGAACTTCGTCCCTCAGGCAGTCTGGCCTTTCATCAGGTACGCACTACTTGCCGATAACAATACTATATGAGCCTGATCGTCTACCAGAACGCTCGTTCTCAAAGGATCTTTTCGTCGCTGGCACCCCCGGCTGATGTCGTATCGCCGGCCAGAGTGGAGGCCCTTGAAGCTCCTTGGAGATCGCGGGCTCGACATGGCCCACGAAGAGTTGCGCGTAGCTCGATTCCTGGCCGACACCCTACCGATCTGTTGGTTCCTAGTGTCCCGGTGTACGCCCTCATCCGAGGCACTACCAGTATGCTTAGTCATGTATACTACGTTCCCACGCATTGTACAGTACTATGCCGCCGTATCGTCCTAGATCGATATCCAATCTATCATCCTATCCATCATCGTCGTCCTATCCGACACCCTGTCCGTCATCCGGCGTCCTTTCGCCTCTACGGCTCTCTTCGTCCACTGCTCGATTCTTCACACGATCATGACTGCGCTCCAGTCAGTACGACTCGAAGAAGAAACCCAGTACGGCAACGGATTGAATAAGTTGGGGAGGGGCGTTCCCATCGCCATCATCGCGACCCTCCTCGCCGTCCCGCAACTCTACCGCTTCGACGCCACCGGCATGCTGTACCATCCGGGAGATCCTCTCGTGCCCGCAGGGACCTTCGCATCAACCCCTTTATCCTCATTCACATACGTCGCTCCGCCTTTCCCTCCGAGTAAAAGAGACACGGTGGCTGAAACAGCCCTGCTAGGCGCTGCGCTTACGGCCCTCCATGAGACGTTGGTCACCCTCGAGCTCCCCGTCGAGAGCGCGCCGTTCGGAGAGATGTCGACGCTGCAGTGGCCTCGTCTCAGAGATCTCACATTCCGGGGGCCCTACGATCCCGCCCACCTCCCTAGGATCAAAGCGCTTTCCCACATGTCTTCCCTCCGATCGCTCCAACTCCTCTTCGCCTTCCCTGGAACTTCCTCACTGCCACAACCACAGCCTATATTCCACTTACAAGCTGACGAACGTTTTCCATGGTCACGTCTCGAGCACCTCGTCGTCACCATTGCACTGCCGGAAGATGGCCTCTGGTCTCGCCTCCCTACCAATCTTCGCCAGCTGTGTATCCGCTGCTGGCCGCATCACCAAACCGGGTATGCTCTTCGCGACAAACAGAGCGACAGGTGGATGCAGCTCATCCAGGACCAAACAGTGATGCGGTCGATCACAGAAAGCTGTGGCGCCAGAGCAATCTCGTCCTTGGAGGTTCATTACGGCGTCAAGAACCTCGACGAAGAGATAGCCTTCCTCCGCACCCTCCCTTCCACCTTCCCGTTGCTGAACTCGCTCACACTTATGCGATACGATCCGCCGAGTCATACATTGTTGTGGAGCCGTAGACAGAGACCCTCACCGCACTTGTTCCCGATCAAGCCTATCCAGCCGCTAGTGAGTTCCATCCTTTGACCCCTCACACCTTCTGCCGTTGACCACGATGAACACGCAGCTCCACATAGTGCATGCTCTTACCCCGCATGCGACACTGCGCCACCTGCGCATCGCACTGCAGTGGCGGAACCTTCAGCGCCCTGCGCCGTCTGTTTTCCGTGGGGCAGGTGCCGCCATCGAGGCTGATCTCGAGACCACCAACTCGACGCGTTACGATTGGGACCTTCCCACCACGGAGAAGTTTGTGCGCGCGGCGGCGCTCGTGTTTGCGCGCAATATGCCTCGATCACTTCAGCTCGTAGATATCAATACGGACGTGGGGCCGGCATATAAGAAGTGGTACATGTATCGCGTGGTGCGAGGGCACAACGACAGTGATAATGACGTCGCAAAGGAAGCTGTACAGAATATTCCCATGTATCTCTAAGAAGTAAAACACATAGACCAGACCTGGGATCGTGCTACCGCGTACACGACATGTGAAACGATTACTTCCTCGTCGCGCTGTGGGATTCAACACAAATGCACTTTTATTCCGCCCATAGGTAAATTACGACAGACTGTTTCGCATCTCCCTGCGCCCACATCTTTAAGCCCGAACCATTGTGTATCTGCGCTATTACGCATAATACACCTCGTGCCTGGACGGGCCCGATGTCCATAATAAGCTGCATGCCGCGCGACGTTTACAACCCAGAATCCGCATCCGACGTCGACGCACGCTGAACGCGCATGAGCCAGACGTGCGGGGCGCACGCACAGCTAGAGAAACTTGCACATGCCAGGCACGGATGACATAGGGCGATCGTCGCGGGACATCGACAACGACCGCCATGTCTATCGAGTTGCTGCGCCCGAGCATGAGCGAGGAGACGCTAAAGCCTACGCTGTGCTCACTGTCGGCACATAGCAGCGGCCGAGAGTGATCGTCTGATCACCTGCCGAGGAGTTCGCCTTCTGATCGTCTCTCTGCATCTCGAGGGTCAGCCGTTAGAGCTCCTTCAACAGTGATGAAAGGAAGACGCACGACTCCCGGGGATCCCTTCGGCAGAGGGTAGTGTGGGGGTTGAAGAGCCTACGCAGCTTCGGAACCTGGGAGTGCACAAAAGGGGGAGACGCATAAACACGAGACGCCCCGGAGCGGTGGCGGCGTGGCGCACCTTACAATGCGAGGAGCCCAAGCAGTCGAAGGAAGAAACGCAGAAACGGTGGAATGATCCGATTGAAGGACGAGGAGGGTGCTGTGCTGTTGGCAATGTGTGAGCTTATTACCAAGGTCTCGCTGAGGGATGACATGGTGCGCGACAAGCGTAACGACGACTTACGTTTGGCATAGTCGATTCAAACCAGCGTCGCAGCAGCCAGCAACTCGTCGTCGAAAGCTTCTCGTCTTTTCTAATGTCGTAGTCGATGTTGTCAAGATTTCGGCGTGAATAGACCTAACGAGCTGGGATCGCTGTCCAGGGGAAAGGGTACGTGTTGATGCGGAGGGAAGAACGTATTGTGAATAGGTCTTACCTTCATCTCGGTCTTCTCGAAGCTACGAGCCCAATTACTTGTCGCCCTAGACTCCCACTCCCATCATCCGTATACTCCTTCATCGTAGGACATATCTTGATGGAGGTCGAGCGTGAAGTCTTGATCGTCAAGTGTCGTTCCAGCAGCGTTCCACCTCACCATGAGCTGTCATCGAATTTCTGCGTCAGAACAGGACGACGCATGCGGGGATCATGACATCAAACGCACCAAGCGAGTGGGTGTCCGTGGGATATGGGCGTGCTGGTGAGACTGTAGACCGTCGGATAGCCCGATAACGACCGCCGACAAGGCGTTGATTTGCAAGTGGGTGGCGTGGTAGACTGAGAGACGAGACGACTGGTTGCCGTATGGAGAGGTTGGTGGTGGGAGAAGAAGAGGTCACGGAAGCGCTGGATTTTGGGACGAGCACAGTGGCGGCTAGACAGCGCGCGTCTCGTAGACAGCTACGACCATCGCGTTTGCGATAGACAGATCGCAAACCAACGTATCGTGAGTTCGCTTCTCTCCGACTCAATGCTCCATCCATACCGAAAAACCCTGAACTCTAGATCAGCCACTCTGTTGTTTGATGGCCCATGTCGGAGTCGTCCAACGCCTGGGCGACGATGCACTCCTCCATATCTTGGCCTTTCTTGCACAGAAGGACATCCGTTCTCTGTCATCAACGTGCACACTGATGCGAGGACTTTGCCTTCCTCTGGTCTTCAAACAGTGCAGGCTCAACTGCAAGGACGTTTTGTCGGACCCGCCGAAGATTGTGCCTCAGTCTGTCTGGCCCTACGTAAGGTACGTACTACTTCCTCTTCAACTTTGAACGTGGTAGCTGATTCAGTCAAAGGAAACTCGACATATACGGTCCATTTCCTCACACTCCCCCATTACCGCTGGCATTCTACATACCCCTGTGGAGTCCGTTGAAACTTCTTCACGGCGATAGCGCGGCTGAGATGGTCGACGATGAGCTCCGTGTGGCTCGAGTTCTAGCCGACAGTCTCTCACATATGAAAAAGCTAGAATCTGTTCGTATCCATGAGGGTACGCAGACTTCTGCTCAGCAGGACAGGCCACTCGGCGGAGTGCCTCTCTGTGTCATCGCCACACTCCTCGCAATACCGCAACTCCGTCACATCAAGGTCACCGGCCTCCTATACAACCCGACGGACTCACTCATCCCAAGCAACACCTTCGGAATCGCATCTCTTGAATCTCTCACCTACATCTCTCCTCGTCCTCGTCCCAAATTGCAGGACCCTCGGGCGGAAGATGTGTTACTAGAAGCTATGCTCGTTGCCCTTCATCGAACCCTAGTCACTCTCGAACTTCCCACCTACAGTGCTCCTTTTGGGGTGATACAACAGCTACAGTGGCCCTCTCTACAGCGCCTTACTCTGTGCGGGCCGCACGATCCACGGGTCAGCTTGATCGATTCACTGTCCCACCTACACACTCTTCGACTGCTCCATCTCTTCATTGCATATTCCGAGAATGCTCCCCCACAACCGCTACTTCCATCAGAAAAATTGGAAGAATTCCCGTGGCCTCTCATGGAGGATTTCGTTCTCTCATCGCCACTTCCAGAAGATGGACTCTGGACACGACTCCCGTCGGAGCTCAGACGTCTGCACCTGCGCTACTGGCCGCACTACCGCACCATCAGCCGCAGGTCTCGACGTCGCAATGGTCAGGAGCCTTGGTTTTCACGTCTCCTCGATCAGACGGAAGTGGCTTCTATCATACGACACGCTCCCCGGTTCGCTGCGCTGCGCGAACTGGAACTGGAGTACGGTATCAACAACCATGAAGAGGAGCTCTCTCTCCTCCGCGCGATCTCTACCGCGTGTCCCGTGCTCCACTCACTCACCCTCATGCGCTACGATCCCATAAATCCCTCCACTCTTCAGCGACCGCGGTATTGGCATGGACAACGCCCGTGGACTCGGCCCGCCATGCAGCCATACGTGAGTACTTTCCCAGCATCCGCGTGCGAATTTCGCTCAAAGCCACATGTTCCCACACAGTATCGCATCGCGGAGTCTCTGGCGCCCCACCGCTCCTTATGCCATTTCCGCGTCTACCTGCAGTGGTTCCACGTGTGGCCTCCCCCCGTGTCGCTTTTCCGGGGCGCCGGGGAGGAGATCGAAGCGGATATGAAGAAGCGACACTCGAAGTCTCACTTCTCAGATGCGGAGACGGTGGAGAGGTATCTGAGTGCCGTGGTGCACGTTTTTGCACGTATCATGGGCACTACCCTTCGACTCGTCGATCTCCTCACAGATCTTGAATTGAGCAAGCGCCAGGAGTGGCACTGTTTCCAAGTAGCGCCAGGATTCGCGAATGAACACGAGTCTCACGTCGTGAAGACTGGGTACGAAAAGGTTTCTTGTTTTATGTAGTTATGGAAGACGGTGCATATTCGCGCCGCATAGGATTGTCGATGTACCTCCTGTTTTCGAATCTTGGGGCGCCTCCCGGTCTCACCTGTAAATAAGTCGTCGTCGGTGGTGCTGACACTCTGGATGCCCGGCTTAATGTATTCCCCCATGCACGCACAAAACATTCGCGTCTTCCAGTGCGTCACTCACGTATATGGAGCTCATTTCATAATATTACGCAGTTCCGACTGTAGATGTTTCCGGAAGCTCCCAAATATGACTGGCGGCCTAACGAGATTGGAAAGACGATAGGTAACAAGACAAAATGACGGCATAAACGATACTTGTAGACACAGAGAGCGAATATTAACGAATGGCGTTCAAAACCGACTCAGGAAGAGTATGGTTGTCAGCTTTGAGCGGACTGAAGACCACGCTTGGCTTGATGTCAGAACCCACTCCCTCGAATAAACCAACGAGCGTCGTTTGAAAGAAGCCCTGTATATGACGTTCAGTCATGCGGCCCCAAAATTGACAGAACGTAATTGAAGTCACATACCGTTCCAAGAAGACCGCAGTGCTCTAAGGAGTCGTCGTGGAATTCGATCGGCGTGGAGAAGATGAACGATTCCATGTTCGGGTCCGTTGGATTATACAAGAACCACTTGGGGTTCACGTCGACCTTGACGAGCTGACCGTCGACCGGTCCCCCGCGGAAGTAAAACTCGAAGATGTAGTTGGGGATCTGCCTCCGTTGGGGCGATTTGCCGAGTCGGTATGTCACCTTGTCAGCGTCCGACTCCGAGGAGCTGGCTTGATCTTCGCCGCCGTCAACGCTTGCTCGTCCGGTACTACTGCCTCCACCAGCAGAGCTCCCAGACATAGACGCGTCGTCACTCCAATCTATACGTTCCCCTCCAAGGGCGAGGTGAAGCTTGTGGAAGACGTCGGTCGGGAGGTGGGACGTCGCGGCGCCTTTTATCGGTGAGCCCCTCGCAATATATAGACATGGCGTTCCACGTACCGGTGTCTAGGAGCATCTCGATCGGGCGAACCGCCTCGCCATCAAAGTGCTCCAACTGGACCACCACTTCAGCGCCGTCGCCACCGGGGGGCTTACGTACGACGATCTTCTCCACCAGCACCCGCCATTTTCCATGCCCCCACCCTTCGTCGTTGTCGTCGTCATCATCATCACCATCACCATCACCATCATCATCATCCATGCCTTCGTCGCTGTCGTCGTACACTTCGCCCCCACGGTCTTCGGAGACGAGACACTCGACGTGGTCGGACATTCCAGCAATGGTGCCGATTCCACGACCCCATTCTCCCATGAACATGAACCTAACAACGCCCTCGATCAGTTTCGAAAAGAGACGCAGCGCAGAGGGCACACTTACGCTTGGGACTGAGCGCGAGGAATCCTTTCGCTGGCCAATGTAGGCGGTGGCAAGCAAAGGTAGAGTGACTTCCCGTATCCCTACACATGATGAAAAAGTAAGCACTTCGCACGCAAGGCCTGCACATCACGGTCGTAATACTACGTACTATGCTCGTGGGACCCCTTGATTTGAGCTGGATGCTCTCCCAGAACCGGCCAGATTGCGGCCCCTCATGACTGACATCGTGCGGACTTACAGCCTGTGTCAGCACCGAGAGATGGTACCAGAGACACATTTGCCACTCACTCACGGAGCGCGAGGCCGACGCTCCCCTGCCACTTGTCTGCATAGGCTTCGCTGCTTTTCGCGAGGGCGAACCATACGAGACCATCGAGGAATACCGTGTACGGCCGGTCTGCGACGCCGTCGCTGTTCATATCTTGGGCTTCCAGAGCTCCCGTAGTACCCTCCTCCCAGTTGGAGGGGACGGCCAGCACTGTGACCCAGCATGGGATCAACCAATGGAAGCGGGCCAAGGAACTGGCGACATACCTAGAGCGGCTCCATCGCCAAACGAGACGTCTGATCGGACCTTCCACCCTTTCTCTTTCAGTATCTTGACAATACCTTTGGGTAGCGGGTCGCTCTGGATACCAGGGATACTGATTTTACCGGGATAAAGAGGAGGTTGCATGAACTGTCCGCCGCTTTCGCTCCAGAGTTTGAGCTTGAATGAACCCGTGGCATTTCCTTCGATCATGAGCAAGAACCCCGTGATGCTGGCGTAGCTAAACGTGCGAGTGGTATTCGTATGCGAAACGGAACGATAGACAGAGACGAAAAACACGTACGTGATATCCGACGCTATGATAAAGCAAGATGTAAGTCTTCAATACGATGTCAGAGACAACTTGCGTACGTACAGGTATCCAATAGCATGCGGTTGTAATCCCACGCTTCGTTGGCTGTGACTCCAGCCGAAGACGGCATAGCCTCCGGGTACGAGTTAGACGCGTCAGTGATCCGAGTAGAAATAGTGCTACGAGGAGTGTTACCATCTGAAGGCAGTAGAGATACTCTATCAACATGAATACACGCTCAGGACGTATTACCCAAAAAAAGTTAACTGTTCTACATACCAGTTCTGATCTGAATGTCCTTAGCTACCATCTCTGGGGACGCCATAGTTCCGCTCCGGAAAACCTGCCGAGGGCGCCGAGTGCTCCCGGCCGTGACGTTGCGAAGGCCCTGCGTCGATAGTGTACGAGGAGGCTCGTACGTCGTGCCTGTGGGTGTTGCGAAGGAACGCGGCGTGCGACTGTATAGCACCTCCTTGGTGTCAGCGTCCTCGGAGTCCTGGCATAGTAAGCATCAAAACCACGTCAAGGGCATCACGAATGAGGACGCACTGGAGCCAGTGTAAGGGACGACACCCTAGTGGCCAAGTTGGCCACGTCGGAACGCGCCCGGTTGCGTCCCCGCTTCAGTGCACGATCGATGAGGAGGCGCTTGATGTGGAAAGAGTCCGACATAAGCTATGAATATAATGAGATATCAGACGTCTTGAATGGAGGAGATAGGCGTCGAAGGCAATAGACCCATACCCTTCTCAAGCCCATATGAGGATCCTTGGACTGATCCATACGAGGCTTGGTAAGTAGCACGACGCCAGCATTCAGAGTGGCGCCCTTAGGCAGATGGTCATATCCAGACATCAGATCGAGGAGGCTTGTTGCGTTGCAGAATGTGGGAGGAAGTGCTGGGATAGCGGGGATGCCAGCGCGCTGACGCTTATATGTACTCTCGAGGTACTCGAGCGCGCAGTTACGGACGCCTCAATCAAGAAGGAGACACCTTGTCGCGCAGACAAGGCTCCACGGATCGGGGCTGCAACCTCTAGAAGCCCACACCATCATCAGACCAGGTCTTCTTGCGGGCAAATGATGCAGCTACGTACCCACGCGACACAGCGCGTAGACCGCGAAAATGGTCGAAGGCGCTGCTCCGTGCTCTAGAATGCCACGTTCACGAGATACAGCGCAATTGTTCAAGAATATCGGATGTGGTCGCACTTCCGAACGTGCCTGGCACCGAAGAATGAAACCGAACAGTGTGACGGCCTAAGCCCGAGCTATCGCGTCAAGTGTCCTGCACGGCGGTGCATCAGCATGTGTGGTGAAACGAGGACACCAAATTCACGCACTTCTCTCCTTGCCGTGTGGTCCTGTATACGGTTTGCGAATATGAGAATCGTTGTCCTCACGGCTGCCTGCAAAGCGATCGCCGATGTGGGGCGCAACCATGACCTGGATGCCACTTTTTTCCCCTGTACGGCTCTATGCGTGTAGTCAAGGCGATAGAAGAGGCTTTCGACGCACCGGCCGCCGCGTAGCGGTGCTCCCACCAGGAGGCAACTACAAACGAGGTCGCATGCGGACCTCGTCCCAGATACGGCGACCGCACACAAGGTCGCACAAGACACGCAGAACACCTTCGACCAGCGCCCGCCGGATGCAGCACAAATAAGCATCCAATTCCGTCACTAGACGAGCTTCCGACAGACCGTTTCGTCTCCCCGTCCCCACGCCACTCCCCACTCCTCCCAATCTCGAACAATCGCCGCGCCGCGCCGCCGCACACAACCCACCCCGTGGTCCGATGGGTGTGATGGCCGCCCACGGCCGCGTTCCGCGCGACGCCCACAACCCACATCCGGCCCAGCACTCCGGCGGCGCGAGCGCATGTTGAACGCGCCACGCACGGACCCGGACCCGCGCTCCGCGCTCAGCCGCGGAAGTACCTCGTCGGCACGAACGGCATCGGGGTGACCGTCGCGGGCCGGAGCCTGTTCCGGACGTCGACGTCGACCGCGGTGCCCTTCTTGTGCATCCCGGACGTGACGTAGCCCATCGCGATGTTGCGCCCGAGCGTGGGCGAAGGGATGCCCGAGGTGACGACGCCTGCGACGCCCTCTGTGGATCAGCGCGGGCATCCTAAGGAGAGAGGAAGAGGGAGTGCCGCACCGATCTGGGTGTCCTTGTCGCCGGGGGCGAAGATTTTCGCGCCCTCTGCGGGAAGATCGGCCGGTCAGCGGTCGGGGCGGCGTGCAGAATGTGTAGGGGAGGACATACGCCTCGCGGGAGCACCGTCGACGACGAATCCGACGCGCCGGCGCGGGGGGCCGTCCTTCAGGTGTTTCTGGACGCCCGCGGCGCCGATGAACCCTCCGGCCTCTCGCCGGTCCTTGCCTGCGACAGATCAGCTGGGACCCACAGTGCGGTAGGAAGGGACGCACCGATGACCCACGTCAGCCCCGCCTCGACGGGGGTCGTGGTCTCATCCAGGTCCTGGCCGTACAGGCACATGCCAGCCTCGAGGCGCAGGCTGTCGCGCGCGCCGAGGCCGGTGAGCTGCACGGGCGAGCGCGCGAGCATCTGCGCCACCTCGACGGTTTGGGATGGGGGAATCGAGATCTGGCGCAACGGAGCGTGTCAATCGGTGCGTGGAGAGGCGGCACATGGGACGACGCGGACCTCGAAACCGTCTTCTCCGGTGTACCCGCCGCGGGCTACGTGGAGGTTGAAGCCCTCGACAGGCACGAAGGCGCACTTGCCGAACGTGAGCTCGCGGAGGTCGAACGAGGTCAGAGCCTGGAGGACTTGTGCAGCTTCTGGGCCTAGCGATCCGCAGACGCATTAGTGTGAGAAGCACGGGGATGGCAGTGGCGGGGCGCACCCTGCAGCGCGAGGAGCCCCCAGCCGTTGAGAATTTCGTACTCGACGCCGCCGAGGGAGCGCGCGGTCTCGGACGCGTTCCACTCCTTGAGCTTCTCGGCGAACCAGGCGAGGTCGCGGTCGCGCCTGCCAGCGTTGGTAACGACGTAGAAGGCGTCGTCGGCGTGCTTGGTGATGACGGTGTCGTCGATGATGCCACCGGACTCGTTGAGAAGGACGGAGAGGGTGGAGGAGTAGGGGGCGAGCGCGGTGAGGGACGAGGGGGTTAGCCACTCGAGGAAAGCGGTGACTGTCGGACCGCGGAAACTGCCGTCGGGGTTGGGCGTGTCAGCAAGAAGGCTGCGCCGAGATTGGTGGGATCAAGGAAGCTCACTTTGACTGAACCATGTGGCCAACGTCGAAAAGACCAGCGGCCTTGCGCACGTGATGATGGCTGGCAACTGAATTCAAGTTAGTCCCAGTGTACCAACCAGCCAGCACGCAAACAGATTGGCGTGAGTGCTCTCTCTCCTCTGCAGAGTGTTTCGTCGTGCCCGTTATTAAGAGTGCCGTATTCAACGTCCCGCATCAAAATAACGGTCGCCCAAATGCTCTTTTTATCCGACGCAACTCCAGCCGCTCCTCTAGGGTGAGGCAATTAGGCGCCCTATCGTGTGGTGACTGCGTGCATGGCGCATACATGGGCAAAGAATGCAGGCGAAACGACGCGGGAAAGAGTTCAAGAATGCAGAGAGAGTCACGCGTCTCACGCCCTCCACCGGCCCGCAAAATGCTCCCGGCGAGAGAACACGTACCTGCGCCAACGTCTCCGTACGACAGGGGCATCGAGAAGCCAGCGAAAGGAACCATCTTCGCGCCATTAGAGACGTGAAAGTCGTAAAGCCCGGTCTTCATGAGCTGCGGGTTGCTCGTCATGCTCGTTCACGCGCAGAAAGCTTCGACGTCACGTACGGGTTCCGAAGCGGTGGCCATGCCGCGCAGGGCGAGAGTGACCCTCCGCCGTGGCGCGGACGCACATGTGCGTGCAAGGAGTGTGCGGGAGGCCAGCGTCGCCATCGGGAGGAGGAGGGGGAGGAGGAGAGGAAAGTGGGACGAGCGGAGGAAGCGGGCCAACGAACGGAAGGCCGCCTCCGAAGCGGGCCTGCGTCCAGACACGCGCAAGATTAGATGACATTATGAGATTAGATAACGCGACGGTGCAGACGTGGCAGGCGCCCGTGCTCACTGCGCTGCTGTGCGAAACGCGATGCATTCCGCTCCCACCTCCTCTGTCCCCGACGGCGGCCTCCCCGCCTCTGCCTCTCACAACCTGCTCATGCCGACCTGATTCGCCGCACTTTCACTCCCAACCACGCTTGCATCCATGGACCAATCCACACTCCTTTACGGCGCGTTCACCCTCGTCGTCGCCGCGGCCGGTACGGTGAGTCTCGGTGTCTGTTCATTGCGCGCGGATGAATGCCAGATCATCCTTGTTCTACGACTCACGGGCTCCTCTCTGAGGACTGCGCTGCGAGGCTGACGACACCCTTTGGCCAGGTCGACTTCTGTCGCCCTGTCTGAGCGCGTTCCGTCCGCATGTTCCACTCAGCACGAGGCTCACTTGTGCCCCGCAGCTCTACACCCTCCTCGTACTATGGTCACCAGACTCCATCGTCCCCCGCCCCTCCGAAAAGACGTACCGCAGCCCGCGCAAGCCCGCAAACCGCCTCCCGCTCGCCTCCATACGGGACTCGGCCCAGGTCGACCTCACCGTCGTCATCCCCGCGTACAACGAGACGGAGCGGCTGCCGTCCATGTTCGAGACCACGCTCGCCCACCTCGAGGCCGCCCGCAGCACGCGCTCGTACGAGGTCCTCGTGGTCGACGACGGCTCGCGCGACGGCACCGCCGACCTCGCGCTCAAGCTCGCCGGCAAGTACCCGCAGAGCGACGTCCGCGTCGTCGTGCTCGAGAAGAACGTCGGCAAGGGCGGCGCCGTCCGCCACGGGATGCTCCACGGGCGCGGGCGCCGGCTGCTCATGGTGGACGCGGACGGGGCGAGCCGGTTCGAGGACCTGGAGCTGCTGTGGAAGGCGATGGACGGGATCTCACCCTCCGGGGAGGCTGCGGTGGCCGTCGGCAGTCGCGCGCACCTGGTGAAGACGGAGGCGGTGGTCAAGGTACGTACTCATCGTCGCGCTTGCGGTTGTATGTGCACCGACGCCGCCCACAGCGTTCGTTCGTCCGCAACGTCCTTATGTACGGCCTCCACACCATCCTCCGCATCGTCGGCGTCGGGCACATCCGCGACACGCAGTGCGGCTTCAAGCTTTTCTCACGGAGAGCTGCGCAACAAATATTCCCGTACCAGCACCTCGCCACGTGGATATTTGACGTCGAGCTTCTGCTGCTGGCCAAGGCGCAAGGGATCCCGGCGGCGGAGGTCCCGATCGAGTGGCACGAGGTCTCGGGCTCAAAGCTGAACGTCTTCTCGGACTCGCTGCAGATGCTTCGCGACCTGCTTGTCCTCCGGGCGAACCTTCTGCTGGGGCGGTGGAAGATCCCAGCGCCATCGTCTACGGCGCAGGATGGGAAGGCGAAGCAAAACGGGAAGGCGACATAGGCTCTCCGCCCCCCTTCGATGTACGTTCCACGGCGCAGTAATACATATCCCGCGCTCTGCGATTGTTCCATATCTTTTTCCTCGTGTGCGCCAATCCGGATGCTCGCAAAACATTCAATCGTACACGCACGTGCGTTCCAGAATAACATACTTCTCATACTCAAACCCTCCGATCCCAATTTCGGCATCGAGTCCTTAGCGTCCGTCTCGACCTACGCGAACTCAGACACCCGCCGCGACGCGATACACATCGCCCGGACCTCGGCGCCGCCCCTTCCCAGCACAGCTTCGTAGCAGTACCACTCGTCCCGAGAGCGCTCCGTCGCGACGTCGACGAAGGACAGCGTCGGGACCATCCCGCGCAGGAACACCACGGCGGCCGCCCCCACCGAGCCCGCGTTGGGGCTCGACCACTCTGACCGCTTGGCGAGAAGGTCAGCCGCGGCGCGCAGGAGGCCTAGAGAAGGAGTTCGTTGTCCCTTTAAGCGGCGTCGCGCGCACCAGGAGGCCGCGACAGGTGAGCTGCACAGAGGTATGGACTTCGTCCCCAGCGATTACATCGTCCAACCACGCCGCTACGATGCTACCGTTCCGTTTCGTCGGCCATATCCCTTCCAAACTTAGTCGTGAACTTCCAATACCGCTCCCTCTCGCCCCAGTCCGCCTCCGCCTCCGCCCACCGGCCGACGGCCGACTCTGCGTCCCCCGTCCCAAGCCCGAGTCCGCCCAGCCCGGGCGGGAGGACCTCGAAATGGTCCGCGTGCGCGTCGAGTCCGAAGGCACGGAGGACGCCCTCCTGCGCCGCGAACAACGGGCCCTCCGCCGTCGGGCTCCCTGTCGGACCATCCGGCTCGGAGGGGGCGTCTGCGTCCCGACGCGGGCGCACGACGAGGCGGAAGAGGCGGCACCCGCGCGCGACGAGCGCGGCCTTGAGCGCGGTCGCCATCTGCGTGGTGCTGTCGAGCGTGTAGCAGTTCGCGCCGAGGCCGAGCACGGCGAGGTGTGGGAGGGGCGTAGCCGTGGCCTGAGACGCGCCGTCGCGGCTGGTCGGCGTCAGGAACGCGAGCAGGGACCCGCACTCCGTCGACTCCGACTCGTCGTACCTCCGCTCTGCGAAGTCGAGGACCAGCTCGCGGAGCGCGGGCATGTGCGCGAGGAGTGCTGGGAGCGATGCGCCTGGGGACGCCGGCGAGGGGGTTCCGGAGAGGCGCAGCGAGACCACCGCGTTGAGCACGCTGGGCAGGACGCGAGTGAGGTTGACCATGCCGGGGCCCCACCCCTCGCTGTGGCCTCTCGCATCGTACATCTTTATGGCTACCCTGGGACCAATGCCAAGACCGTCGGGCTCAAACGCGAATTTGAGCATGTCCTCGAGGTCGACGTCCAGGACCGCTTCTCCGGCGGTGGAGAGACTTGGACGGAACGGCCGGAGGATCCCCTCAAGCAGCTGTATTCGATTGAGATCGCTTGTGGCGACGTGGTGCAGGTCGAAGAATCCGCGGACAGGTGCTTCGGGGAGGAGCAGAGCCGAGAGCAGGCTATTGACGGAATGACACCAACTGTTGTGGAATGTGAGTGCGCGGAGGTGTGGTAGCGAGACACGACCTTGGCCAGAAGACGACTCTATCGGTGCGTGGAAATAGTGGCAGAAGTGGAGGGATACGAGCTGTGGAGTGGACCGAAGAAGAGAGACAGTGTCTTCTGTGTGATACAATCGCCAGTCGAAGTTGAACTCAATGAGGAGATGGGTGAGAGATGGGTAGTTGCTGGGAGGGAAAGTGAAGAGGTCGCCGGTGACCGCTAGGGCTTTGAGGTTTGCCGCGCAGCTCTGCGGTACCGGGACCATAGTGAGATCCTCCGGCTTCGAATACAGGTTCATGACGAGACACTGTAGGTGTGGTACTTGGATATTTAAGAGCTCGCTAACGTTCAGGTTTGAGCTCTCGAGATACAAGTGGTGTAGTCGAGGAGCGTGGGGGGTAAGCGCCTGATACAGACCGGAGCTTGACTTGTCAGGGAGCTTGTCTGAGTGCAGATGGAGGCAAATGGCTGTAGACGCAGAATGTTCGAGGAAGAGTTGGTACTGCACTGAGTTATGATAATGGACGTTGTTCCATAATGTCGGGTATGTGATGATGATGCCTCTCCACTGTCGGCACACCGACATGCAACTGATCAAAGAGATGCAGCCGCATGTGCTGCGTTCGAACATGTGAGTCCCATCAGACATCAAATCGAGGTGTACCGTTGGACGCATATCTTCTTCTGGGCGGACTTCACGTAAAATGTGGAGAAATGTCTCCGTGGGAAGAGTGTTGATGTTGATCGGCGTCCACATCACCTACGATCGGGCATAGATCAGCCCAACCAAACGATGTGAGCATGCTACACCGAAATGTATGCACCTGTAGTACACAATTGGTTGCTTGTGGATGGGGATTTGTGAGACAGTAGACAGGGGAATGTGTACACTGTGATGGGAAGAGGCAAGCTGTGGGCGCTTTCGCGGCCCAAGCGTGCACAAGGCACCTCGTTTCGGTGGATGCTCAGCGGGGACGCCCTTTGAGGCGGCGGAGCAGTGCACGACGAGGGACCTATTCAGCGCCTTAGCGGGCGCCGCGGTCTCTTTGGGGATGCGTCTCGGCTCGGATAATCAAGATTATGATTTTAAAGACCGTACGCATACATTGTGTGTTACTCTGACCACACGCAGGAAAGAACAGTTTTTGAACCCAAATGAAACCACAGCTTCATAACCGACAACCGTGCCCCTCACGAAGAAGGACTGAAGAAGAAACGTCAGAAACCCATCAAATTTTCATATGCGAGTGGTACTCACACAGTAGGAATAGGATGCACTGCCCCCAGGAGCGTCGCGATCTTCGGGGATGGCGTCCCCGCGCACGACCTCTCAATGTCCGCCAGCGTCTTCCCCGCCCGAATCACCTCCGATCCAATGCCCTTCGGGACCGGGATCACTTCTGAGAAGTCGTACAGCGACCCGGCGTCCTGGTAGACCACCACGAGCTTCGCCATCACTGCCTTGAACATGGCGTTCATCGCGGTGTGGTCCGTGACGAACGACTGCCACTCGCGCGCCGTGTGCGGGTCGCGCGCGAGAAACCCGTCCGATGCGAGGCGGATCTCCCCGAGAAGAGGGGAGGGTGACTCGCCGACGACGTTACCCCCAGTGGGGAGAGCGATGCCCGACGAGGAGGGTCTGGAGGTGCCGTCAGGAATGCCGTCGCGCGCGTTGAGTGACGATGAGCTTACCTCGACGAAGAACTGGGCGTCGAGCCCTGTATCATGATCCTAGGAATATCGCTCAATCTGTGCATTTGCATGAAGGGTAGAAGAAAGGCTCACTGGATATCCCACAAGTCACCCTGTACAACCTGAGACAGAGGATCGTGATGGGAAAAGAGAAACACTTATGACTTCACCAGACCTGTTAAACGCGATGAGTGCTGACGCCGAGAACGCGCCGCGGATTCGAGATACAACAAAATTCAGACGGACGGACGTGGTAGAAAGATAAAGGTGACATAGATGGCATCATACAATACACAGCACCAGGCGCAAAGAGAGAGGAGGGTTCAAATACGCACATTTGACACCCTCCACCTACTCTTCCTCCTCGCCCTGATCCTGATGCCACTCCTCGACCGCCCTGACCCCCACGCATCCCCAGTTCTTCAAATGCCTCGTCAACGCGTCCTTCCTCGAGAACACCCTCCCGCACCCGCCCACCATCCTATCCGTCGCGCGGCGCAACTCCGCGACCGGGACCGGCTCGCGCACGTACCGCAGGTCGTCGGCGAAGCGCGCCGGCACCCCGCGGCACGTCCACGGTTTCTTGGGCTGCGAGTGCGTCGCGATGTGCCGCTTGAGGTCCGGGGAGCGCCGCGAAGTTTGGACGAACTCACAGTGCGGGCACTTCCACGGGTTCCTCGGGGTCGAGGTGGGCTCGAGTCCAAACGGGGAGGGAGAGGCGGAGGAGGGAGCGACGGCTTCAAGGTTGCGGCGCCGGATGGGCCGGGTGGCACGGCGCGCGGGCTCCTCGTGGTGGGTCTTCGGCTGGACGAGGGCATGAGGCGGGGGCGAGGCGGCGACGTGGGCTGGAGACGGCGACGACGATGAAAAAGACGTCGTGCTGGAGCAGGTTTCGCTCGTCGAGGGAGACGAGCCCCCATCGTAGAGGGAACCCGGGGACGCGTCGCTGCTGTAGTCGAGGTCCCAATAGACGTCCGCGACGTACTGCTCGTTGGCGGAGGCTGCGATGTCCTCCGCGGCCCACCCGATGCTCAGAACGACTTGACCCTCTTCAAAAGCAACGCTCGTGGTTTGAGCACTGTCCTCGAGGGAGGTAGGATAGATGTACTGTGGGCTGCTGTTGGAGGTCCCTAGCGCGCAGTCCAGCGAGGAATACGCCGATCGGAACCGTTCTTGTACAACGTCGAAGGCGAGGGAGACATGGCCGTCGTAAGTGAAGCCAGAGAGCAAGGATGGAGCCGCGATGGAGCGGGAGTCGTGTCCCGGCTCGGGGGTGGTGGTGGAGGCGGAGAACGACGGCGGGTAAGCTGCGAGACTAACGATCCCCGTTAATCGCTTATGTAATACTTATAAAGCTGCTTATACACTCACTAGGAGTCTGCGAGAGCGGCTTGAGAAGGGATGGGGATGCCCCGATCATCGCAGACAACGCCTTTGTCCTCTGGGTCATTTCTGTACTCTCCGAAGTCGTTAAAACCGGTCGTAGAGGTGAATGGGAGCTCGGTGTGGGTGTTGAAGTAACGCTGAGTGGAATCCATGCTGTTTTCGGTGGGAAAAACGCTGGGGGCGTCGGAATTTCGCTGGGTAAGCGGCAGGAGAGAAGAGAGAAGGGTGGGTGGCACATCCTGGCACTGTTCGGAGACTCATGGGTGCGAGGGGAAGGGGCTGGGGAACTGGGTGAGGAGGGAGAGTGGGATGTGCTCGAGAACCCAAGATGATCGTCCCACGGGGTTTGGATCTCGGCGCCAGTGACGGTGCCTTTCGTCGACCACGTGCACCACGCGAGCGGAGCGCATGGCCAGTGTGAGACTCTAGCCTGAGATGCACTGAGGGCAACAATGGAACGCGGACATCTAGGCATACTAGGAGGACCAACAGTGCCGCAGCGCGACGACCGCGCTCTCTTCGCGCGGGGGCACGGCGCCGATCTGGGCTCCAAACGACCAGGTTCGACTCAACGGGCGTGGGCGTGAGCGTGGACACGCGCACGCGGAGGCAGAAGAAAGTGCGAGTGAGTGCGGCACGCACCGTGGCCATGACCTAGAACGAGTTTAGAAGGTACGCGATGTCGCTGTTGCGCGCTCTCGATGATTGGTCGCCGCGCCGGTGTACACGCGGCCATCGCCGCTGTGGGCGCACCCCGCACGGCGCGTCGCGCGCGAGACGGCGATGATGCAGAAGCAGACAAACGTCGTTGAAGGCGAACGTGGGGGTCGTGTGGGCGTTGACGAATCGAATAGTTCGTACAAGGACGGCCGCGTCCGTACAAGATCCCGATGCCAAGTGCTACGGATGCCGAGGGCGGCTGTAAAGAGGGAACTCGTTTCTTTGAGTCCAAAAACGCTGCTAGTAATACTCCGTTCCGTCGATCAACTCCACCCCCGACTGGGTCCTGAACTTCCAATACCGCTCCCTTTCGCGCCAGTCCGCCTCCGCCGCCCATGCCCGGCGCCGGCCAACTGCCGACTCTGCGTCCCCCGCCCCAAGCCCGAACCCACCACATCCGGGATGGAGGACCTCGAAATGCTCCGCGTGCGCGTCGATTCCGAGGCCACGGAGGACGCGCTCCTGCGCCGTGAACGATGGGACATTTTTCGAGGCATACAGGCTCAAGGTGGAGTCTGCCCGGGGACGCACTACGAGGCGGTAGAGGCGACAGCCACGCGCGACGAGCATAGCCTTAAGCGCGGTCGCCAACTGCGTGGTGCTGTCGAGCGTGCAGCAGTTCGCGCCGAGGCCGAGCACGGCGAGGTGTGGGAGGGGCGTAGCCGTGGCCTGAGACGCGCCGTCGCGGCTTGTCGGCGTCAGGAACGCCAGCAGGGGTTCGTACACGGACTTCCACTCGTCGTAACTCCACTGTGTGAAGTCGAAAGCCAGCTCGCGGAGCGCGGGCATGTGCGCGAGGAGTGCTGGGAGCGATGCGTCCGGGGACGCCGACGAGGGGGTTCCGGAGAGGCGCAGCGAGACCACCGCGTTGAGCGCGCTAGGAAGAACGCGAGTGAGGTTGACCATGACGGGGCCCCACCCCTCGCTGAGGCCTATCAAATCGTGCATCTTCAATGCTATTCTGGGCCCAATACAAGGACCATCGGGCTCAAACGTAAAGTTGAGCGTGCCGCCCAGGGTGACGTCCAGGACCGCCTCGGGGCCGACGGTGGAGAGACTTGGAAGAAACGGCCGGAGGATCCCCTCGAGCGACTGTGATTTATTGAGATCGGCTCCGGGGATGTGATGTACGTCGAGGAATACGCGGACAGGCGCTTCCGGAAGGAGCAAACCCGAAGCTATGTTCATGACAGAATGGCACCAGCTGTTTTGGAATGTGAGTGCGCGGAGGTTGGGCAGCGAGACACGGTCCTGATGAGACAACGGATTGGGCCGGTGGAAACAGTTGCAGAAGTGGAGGGATACGAGCTGCGGAGTGGACTGAAGAAGAGAGACAATGTCTTCCGCGAGAAGAAATTCCCCGTCAGAGCCGAACTCGATGAAGAGATGAGTGAGAGATGGGTAGTTGTTGGGAGGGAAAGTCAGGAGCCGGCATTGGCCGGTGAACGCCAGGGCTTTAAGGTTTGCGGCGCAGCTCTGCGGTATCGGGACCACACTGAGTAGAGGGCCCAAATCCAGGCGCATGACGAGACACTGTAGCCGGGGGACTTTAATAGATAAGAGCTCTTTGACGTCCAACAACTCGTTTGTGTCTTCGAGATACAGGTGGCGTAGTCGAGAAGCATGGGTGGCAAGCACCTGGTACAGCCCCAAGCTTGACTTGTTAGGGAGCGTATCGGAGCGCAGATGGAGGTAAAGGGACGTAGACTCAGAACGTTCGAGGAAGAGTTGGTACTGCACGGGGTTGTGATGATGGACTCTGTTCCATAACGTCGGGCATGTGATGACGATGCTTCTCCAATGTCGACACACTGACATGCAAGTGATCAGAAAGGAGATGCAGTCGCATGTTGTATGTTCAAACATGTGGGGTCCGCCAGAAACCAAATTGAGGTGTACCGTTGGACGCATGTCTTCTTCTGAGAGGACTTCATGTAAAATGTGGAGAAGAGCCTCTGTGGGGATAGTGTTGATCGTCGACATCGCCTGCGATCAGGAATAGATCAGCTCGGCCAAATAATGTGAGCGCGCTACACTGCTGTATAGGCACCTGTAGTACACAAGTTGCTGGTGGGTGGGGACTTGTGAGACTGTAGACAGGCAAATGTGTGCACGGTGATGGGAAGAGACAAGATGTGGGCGCTCCCGCAACCCAAGCGCGCACAGACCACCTCGTGGGCGCACGTTAGGCGGCGGAGCAGCGCGCGATGAAGAACGCACCGAGCTGTTCTTCGCGAAGGCGGTGGGCTCTTCGGGGATGTGGCAGCTCGCTCTGGGGAATGCCCTTGTTCGGATAAATCGAAATTATGATTCTAATGACTGTGTTGTATTGCATGCTACCATTCTGACCGCCCACATAGCAAAAAACGATTTTTAAGCCCAAATAAAACCACACTTTCATGGCCGACGAACATGACCTCTCACGCAGAAGGACTGAAGACAAAACATCAGACAACATTCGACATATGCGAATGGCACTCACACGGTAGGAATGGGCTGCACTGGCCCCGGGAGCGTCGCGAGCTTCGGGAACGGCGTGCCCGCGCACGACCCCTCGATGTCCGCCATCGTCTTCCCCGCAGGGATCACCGCCGACTCCGACGCAAAACCCTTCGGCATCGGGATCACCTCCGAGCAGTCGTACAGCGACCCAACGTCCTGGCCAACAACCGCGAGCTTCGCCATCACCGCCTTGAACTTGGCGTTCATCGCGGTGTGGTCCGTGACGAACGACTGCCACTCGCACGATGTGCGCGGGTCACGCGCGAGCAGCCCGTCGGACGCGAGGCGGATCTCCCCGAGAAGGGGGGACGGAGACTCGCCGACGACGTTGCCCTCAGTGGGGAGAGCGATGCCGACGAGGAGGGTCTGGAGATGAGGTGCCGTCAGGGATGCCGTCGTGCGCGTCGAGTAACGACGAGCTTACCTCGACGAAGAACTGGGCGTCGAAGGCGTCAGGGGTGGTGTCGAAGGGGCGCGCGTGTTGGCTCTGCGAGTCTGATCGTCAGTGGAAGCGGGAAAAGGGCTGGCATATGGCGCACCGGGTCGGCGACAGCGTCGCGAGCCGCGATGGAGTGAGATGCCAGCAGCGCGACGAGCTCTTCGGGACTGAACCCAGCGTCCGCCATGCGCGCGAGGATCGTCGTCACGTTGTCGAACGGTGCGGGGATGAGGCCGGCGGGGGCAGGTTGGGAGGTGTTTGAGCGACCGGCCAGAAACTCGAGACGAGGGGCGCCAATACAATTGGAGGTGCCCACGGCACCGGCGAACTGGATGCTGCGGAAGGAATCGCAGTGTCAGCGGTGTGGGCGGTGATGGATCGCGTGGGGAACGCACAAGTCACCGAAGGAAACCGGGTACTTGATGGCGAGCGGCTGGAGGTGGTTGACGATGTCGTCGATGTTGCCGTTGGCGGGGTCAAGAAGCTCGACCTCGGCGTGCGCCATGATAGAGCCGTCAGCACCTCCACCGCCCAGGGTGGGCGAGAAACCGATGGCGTCGTGGAAGGTCATCTGAAAGCGAGATGTTAATCGTAATGACACTGCAACTCAGTGGTATGTGGACGTACACGGAGGGCCTCGTGAGCCTCCTCGACTAAAAGTACACACAACGTCAGTGTGTGATAGGCATGTGCGAGTTAGGTACTGACTGCATTGGCCGTCGTTGAACCTGCAGAAAGTAAGGTGAGTATCGGGTATCTGCATGGAGGGTTGTTCGGACGTACACGTTCGCTTGCAGATCGTCAAGGGCCTCATACCAAACGCAGCACTGTAAAAAAGTCGACTCAGTATCTGGCACACAGATTACAGGCAACGTCCTACCTTCGTGTTCTCAGCGTAGTGGTCACTTTTCGGGCACGCAGACCTGCGCACAGGGGGTGCGATCGCACCGGCAAGAGACGCCAGCCCTAGCGTAGAGAGGACGATAGAAGAGATCATGGCGGACAGTGAAACGGGCGGTAGAGTTGAAGACCGGGGGAAGATGGGAAGGAAAATGAGTGGGATGGCGAGATAAAGGATTGGGGGCGCACTCTTTATAGGCGTTGGATGCACCGATATTGAAGTGGTACCGCCGTGTGCAACGGTATTCCGCCGATACTGGGGGATGAAGAAGCGGTATCATCCGCGAATCGCTTCCGGTTCCACTCGCGGAAGGTGCGGGTTCCCGAGTATGAGGGGGAGTGGATGTCCTGTTTTGATCCGCCCGTAATTCGGCGGGTGCAAAACCAGGTACGAGCCCTATGTATTCAACCTGCGTTAGCGAACCACAATGTAGATCAAGGCAAGCAAGTCAGCAGAAGTTTTCAGCAAGGTAGATGCCATGCACCCACGTTACTGAATTGGAACACCAATCTTTAGGGTACCCCTGGCGGAAGTATCGGCGGCAGGTGGTGGTGGCGGTAGGAGTTGAACGCAGGACCGCGCCGGCGCTATACCGCCTCCCCATTCTTCGAGCTCCGCGTCGGACTTCCGGGCTTTGCCGGATGACCCACCCACGACCTGAGCTCGGCGCGAAAGTTAGAATTTGGCTCACATACATCGTTCCCGGAGGTTCTGCCCACTGCCGCGGGTTTGCACCTGTCTTAGAGCTCAGTGGAAGGCCTTCATGAATCCGCACGGTCCTGTGGGAACAGTGCTCAACACCCACTTCCGAGGACGCCTGACACGCCTCGTCATGCTGATATCGACGGTACGCGAGCACAGCAATGGCACCACGGGTGAGTCCTTCGTTCCTCGGTCTTGAGAGCTTTGCTTAGTTGAGCTCGCTTTCGCCAATACATCTCGCGACGCCGCGTTTGAGCTGCGAAGTTCTAGAGACTGATTCTATATCTGTTCCTTGGGTGCACCGTGTTATATTACTCTCTGCTCATGCCGACCGTGCACCCACGTGCCGTCTCCCAGCCTCGAGGGTCATCGCCCTTGACATTCCCCCGTGCTGGAAGCCGGAACCAAAGCTTCCGCTCCCCACGCGCCCACATACCACTGCCGATCTCAGTATTTCCCAACACCAGCCAGCACTGCCTCAGCGCCGTGCTCCTCGGTCTCACATGCCCATATTGACCGTCTCGTCCGCTTGTGGATTGCACCCTCTCCTCCCCACCGCTCGATGGACAGGCTCCGCAGAGCTCGCCGACCACCCCTGCCCAACGCGCTCCGCGTCCAGCGCGTCGGACGAGATGACGTGCTCGCGACTATCATCATCGGCCTCGAAGCAACCCGCGACGGAGTTGATGGACTGAGCGCAGTGCCTTTCCTTGGCGGCATAGTAGGAGCGGTGCTAGGCATTGCGAAGGCGGCCCAGGTGCGCACTTTCCTTTCTAGCCACTCTTCAGTCTCTGAGACGTTCGAACAGCAAGTGGGTTCCACTCAGGACGACTTCCTTCAAGTTGCGGAGCGTGCCGACTCCCTGGTGAAGCACATCCAGAAGCAGGTCGAGAGGCTGAACCCCCACGATACCGTCGATGACATCGAGACCAACTTATCAACGTTGTTCGCGTGAGTGCACCCTCATCCATCCCACGCGCCGGTCCCGTTGAGAAGACGCGTAGGACGATGTCCTCCATCCGTCAAACGGTGGAGAGGCAGGTAGAACGCGGAGTGCTCGATCGTTTCATGCACAGATCATCTATTAGCTCGGAGCTGAAGAAGTGCGTCTACTCCCTGGACAGCGCTTGGCGTTCGTTCGATGTACGTTGTTCAAGCGGTGTCAATCTCGCTATACTAGTCTCACCTCCCGATTCTCAGACGGCGATGTTGCTCTCGGTGCACAGGAAGCTCGAGACGCACAGCACACACGATCCGCAACTGAAGGTACGGCCTCAATCCCGACTTCGAACGCGCTAGAACTGACCCGGTCTTCACCAGGTTCGCCGGTTGTTCTGGGACGATCTCCAGCTCGACGACAACCGTGGCAGCTACTATCTAAACGAGGACCTCGAGGGCGAAGAGTTCTTGGGTCGCCTCAACCAACGGCCCGTCATCATTCGGACAATAACAAAGAAGGACGGCAAGCCGAAGGTGCGTACTGGCGAACAATCGCGGCTGATAGACCACTCACTCGTCTCTTGTCGTTCCAGGAGGAATATTATCAGGAAGTCGTCAAGTACCATCCCGACACGTGAGTGCGCGAGCGATGCTCCGGGGTACCTGATATTGACGCTTCCTATAGAGACGGCCCGCACGCGCGCATCGCGCAGGTTCTCGGAGTGGCGCATCCTTGTTTGGACAGGCCGTTTTACGTTCTCGAGGCTGGTCCGCTGCTTTCCTTTGTAGTTACGTCCATTGCACTAAATGCTTTGTCACGATTTTGAAGCGTCTGTATCTATAATGGCAGCTTTTCAAGTGAGAGATCCTATTCAATGGCTTCGTAACTGGGTGAAAATCGTAAGTTCGTGAGCCACACACCCTACATTTGTGCGCGGCGCGCACTCATGCTCATCCTTGCAGTCCACGAATTTTGAGGCATGCGTCACTGTGTTACATCGTTTTGCAAGACCACTAATGACTGGCTGCAGAACACGCGAGTCTGGTCTGACCGTTTTGCGAAAATGACGATCCCATATGTGCGTTTCCTTACACCTAGTACCAGTGTGATGCGCCCTCATGACCGAGGAGACAGGGACAAACGGGAAACACGGCACACGAACACATTGTATGCCTTCCATTAACAGGCCTCAACGACCGCGGGGATGTCGTATTTCATATATCCGACCTGTCGAACACGTGGTGGAACTGCGTCGCGGAGAGTCTCCAACGGCTGTTTGCTGAGGTGAGCTAATTTCGGCCCCGGCCCGTGGTATTTGGCACCTGGTCTTACACTGTTACAGAGTCGCGGAATGCGCATGCAAAAGAAGTGTATGTTCCGCTCTCATCGACCCTTTCCGGTACTGATCAAAGTCGTAGGGAAGTGCGGTATGGGATTCCATCACCTTTCGAGGTTCGGATACCATCTTCAACGGGAGGTTTGGCGTCCTCCTCAAGATATGCATGCTCGCAACATCATTTTCGATGAGATCGCCTTCAATGACCTCAAAGCCCAATCTGTGCAAGAATTTCCTGACGTTCCCGGTACCAAAGTCGGTGATTTCGGCTATTTTCATGTGGACGGGGGTGGCAAGCAGCACTTCGCCGTTCTTGGACACATAGAAGATATGTTTCACGCTCTACTTCCTATGAACTACGACGAACTTGAATGGTACCGTGATGGCGTGACTACGCCCAAGCATTCACCATGGTCGTATCAAATGGGCCGGTGGGTGGCTAATACGAAGATTTATCGTGGTGCTGATTTGAATTTCAGCCGTGAATTTGCTCTTGACGAAGATCCGAAGGGATTAGTCAGATGCGAAGTTGAAGTCACAATTGCTATCCAGTACCGTTGCTTTTTCTGGTGCCAGGCCGCTCGCATCGCTCAAAAGCACGGCCTTGAAGTGACGGATATAGTGTTTCGTAAGTGCGAATTATCGTGTGTCTGACGGTTTCCGCTCTCCTAACTCGGCGTGACAGTTGCAGGGAAGTACTATAACGCGGAATGCGACATCGAAAGTGCCATGGCATTGGACCCAGCAACTGCCCATGCTGATACGTGTCTCGATCCCGACTGTGACTTAGATCGTGAGTCAAGCATGCGCTGTAGTAAGCCTGTGCGCGTCATGTTGCTCAAGTGTGTTTGTTTAGACGATCCATTCGCGGTTTATTTTTACGAGTACTTGGTCGGCCGATACTGCGAGCTCCCTGGACCATGGGGTTTCTGGTCTTTCGAGGAAGAGTGTCATCCGCCTTACGCGTGCATCTCGACCCAAGACGGAATGGAGGACATACTTCGCCAGAGGTAGGCTACGCCTGTCCTGTCCAGTCCACTTGAATCGGTGCTGATAGTAACCTCTTGTCAGTCGGGTTGGAATATTTGATTGTCTCGATCCTTTCAGTGCGAAATTCATTGATGTGATGAACGAAGCACGAGGATCATTAGACACAGAGGATGACGTTAGGCGTTTCTACAAGTCCTTGGAGCGAGCACCTCGAACTTCGCTGTGGAAAAATGATGAGGAACGCCCAGTGACCTATTCGAGTCGGGTGTGGGCTGGTTCGGGGTAATTAATTATCGTGGAGAGGGCCTTTGCGGGCAGGGCAATGATGTAACTTCACATTCACACCTATCATACACGTCGTTTCTTACGCAAGTCTACTCACTACCACCCTGAGCGCATCGGCTATCGTCTCAACCGATGACGAGACGAACAGTTGTGATGCAGAGAGCAATGACACGCCAACACCAGAATCCAGTCCCCTGTTTCTCTGTCAACCTGAAACTCTGTCATTTTCATCCACAAGTCGTCTTGAGCCTGTCGATGATCTGAGATGGGTGTTCGATTGAGCTGAAACGACTGAGCCTATAATAAACAGTATAAATGACGACGGATGGTGTGTAGATATGAACGCGAAAAGAAACGCACAGTGGAGTAGCCGAATGTCTCCCTCGTCACGTCTTCTAAGACGCTCTCCAGTCGGCGAGGCCACCCTTCTGCAGGTATGTACATGACTGTACCGAGGAGCTCCCTTCCTAGCTTTGGTCCTGGTGAGCAAGCGCACAGCGTCCAGTTACACATATGGAACGTACCATGACGTGAACAGGTTGTGCCACTTGTCGGTGGCGCACCGTATATATCGTATCGCCGTTGACCAGTCTTCCGGCAATCCCATCGATAGCTTCACGTAGAGGAGGACTTGCGGAGTTGTGCGTGCGCAATGACACAGAGCGTGGTGGCGGCGAGGGTTCCGACCGGACTGGGGGAGGGTGAGCGCGTGCAGCAACAGCATGCCGACCGTATGTCCGTTCAGAAGGGGTCCCATATAAGGGCCGAGCCGGATGGGCGTAGAAGGGGTCGAACGGCGAGCGGTCCGGGGCGCGCGCGGGCAATCCCGGGTCGAATTGTGCGTACGGCGGTGGCGGGTGATTGAAGACGGGCGCGCAGACAACAGGCGTGTAGTTCACTGGAGGTCCATACGTCCCCGGAAACGGTGGTGGCGGCCACGCTTGTGGGGGATGATTGTACGGAGGCGGATCACGCGCACACGGCAGCCTTGAGTCTTGCGGCCTTGAGTAGGCTTGCGGCCTTGAGTTTTGGACTTGAGGCTCTTCGAGGTCACTCCGCAAAGTGTCATGCCTTTTTGTATGTCGGCTTCTGCCATGCCTCGACGGCATGGGTACCGAGATCACACCTACGGCGGAGCGAAGCGCGGAGAGGAGGAGGAGGAGGAGGAGGAGGAGGAGGAGGAGGGATGGATGGGACATGCTCCCTCCAGGCGGCATTTTATTCTACGCGGACCCTACCTACCAGCATTCGCGGTCCTCGTCTCGTAGAGAGTGCACATACCTACACCGGGATGTTGAGAGCGCGGAGGCTTTCAAAACCACACACCGCCGCTCAGTGACTCCCGCTGGCAAATGGAAGTGTCTGTGCAGCGAGACGAGTTGCCCGAATCGATGCTAAAAGCGATTCGGACCTGCTATATTCATCTTCGATATCGCGATATGTGGGAAGAGGAGACGTACCAGTGGGAAGGGATTCAAAATGCGGCGAGAAGGAGCCGGGTGCTGGTGTCCTCGTTCCGGCGGCATGGAAGAAGCACGACGCGGCACGCCACTCCGTGCCTGCACAGCTCCGAGCTCATCTTTGGTGAGGTCGTGCAGCTTCCGCTGCCAGCGACCGTCGTCCGTGACCCCCTGGAAATGCTCCTAACCGCGACGACGAGCTGTAAGGATGGCTCGCATGTATTCTGGATCAGTGATCTCAACGCGAGGCGGGGAGAGCGGAAACTCACGTGGACTCGCCGGGGGACCACGGACAGGTCGAGCCGACGCGTACGCGTCGTCCGTGACGACGCCACGGCTTCTGAAAGCGGGAACTAAGGACCGTAGATACAAGAGAACGTGCCAAGGCCACAGAAGCTCAGAGGATCAAGATAATAGCTCTTCGGAGGATCGAAGTGAACTGACATCATCACGCCTCGAGGTACTCGACGTCGGGCGGTGCTCACGCGAAGGAGAGCGGTCCTACCATCTCGGGGTCTGCGCCGCGCTGAAGGGACACTGACCGGATGCGTCTTCAAATGGTGTGATGGGGCGACAGGGTCTGTGGGCGCCCCAAATACTGGTAGCCGCTGAAAGGCTCGTATCACCTAGAAATTAGTATCTTGTGTGCACATGGACGACACATACCTGCAGGTCCGTAGCCGTTGTCTTTGTAGAAGACGCATGATCGAAAGAATACGTTCGAAGAGTTGAACGGATGAAAGGCAATCTCAGCGCCACTGAGCTCGACTGCGCAAGAAGCGGTGCATGCCGAAGCTTCGCTGGAGGCCCCGTGAGTAGCGAAGAAGCACTTGGATGTGCCTGTCTTCGCGCGAGGCGTACGCGTTGTGCGTGGTCGTTATTACCAAATAGAAATGCGAAGGGCGCGTCGAGTCAGACATGCCTGAGCGCAAACTCCGCTCAGCGTCCTCCGCGATTCCGGTCACTGCCGCGTGTGCTCCGAAACCCATCTCCGACAGAGATCTTCAGCTCTCTCACGCGCCGGGCCCACAAGTCCACGCACGACAATCTATGGATGGCTACCTGTGCACCACGAGATGATGCACGTGGCGACCACTACTTCTGGCGACGCGCGTGGGGGGCACCTTCATCGACGCGCTCCTCGTCTCACAAGTAACACGGAAGCATCGAGCGAGAAAGTATCAATTGGAGCTGTCTAGGATCGCGACCACGAACATACACAGGTGACCCCGCAAAACGCGCATAACAAGAGACAGATTCCGACTCCTTGAAAGAAAAGGAAAGGAAAGAGCACGGAGGGACTTACCTTGGCATGCGTCCGACCGCGCCGAGGTTGTCGGGCACAAGCGAGGAAAACAGGGGGGATTTGAATCGAGTCAGGGAGCCTTTGTATCCTGCTTGTCAGCGCCTCGCCGAGGTCCTCGGGACTGCGGTGCCAGGATCCCTGGACCGCAGGGAACGGTATCAGAATGGAGAGACGGACAGGGAAGCTCAGACTGTCCTCAAATCCAAGGCTATCCCAACCGTAGCCTTCAGATTAAAAACGGAAGGGGTTGAACTTCCTCAGCGCAAGGCTGGACTGGAGGACGTTCGTTTGACAGCCTGGATGACGAGTGGCTATTAGGCTGTGTGTCCGACAGATGCAAAGAGGCTCACAGATATGACGAGAGGGAAGCTGAAAACATTGTGGCCCCCCACACTGCACTTCAGCCAGGGCACTGGAAGGCTCGGAGTGGAAGAGGAGGAGGCGAGACGGAAAGTTTTCGGCGCTCAGCTCGCGGTGTCCTCGGAATTCTGACGCCCGGCTTTTGCCGAGGCTGATATCATCCTTCGTTCCCTCTCGACAACCTCTCGACTCTCAATCCACATATCTCCGCACCCTTGCCGCAGACCAGGACGGCCAGCAATGACACTCAAAGGGCGCATTCTGCATAAGCGACGTTGCCGGGAGAGATCATACAACGTTCGATCATTAGAGAGAGAAATATGTGCAAACGGCCTACGCTAGCTACGGCTGCAGTGCCACAAGGCGCGGGCGCTCGCAATGCGTGCCTAAGTAGTATATCATACACCCTATGACATCATCATATTTGCCCGACCCTCCAAAGGACCCACCTCCACATGAACACACACTATAAGCTTCAGCGAGCTAGTCGGATTCTGACATGACCTGGAGCACAATCATGACACAGTAGAGCGTCATATTACGTTGTTGGTAACACAAATATCGCCGGGATAGCTCAGCTGGGAGAGCAACAGACTGAAGTTCTGGAGGTCGCGTGTTCAATCCACGCTCCTGGCAGCGCTAGCAACTCTAAGTGGTTTTTCACTCCACCAAAGTTTTTGATACACTGGGCCCAGACCCACTTTTCATTTGCATAGCAAAATCATCTAAAATGTTTTCGACGACGTCGAGGGGCTCGATATCGGCGTGAAATATAGAATGGAGCCGCCGTCGCCGCCGCGAGTGAACGAGAAGCCGATCGCGATGGTCGATCCGTGCAATAGCCTACTGAGCGAGACGAGGTAACATACACGTTGGCCTGGAGGCCGTCGAGAGCCCTCATATCAGATACAGAAATACGAGACAAGCAGTGGGTGAGTATTCGAGGCGCCGCGGCCTATCTACGAATACGGGTCCTCCGCGGAGTGGGTCCCGTCGGGGACACAGACGGGACGCAGTCGCAGCCGCAGCCGCGACAGACGCAAGCGGAAGCACGGAGATAAAGAACATAGCGACAATGGCGAGAAAGGAAGAAGTTCCGGTGGTCCCTGGAGAGGAGCGGTGAAGGGAGAGGGAAGGGATGAGGACTTTGAGCCGTTCGCAGCCCACCACTGAAAGCACACCGAGGGGCTTAGCATCCTCTCCCGCGGCTCCAAGGAGCGCCGCGGAAATTGCTGGGAAGGAGCTAGGGGAAGGGGTGCCGATACAATGACCATGTACCCAGTGAAGACGCTGTCAAAACATGCGTGAGCACCTCGACACACGCTTCACGAACCAAGTCGCCTACTCCTCAAACTCCGATAGTTGCTGCTACATGTGCAAGGCGAATTCGTGTGCTGCCAGACAAACAAACAGAGAAGTACGCGATAGACTCCGTTGGGGGTGGCGATAGAGAACGAACGCGAACAGTAGATACACCATAAAAACGCCGAGACGAGCGGACTAGCATACAACAGAGCCAAGCAGTCTAGCACGAAAACAACACAGATGGACAGCGACGTGACGGTCCCAGCAGTCCAACGCACGCGCACGCCCCCGCCTCACGCCCCGCAGCACCCGCCGCCGTGCCCGCGCCCACCCCACGACCCCGCGCGGCCGGCGGTCGTCGTAGCCGCGGTCGCAGTCGAGGCGGACGACGCTCGCGCGCGCGTTCGCCTCCGCGACGCGCAGCGTGCGCGCCTCGACGCCTCCTCCCACTCCTGCCGGACGACGACGCGGCGGGCGACGTACTCGAACACGTCGCGCACGCCCTCGCCCGTCTTCGCGGACGTGAAGAAGAGGCGCGGGTGCCGCTCCGGCGGCGGGCGCACGCCGCTGCGGAGCGCGTCCGCGGGCGAGCCCGCGGGCGTCGTCGCGGCGGTCGCGTCGGCGCCGCGGACGAAGAGGCTCGGGGTGATCGTGGGCGCGGAGGACATCGAGGACGCGGAGGGGACGCGGCGCGGGCGCGGGATGGCGATGGGGACGCCGTGGCCGTCGACGAGCGGGCGCGCGGGCGAGGCGGAGGGCGAGCGGGAGAGCGGGGCGGAAGCGCGGTGAAGGCGGGGGAGGAGAGCGCGGTGGCGAAGGTGTCGGTGTCGTAGAGCGAGGAGGAGGGGGTGTGGTAGATCGAGTGCAGCGTCGTGACGGTGCCCATCGCCCCGCCGCTGCCGGCCGTGCCGCGGTAGACGGTCGAGCGGGAGGCGGAGGTGGGGCCGCGGCCGCGGCCGCGGTGTGCGCTCTTGCGGATCTCGATCGAGTTGGACATGGCGGCGGGGAGCTCCATGTCGTCGAAGGGATCATCGATGTCTTCGTACTCGTCGTCGCCCGACGAGTCTTCGTGCAGGTGGGGGAGGTCGGCCGAAGGAGAGGGCGGGGTGGAAGGGTAGGGGACGAGGGTGTGCATGAATTCTCTCGCCTGCATTTCCGAGACCGCGTTCCGCATCGCATCCTCGCCCGCTGCCCGGGCCACGTCGACCTTGTTGCCGACGACGATACAGCAAAACTCGTCCATGGCGTCGTCCGGCACGGGAGCCTTGTCCGGAAGTCGTCCCACCATTTTGTGAGTGCGAGGAGCGAGGAGGGTTGGTTGACGTCGAACATGAGGATCACCGCGTCTGCACCGCGGAAAAACGCAGAGGACAAGCCCGAGAACCGTTCCTGGCCGGCAGTGTCCTGCAGGAGGCAAGGTTAGCGTGCACGAGGAGGCCACACGACCGGCTCATTCTCGCGAAAATTGTCGGCAACAGGGTGTGGGCGTGTGGATCGAGCATGGTGGCAGATGAGGGGCACGTGGGGATACATGGTGGCTCGCGGGAGAAGGGGATATAAGGAGCACGAGGATGGAGGAGGTTCGCTTGAGGGTAATGAGAACACGCACCCATATCTGCAGCGTGACCAGTTCATCGGGTGCGCTATGATGTGGAAGGGTCTTTGTTATAAAGTCGGCTCCGATTGTGGCCCTGTAGCCGGTGGTAAACCGTCCAGAGACGTACTGGAGCGGAGGATGAGTGCGAGGGGGAGGACGAGGACGAAGAGACAGACCTGGTTACGAATGCTGGACTTGCCGACGCCCGAGGCTCCGATGACGACGAGCTTCACCGTGCGCATTCCACGTTCGCGCTGGGCTCATGGGCCAACGGATGGGGCGGCGACGACGGGAGGGAGGGGGAGGGAGGAGGGAAAGATGGTGTGCAAAACGCCGAGTTCTGTTGCCATCTTTGTCGAGTATAGTGCTGCTTACACCAGAGCTTACCTGCATAACAAAGGTGTTTATTAGTCATCAGAAGGTTGGTTTATTCTCCATCAACCGCCGTCTTATCATCGAGCGGCTGGCTTCAGGGCAGCTTGCCAAGCTCTATTCCCCACACGCGCCGGACGTCATGTCCTCGTCAAAGCCTAAAGTCGTGCTTGTCACCGGCTGTTCACACGGAGGGATTGGGTTTTCTCTGTACGTTGAATTCCTATCTTCATGCCTCCTCTGTCGCAAACATGTACGCCAGGTGCGAAGAGTATGCCTCGCGCGGATGCACGGTTTACGCCTCTGCGCGGCGGCTCGAAGCTATGGACGCCTTCAAGCAGGACAATATCCACAAGGTCGTGTTGGACGTGACCAAGGAGGAGGACGTGCTGAGGGTCGTGAAAACTATCATTGAGAAGGAAGGCAGGGTCGACGTCCTCGTGAACAACGCAGGCACTCTCTCTGTTGGTCAGTCCCCACTTTCACTGGCTGGTCAGCTACATATTCTGAACTCTACGCGCACGCAACAGGTCCGGTCATCGACGTCCCGATGGACATCATCGAGCGGACATACGACACGAACGTGTTCTCCATCATCCGCATGTGCAAAGCCGTCATCCCCCACATGGCCGCGCGCAAGAGCGGGACGATTGTCAACATAAGTTCCGTTGGCGCATACTTGTATGTACTTGTGCTCGCCCATCCTCCACTCTCGGTCCTCACCATCTCGCCCAGCGCAACGCCCTGGGGCGGCATCTACGGCTCCACCAAGGCGGCGACGCACTCCCTGTCCGACGTGCTCTACATGGAATGTACCCCGCTCAACATCTCCGTCGTCCTCGTCGCCACCGGCTCCGTGCGCTCCAACATCAGCACGACCCAGCTCGCCGCGTTTCCCGGCCTGCCAGAGGACTCGCTCTACAAGCGGTTCCTGCCCGACATGCTCGCACGGATCAGCATGAGCCAGGAGATGGACACGATGCCGACGGAAGTCTACGCGCGCAAGGTGGTGGGGCAGAGCCTCAAGGCGCGGCCGCCGAGGTACTTGCTGCTCGGGGGCAAGACGTGGACGTACGCGCTGCTGAAGTGGCTGCCGAGGACCGCCGTGCTGTGGTTGTTTTGGAGGATGTTCTCGAAGATCGGGCGAGCGGCAGCTTGAACTTGAGGGTCTTGGAGTGTGCACCGCACTGTATATACCCTTGCTCTGTGTTTTGTATGCACGCTCTGCAACGCTGATGGGGTGGGTTCGGACAGTATGGGAGTGGAGAGATTATATGTCGAGTAAAGTACATGACAGCATGCAGAACGTCGGTTGCATGGGTGGTGCAGAGCTCGGGGCAGGGGCTCGTCGGGTAGTTCTGAGAGGAGCACGTCAGCGTCGGTACAGTGTACGGAAGCTCAAAGACGCACTTGAAAGGGTCTGCACTCCTGACCGTCGGCACTACGCTCTCTGCGCCTTCCGCCTCTCTAATCTCCAGGCTCAAGCGGGGATCATGAGGTCGCCCCATGTTCGCATCGCCGCGATGCTGCCGAAGAAACGGTGACGGCGGTGAGGACGCTGATGTTCCCGGGGAGGTTTTCTGGCGAGAAGATCTCTTCGCGCATGAAGCGCGAGAACGCGGACTCGTTGGGGTCGTGGATGGCGCGACGCGGGGGCGCGCCGAAGGGAGAGGCACCGGGGGCAGCACGACGAGACATGGCTGGTGGAGTTGAGGAGGGCGGGAGGGTTGGTGACCGTGTTGGTGGAGGAGGAGGAGGTTGGTGACTTCAGCAAGCCACCTGCAGCGCTCGCTCGCAGGGCGCGGATGGGTTCCGGGGTCCGAGTCGCGCTGGCGCAGGACGCGCGCTTCGCAAATGGAGTGGGCACTTGGGCTCGAGCGCTCATGTCTCCTCGCCTCCTCCTCCTCCTCTTCGTCCTCTACCTCCCTCCGTGCGGGAGCTTTGAAGAGCAGCTCGTCAACCACGCTTTTGACAGCGACGCCAAAGATGTCGTTGCTTTCCGCATCTCGAGTCGCGCCTCGAGTCGCTTTGCCCAAGGAACTCATGCTCGCATGCTTGCACACTTCTGCTCCCTCCGTGAGTGTTGCTATACGTGCATGCAGATGGGATCTGCGTAGAGAGAAATTGGCTGCAAGACATCTTTTTGCCCCTTGGCCACACTATACGCGTTGTGGGCATTCCATCTGCACATGCTACCTACCTCGATGTCGTTCCTAGCGAATGCTAATCCCTCGTGCAGAAGCCGGGCCGTCAAGGACAAAGCTCGCGAAGGATGTTGTGCCTCCATCTGCCTCCCGCCAAACATACGAACGTCGCTACGCCCCGGGTTCTCGTCAGGGACAGCCAAAAGTCGAAGATGCCGCTCCAACCTATTCGCGCGAAGACCCCCCACATGTCGGTGTAAAGCCAGTCATCTCCCGTCCAGCCCGCCTTCGTCGTCTCGGCACCCGGGAGGAAGACCTCAACACCCCCCGACCGCGCTCGACGCTCACCGTGGCCGAGGACGACCGCCCGGCGGACCTTCCGGTCTCCTTCAACGCAAACCTCACCGACCCAGCCAAGTCCGCCCCCACCTCCACCAAAGCTGACCTCCCTGACTCCTTCGCCGCGCCCCCACTCCTGCCGGGCCTCGTGCAGGGCCTCCAAGAGGCTCTCGGCCCCGACGCGCAGCCGACCCCGATCCAGGCGCTCGCGATCAAGCACCTCCTCCCCCCTCCGAAGCACGAGTACCACCAGTGCCTGCTGGCGTCCGAGACCGGCTCGGGCAAGTCGATCGCGTACCTCCTCCCGCTCGTCCAGGACCTCAAGCGGACCGAGGTGGAGGGCACCGCGCGCCTCGGCCCCGCGGACGCGACGCGTCTCGCGCTGAACCCGCGCGCGCTCGTCCTCGCGCCCACGCACGAGCTCGTCCGGCAGCTGGCCGGGTTCGCGAAGGAGCTCGTCCACCACGCGAAGCTCCGCGTGCAGTGCGCGTCGCGCGCGAACCAGGCGACCCGCAAGGCGCCGCTCGGCGCGTCCGTCCCAGCCGGCGCCGAGGGGGACGAGGGCGGCGAGTTCGTCGTTTCCCGGGAGAGCGGGGCGGGGCACAAGGTCGACATCTTCGTCGGGACGCCGTCGAAGGTGCTCGAGCTCATGCACGGACGCGGGTGGGACGTCGAGGAGCGAGAGCGGAAGCGCAGGGGGTGACCGTGGCCAGCCCAAAATCAGCCTCGCCGACATCGAGTGGGTGGTCGTAGACGAGGCAGACGTCCTCTTCGGTGAGCCCTCTCCCTCCTGCCCCCTCTCCTCCCCGCATTGAGCGCGCCCCCTCCCCAAGACCCCGACTTCTCCGCGCAGACGCGCCGGATCCTCGCCGAGGTCTCCGCCGCGCGCGGCCGCCCCGTCCCGCTTAAGTTCGCGGACCCGCGCGGCGCGCCCCCCGCGCCCGCCGAGCACCCCTTCCACCTCGTGCTCGCCTCCGCGACGATCCCCGTCTACCTCGCCGCGCACCTCGCCGCCGCGCACCCGCGCATGGCGCGCCTCGCGTCCCCGCGCCTGCACCGGCTCCCCGCCGCGCTCCGGCTCGAGCACGTGCCGTGGACGAGCGGGAACCGCGACGCGGACGTCGAGCGCCGCCTCCGCCGCGTGTGGGAGGCCGACGCCGCCGCGGGCCACCCCCCGAGCCGCGTGCTCGTGTTCTGCAACAAGCGCGCCAGGGGCGCGATCCTCGCCGACTTCCTCGGCCGCAAGGGCGTCAAGACCGTCGCGCTCTCCGCCGCGAGCGAGGAGCGCCTCCGCGGCTCGAACAGGCACGTCGCGCCGTTCCTCCGCGCGCGCGCAAGGGACGTGAGCGCGGACGGCGAGGACGGCGACGCGTCGGCGAAGGAGGTCGAAGAGGCCCACGAGGTCGAGACGGAGGATGGGCTCCCCGCAACGACGACGGCGACGGCGCCGGCGGACGTGTCGGAGACGCCGCACGTGCTCGTGACGACATCGATGCTCTCGCGCGGGCTCGACTTCGCGCCGGACGTGCGGCACGTGTTCATCGTCGACCCGCCGCGGAACACGGTCGACTTCCTGCACCGCGCCGGCCGCGTCGCGCGCGCGGGGCTCCCCGGCAAGGTCGTCGTCTTCGGCAAGGACCACGGGCGCGGGCGGAGGCCGCACGGCACGTCCGCGAGAAGGTCCGCGCGCTGCGGTGAGGCCGTCGCTGCAGGCGTGTGGGTTGAGCCCGTCTTTGGAAGACGGCGGTGGGTGGGAGAGGGAAGGCGGCTGAGGGCTTAGATCTACTGTATGCGCCGTCCGCTGAACTGTGGTGTTATAATAATGATAATCTACGACAGCACAATCACCATCACTGCTCCTTTCTCCTGCTTGTGTAGCGTACACGACGTCGAAAGGGCTGTTTGTCGCGAGGTGTCTGGACGGCGGCAGCCATGCATCTCTACGACACAAGATGCTCGATCCACAGCAGACTTACAAGGCCCGCTATCAAGGCACTTCACCAGCTCTCTTCGAACCAACTGACGAGCAAGGCGGAACACTCATGATCAGGCCCGGACGTATCGAACGACGGAGATACGGAGGAAAAGACGGCGTCGTGCATGCATTTGCGCACACAAGACACGTGCGGCGGCCTACACGCATGTGTATGAGCTTCACTATCCAACGCTGCGAGCGCGCGGTAGAGGTAGAGGTAGAGGTAGAGAAGGGGAGAGAGCTCGGAAGACTACAACATACAACGGAGGGGAGACACGAGCGGAGGAGAGCGCATGGCCTGGGCAGGGGGGACCTGGGGGGCGGGGCCTGCATGGACCCTGGGGAGTGGGCCAGTGGCATACTTTGGACCCTGGGTGCAGCGGTCAGTGGTTGGGTCGGGTGGCGTTGGATGGCGTTGGAGGAAGCGATGGCTCATGGGGGCAAAGACGTGGTGAGTGGGTGGATACCGTGATTGGGGAGCAGGGCACGGTCGGGGTGGTAGGTAGTCAGGCAGGTAGATAGGTAGGCAGGTAGGTAAGCTATACACACGAGAATCAGTACACGCCGCGGCCGGACATATTGTGCATGGCAGTGTTGGGGCCGTGGCGGGTAGAGAAACGAGAAGAGAGTACAGCGGGCAGCGAGCACCGCACCGCGCGAGGGGGTCAGAAGTCGTCCGTGTCGTCCATGAGCACACCCTTGATCCCACCACTCTGGGTGCGCCCGCCGTCGCGCGCCTTCGCGGTCCGCATCTGCGGCACGCGCTTCCCCTGCGGCTGCTGCGGCATCGGCTCGTCCTCCACCTCTGGGTCTCCCGCCGGAAACGGGTACTGGACGGCCGGGCGTGCGGTCTTCACCGCGCCGGAGCCCGAGCCCGAGCCGGACGACCCCTTCTTCCGACGCGCGGTCTTTCCCGACGTCTTGCTTGCGGTAGAGCTCGTCGAGCGCGAGGCAGCCATCTGGGGCGGGGGCTCCGGGTTCGACGCGGTGGCCGGACGCGCGTTCGGCGCAGCCGCGAGCGAGGCCCGCGAGGCCGCGAACTCGGGCGGGTCCGCCCACTCCTCATCGTCTTCGTCGTCGAACTCGAGCGAGTCCTGTGTCGTGCCGGACGCGGTGCGCTTGATACGGTCGATGTCGAACGAAGGCTTGCCCACACTCGGCGTCAGCGGGGCGATGGGGTCCTCTTCGGTGTCGACCTCGGACTTGGCGGACCCTGCGGCGGACCCTCCGACGGCGGAGCCGTGCGTGGAGCCTACGGGAGAGGGGGAATTGCCGAGCGAGAACTCGTCTTCGTCTTCTTCGGGCATGTCATGTCGGGCTCGGAGATGGACTCGAGGCCCATGTCGTCCGAGTCGGAAGGGTAGTGTGGTGGCTCGTTCGCAAGGGAGAATATGGACTTGTTGGTGCGGAAGAGCTGTATCCGCACGTTAGCTCCATGTATGCGCTGAAATCGCCGAGAATGCAGCTCACCTCTGTTATCCGGTCCTTCAAATCCAGCCACTCCGCTTCGTCCTTCACCAAAAGCCGAGCAGCATACTCGGGTCGAGGCCTGAGAGAGGCATCTTGCGCACGCGGTCGCAGTGGAAGGTCTTGAGGTCTTGGACGGAGTACGCCGTGACGAAATGGCGTTGCATTGGGTCGAGGTCGACGCCCAACCCAAGCTCGCGCGAATCCATGTCCGAGTCACCGGGAAGGATGCTTGACGACTTGGACCTAGTGTGAGACTGCGAGGAGTCGGACTGGGATGAGCTCGAAAGTTGTTGCTGGAGGGGCGACGGGGCGAGAGTGGGGGAGCGATGCGAGAACGACGACACGGAACCTCCGCTGGAAGTCGACCGGACGGACATCGGGGACGTCGGCACGCGGGAGTGGTGGGCTGGCATCGTCCGATAACCCTTCTCCTTGTTCCGTTCCCGGTCCGAGGCGTACGCATCTGGAGAAGCGGAGGATTGGCGGTCCCGTTCACTGTATGGAGTGCGCAAGGGCACGGCAGGGCGGGCATGATGGGGGTCGAGGTAGAAGAGGTTGTCGGCCTGGGATCCGACAAAGTAGTATGACGAAGAGGGCCTGCCGCCCGCGATGCCCACGGATTGCGGGAAAGTATACAGTGCCTAGCGAAGGGTCAGAACAAGCATCAAATGACCACTGAACTGAACGCACCTTGATAGTGTTATAGTACAAAGGGTTCACCCCTCGATGCCCAGGCGGATGCCGATGAGCACCAACACGCCGCGATCACCCCACTCCATGCGCCCGCCGTGTCTTCTCGAGGAGTAGACGACGGAGCGCGAGGCGCCGTACACGTCGGACTCGTAGAGCGTGCTGTCAGTCGCGACCGCTACCCCAAGACCAGCTTCGGGGAACTTGTGAACAAGCGTCCTGAAACGGTATCGGGGTGAGCGGCTACGCAGGAATGGAGAGCTGGGGAGACGTACTTGATCGCGCCCGCGGCGGTGCTGGGCCCAAACCACTGCCCGACGTCCTTTCCGAGGTCCTTGCCGACCAGAGCCATCCGGTGGACGCTGAACGGACACAAGGGGGAGTGGGTATCGAAGAACCAGGTGACGATTTGGACATAGGTCGCGTAATCCGCGGTGTAGACAGGGTGAGGGGGACGACGCCAGTCTGGACATGGCGGAGGGATTGAGGAGGGCGCGCAGCAAGGGGAAAAGACCACATACCTCGGCCCAGATGCAGATGCAAGAGCGCGTTCGCCAGCAACGACTGCCCCGTGCGCAGCATACAGCCCCAGCCCGCATCGCTCGTCCATCCCTTCTCGCCACCTATTGGCCAGTTCCACCGCTTCGTTGGCGGGCTGCTGGGCAGCCCATTTGGGCTCTCGGAGACGTCCGCCTCGAGGGCGGCGAGGGTGGTGTCGCGGATCGGGAGGAATTGGGAGCGGTAGGTGAGCCATATGCGGGAGGTGAAGTCGGAGTAGAAGACAGGCGGCCAGTTCTTTGATGGATCTTTCGACGGTGTGGCAGATGCGGGCTGGGATTGGGAAAGAGACGGGTCGGGGGAGGCAAAGGTGGGTGAGGCGGAGGCTGAGGCGGAGGGGCGGAAGGAGGACGAGCGGCGACCGTCGGTCGAGTTGCGCTTGCCGACGCTGGCGGAGAGGTCGAGTGGGGGCGTCGGCGGGGGCTCATAGCCGGGGTGCATGACGCCGAGCAGCCAGATGGGCTCGGCACACTTATCGGGGGTCGCGTCGCTGTCGAGGAGGTAGCGCATAGCCTTGTCGATGTGGCCCTTGCCCTGGCGTGCGGCGGTGATGAGAGCGGAGCCCTTGCCCTTGGGGGAGACGGAGGCGGCGAGGTGTTGCTGGGAGAGGAGGGAGGGCAGGCTGAGGTCGGTCGACGACGTGCTGAACGTGTGGGCAAACCAGCCGGAAAGGCGTGTGGGAAGGTCGGACATGCGGCCGTTGCTCGGAGAGGAGTAGTACTGTGCAGAAGGGAAGTTGTCAGACATCGGTCGCTCGGAGCGAGTGCGTGGTCGCGGTACGCTGGAGGGTTCGACGATGACGGGGGGCTCGTCCGCAGCGTCGTCGCCGTCGCGGGAGACGTCGGCGGGGTCGACGTCCTGCGAGCCCCTGCGGCCAACGTCGCGGAAGATGGATCCGCGGCGGGCAGGCTTCTTGTGTTTTGGCGTCTCGGGAGGGGCGGGGGAGGAGGAGGAGGAGGAGGGCGTAGGGGAGCCGGAGGGGTCGACCATGGACCTGGAGCGGTCGCGGTTGGCCTTGGCGAGGAATTTGGGGAGTTTGGGGCCGGAGCTCGAGCTCGTCGGCGACGATGGCGAGGGCGATGCGCGGGATGACTTGCCCGACATCGTCGTCGATGGCAGAGAGCGTTGTGGGCGGGCGTCGTCGGGGCGCGGGAGCGATAATTGTCGGGAAAACCCAATGGCGGCGGTCCTTATGGCAGCATACAAACAGCTTAAAGCGTCTTTAAAGCCCGCCGGACAGCATTCAACGCGTTCAAACGGCGCATCAGCGCCATCAGACCGACCGCGCTCTGCTTGACCACCACCCGGCCACCCCATCTCACCTCGATCGATGGTGCGAGTGCACTCCCTCACAGACGCATACTGTATACACATCGTGCGCGACGTCTGCCATCGTCTCGGCCTATGCATACGCACTATAACCCGGTTGCCCGATGAAGCAAGGCTGTTTATACAGGCCGTGCATGAGCTTATACACTCCTGGTGAAATTTTCGTCTGCATAAAGGTGTATGGGTCTGGGTCGATGTCGTGGCCAGCTTGTCGCGGCCCGCGGAGTCTCCTCGACACATTCAGGTCCCTGTGCTCCGATGCGGCGCCGGATGAGTACTGTGTATCCCTTCCCACCACGCTTTTTCTGCTGGGCGGGTAAAGCACTCGTACACGTTACACCTAAGACTGTAGAGGTCGTATTGACCTCGTACTCCGTCACAGGATGAGGCGCTCATTCTGACGAGCCCGCACCGCGCGCGCGCAGGAGAGTCAAAGGCTGAACTGAAGCCAGCGTTTTCTGTTCGCACGTGGTCTGATTTTACCAACATGAGGCACCGAGGGTCGTCGTGGAAAGATCTACAGAATGCACGAGGACATTGATCACCACCTTGTTCGTCCATCGCGCCCCGAAGGAAGGGATCCAGTGGAAGAAACGCGGAACTGGTGGACGGTCCAGCATAGATAACACCCACGATCAATGTTCTATCAGTGTCCCCTGACATGATACTGAGCGTTTCTAAGGATGGTGGCGTGAATACATGGCCGCGTCATGGCGACAGTGGCGCAGCCTCAGAGGGTTCGATACATACAACCGCGTTAAAAAGTCTGCTAAATCAATCTTCAAGCAATGAGGTTCTGATTCGCTTGGTTCGCCAATATAATCCTCAATGGCCTGCAATCGCGGTCCATACTCCATGCTGTAAAGACTATGCACATCAGGTCGTTTCGTATCCGAAACCCAGACCCTGCGTGAGTTCAATGCATCCATCCTGGCTATTATTAATGAGGTGTAGTCATTTGCGAGCCTGGAATGATGCGCGGCACATGAAGGAATTCAGATGATGACGTCACTCCGCACTCAAGCGCCCTTGACGGGAACGAAGGTTGCCGGCAGGGCCGGTCCACGTCTGGGCGCTCACAACTTGGACAGCGACCGTCACCACCTTGGCTCGACCACCGTTAGCAGGTCAGCTTGGCTCTGGATATGTGTTCGAAACACTGGTGACCATCTAATGCAGACACCGATGGCCGAATCTACCCCGTACAATCACTTCTCCGGAACTTTCGTCAAGGTCTCGTCGCCGACCCCTTATGTTGCGCTGGTCGAGCTTTCTCGGTGAGGTGGACTAATCCGCTACTCGAAACACTGCTTATATTCTGAATTAGTGCTCCGGTGAATGCGTTTCATGAGCCGTATGTCAAATTTCCATGTCGGACGGATCCCATGTTGACGCTTTTGTCGTCCTCAGATTCTGGGTTGAGATGGGCAAGATCTTCGACAAACTTGGAGAAGAGCCCACTGTCCGCGCTGTTGTCCTCGCCTCTGCGATCCCCAAGCTGTTCTCTGCGGGCATTGACTGTTAGTACAGCGCTCGATCCATCCGCCTTGCAAGTGCTTATCCCGCTGCTGCAAGTTTCCGCGCTCAGTCTAGGTTCAAACGAGGTCGACCCCGCGCGACGTGCACTACAGCTGCAGCCCCACATCACCGCGTTCCAGGCGTCCATCTCTGCCATCGAGCGCTGCCCGCACCCCGTCGTCGGTGCGCGCACGGCGTGGCATACGGGCTCTCCATCGACATCCTCTCCGCGTGTGACATCCGCTACGCCGCCGAAAACGCGCGCTTCTCCATCAAAGTACGTCTGCGGCTGCACAGACCCTCTCTCACCTTCTTATGCCTGCTTCGCACGCAGGAGGTCGACGTCGGGCTCGCGGCGGACATCGGCACGCTCGCGCGCGTGCCCAAGGTGACGGGGAACGCGAGCTTCGTCAACGAGCTCGCGCTCACCGGACGCGACTTCTCCGCCGCGGAAGCGCTCCAGTGCGGCCTCGTGTCGAAGGTGGTGCCGGGCTCGCGCGACGAGGTCGTCGCCGCGGCGCTGGCCACCGCGACGCTGATCGCGTCGAAGTCGCCTGTCGCGGCGCGCGGGACGAAGCGCGTGCTCTTGCACGCGCGCGACCACTCGTGCGTATCTCGCCACGCAAATTCGCAAGGTGTTCCCCGGCGTTTGTTGACTGTTCCCGATCTGCAGGGTGGAGGAGAACTTGCATTACGTGGCGGTGTGGAACAGCGCGATGCTGCAGACGCAGGTGGGTGCCCTGTCGCGGGTCGTTCTCCCCGCACGCTCATACCGAAATGTGCACACAGGACCTCATGGACTCCATCAAGGCTGCGCGGACGAAGTCGAAAGCCAAGTTTGCTCCTCTTGCGGCTAAGCTGTGACGTCCTTGGTTCGTCTGCTTAGAAGCTGTACGACATATCGCTGTGGCCCCGAACATTGTATGATCTCTCCCCGGCACAGTCATTTATTACAATATGCGTACTTTAAGTGCTGCTACTGGCCGTGCTGGTCTGCGGCAACGTTGGGGAGATGCGTGAGCGAGAGTCGAGAGGGAACGAAGGATGATATCAGCCTCGGCAAAAGCCGGGCGTCAGAGTTCCGAGGACACCGCGACTCGCTGAGCGCCGAAAACTTTCCGTCTCGCCTCCTCCTCTTCCACTCTAGCTGTGAGCCTCTTTGCATCTGTCGGACACACAGCCTGATAGCCACTCGTCATCCAGGCTGTCAAACGAACGTCCTCCAGTCCAACCTTGCGCTGAGGAAGTTCAACCCCTTCCGTTTTTATTCTGAAGGCTACGGTTGGGATAGCCTTGGATTTGAGGACAGTCTAAGTTTCCCTGTCCGTCTCTCCATTCTGACACCCGTTCCTTGCGGTCCAGGGATCCTGGCACCGCAGTCCCGAGGACCTCGGCGACAAGCAGGATACAAAGGCTCTCTGACTCGATTCACATCCCCCCTGTTTTCCTCGCTTGTGCCCGACAACCTCGGCGCGGTCGGACACATGCCAAGGTAAGTCCCTCCGTGCTCTTTCCTTTTCTTTCAAGGAGTCGGAATCTCTCTCTTGTTATGCGCGTTTTTGCGGGGTCACCTGTGTATGTTCGTGGTCGCGATCCTAGACTGCTCCAATTGATACTTTCCTCGCTCGACGCTTTTCTGTGACCTGCGAGACGAGGAGCGCGTTGAAAGGTGGCTCCCACGCGTACCGCCAACCACGTGCATCACCTCGTGGTGCACAGGTGGCCATCCATAGCCGATAGATCGTCGTGGATGGACTTGTGGAGCCAGCGCGTGAGAGAGCTGAAAGTCTCTGCCGGAGATGGGTTTCGGAGCACACGCAGCAATGACCGGAATCGCGGAGGACGAGCAGAGTTCGCGCTCAGGCATCCGTTCCGCTCTCTGACTCGACGCGCCTTCGCATTTCTATTTGGTAACAACGACCACGCACAACGCGTACGCCTCGCGCGAAGACAGGCACATCCAAGTGCTTCTTCGCCATGGGGCGTCCGCCGCTGACTCGAGACGCTTCCAACGAAGCTTCGACCTGCACCGCTTCTTGCGCAGTCGAGCTCAGTGGCGCAGTGAGACTACCTTTCATCCGTTCAACTCTTCGAACATGAGGCTCGCGTTTCGTCGTCCCAAAAGACAACGGATACAGACCATCAGGTATGTTAACGTCCATGTGCACGCAGGGCGGAATACTAACGTCTAGGCGATACGAGTCGTTCAGCGGCTACCAGTATTTGGGGCGCCCACAGACCCTGTCGCCCCATCACACATTTGAAGATGCATCCGGTCAGTGTCCCTTCAGCGCGGCGCGCAAACCCAGAGATGGCAGTCCCGCTCTCCTTCGCGCGAGCACCGCCCGACGTCGAGTACCTCGAGGCGCGATGATGTCAGTTCACTTCGATCCTCCGAAGAGCTATTATCTTGATCCGCTGAGCTTCTGTGGTCTTGACATGTTCTCTTGTCTCCACGGTCCTCGCTTCCCGCTTTCAGAAGCCGTGGCGTCGTCGCCGACGACGCGTACGCGTCGGCTCGACCTGTCCGTGGTCCTCCGCGAGTCCAAGTGAGTTTTTACTCTCCACATCTCGCGTTGAGAAAACTGATCCAGAATACGTGCGAGCCATCCTCAAGGCCTCACATCTCGTCGTCGCGGTTTGGGGCATTACCAGGAGAGTGCGGACGACGAGCGCCAGCTGCAGAGGCTGCACGACCTTACCCAGAACTCGGAGGTCGGAGCTGTGCAGGCACCGAGTGGCGTGCCGCGTCGTGCTTCTTCCTGCCGCCGGAAGGAGGACACCAGTGCCCGGCTCGTTCTCGCCGCATTTTGGATCCCTTCCCTCTGGTACGTCTCCTCTGCCCACATGTCGCGATATCGAAGATGAATACAGCAGGGCCGAATCGCTTTCGGGCAACTCGTCTCGCTGCGCAGTCGCTTCCATTTGCCAGCGGGATTCACTGAGCGGCGGTGTGTGGTTTTGAAAGCCTCCTCGCTCTCCTCATCCCGATGTAGGTATGGGCGCTCTCAACGAGACGAGGACCGCGAATGCTGGTAGGTAGGATCTGTGTAGAATAAAATGCGGCCTGGAGGGAGCATGTCCCATCCCTACTCCTCCTCTTCGCGCTTCGCTCCGCCGCAGGGTGCGATCTCAGCACCCATGCCGTCGAGGCACGGCGGGAATCGACACTCTAGGCGTGTCACTCTGCGCTCAGCCCGAGAAGAGCCTCAAATCCAAGATTCAAGGCCGCAAGCCTACTCAAGGCCGCAAGACTCAAGGCCGCCGTATGCGCGTGACCCGCCGCCGTACGCTCACCCCCCACAAGCGTGGCCGCCACCACCGTTTCCAGGGACGTATGGACCTCCAGTAAACTACGCGCCTGTTGTCTGCGCGCCCGTCTTCAATCACCCGCCACCGCCGTACGCACAATTCGACCCGGGATTGCCCGCGCGCGCCTCGGACCGCTCGTTCGACCCCTTATACGCCCGTCCGGCTCGGCCCTTATATGGGATCCCTTCTGGACCGGTATACGGTCGGCATGCTATCCCTGCGCGCGCTCACCAGCCATCAGTCCCGGAACCCTCTCCGCCACGCTCTGTGTCATTGCGCACACACAACTATGGAAGTCTTACAGTGGGTCAATCCGTAGATGGAATTGCTGGACGACTCGTCCATGGCGACATAGTATATACGGAGCGCCACCGACAAGTGGCACAACCTGTTCGTGTCGTGGTGCGCTCGATGTGTGTAACTGGACGCTGGGCGCTTTCTCACCCGGAATAAAGATAGGGAGGGAGTTCGCTGTAGGTACCGTGATGTATACGCCTGCAGAAGGATGGCCTCGCCGACTTGAGAACGTCTAGAAGATGTGGCGAGAGAGGCATTCGCCAACACCACCGTGGTGCGTTCCTTTCAACCGCGTTCATACATAGTCATCGTGGTTAGTAATACTATCCATTATAGGCGTGGTCATTTGAGCGGCCCAGAAGACTCCTCTCGTATCATCGACAGCTTGAAGACGACAGTCGATGACGTTGAGAGAATTTCGGATTGACAGAGCAACAGGGGACTGGATTCTGGAGTTGGCGTGTCATTGCCCCTCCTGCATGACAATTTCTCGTCTCGCCATCAGTCGAGACACTAGTCAGTGCGCTGGTGGTGACTAGACTGGCGTAAAAAACGACGGGTATGATAGATGTGGATGTGTTATATTACTGCTTTACTCGCAAATGATCTTTCCACGATGATCAACCCCCCGAACCGCCCATACACGTCTCGAATATATCACTGGGCGCTCCTCATCATTCATCCACATCGTCGAAGGTCTAGGTTTCCGCTCCACGGACTTGTAGAAACGCTGAATGTCTTCCTCCATGTCTGATGATCCTCGTGCTTCGTTCATAACGTCGATGAATTTCGCACTGAAGGGATCCAGAGAATCAAATATTCCTAATCGTCTGATTTGAGGAGTTTATCAGCGCCAATTAAGGGGGACTGGCGAAGATAGCCCACCGCTGGCGAAATATGTCCTCCATTCCGTCTTGTGTCGAGATACAGGTGTATGGTGGCTGACACTCCTGCTCGAAAGACCAGAAGCCCCATGGACCAGGGAGCTCGCAGTATACGCCGACCGAATGTTCGTAAAAATACACCGAGAAGGGATCGTCTAAACAAACAGACTTGAGCAACATGGCGTACAGGACCTACACAACTCACGATCTAGGTCACAGTCGGGATCGAGACACGTATCAGCATGGGCAGTTGCTGGGTCCAATGCCATGGCGCTCTCGATGTCGCATTCCGCGGTATGGTACTTCCCTGCAACTGTTACGCAGAGTGAGGAGAGCAGAAACGAAAACGCACGATCCATGCAGACTTACGTAACACTACATCCGTCACGTCAACGCCGTGCTTTTGAGCAATGCGACCGGCCTGGGACCAGAAAAAGCAACGATACTCATTGACGATCGTAACTTCAACTTCGCATCTGACTAATCCCTTCGGATCTTCGTCAAGAGCAAATTCACGGCTGAAATTCAAATCAGCACCACGATAAATCTTCGTAATAGCCACCCACCGGCCCAGTTGATACAACCACGGCGAATCCTTGGATCTAGTCTCGCCATCACGGTACCATTCACGCTCATAGTAGCTCATGGGAAGCAGAGTGCGAAAAATATCTCCCATGTGCCCAAGGACGGTGAAGTGCTGCTTGCCATCTGTGTCCGCATGAAGATAGCCGAAATCACCGACTCTGGTACCGGGAGCGTCAGGAAGTTCTTGCACAGATTGGCTTCTGAAGTCATTGAAGACGATCTCGTCCAAAATATTGTCTTGAGTACGAATATCTTGAGTGCGGAACAACGCTTCGCCAAGATGGAATCCGAGGCTCGCAAGATGAAGAAATCCCATACCGCACTTCCCTATGTTTCCGATCAACACAGCCAAGGGTAGATGAGAGAATAACATACAATGCTTTCGCATCTGCATTCCGCGGCTCTGCAACGGTGTAAGACTAGGTGCCACATACTACGGCAGAAACCAGCTGACCTCAGCAAACAGCCGTTGGAGACTCTCGGCGACGCAGTTCCACCACGAGTTCGACAGGTCGGATACATGAAATACGATATCCCCGCGATCGTTGAGCCCTGTTAATGGAAGGCATATGATGTGTTCATGTGCCGTGTTTCCCGTTTGTCCCTGTTTCCTCGGTCATGAGGACGCAGTGACTCACACCGGTAGATGTAGTGAGACGCACATATGGGATCGTCAATTTCGCAACACGGCCAGAGTAGACTCGTGTGTTCTGTAGGCAGTAATTAATGGTCTCGCAAAACGATATAGCATGATGCATGCCTCAAAATCCGTGGACTGCAAGGCGATGAACATGAGCGCCCACGGATGTAGGGTGTGTGGCTCAAGAACTTACGATTTTCACCCAGTTACGAAGCCATTGAATGGGATCTCGCACTTGAAAAGCTGCCATTATAGATACAGACGCTTTACAATCGCGACGAAGCACTCAGTCCATTAGTTGTAACTTCGAGGGAAAGCACCGGACCAGCCTCGAGAACGTAAAACGGCCTGTCCAAACAAGGATGCGCCACTCCGAGCACCTGCGCGATGCGCGCGTACGGGCCGTCTCTATAGGAAGCGTCAATATCAGGTACCCCGGAGCATCGCTCGCGCACTCACGTGTCGGGATGGTACTTGACGACTTCCTGATAATATTCCTCCTGGAACGACAAGAGACGAGTGAGTGGTCTATCAGCCGCGATTGTTCGCCAGTACGCACCTTCGGCTTGCCGTCCTTCTTCGTTATTGTCCGAATGATGACGGGCCGTTGGTTGAGGCGACCCAAGAACTCTTCACCCTCGAGGTCCTCGTTTAGATAGTAGCTGCCACGGTTGTCGTCGAGCTGGAGATCATCCCAGAACAACCGGCGAACCTGGTGGAGACGGCGTCAGTTCTAGCGCGTTCGAAGTAGGGATTGAGGTCGTACTTTCAGTTGTGGATCGTGTGTGCTGTGCGTCTCGAGCTTCCTGTGCACCGAGAGCAACATCGCCGTCTGAGAATCGGGAGGTGAGTCAAGTATAGCGACATTGATACGGTTTGGACAGCGTACATCGAACGAACGCCAAGCGCTGTCCAGGGAGTAGACGCACTTCTTCAGCTCCGAGCTGATAGACGATCTGTGCATGAAACGATCGAGCACTCCGCGCTCGACCTGACTCTCCACCGTTTGACGGATGGACGACATCGTCCTACGCATCTTCTCAACCGGAGCCGGCGCGTGGGATGGATGAATGTACACTCACGCGAGCAACGTTGACAAGTTGGTCTCGATGTCATCGACGGTATCGTGAGGGTTCAGCCTCTCGACCTGCTTCTGGATGTGCTTCACCAGGGAGTCGGCGCGCTCCGCAACTTGCAGGAAGTCGTCCTGAGTGGAACCCACTTGCTGTTCGAACGTCTCAGAGACTGAAGAGTAGCGAGAAGGCAACGTGCGCACCTGGGCCGCCTTCGCAATGCCTAGCACCGCTCCTACTATGCCGCCAAGGAAAGGCACTGCGCTCAGTCCATCGACTCCGTCGCGGGTTGCTTCGAGGCCGATGATGATGGTCGCGAGCACGTCATGTCGTCCGACGCGCTGGACCCGGAGCGCGTTGGGCAGGGGTGGTCGGCGAGCTCTGAGAAGCCTGTCCATCGAGCGGTGGGGAGGAGAGGGCGTGCTCTACGGCGGACGAGACGGTCAATATGGGCATGGGAGACCGAGGAGCACGGCGTCGAGGCAGTGATGGCTGGTGTTGGGAAATACTGAGATGGGCAATGATATGTGGGCGCGTGAGCAGCGGAGCCTTATTTCTGGCTTCTGGCACGGGCGAATGTCAAGGGAAATGGTCCTCGAGGCTGGGAGACGGCACGTGGGTGCACGGTTTGCACGAGCCAGAGTAGACATGATACGGAGCGCTCAAGGACGGACATCAGGACAGTCTCTAGAGTTCGTATCTCGAACCCGTAATTAACGCGGCATTGGGAGGTGCGTTAGCGAAGATACAAGCAAATATCTCAAGACGGTGGAACACAGGACTCACCCATGTTGCTATCCGCTGTGCGTATCGGCAGGCAGGACGAGTCGGAGGTGTCCTCGGAAGTTGGTGTTGATGTTGAGCAATGTTCCCACCTGCGCTGAAGTTGTACTCAGGCCTGACCTTTCACTGAGATGTCCGATTGGTGCAAAGCCGTGGAACTGGGCAGGACCTCTGAGAACTCGAAGTATGTGAGCCATGTTTGAGCTCAGGCTGTCGCCGCGCCGAGCTCTGCATACTGATTAGGTCATCCGGCAAAAACCGCAAGTCCGACGCGGAGCTCGAAGAATCGGGAGGCCGTGTAGCGCCGGCGCGGACTTGCGTTCAACTCCTACCTCAACCTGCCGCCCATCTATCCGCCAGGGGTGTACTGGGCGAGAGATGATACCCGTTACAGGTCAGTAACGTGGCCACTACCCCGCGCAGATCATCTACCTGGCTAAGAGGCGTACCCACGCGCTGTGCGAAAACTTCTACTAACTTCTATGCAACTACAATGTCGTTTCCTATTGCAGGAATACGTGCATATCTTACCCAAGTATGCGTCCGCCGGATTACGGGTAGAGCAAAACAAGACATCCGCTACCCCTCACACCCGTGCATCCGCACCATCCACAAGCGGAACCAGAAGTGATTCGCGGATGATACCGCCTCTTCATCCCGAGTATCGGCGGAATACCGTTACACACGGTGGTACCACTTCAATATCGGTGCATCCAATGCCTATAAAGAGTGCGCCCCCAATCCTTTATTGCGCCGTCCCACTCATTTTCCTTCCCATCTCCCCCCAGTCTTCAACTCTCACGTCCGTTTCACCGCCCGCTATGATCTCTTCCATCGTTCTCTCTACGCTAGGGCTGGCATCTCTTGCCGGCGCGATCGCCCCTCCTGTGCGCAGGTCTCCGTGCCCGAACAGTGACCACTACGTTGAGACCCGAAGGTAGGGCGTTTCCTGTAGTCTGCGTGCCAGATACTCAGTCGATTTCTTGACAGTGTTGTGTTTGGTACGAGGCCCTTGACGATCTGCAGGCGAACGTGTACGTCCGAACAACCCTCCATGCAGATACCTGACACCCACCTTACTTTCGGCAGGTTCAACGACGGCCAATGCAGTCAGTACTGGCTCGCATATGCCTATCACATACTGATGTCGTGTGTGCTTTTAGTCGAGGAGGCTCACGAGGCCCTCCGTGTACGTCCACATACCACTGAGTTGCGGTCATCAAGTTTGACATCTTGCTTTCAGATGACCTTCCACGACGCGATCGGCTTCTCGCCCACCCTGGGCGGTGGAGGCGCTGACGGCTCTATCATGGCGCACGCCGACGTTGAGCTGCTCGACCCCGCGAACGGGAACATCGACGACATCGTCAACCACCTCCAGCCGCTCGCCATCAAGTACCCGGTTTCCTTCGGTGACTTGTGCGTTCCCCACGCGATCCGTCGCCGCCCACACTGCTAACACTGCGATTCCTTCGACAGCATCCAGTTCGCCGGTGCCGTGGGTACCTCCAACTGCGTTGGCGCCCCTCGCCTCGAGTTCCTGGCCGGTCGCTCAAACACATCCCAACCTGCCCCTGCCGGCCTCATCCCCGCACCGTTCGACAATGTGACGACGATCCTCGCGCGCATGGCGGACGCTGGGTTCAGCCCTGAAGAGCTCGTCGCGCTGCTGGCCTCTCACTCCGTCGCGGCTCGCGACGCCGTCGCCCACCCCGTGCGCCATTCGCCGCCCTTTGATCGCTCCCACTGACGATCAGACTCGCAGAGCCAACACGCGCGCCCCTTCGACACCACCCCCGACGCTTTCGACGCCCAGTTCTTTGTCGAGGTAAGTTCATCGTCACTCGACGCGTGCGACGGCATCCCTGAAGGCACCTCCCAGACCCTCCTCGTCGGCATCGCTCTCCCCACTGGGGGCAACGTCGTCGGCGAGTCTCCCTCCCCCCTTCTTGGGGAGATCCGCCTCGCGTCCGACGGGCTGCTCGCGCGTGACCCGCGCACATCGTGCGAGTGGCAGTCGTTCGTCACGGACCACACCGCGATGAACGCCAAGTTCAAGGCGGTGATGGCGAAGCTCGCGGTCGTTGGCCAGGACGTCGGGTCGCTGTACGACTGCTCGGAGGTGATCCCGATGCCGAAGGGTTTTGTGTCGGAGTCGGCGGTGATCCCTGCGGGGAAGACGATGGCGGACATCGAGGGGTCATGTGCGGGGACGCCGTTCCCGAAGCTCGCGACGCTGCCGGGGCCAGTGCAGCCGATCCCTACCGTGTGAGTGCCATTCGCATATGACATTTCGATCGGTTGCTGAGGTTTCGTCTTCAGTCCTTCTGCGTGAGGGCGATTTTCCTCGGTCATGAACCTGTGGTTTTTGTGCTCCAAAATCATTCTTTGCTGTATGGAATGGGGAAATGCGATGTATGCGTACGGTCTTGAAAACCATAATCTCGATCCTCCTCGCCCAGAACTCTTCCCAGCGCGAGCTGTTACATCCCCAAAGACACCACCGCGTCCGCCAAGGCGCTGAATATCCCTCGATCGTCGCACATTGCTCCGCCGCCTCAAGGTGCGTCCCCGCCGAGCGTCTACCGAAACGAGGTGCTTTGTGCGCGCTTGAACTGAGGAAGCGCCCACGGCTTGCCTCTTCCCATCACAGTGCACACATTCGCCTGTCTACAGTCTCACAAGTCCCCACCCACCAGCAACGATTAACACTATCCCCACAGAGACTTTTCTTCGCATTTTACGTGAACTCCTTTCAGAAGAAGACATGCGTCCAACGATACAACTGGATTTTCTGCCGAGAGGTCACCGCATGTTTGAACGCAGCACATGCGACTGGATCTCCTCCCTGATCACTTGGATGTCTGTGTGTCGACACTGGAGAAGCGTCGTCATCACATACCCAACATTATGGAGCAGAGTCCATTATCACAACCCCGTACAATACCAACTCTTCCTCGACCGATCTGCGTCTACATCCCTTTACCTCCATCTGCGCTCAGACAAGCTCCCCGACGATTCAAGCTTGGGGCAGTACCAGGCGCTTACCCCCCACGCCTCTCGACTATGCCACTTGTATATCGAAGACACAGACGGGTTGCTGAACTTTGACGATTTCATATCCATTCAAGTACCACAGCTACAGTGTCTCGTCATACGCCTGTATCCGACCGAGGATCTCAGTGCGGTCCCGACACCACAGAGCTGCGCCGTGAACCTTAAAGCCCTGGCGTTGCCCGGCCGATGCCTCTCCACTTTCCCTCCCAACAACTACCCATCTCTCACTCATCTCTTTGTCGAGTTCCACCACTGCTGGGAAGATCTTTACACAGAAGCCATTGTCTCTCTTCTTCAGACTACTCCCCGGCTCGTATCCCTCCACTTCTGCAACTATTCCCACCGGCCTGATACGTCGTCTCGTCAGGTCTCGCTGCCCAACCTCCGCGCACTCACATTCCAAACCAGCTTGTGCCATTCTGTCGTGAGCTTGCTCTCGGCTCTGCTCCTCCCGGAGGCGCCTGTCCGGGGATTCTTCGACCTGAACCACGTCACCATAAGCAATCTCAATCAAACACAGCTGCTAGAGGGGATCCTCCGGCCGTTTCGTCCAAGTCTCTCCACCGTCGGAGAAGCGGTCCTGAACGTCGACCTCGGAGACATGCTCAAATTCACGTTTGAGCCCGATGGTCCTCGCATTGGTCCTGGGATAGCATTGCAGATACTCGATTCAAGAGCCCTCGAGGACTGGAGCTCCGCCATTGTCAATCTCACACACGTTCTGCCCGACGCGCTCAACACGGTGGTCGCGCTGCGCTTCTCCGGAACCCCTTCGTTGGTGTCCCCGGACGCGTCACTCCCGGCACTCCTCGCTCACATGCCCGCGCTCCGCGAGCTGGTCGTCGACTTCGCAACGTTGATGTTCAACAAGTCGAAGTCCGTGTACGATCCCTTGCTGGCGTTCCTGACGCCGACAAGCCGCGACGGCGCGTCTCAGGCCACGGACACGCCCCTCCCACGCCTTGCCGTGCTCGGCCTCAGCGCCAACTGCTGCACGCTCGACAGCACCACGCAGATGGCGACCGCGCTCAAGGCCGTGCTCGTCGCGCGTGGCTGCCGCCTCTACCGCCTCGTCGTGCGCCCGCGTCGGAACGTCGGCGCCACCTTCACCCTATATGCCCCGACAGGGGGGCTGACGGAGTTCGCGGCCCGTGAGCGCATCTTCCGTGGCGTTGGGGTCGACGCACACGCGGAGCATTTCGAGGTCCTCCCGTCCGGACCGGGCAGACTCGGGCTTGGGGCAGGGTACGCAGAGTCGGCATTCGGCCGGCGCCGGGCGTGGGCGGAGGCAGACTGGCGCGAAAGGGAGCGGTATTGGAAGATATTCAGGACTCAGTCGGGGGTGGATTTGATCGACGGAACGGAGTACTAGCAGCGCGGTTGGACTCAAAGAGACGAGGTCCCTCTTTACAGTCGCTCTCGGCATCCGTAGCATTCGGTATCGGGATCTTGTACGGATGCGGCTGTCCTGGTACGAACCACTTTTTCGATCGTTCTCCGGCATCGCTGCAGTGTTCGTCGGCGCCTACACGGCTACTACGTTCGCCTTCAACGGCGTTGTTACCTGCTGTATCTGCCTTCGCATCGTCGCCGTCTCGCGGCACGCGATGCGCGGCGCGGGGTGCGCCCACAGTGACGATGGCCGCGTGTACATATGTCCACCGGCGCGGCGGCCGTCTTCATCGAGAACACGCTGCCATTCACGATCCTCAGCTTCATATGTTTCGTCGCCTGCCCCGTCGACAGCGACACCGCGTACTTCTTAAAATTGTTCTACATCATGTTCACGGTGTGTGCCGCACTCACTTCTGTCTCCGTGCCTGTGCGTGCACACTCACGCTCACGCCCGGGGTCGCTGTGCAGCGCATCCCCCCGCTCATGATCGCGCTCCTCCGCCACGCACTACAAGAGCGGCGCGAGGACCGCGCTCTCCTCGCGAAGGGGGCGCAGCGCCGACCTGGGCTCCAAAGGACCAGGCTCGACGATATCGTGATGACTAGACGTGGTAAGCTTAAGTAAAGGGTCATACTTATTCGAGATTTTGCGCACGCATTCGGCTTACGCGCAAAGTGCGCTGCATATTACCGCGCGCTGCGGCCGCTGCTGGTCTTCCTGGTATGCCTCTACGTCCGCGTTCCATGCCCGAGGTGCGGACCATGAGAGACGAAGCTCCGCTCGCGTGGGGCAGCGCGCGCGCTAGCCTCGTGCTGTATGAAAGGCACCGTCCAAGGCGCCGAGATCCAAACCCCGTGGGACGATCATCTTGTGTTCTCCAGCACCTCTCACTCTCCCTCCTCACCCAGTTCCCCAGCCCCTTCCCCTCGCCCCCATGAGTCTCCAAACAGTGCCAGGATGTGCCACACACCCGTCTCTCTCCCCTCCCACCGCTTACCCAGCGAAATTCCGACTCCCCCAGCGTTTTTCCCGCCGAAAACAGCATGGATTCCACTCAGCGCTACTTCAACACCCACACCGAGCTCCCATTCACCTCTACGACCGATTTGAACGACTCCGGGGAGTGCAGAAATGACCCAGAGGACAAAGGCGTTGTCTGTGATGATCGGGGCATCCCCATCCCTTCTCAAGCCGCTCTTGCGGACTACTAGTGAGGCATAAGCAGCGTTCTAATGGTTACATAAGCGATTAACGGGGATCGTTAGTCTCGCGGCTTACCCGCCGTCGTTCTCCGCCTCCATCTCCACCCCCGAGCCGGGACACGACTCCCGCCCCATCGCGCCTCCTTCCTGGCTCTCTGGCTTAACTTACAACGAAAATGTCTCCCTCGCCTTCGACGTTGTGCAAGAGCGGTTCCGATCGGCTTATTCGTCGCTGGACTGCGCGCTAGGCACCCCCGACAACAACCCACAGTACATTTGCCCCGCCTTCCTCGAGGACAGTGCCCAGCCCACGAGCGTTGCGTTTGAAGAATACAAAGCCGCTCTGAGCATCGACTGGGCCAAGGAGGACGCCGCAGCCTCCGCCAACGAGCAGTGCGTCGCGGACGTCTATTGGGACCTCGACTACAGCAGCGACGCGTCCCCGGGTTCCCTCTACGATGGGGCCTCGTCTCCCTCGACGAGCGAAGGCCGGTCCAGCACGATATCTTTCTCGTCGTCGTCGCCGTCTCCAGCCCCCGTCCCAGCCTCCCCTCCGCCTCGTGCCCTTGTCCAGACCCACCACGAGGAGCCTGCGCGGCGTGCCACCCGGCCCATCCGGCGCCGCAACCTCCAAGCCGCCGCTCCTTCTTCCTCCGTCTCTCCCTCTCCCACTTCGTCGCCCGAGCGCGAGCCCACCTCGACCCCCAGGAACCCGTGGAAGTGCCCGCACTGCGAGTTCGTCCAGACCTCGCGGCGCTCCCCGGACCTCAAGCGGCACATTGCGACGCACTCGCAGCCCAAGAAGCCGTGGACGTGCCGCGGGGTGCCGGTGCGCTTCGCCGACGACCTGCAGTATGTGCGGGAGCCAGTCCCGGTCGCGGAGTTGCGCCGCATGAAGGGTGGGATGGTGGGTGGGTGCGGGATGGTATTCTCGAGGAAGGACGCGTTGACGCGGCATTTGAAGAAGTCGGGGTGCGTGGGGTTCAAGGCGGTCGAGGAGTGGCATCAGGGCCAGGGCGACGAGGAGGAGTAGATGGACGGAGTGAAGTGTGCGTTCCTCTTTCTTCGCGCCTGGTGCTTTGTATTGCATCAATATCGCCTGTGTCATGCCATCTATATCACCTTTGTTTTTCTACCATGTTGGTCTGTCTGAGCTTTGCTATGTCTCAAGCCCACGGCGCGTCCTCAACGTCAACACTTGTCGCAATCGATGCATCCCGTTAAGTCAAGGTGTCTCTCTTTCCCTCGTTCTCGGCCCGCATAGGGTTAGGAGATTCAGTGAGTGTTTCTTCTACCCTTCATGCAAATACACAGATTGAGCGAGATTCCTAGGATACGATCTGGGACATCATACAAGGCCGAGGTCCCGCCCACACTCCAGTGGTACCTGGCTAGTACACAAATCGCAGCCATCGACTCGATCAGCACAAAAATCTGGCGAAGATGTAGCGTTACTCGCAGTTCGTCCTCACTGAAGGACAGGTCGTCCCTACCCATGGGCTTTAAATGATGGTTCCAATCTTCAAAGCTTCACGAGCGAAGCCGCTCTCATCTTCTCTTCGATGCAGCCCCTCGACGCTAATATTGGTTTCCGGCAGACTCTGGGCCGCTGGAGCGAGATGCCAGCTCTTGTTCGGCTGACTTTCAAGCAGGCACGTGCAAGCCAACGATGTTGAACTTCGGTCGTGATCGGTCAGAACCATCGGTTCTTGTCGACATCCATCTCAGATTTCGTAGAACTGAGACCACCCACCAAATAGCACGTATTCAACGCCAAGGAGCGTATTGCAGCACATCCCAGCCTGGTTACTTATCGGAAGTGTCACTCGAGCTTGCCGTTGCTGACATCCGCGTCCCAATCAGGAAACATCGCTCGACATCCGACGTCCTCACTCGGGGCTGACCAGCCCCCTCCGACCGTTCTCTGAGGCTATAAAAGGTACGCCGCGAGTGCCCTCATCCTCATCCCCCGCTTTCTCAACACTCGCAACTGCCCTCTGCTTTCCGCCTTCAAGACTACATAGCTTCCGATATGCTTTCCAAGACCCTCCTCCCTCTTCTTTCTCTTGCGACGCTCGCCGTCGCCGCGGCACCGCCCTCCCGCCGCTCCCAGTGCTCCAACAGCAAGTACACCGCGGAGAACCTCAAGGTCAGCTCCTACCTGCGACGATATGCAACACTTGCTGACATTTCGACGCAGTGCTGTGTCTGGTACGAGATCCTTGACGACCTCCAGGAGAATGTGTAAGTTCTGCTAGACGTGTGCCACGAATATGTGCTCACCCTTCGAACGACAGCTTCGACAACGGCCAGTGCAGTCAGTGTCCGCGTCTGATCATTAAAGGGTCTTCACTGATTATTATCTTACACAGTCCAGGAGGCCCACGAGGCTCTTCGTGTATGTGCTTCTCTTCACGTCGCTCCCACCGTTGCTGACCGCAGTGTCCAGTTGACCTTCCACGACGCCATCGGCTTCTCCATCAAGGACAACGTCAAGGGCGGTGCGGACGGCTCGATCATGGCGCACTCAGACATCGAGCTCCTGGACGTCGCGAACGGCAACATCGACGACATCCTCAACCACATCCACCCGCTCGCGATCAAGTACCCTGTCTCGTTCGGCGACTTGTTCGTGCCTTCCGTTCGCACTCTCCCCTTGCTGTATCATTGACCCCCACATCTTTTAGCATTCAATTCACCGGCGCCGTTGGCACTGCGAACTGCAAGGGTGCGCCGCGCCTCGAGTTCCTCGCCGGCCGCTCGAACAGCTCCGTCGCCGCGCCCCCCGGCCTCATCCCCGCGCCGTTCCAGGACGTGACCACGATCCTGGCGCGCATGGCCGACGCCACCTTCAGCCCCGAGGAGCTCGTCGCGCTCATGGCGAGCCACTCCGTCGCCGCGCGCGACGCCATCGCCGACCCGAGCCAGCACGCGCGCCCCTTCGACACCACCCCTGACGCCTTCGACGCCCAGTTCTTCGTCGAGGTGAGCCCATCGTCGTTTGACGCCGCGACGGCATCCCTGACGGCACCCCGCAGACTCTCCTCGTCGGCAAGGCCCTCCCCACCGGGGGCTCGACCCTCGGCGAGTCCCCCTCGCCAATCCTCGGGGAGATCCGCCTCGCGTCGGACGGGCTGCTCGCGCGCGACCCGCGCACGGCGTGCGAGTGGCAGTCGTTCGTGACGGACCACGAGGCGATGAACCGCAAGTTCAAGGCGGCGATGGCGAAGCTCGCGGTGCTCGGGCACGACCGCGCGAGCCTGCACGACTGCTCGGAGGTGATCCCGATGCCGAAGCGCGGCGCGGGCCAGCAGGCGGTGTTCCCGCCCGAGACGAGCATCAAGGACATCGAGCAGTCGTGCAAGAGCACGCCGTTCCCGATCCTCAAGATCACGCCGGGCAAGCAGCTCGTCCTTCCCATCGTGTGAGTGCTGCGCTTGCTTTGGTTGTGTGTGTGGGTGCTGATGGTGGTTTCTTCGCAGTCCTTCTGCTTAAGCTGCGTCTTACATATGACGCGTCCATTCCTTCTCTCCTTCTTTCTCTGGTTCTTTGTCTCTCCCGCACTTTGGTACACGTAGACACACGGACTGCCTGTCCCTTCGCCGCGTACCTTGAGTACACACGGCCGGTTCGCACAATATATATATATGGGATTCTGAAAGACTTGCGTTTATTGTCTGAGCAAATTCTAGCATGCGCACAGAAGGCGACAATGATGCGGTGCTGACATGGTCAAATACGCACCTATTGTCTCTATTGTTATCGCCCGACGGCAGAAGCATGCCCCCCTGCGTAAAAGAGCAGCTCCGCACCGTCGAGGAGTGCAAGCCTACACCTCCGCTCACGCCCTGCGGCCCTCCACGCTCCCCTGCGGCTTTCCTTCCTTCGCTCCCAGCCAAGCTCACGTATCGCACACCACCCACCACCATGCTCTCCGCATCCAGAATCGCCCCGCGACCGGTCTCGCGCCCCAAGCGGCTGGGGGCCCAAGGGACGTCGAAGCTGTACGACAGCAACGGGCTCGTCGAGGAGGGCGTGTTCGTGTCCTGCAAGGCGGGCTTGCGGTACGAGGTGCTGTGGCGGCGCGACGAGGGGCCTCGTCCGGAGGGCGCGAGGCGGCGCGCAGTGAGCGCGCGGGCGAGGGCAGCGTCGGAAGGGGAGACGGCGCGCGCATAGCGGGGCAGTGGGGAGCTCACTTCGTTTTCTCCAGACCGAGGTGTGTTCTGTTTGCTCTCGAAGCTCGTGCTGCTGGGAGTTGAGGATATTGACGAGCAGGACGCGCAGGGAGACTAAACGACTTGGTGGAAACCAAGAAGATTGAGTGGTGAGGCAGAGGATTTTGGACCATACCCCGAGAGAGAAGGGAGGAAAGCAGTTGCAGCCGACATGTAGCATAGTGTATTTCTACGGGATTTGGTGACGCCTTGACTTGCCCTTAAGATAGTCACGTGGACTGTGTTTGTTGATTTCGCGCCTTCGACTTTGCTTCGACTTCTCGTCTTCAGTTTCTCAATCTATACTCCGGCCCGACAGTTCTCTTCGTATCCTGTGACTGCACAGCGCGCAACCTTCCTCCCATTCACCCCGCTTCCCGTGAAACCGACCTCAACTTCTACTGCCTCCGACTCCACCCGATGAACACTCTGCGCTCAGTACTTCTTGGGAAGTGCATAGACAAGAGGATGATACGCTAGCGGATCTCAGAGGCCCTCATCTGGGTATACATATGCGGTACTTTCACCGACCGCATGTGTTCTCGAGTGCTCATTGTGAGTGGGATGGTCATTGTCCAGTGCAGCCTGCTGAACGTCTTACGGCATAGATGCACTACCTCTGACGGCAGCTTCTGCATCCCAAGTCATGCGCACCTCCGTCGGAACGTGCGCGAACCCCGCCACAAGACGCATATATAACAGTGCTCTCCGCGAGGCGGCGCTGCAGACTCATCACCGCAACATGTATCATCCAGGATGCTTCTCGTCGGTGCTCGCGGTGGTCATCGCCGCTCTTTCCTTCGTGCAACACCTGCAAGCAGCCGGAATCACCAACGACTCAAGCACTGTCGCGGGAAAGACCTTCGACTACGTCGTCGTCGGCGCAGGCACATCAGGAACAACGGTCGCGGCACGGCTCGCCGAAGACCCGACGCTCGAGATCCTGGTCATTGAAGCTGGAGGCGACGACCGTACGAACCCTCAGATCTACGACATCTACCAGTACAAGGCCGCCTTCCAGGGTCCCCTCGACTGGGCGTGGCCGACGGATCAGGGCAAGCTCATTCATGGGTGCGTCGCTCTCATTTCCTCAAGTTGACGTGGAGTGTTGAAACCAGAACAACAGCGGGAAGACTCTCGGTGGAAGCTCTTCCATAAATGGCGCGTATTGGACGACGGGCACGGAAGCTCAGTACGACATGTGGTCGGATCTGCTCGAGGAGGATGAGGTGTCTGTGGGCTGGAACTGGGCGAACGTCTCCGCGTATATGAAAAAGGTACGATATCCAGTTTATTCAAGCGCGCCCCTTGCCCACCCTCGAGCGCAGGCGGAAGGCTTTTCTCCTCCAAACACACAGCAGCGCACGAAGGGCGCCGCTTCCGTCGCGGCCTTTCATGGGACGAACGGGCCTGTCCGGGCAACCTTTCCGGACGCGATGTACGGCGGTCCCGAAAACCCGGCTTTCATCTCATCCGTGATGAACTTGACGGGCACGCCATATTGCGAAGACTTCAGTAGCGGAGCGCCGACCTGCGTTTCTTTATCGCCCCAGGTCAGTGCAGTGAGGTATTCCTTGCTTCTAATGCGCTTTCTAATGAAAATGCAGAGCATAAACTGGCACAGCGATGATCGTCGCTCGTCGTCTATCGAGGCGTACTACACCCCCGTCGAAGATAGGCGCGATGGGCTGACATTCCTGATCCAGCATCTGGTAGCGTGCTTGTCCATATTTTCTCTTCTCTCTACAGGCTGACGAACGCGGCAGGTCACCAAGGTGCTGTTTGATGGTAACACTAACGGTTCTGTCGCCGCCTCCGGAGTCCAGTTTGCAAGCGCAGATGGCTCAGGAAGCCGGCTGAGCGTGTTTGCTCGCAAGGAGGTGATACTCTCTGCGGGCGCGATCCATGTGAGCTTCTATAGTAATCTCTGGTCCGCATTGGACAATGGACTCACACGCCCGGTCATCAGACTCCAGCTGTCCTGCAGCTTTCCGGCATCGGAGACCCCGGCCTTCTCGTCCCGCTCGGTATCACCCCTCTCGTGAATCTGACTACCGTCGGCAAGAACTTTCAAGAGCAGACACTGAACACCATCGGCGGCCCAATGAACGGCTTCGACGTGGGCGGACTGGGCCCAAAAGACGCCATCGCCTTTCCAAGTGTGCGCGAACTATTTGGGGTCGATGCGGACGACGCGATTGCGAAGCTGCAGGAGTCGCTTCCGTTCTTTGCACAGACACAAGCGCACAACGCTTTGTCTGCCGAAGCGCTACGGACGATATTCGAACTTCAGGCCAAGACTCTCATCAACGACAATGGTGAGATCTTGAGATCTATCGCGCGCTCTGCGGCATTGCTGATGACGTCATTGTAGCACCCGTTGCAGAACTGCTCTTTGGTCCAGGAATCCCGCAAGCCAAGTGCGCGTCTCGCTCATAAAGGCATCGTTCGCGCTGACACTGCTTCTTCAGCGATCTCGGAATCACTATGTGGAATCTCATTCCGTTCAGTAGAGGGAACGTGACGATCGTGGTAGGAACACCCTTCCCTTCAGCCTGCTTCGCTCGTGTCTGACTAAGAGCTCCGCCAGTCGAATGACCCATTCCAGAGTCCCATCGTCAACGTCAACTATTTTGACATTCCATGGGACCTCGACGTGCAGATCGTCGCCGCGCGGACGTGCCGCCAGCTGCTTAACAAACCTGCCCTCGCGTAAGCCGTCCATCCCCTCCTCCTACAGCCGCCAAACCTCACGCCCCTTTCAGCGCCCTCCGCGACCCTTCCGGAGAATCTGCGCCGGGCCTCGCCGCCGTCCCAGACCCGACGGGCGACGGCGGCGCCTCCGCCGACTGGGCCGCGTGGATCACCCAGCCCGGGTCCGGGGCCGGCTTCAGCGCGAACTCGCACCCGATTGCGACGGCGGCGATGATGCGGCGCGCGCTTGGCGGGGTGGTGGACGCGCGCCTGCGGGTGTACGGGACGGAGCGGCTGCGGGTGGTGGATGCGTCGGTGCTGCCGGTGCAGCTGAGCGCGCACCTGTCGCGGACGGTATACGGCGTGGCGGAGAAGGCGGCGGACCTGATCAAGGAGGACCGGTGATGGCCAACAGTTCGCGGTGCCGTTTCGACGTTCATAAATCATCCGTGATTTTGAACGTGTTATTCCCAGCGTACAATTTTGAACACTTCGATGGTGAACTCGACACTCAGGAGTAACTCCCGTTGTTGATGTTTGTCTGCATATATAACTCGCACTATGGTCTACTTGGCTTCTGCCCGACCAGGTGGGGCACCCATCACTTGCTTCTTCCTCCATGACTTCAGAAACTTGACGCATGGAGGGGACCATGTGCTGAACAGTCTGATCCGTGAATGGGTCAATATACATGAGCTTCTTCTCTCTCCGACGTTCTGCTCTAAATCGCCATGCAGAATAGTCACGGTGTACTGAACCATGTTCAACGCAACCCACCTCCATCCCAGAGAGTGCCACTTCAACCCGTGTTATCGAGCCTCGCGCGAGTTCGTCCCGGAAGCAACTTCGTTCTCCTATTCCCGGCTCACCCCCAGTAACACTCACGCCCCGTCCGCCCTGCGGCATCGCTCCGCCCACGCCTCGGTCGTCTCGCTTCGTCGCCGCGTTACGCGCCAGCCCCCCGCGGCATCCGCCAATACCGCCCCGCGCGCCCCAAGTCCTCCTCATCCGCCGCCGCCGTGTCCGCCGCAAACAGCCGGTCGAGCTCCACCCGTCCCGCCCCGTCCGGCGCCCACACGACCTCCTCCACGACGCCCCGGAGCGTCTCGATCCCCGCGTCGACCGTGACGTCGACGAGAGCCTTCCGGGACCGCCCGGAATCGCCGCCCTCGCGCCCCACCTCCCGCAGCTTCTCCGGCCGCTCGGGGACGGTGATGGGCGCGAGGAGCAGCGTGCGCAGCGGCCGGCCGAGGCGCGCGCGCCCTGTCGCGAGGGCGGCGAGCTTCGCGAACGTGAGGTCGAGCTGCGTGCGCCGCGGGAAATCGGTGAAGCCCCCGTTCGCGATGAGCCCCGGAAACCAGACCCACGAGCGGAGCGTGGAGAGCTGCGGGCACGGGAGGGCGCCGTCGGCGGCGGGGCGGAGGAGGGCGTCGGTGAGCACGCCGAGCGCGACGAGCTCGTCCACACCGGTCACGGTGCCGTCGTGCACGCGGAAGAGGAAGACGAGGGTGGTCAGCGCGGGGGTGTGCGCGAGCAATGGGGGTAGGAGGTGGCGGGGGAAGTCTGCGAAGTCGAGGTGCAGGTCCCGAATTGACGAGAATGGGATGTGTGTGGGGAGAGACGCGAGCCATAAGACGGCGTCGACGCGACGGATGTGAGGCATATGTCCGACTCCTGTGGAGAGCGCGAGACGACCGCGCGCACGAGGGAGGGGGGCCTGCGAGAGTGGACCCTCGGCTATGATGGTAGCCCGATCCGACTGGCAGATCTTGAGACGCTCGAGGGATGGGATTGCCGTCCGGCACAAAAGGTTCACGGTTTTCGACGCGCAGTCGTTCCAGTGGTTGAAGCTGGCTTCGGAAGGCAGGTCGGTGACATGTATGTGGAACTCGAGGGGGAGATTGAGGCGACGGAAGAGGTTCCCGATGAACTCCCAGTTGCTTCGCGATACTGACATGCTATTCAAGCGCGAAAGTTTGACCATAGCTGGCAGATTGCCCTTTGATGCGGGTAGGGAGTTGCTGTCACATTGGACGTCGCGCAGACTGAAGAACCGCAGCAGGGGGGTGCGTGACAGCAGGCCTAGGACATTTTCTAAGAGGCTGCTGTTCTCGATATTGACTGAGTCGAATGAAAGGAAGAGATGTGTTATGAGGGGGAAGGAGTCGAGCGGCAGTGCGTACTGCACGGGCCAAAGCTCAAGGGCACGAAGAGATGAGGGACCGTCGTGGAACATCCGGGTCGACGATGCATTGCGGTATTCTGTCCCAGCCGGAGCGTCGACCTCATATTTGATGGAAAGTGTCTCGAGGAGGGGCGCGGCAGAGGGGAAAAGCAACGAGTGGTGATTCGGCGATGGACTAAGCATGCGGATTTGAAAGTGCCGGAGTCGCCTCCCCTGCGCTGATATCGTCCTGTAAACGTCGTCGATGTCGTTGGTGACGATGATGATGGTGAGAGGAGATTCTCCTGAGCGTTCCATAAGCATGGAGGAGATGTTGTTGCAGACATTGTTACTTGGTTTGAGAATCAAGTAGGACCACATTGATTGAGCATCGATGAGGGTCCGTCGCCACGACCGACAGACGTGAGTGAGGTGCAGAAGGGGTCGCAGATACCCCGATCTGTATTCTTCATAATTAAAATCTTGTTCTGTACTCAGCAGCGGGATGGGGACCAGAATGCGGCAGACGAGGAGGAAGATATCCTCGGGAAGGTCATCCATGATCGATTGATACAGCTGTCGTTCGCCGACTGGCCCTGATTGTTGTCGTGAACTTCTGCAAGTTTATTTACGCCCATTCACCTGAGTATCCCAAAGCAAGATGGGGGTTGGGAATCAGAGCAGATGCGGCAGACAAGGTCGTAGCGTGATCGACTGGGAAGAGGCGCGAGAACCGCGTCATTTGACCCCGTGGCGAGCGACGACTCCAGACGCCCTACGATCCCGTCACGTGGACCCCCCTCTGCCCACTGAGCATGTGTGCACTCATAACACCCGTCGCCTTCGTTCCACTCCCCGCAGACTGAACTCACTGTCTACTGCCTACAACACCAAAGAAACCCGATAATTCCAACACTCTGCGCCCACCGCCTCCCTAGAACAAAAGCAAGATGCACGGATGGAATCTGAGAGGTTCTCTTCCTGGGCACATATGATGAGTACACCAACCATGTGGAGTTTCGAGCTGAAATTTAGGGTTACCCGGCCCCATGAACGTTTTACGGCATGGATGCGCTACCTTTGACGGCGGCGTTTTCAGCCCATGTCATGCGCACCTCCTGCGGAACGCGCCCGAACTCTTTTGCGGGACGCATATATAACGACGCTCTCCGCGAGGCCACGCTGTAGACGCGATGTACCCCCCACGGCCCTTCTCGCCGGCGCTCGCGGCGGTTGTCGCCGCTCTTTCCTTCGCGCAACATCTCCAAGCAGCCGGAGTCACCAACGAGTCAAGCATTGCCGCAGGCAGGACCTTCGACTACGTCATCGTCGGCGCCGGCACCGCGGGCACGACTGTCGCGGCGCGTCTGGCGGAAGACCCGACGCTCGAGATCTTGGTCATCGAACCCGGAGGCGACGACCGGACGAACCCCGACATCTACGACATCTACCAGTTCTACGATTCCACGGCCATCTTCGGGGGACCACTAGATTGGGCGTGGACCACAGACCAGGGGAAGGTCATCCATGGGTGAGTCGTTCCGTGTTCTTGAGGAGTCGGTGTCTTCATGGTAGGAGCATAGCGGGAAGACGCTTGGCGGAAGCTCCTCCATCAACGGTGCGATGTGGAACGCGGGGGCGCAGTCGCAGTACGACATATGGTCGGAGATGCTCGAGCCGGACGAGGTGTCCGTTGGGTGGAACTGGGCGAACATGTCGGCGTACATGAAGAAGGTGCGTCTGTCTCTCTTCTCCAGCGATCACGTTCCCCAACCCCGAGCACAGGCAGAAGGCTTTTCTCCCCCGAACGCACAGCAGCGCGCGAAGGGCGCAGCTTCCGTCGCGGCCTTTCATGGGACGAACGGACCTGTCCAGGCAACCTTCCCAAACGCGATGTTCCGCGGTCCCGAGAACCCGGCATTCATTTCGGCGGTGACGAACTTGACGGGCACGCCATATTGCAAGGACTTCAGTAGCGGAACGCCGACCTGCGTTTCTCTATCGCCTCAGGTCAGTACACTGAGCGATGCTTCTTCATAAACGCTTACTGACTGAAGCACAGAGCCTAGACTGGCACAGAGACGATCATCGCTCGTCGTCGATCGAGGCGTACTATACCCCCGTCGAAGACAAGCGTGATGGACTCACGTTCCTGATCCAACATCGAGTACAGTGCCACCCCGCATGCACATTTCTCTAGGGCTAACACGCGCGATAGGTCACTAGAATACTGTTTGATCGCAACAAAAGTGCCCCTGTGGTCGCCTCGGGGGTGGAGTTTGCAAGCGCAGATGGTTCGGGAAGCCGTTTGAGCGTTTTTGCTCGCAAGGAGGTCATACTCTCCGCCGGGGCGATCCATGTAAGCCTCTATAACGACTTCGTGGGTACTGTCCCCTCATACTCCGTGCCTCCAGACCCCGGCTGTGCTGCAGCTGTCCGGCATCGGCAACCCCGATCTTCTGGTTTCGCTCGGTATAGCTCCTCTCGTCAACATAACGACCGTCGGCAGAAACCTGCAAGAGCAGACACAAAGTGTTATTGCAGGACCGACGAACGGCTTCGACATCGGAGGACAGGGCCCGCCGGATGCCATCGCCTTTACCAGCATACGCGAGCTGTTCGGGGTCTTTGCTGACGACGCGATCGCCAAGCTGCAAGAGTCGCTCCCGTACTTTGCACAGACCCAGGCGCACAACGGAATGTCTGCTCGGTCGCTGCAGACGATTTTCGAGCTCCAGGCGAAGACGCTTATCGAGGACAACGGTGGGCGCGCTGCAGGATGTCTCGCCTGGTGGGTTTCGCTGATGACGTTATCGCAGCACCCGTCACGGAACTGTACTTTGTCGTCCTGGGCGGGTGAGCGCGGCTCTTTGAACGTCTAGGTCAACCACAATGACGTGCTTCACGCAGCGACATTGGCATCGTCACGTGGAACCTCATTCCGTTCAGCAGAGGAAATGTTACGATTGCAGTAGGCGGCACTTTTCCCGCCATACACCCCGCTGCTGTCTGATATCTGTCTCTCGTTAGTCGAACGACCCATTCCAGAAGCCCATCGTCAACGTCAACTACTTCGACGTTCCCTGGGATCTCGACGTCCAAATCGCCTCCGCGCGGACGTGTCGCCTCTTGCTCAACAGCCCCCCTCTCGCGTAGGTCCCTCCACTGCGCTTCTTGTTCAGTCGCCGACATTGCACCTTTCGCAGCGCCCTCCGCAATTCCTCCGGCGAGTTGGAGCCCGGACTCAGCGCCGTCCCGGACCCGACGGGCGACGGCGGCGCGTCCGCCGACTGGGCCGCGTGGATCACCCAGCCCGGTCCGTCCGCCGGGTTCAGCGCGAACTCGCACCCGCTCGCGACGGCGGCGATGATGCGGCGCGCGCTCGGTGGGGTCGTCGACGCGCGCTTGCGGGTGTATGGGACGGAGCGACTGCGGGTGGTGGACGCGTCGGTGCTGCCGGTGCAGCTGAGCGCGCACCTGTCGCGGACGGTGTACGGCGTGGCGGAGAAGGCGGCGGACTTGATCAAGGAGGACCAGTGAGCGCATGCGGTCCGTACGGCTGCGAAGGCTTGTTTTGTACTCTACGTGCTAGCTATGGTACACATGAGAGCGGAAGGGCGTCACGCCACGAACACGCCCTTGATGACGTCCGCCGCCTGCTCCGCGACCGCGTACACGACGCTCTGCGTGTGCGCGCCCGGGATGAGCGGGACGACGCTCAGGTCGACGACGCGCAGCCCCGTCGTCCCGTACACCCTCAGCTGCGGGTCGACGACCCCGCCCCTGTCGCGCGGGAGCATCGCGCACGCGCCCGCGGTGTGGTGCACGGTCGTCATGTGCTTCTTCAGCCACCGCGCGAGCTCGGCGTCGGAGGCGACGGCGGGGCCGGGGTTGAGCTCCTTGCCGAGGACGGCGGCGAAGGGCGCGGTGCGCGCGAGGCGGCGCGCGAACTTGATCTGCTCGACGTAGGCGGCGAGGTCTGCGCGGCAAGGTTGGGAACTCGGTGCGCAGGCAGGGAGGGGGCGAGACGAGACGGGACGCACCGGCGGGCTCTTCGAAGTAGTGCGGGTCGATCGCGGGCGGCGCGAGGGGGTCCGCCGAGGTCGCGTGGATCGTGCCGCGGGAGAAAGGCCGGTTGAGCATGGAGCAGAGCGTGACGTGCTTGGCGCCGGGGGTCGGGGGGTCTGCCCCGCGGATGCGAGATCAGCGTAAGGGGGCGCTGCGAGCGCGGGGACACGCACTGGGGAAGCTGTAGAAGCCGGGGATGGTGGTGTACTCGGCGCTTGCTGCGCCCTCGGCGATGCGCGCGTGCTGCTCCGCGTACTGCTCCGTCAGACCGGGGGTCGTGCTCGTGGTGGGCGCGGTCGCCTCTATATCCGCGGCGCGCGCGCTGATGTCTTTCAGGGATGTCCAAGACAGCAAGGATATGCCGAGGGTGAAGAGGCCTTTGCCGTCGGGGCTGCACGGTGAAGAGTCAGATGTGCATCTGGTAAAAAGAGGAGGTAAGACGCACTAGAGGGCCATGTGTTCGGCGACTTTCGCGGGGTCTGTTAGCTCGTCGATCGTGTTGTACTTCTCGGGCTCGTTGACCTCTACACGACTATTCAATCAGAGATCGTTGTGGGTTAACAGAATCTGCGTACCGTACGCCATGCCCGCAAAGAGGTGCTCTTGGACGTTCGTGCCAACGGCGGGGAGTGAAACCTTGGTCTCGACCCCGATCTTCTCCAGAATGGCCGGGTCGCCGATCCCGGACAGCTCCAAGATCTGCGGCGACTTCAAGGTCCTGTGAATGTCGTGTCAGCGCCCCGTCCATATTCTTCTGGTCGTCCCTGAAGCGCACCCAGCAGAGAGAATAACCTCGCCGCTCGGGGACGTAGAGACCACATGCGTCTTGCCGTCGAACAAGAACTCCACGCCCGACGCCACGAACCCGCCGTCCTCAGTAGGTCCCAAGAGCACGCGTGCCACCGACGCGTTCACGAGGATCTTGAGATTACTGCGGCCCACCGCGAGCTTGAGATAATCTTGGGAGGTCGTGCGCGTGTTCGCGCGTGGGTCCACGGTCGAGGGCACCCTCCCCGCGCCCACCAGGGTGCCCGTCTGGAGGTCGCGCAGGCGCGGGAAGCCGAGTGCCTCGAGCGAGTCCTGCATCGCGACCTCCCATCCGCTCGTCGTGTTCGGGAAACCGATCACAATGGGCCCTGTAAAAGGGAAAAGTCAACAGGCGGTGGTGCGTGGTGGCGAGGCGTCGGCTCACCGTCCGTGCCGTGGACGGCGGGGTCGTGAGTCTGGCGCTCTTTCTCTGCCACCTCAGCTGACGCCGGGACGAATCTGGACGGGGGAGTGTGATTAGCGAGCAAAGAATATGGGGATGGACAGGGAGGAACGGACGTTTCGGACTTGATCGCGTACTTGAGATGGTTCTCCCAGTTCCATCCGGGGTTCCCGAGGCGCTCCCATGCTGCGGGTCAGTCATCGCGTTAGCATCGTTGTAGGCGCGGCCTCAAACGAGCTGACAGACCGTTGATATCCTCCTTCTCCGCGCGCGACCACGTGTAGAAGTTGACTGCAGAAGAACCGCCAAGACCCTTTCCTCTGCAACAAGCGACTTCAGCTAAATGGGGCACTGCAGGGACGCGATGCGTGAAAATATGCTTACCGGGGCCAAAAGAAGCTCGTGTCCTTCGAGTGCTTCTGCGGCACCTTGGTAACATTGATCAGCACCGAAGCTCTGCCGCATGGTCCGAAACAGTCGGCCTACCGTCGTGAACGCCCAGTCGTACTCCGGGTTGCCCATAAACTTGCCGTACCCGGCAGGGAGGTCTGGATTGGTGAGTATTGGTGAGTGTCATAAATGGCGAAACGTGGATGGCGTATGAACGTACCTATGAGGGGGTCGTTGAGGTGTGCGCCGCCAGCCTCCAGCACCAGCACCGTCTTCGAGGGTTCCTCGGAAAGACGAGCGGCGAGGACGAGGCCGGCAGTGCCGCCACCTATGATGACATAGTCGAAGACCTGGCCGGAAACGTTGTCGATGGTGGTGAGAAGGCTCTCCATGGTGCGCTGAGATGATTCAGAATACAAGAAAATGGTGCTGAGCTGGATGCTTGGAGCAAAGGAAGCCTCAACATATATATGCCACTGGGACGCGCCATATGAAATCAAATAGCATGTACATCAGCTTCTTGTTGGGTAAGCTGGCGTCCGACGAGAGTTGGAATACGGAACTAGCTAGATGGGGCACAGAAGAGTTTGTCGTGTAATCGTGTAAGTGACCGCAACGATCAAGTCCACACTCACTGAGGAGCTATTCGTCAACTATGCGATATTCGCCAAGGGACTTCTTTTTATCGGCCCTGGTGGCTGTAGTAACGAAATACATTGCGAAACGACGGTGGTTTACTGAGATCTACGTTCGCAGCTGGTTGGAAACACAGTGGTCAAATTACAAGCGAGATGAGTCGGTACGACTTACGAGACCCGAGCTTCAATCCAACATGACCTTGCCGAAAGCAACGATCCGTCACACACTGGGCGACACTGCTCGCATTACAATGTACGGTAAGACCGAGCTTACAGCCCTTTGCATAAAAGTGCGGAATCATCACGAAAGCAATTTCGGGCAGACGCTCAGGCACAATGTGCAGATGTGACCCGGGCGTCACGTCCTCTGTGAGCAGCGCGCGCGGTCCTCGCGTCGCGCGACTCCTTATGCTCGACGCGTCTCGGAGATTGCTAGCTACTCTTGTCTCCCGCATCCAGCCACGACTCCTCAGTCTCGAGATACGTGATCCACTGGCACGTCGTCGACAGCAGGCCGGTCTCTGAGATCTGCGAACTCGCCACCTGCCACAGGTCACCGCTTCAGCAGTGCGCAGCGTGAAACACTTCCGGGAGTCTGGCAAAGCAGGTATCCTCCCCAGGCCTCGACGTTCACGCCCCCTTTCAGCCGTCGACATACAATTTCTCATAACAGCCATCGAGAGAAACCCAGCGGTCCATCTCGACGAACTGCATACACACTTCGGCCCAGGTCACTGCTGGTACAGTCTCGTCGACCCCTTCTCAAATCTTGCGCAAGCTTGCGTCCACTCGCGAGAGGGTCTCGAATGTTTCGCTTGAGCGCAACGAGCTCCTGCGCGGCGCGTGGGTAGAGGAGTGGGGGGAAATCCGCATGGAATACATGGTCTGACCGGACGAGTCAGCAGCGGATGGTCGGACGAATCAACGGAGGATGGGATGGGCACCACTTGGGCTCACATGCGTACGTCGTGATACGGTTATTCGTGACCAACACTACTCTATCCTTTCTGCCTTTTCCATGGATGGTATCATCGCCCTCGTTGAAGCCCATGGTTGATTCGTCACGCCTTACATGTGATCACGCGCAAGCAGGCGTTGGCAAGAATCGAACCACGTACATAGTTTCATGTAGTTCAATAGGTTCTTTCCCCAATACTATGATCACTCTTCATACACTTGTTGCGGTAAGGCAATGGGGAGCACCCGACTTCACGCAAGTCGTGTCCAACCGCGGGATCCATGCCAGCTCGCGGGGGGTGTGACGACTGGGTCACATCTGCGCATTGTGCCTGAGCGTCTACCCGAAATTGCTTTCGTGATGATTCCGCACTTTTATGCAAAGGGCTGTATCGGGCCGGATATATGAAAGAGATCATGCCAGTCGAGATTCCGAGTCCCGATCGGAATGCGGATGATGACATCTGCGCCGGACGCGCGGTGGAATTGTTTTTAGTCAACACCGAAGAACACGGCGGTGCCGACGTGGCACACGCGATTTCAGTTTGGCTTCAAACAAAAGAGGTCCTGGATCGCCTCACCTGGGCGTGTAGATATTAATAACATAGAGTTCCACGAGCTCCGTGGGGTCTATGAATGAAGTGGAGGTAGTACAGGTAAGTATTGGCGTTCGGCGGAGACCGGCGCGTCGGGGACCAGCCTCAGAGCGCACATGGCGCCTTGGGAGATGAGATAAGATAAGATAACTTGAAGGAAGCGCATACAGCCGGCTTTAAGCGCCTCTTCTCTTTGACTTCACCCGTCACTGACTCTACGCTTCTAGGATTAATGTGGCATAGCTTGAGCTCACTCCCAAATTCCTCTGTCTTGTCTCAACAAGTTTCACTACGTGGAACACGTGTGCCTTACACTGCGAGGAGAGAACTTGCTGGTAGGCACACCACGGTTCCAGATCTCGAATATTCAACACGCAAAGTGCTAACATCGCTACATACAAGCGTCGTTCCGCCTTCTGGAGTCTAAGTAGTTTTGGCTTCGCGCCGTCATCCATCCCGCCAGACGCTCATCCGTCTTCTCGCCGAGCGCGCTGCGAAGCCTGGTCCATGGGAACGCCGCGACCAAGTTCGGCGCGATATCACTTCAGGGGAGGCAGCTGGGGATCATTTCCATCTCTGAGTCCTGAGCGCTGTTCTACTCTGATGCTACTCTCACGCCAGGTCGTCACCACCTATCTTTCCGTCTCAACGTACCGCTGAGCCTGAAAGACTCTTGCAGTCACATACGTACGGCGGTTCAGCGGCTGGGAGAAGTTCTCTATCCGCCTTCGACCGGCTTCCCAAGCCCATGTGATACGCTCTTCTTCAGACGACGAGCTGACGCCATCGGGTCATCTTAACCCCTCCTGCAGTATATAGGTACAACGGACAGCATCCTCCCTTCTCCAGTGCCCTTGTAGTGCATTCACCCGAGATGGCAGACGATGAGTCTCCTCGAGAAACCATCCTCGTGGTGGGGCTGGGGATGGTGGGGATCGGTAAGTGATTTTTTTTCACCGTTTGGTCTCTATTAATGACCAATATATCTAGCATTTATTCGAAAGGTCATGGACCTCGACACCCGGCAAAAATATCGCATTGTGACATGTGGCGAAGAGCAACATTGTACGCACCAGTTCCCCCGCATATTTTGCCGTTCACTCTTATATCATCTCCTAGTGGCGTACAACCGGGTCGCCCTCACGGACTACTTCCAGCACCGCAACGTCAAGGAGCTCTACCTCGAGTCTCGTAGGTTGTGTTGTTCCGATGACAACCATATGCTCACACTGTGCTCCAATGCAGCGGACTGGTACACCTCCCAGGACCCCAAGCGATTCGAGTTCCACACTGGAGAGGCTATCTCCGCCCTGGACATTGCCTCTCAGACGGCCATGACAGACAAGGGCCGTACGCTCTCATACAACCACTGCGTGCTTGCGACCGGCTCCGACGCCTCTCTCCCCTCGTACGCCGACACCTCCGTCCCGGGCGTGTTCGTCTATCGTAACATCTCCGACGTCGACGCCCTCATTTCCTACGCTGAGAAAAATGGTCTCAAGGGCCTCTCGGTACGTCTCTCCCCCACCCCTCCTACATACACCGCTCATCGACGGGGCTCAACCAGGCCATCGTCCTCGGCGGGGGACTCCTCGGCCTCGAGGCCGCCAAAGCCGTGCACGACCTCCCCACCGTGTCGCGCGTCGCGATCGTGCACCGCTCCCGCTACCCGCTCTCGCGCCAGCTCGACGCCCAGGGCGGCGACATCGTCCGCCGGCGGATCGAGGACATGGGCGTGCGCTTCCTCGGCGGGACCTCCGCCGTCCGCGTCTGCACCTCCTCCTCCCCCTCCGAACCCGGCGACTCCTCGGGCGCGCGCGTGACGGGCGTCGAGCTCGCGGACGGCACCACAGAGCCGTGCGACCTCGTCGTCTTCGCGATCGGGATCACGCCCCGGGACGACGTCGCGCGCGCGGCGGGGCTCACGTGCGCGCCGCGCGGGGGCGTGGTCGTCGACGACGCCCTGCGCGTGAATCGCGCCAGCGACGGCTCGGGGACGGTGGAGAACGTGTACGCGGTGGGCGAGTGCGCGAGCTGGCGCGGGAACACGTACGGGCTGATCGCGCCGGGGATCGAGATGGCGGACATCCTCGCGTTCAACATGACCCAGGCCGCGACGGACATCGGGTCGTTCAAGCCCCGGCAGATGGTGCGTGGCACGTCTCTCGCGCCGTCCGCGCGCGACGCTGACGGAATGTCCCGGCCGCGCAGAACGCCCCGGACTTGTCGACGAAGCTGAAGCTCATGGGCGTCGACGTGCGTGCTTAGCGCCTCTTCGCTGCTCGCATTGACCGACCTCTCCCCAGGTGGCGTCTTTTGGCGACTTCTTCGCCGAGATGCACGCCAATGTTTCCCCCGCGGCTGTCGAAGCGCCCGCGCAGAGCGCGCCGCCGGGTTCAAGCGGGCCCACGAAGCACGACGCGTCGACGCCGAAGAAACGCCATGGCGCGGCGGCGGCTGCGGAGGGCCCCGTGGAGGCTCTCACGTACCGGGACCCGTTCGCTGGGGTGTACAAAAAGTGGGAATGCGGTTATACGTATGGCGAGCAGCGGGGGAGCTCACGCGATGCGACAGGTACATTTTCAGCGCGGATGGGAAGTACATCGTCGGAGGGATGATGGTCGGGGACACGTCCGACTACGTGAAGCTCGTCGCGATGGTCAAGAAAAAGGCAAGCCCCAGCCCAGAGCGTGGGTGGACACAGATTGACGTGCTCGTCCTTGGCAGAAAACGCTCGACGTCCCTCCGTCGCAGTTCATCCTCGGCTCCAAGAGCGGCGGAGACGACTCCGGGGCAGATCTGGACGACGACACCCAGATCTGCAGCTGTCACGTACGTCGAAGATCGATGCCTGTTTGGAGCGAAACGAATCTGAATCAAAATGCGACAGAACGTTTCGAAGGGACAGGTCGTGCAGTGTGTCAAGGACGGAGCGCACAGCCTGGACGAGGTGAAGCGAAAGACAAAGGCGGGGACGGGATGCGGCGGATGTAAGTCTTTGTTGCTAGTTCCCGTCAAGTGCAGAACTCAATTTGGCACCCGCGAGCTAGGCGTCCCGCTCGTAACGAACATCATGAAGGTACCTTTCGAATCGCTGACAGCCTCCCTCGTCCACTTGCACTGACTCTCTCTTAGACGGAGATGAAGAAGGCGGGCCTCGCAGTCAGCAACAACCTCTGCGCCCACTTTGCCATGTCCAGAGTGGATCTGTTCAACGTTATCAAGTACGCGAGTGGTTCCTAATCTAATGTGACACCTTATCTAACGGCATTTCAGGATCAAGAAGCTCAAGACCACAACCGAGATCATGGCTGCGGTAGGGGTCGTACCCGACGCACTGGGTTGCGAGATCTGCAAGCCTGCGATGGGCAGCATCCTCTCGTCGCTCTGGAATGAGCACATCATGAACCCTGAGCATCACGCGTGAGTTTTCACTTTAGCGTACCGGCTCACAGGTCCACTTACACACGTCGCTATTCCCAGAAACCAAGACACGAACGACAAGTAAGCCCAAATTCTGCGTGACAGTGCACTTGCTGACAACGAGCGTTCGTGCGACAGATTCCTCGCGAACATTCAGCGAAACGGTAAGTCATGTTTCTTCGGACTACCTCTCGCTTGTGCTGATGTATCCCGTCCAAGGCACGTTCTCCGTCATTCCACGAGTGGCTGCAGGAGAGGTACGCATTTGAGCTTTTTCTCGGCGACGTCTCTGACCGTAATGAAGATCACCCCGGATAAACTTGTCGCGATCGGGCATGTTGCGAAAAAATGTACGCAGCCTTTCGAAATTCCTAGGCGACGCGCTGCGCACGGGCTCACACCGCTCATCCGCACAGATGGATTGTACACCAAGGTCACAGGCGGGCAGCGGATCGACATGTTTGGTGCCGAGAAGGCCGATCTGCCGTCGATCTGGAAGGAGCTCGTCGACGCCGGGTTCGAGAGCGGGCATGCGTACGGTCAGTCTGGGGCTCGGCGGTACATAGGATTTCTAGTACTGACTCCTTATTCCCAGGTAAGTCTCTGCGTACCGTGAAGTCCTGCGTTGGTACGTCCTGGTGCCGATACGGCATTGGTGACTCTGTCGGACGTGAGTGCATACCATTGCCATCCTCCACCAGCGCAATCTAACTGCGCGGCCGTGGAGCTAGTCGCCGTGCAACTCGAAGAGCGTTACAAAGGCGTTCGGTCTCCACACAAGTTCAAGGGGGGCGTGAGCGGGTGCGTTCGAGAGTGCGCCGAAGCTCAAGGAAAGGACTTCGGGCTCATTGCGACGGACAAGGGGTGGAATAGTACGTCCATTTCCCACATTCTATCAACCAATAACTGAAACCGTTTTGCGACCTCTCAGTCTTTGTCTGCGGGAACGGAGGTAAGCGGAAAGGCCCGCTTGGGGTGCTTCTCTCACCCTCGCATAGGCGCAAACCCCCGCCACGCGACACTGCTCGCCAACGACGTCCCTCCATCAAAGGTGATCAAGATCGTCGACAGGTTCATCATGTACTACATCCGCACCGCCGACAAGCTCATGCGCACCGCGCGCTGGCTCGAGGCCATGGACGGCGGGATCGAGGTCGGCCTCAGGTTCCATCCATACCCTAGCCAAGTTCGCTGACCGTATGATCGACTGTACGCCCAGAAACTGCGCAAAGTCATCCTCGACGACGAGCTCGGGATCTGCGCCGATCTCGAGCAGGAGATGGAGGCGCTCGTCGGCACGTACTACGACGAGTGGAAGATCGTGACCGAGGACCCAGTCCGGCAGAAGCAGTTCCGGCAGTTTGTCAATACCGTGAGCCGCGTGACGTCTTGTCGGGCTACCCGCCGCAGTGCTCACTCACTTGTTACCCCCGGATGACAGGACGAGAGGGCGAAACAGACGGAGATGATCACCGAGCGCGGCCAGCAGCGCCCCGCGTCGTGGTCCAAGTCCGCGCCGCCGCTGGTGATGCGTGAGGCCGACGTCGCGGCGCCCAAGAGTGCGTGGAACTGGAAGGCACTCGCGAAGGTCCAGGACCTCGTCCCGAACGACAACGGCACCACGTGCGTCCCCCCGCGTTTTCGGTTTCTCAGTGCCACACTGGCCGCAGCTCACGCCGCTCACGAACCGCGCCATGCAGGTCCGCCGCGGTGCGCTACGGCGACAGCCAGCTCGCGATCTTCCACGTCCCGCACAAGGGCTTCTTCGCGACCCAGCAGATGTGCCCGCACCGGCGCGCCTTCGTCCTCGACCACGGCATCGTCGGGGACGACCCCAAGTCCGGCGCGCTCTACGTCTCCTGTTCGTCCCTCTCTTCCTCTCTCTCCCCCTCCCCCTCTTTCTCTGAGTCGGATGCTCCTCGCGTCCTCGCGCTGACTCGCCACCACACGCGCAGGCCCGATGCACAAGCGCAACTTCAACCTCGCGACGGGCGAGTGCCTGAACGACGACGGCTACGGCGTGCTTGCGTTCGACGTAAAGCTGGAAGGGGACGACCTCCTCTTGCTCCTCCCCGACACGGACGCGCTCGACGCGGTCATCGGGACATCGAAGTGGATGGTCCGCCAGGCGACGGCGGAGCTGCTCGACCGTGGCCTGAGCGACACGTCCGGGATCGAGATCGCTGCGCCCGTGGAGGAGGTGCAGGGCGGGGGCGCGCAGACTGGTGGGGCGTGCGACGGGAGCGGGTGCGGCGACGGTCGTCTCGAATGGTGAATGTTCGATGGATACAACAGAACCAAGAAGCCTTGTATGTATGTATCAGGACCTGACGAAGGAATATTACGAGAACCCGGTAAGCTACTGTCCCCAAGACCGAAACCTACAAGACACGTTGGACTTCCCGCGATACGAATTAGCGTCAATAAGTCAGCTCCCACCGTCCGTTCCTCACGGCTCGTCGTCGATGAAGATCGGCTCGACGCCCTTCCACGACACGACCGCGGCGCCCTTCGCGTCCTGCGTCGCCTTCCACACCTTCTCGCGCTCGGCCCAATACTCGACCTCCCCGCCCGCCATCGCCGGCATCCACACGCGCTCGCCCGTGTCCGGCTCCGTCGTCGCCGCGAACCACCGCGGGCCGTGCGCGGGCGCGCTGCCCTCCTCGCGCGCCTTGCGCGTCGCCCGCTGGAACTCCTCCTGCTTGATCTTCAGGTCGTTCGCGCGCTCGTACTTGCCGAGCTCGAACGCGCGCTGGTCCGGGCGCATCCGGCAGTCCGTCGGGCACACGTACGGCCGCAGCGTGTCCGGCGGGCAATCGTTGAGCGTGATCGCGAACGGGGTGAGGTTGAACGGGAAGGTCGGCTTCTCCGAGTTGCGCCAGAGGAGGATGTACTCCTTCTCGCTCGCGGGCGCGACGTCGGGGTGCAGCTGTCCGACGCCAGTGCCGACGCGCCGCGCGACGAGCTGGCTGTTCCAGCGCCCGGCGATCTCGTACACGACGTTGCCCTCGGCGTCCGAGACGTAGCCACTGATCTCGTACGCGTCCCGGCCGCGCCAGCCGCGGGGCTTGAAGGTCAGCACGCACCGGTCCTTCGTCCGATGGTTCGTGATCTGGGCGCGACGATGTCAGCGTATGCGCCAATAGACGCGCCGAGCCAAACATACCACCATGTCGCCGTAGTGGTCAATCGTTGGCGAGCCGAGGATGAAGCCCGAGACGTTCGTCGTGACCTTCTTCCAGCTGTAGTGCTCGACCACGCGGCCCGCCACGTTCACCCCCCTGGCCTTGGGGTAGCCCTCCAGCCCTTCGCGGTCTTCGGGGAGGAGCAGCTCCGCGTGCGCGATGCCGGTGGGACGGATCTCGAACGACTTGCCCATGAACTTGTTCTGCGCGTCGACCTCGCCGTAGTAGCGCCACGTGGGCGCTTCTGCCCAGCACGCCGAGATCGGAGGGTGGTGGCTGACCTGCTCTGAGACGTAGCGGTACTGCTTGTCGTGTCGCACGTACTCGAAGGTCTCGCTCTGTGAAGAACTACGGGTGAGTATATATGCCGGGAAGGATGTAAGAAAAACATACAAGCATAGGGTTGAAGGGTTTCGCGATGCGGCCGATCGTGGACGAGTAGTTCGACATCGCGAAGGCTGCGACGAACGCGATCCTCTTGTGCTGGTCCGTCTCGGCGTACGCCGCGTCCACTACATACAAGCGTCAGACCGGTATCCCATATACGTCAAGGACGTTGGACGTTGTACTCACAACACTCTGAGAACTCCATGTCCTCCGCCATGCGCTGGAGCATGCTCGTCGGCTCATTGAAGAACACCGGGAACGAAATCTTCGTCAGGTCTTTCCCGATGCTGTTCTTCAGCACCGCCCACAAGCTCATCGGCGGCCGGTCGTCGGTCGAGATCCCAAGCCGGTCGCGGAGCTTCGTGTACCCCGCATAGACCTCCGGGCTGAGGAACACGGTCGTGGCGCTCGGGTTCTGTTGGATGAGCGACCGCGTGATGACGAGCCCCGGGAGGTTGCCGGACTCGATCGCGTCGAAGAACTCGTCCTCGTCCGTCGTGTCCCCGTCGTCCTCGTCACCGTTCGCGATCGCGCCGGCGCTCGCACTCCCGGCGCCCATGATGAGCGAGAACGGGCGCCCGTTGACGGGCACGTTGAGCGACGTGCGCCGGTTCGAACCGCGCGCAGAGATCGTGGCCGCAGGCGAGGGAAGGTCATCGCGCGCCTGCGTGAACGGTGCGGCGGGTGGTACGGGCGTGGGCGCGGGCGCAGGGTCGGGGTGGGGTATCGCCACCGCCGGCGCGGTGACGATCTCCGGAGTGGAGGTGGGACTGGGGAGGCGACGGAGGGTGCCGGCGTTCTGCGCGTCGCTCGGGGCGCGACTGCGGCGGCGGATGCGGCTCCGGAGCTCCTTCTCGAGCATGTCGCCCTCGCGCACAACGGCCTGGAGGCTCGCCTCCCAGACGTTTTGACGCTCGCGCTCGCGCTCGAGCGCGGATTTGTACCACTCCTCGCGCTCCTTCACCATCTGCACGTACTCGTTGAGCATGCCCGAGACGGTGCCGAGGGTCTCGCCGAGCGCCTTGTGCACCTCCGCGGCACGGAGGGAGTTGGACGACTGCGCGGTCGACTTGAACAGTTGCGCGGCAAGGTCGGTCTGGGCGATGAGGGAGTTCCCTTGTAGCTCGAAGGAGTTTGCGTGAGGTGCCGCGTTGCGTACGGAGTCCGAGTCGGACGAGTCCCCATGGTCCTGGTCGCCTTCGGTGTCCGTGAACGAAGGCTGGTGGTCATGATCGCGGCGTTCGCTGGCGGCTTCGCCGCCCGAGTCGCCGTCGACTTGAGAGCTGGTCGCGGAGATGACGCCGCTAGCGCCGCTGGTCGACTGAGTGTGCCTGCGTCGCGTGGCGCCGGATATCGATAGGGACGGCTTGAGGCTGGGGGCTTCGCTATCGCCGCTCTTCCGGCTTTGCGTGTCGTCCCGCTTCGCAAGCTCCATGCTCTTTTGGATAGCGGTGATCCATCGCGAGGCCTCGACGGGGTGGTTCGCCTTCAGGTACCACTTCTGGATTGACGAATGGCCTCTGGAAGGTGTCGAGTGCACTTCGAAGCGCAGTCCTGACGTCCCCGTCGGTACAGTCAAGATCGCGTGTCGCAGAGAGATCGACCCTCGGCACGCGAGATTCTCGTCTTCCTGGTGGCGGTAGTCTGCGGAGTGTCAGCAAACATCAAGATGAGGGCGTTTTGAGAACGTACAAGAGAGGACGCCCTGGTGTAAAATAAACCAGCGCGTGTTGTACCCTCTTGCGACATTCGTGTACTTGTTCAGGTATCCGCGAAGCTCTGGAGGTTCCAATGACGTCGATGGTTCGGCAATCAGGGAGTTGTCCTGATTGGTGACTACAATGGATCGTCAGTTTCTTCCACATCCCGAACACGGAAAGCACTCACACTGTCGAAGGAAGACACGAACACGATCGTCCTTGCCAGCGCTGTCGTACACTGGACGACCTTTGCGATCGCGCACGAAGACATCTGCGCCGGCGCGTACGGCTAGCTCGACCAAACGCAGGTCTTTGCGTCGGGCGGCCTCGTGAAGCAACGTCCGGCCGGAGGAATCGTCGAGATAGGATAGGTCGACAAGGCGTATCCGAGGTGAGGAAAGGATTTGGATCAGTGCGTCAGTAGGAGGAGCGCTGGAGGAGGACAGAATGTAGCTGCGAAGCAACGACCGATATGACGCGGTAAGGATCGCTCTCGAGTCTACACGCGGTCGATCAACATCTCGCGCAGGTGTGAGAACCAGGCGCGGGCGTACCTCGGATGGCGCGAACGGTGTCCTTCCCCTTGGCGACTTCGAGGCACGTTTTCCCTTGGCTGTCGCGCAAGCTATCGTCGATCCCCTCCTGCTCCAACAACAGATTGACGACATCCGTTCGCGATAGCGAGGCTGCTAGGTGCAGTGCCGTAGTACCAGATCCAGGAGGGTATACTGCATTCGGAGAAATGGACCTATGAGATGATAGGAGAGATATAGTATCGCCTGGCAACCGCAAGCAATTAGCGGGGACTCTGGGTGGGAAATCATGTGGCCTACATGATGCACAGCGAATGGCGAGATGGAGTGCAGCGGCGCCAAGGTCTGTGTCACTTTCTGCGGATGTTCTGCGGTCCTTGGTGATATCGGTGAGGAAAGGGTGGATGCGAGCGGGATCGCCTATATCCACACTTGAGCGTGCGTACGATAATCGCTGTTGGAAGCACCTACCGCTTCGTAGCGCAGATAGTAACCGAACTTGGTAGAGGGAGTCTAGTTCGTTTCCATCTGCATCACAGATGTTGTTAGTACGAACGAACCAACAAAATGAAGCAGCATTATGTGGAACGAAGAAGAAAGAGGCTCCGAAGCGACCAGCGCACTTCTGAAGCACGTTCGACAGACGGTCGTGAGATTGGGCACACGCTTGTGCGGCTCATCTGGGCTTGCGCGCGCAATAACTGAAAGCCGAGTCTTCGGTTTCAAGTTCGCACACTCTTCACACAATAGTGCGAGAAGTGAGCACGGGTCATTTCCAGGGCGCCACGACCACGGGCGCAGCACAGCCTATTTGCAGAATGACATCGACCATGTCGTAACGACGAGCAGACACTGGCGCCGCTGCGCAATGAGTTACCCCACAGAGCAAAGAGTGTGGGAGGGTCTGGGGTAGTAGTAGCTGCAGCCGCATATACGCACACCGAGGGGCAGGAATGTAATGTTGCACACTATGCCCTCGATAAGCATATCCGCGGAATGGGGTGGCGGAGAAGCGTGTATGGGAGAAAGGGAGGGTATATGCGCAGAACACGGAAATGAAGAAGCATAGGAAGAGGTGCTCTGACACATGACGCTTCTTTGAGCCTCAAGCAGGAGGTAGGGGCGAAAGAGGAGCATCTGCGAGCCACTGGAGCCACACCGAGCAAGCTCACTTTCCGCACCAACTCTGGAAGTGGGAAGACGTTGGAGGAGAGACACGAATGCGCACCGATGACGACCACATAACCTCTCACTGATCACCAAAGCCGAACACCCGTACTTCCATTGAAGCCAAGAGGAAAGAGACTCACTTCGAGGACCACTAAGGATGGAAGCCGTTGAAGATATCCGTTGTTCGTGGGCCATCGTCGATGCCCGTATATCACACCCTCAGTGCCTCCCAGAGAGAATAGAAGTAGCCAAGAAGAGGACGGGATGAGGAGGGCAGGAGGAGTGAGGAGAGATGAGAGGGACAACAAATATGGATCATCCGCCTCTGCTGCCTACTTACTGCCGGCGAAACTCCGAAAGGCGGGGCTATAGCGCTGGTGAAAGAATGCTGATGACCATTTCACGATTTGTGACTCCGCCGCTAGTCCCGCGCATGCAGCCGTCTACGTCACTGTCCCCAATCCAGCAAGCGCAGGCACCTCGGCCACGTTCCTCACACCTTCCCCTTGCACACTAGGCCAGTCACGCCAACGCACGAGCCGGTGAGTTTCATTCGCACCCAAAAGCAGACGTCTCTGTCTGACAGTACTTGGTCGCACGCATGTTCCACCACCTCCATACCCACCCTCTAAAGTGGAGAGTATCCATATCCAGATCAACTGTCCCCGTGAGAGGCCCATGTCTAGACGATCCATCTTACGGCATACTGGACCGCAGCTGCACCCCACGCTGGCCAGCTCTCAGCTTCTCCGATTATATCAAAGCAACGCCAACTACGCCCGCGTTTGATGTAATTCTCGCCGCCAACGTGGGTGTATCCATTTCTGGTTTCTCTTCCCGCGTCTTCTCATTCTACCCTTGCCGGCACCGGCGCAGTGCGCACCTTGGCAGCACCAGATACATAGCTCCCTGGTCCAAACGTCGCTTAACTTGCCCGAGAGTGGGTTCCTGGTTACCTTGTACTTTCCTCGTGCTTACCATATCCTTGCCATTGTTCTTCCAGCGAGCCTATACGCACTTCCAGCGCAACATGCCAGGGCCATAGAAGGCCCTGAGCCCTAGAGCGCAAGCGTAGAGCCTATATCCGCGCCAGAAGCAGCGTTGCTCCAAAGAGCGAGCTTAGGCAGGCCATCTTATGTCAACGTCCAGCGCACTCAATATACCCCCACCTGGACGGGCGGAGCAGGCTGCGGCACTACGTCGAACTCCCTCACCTCGAATCGCTCGGACTCGGATCTTCCTCCTGATCATCCCCCGCCCACCGACCTCCGCGCGCTCACCACGCTTCACTCTACTCCCATACGCCCTCATGCTCACCTCAGCTTCCTTTCTTGAGGAAATTCACCTCGCCCCGCAGGTGGAAGGCCCCCGATCGATGACTGGCTCGACACGCCGTGGCACCTGCCCGCCGCGCGACCCTGGCACCCTCGGTCCCGCCCAACGGTACGCCACCCCGCGCGATGTGCCGCTGGGGCGGTCGCGACCGCGCACGGCGTACGATCTCTAACCTCAAATGGTCGCGCAGGCATCCAGGGCCCCAAGAGCCCTCAAGCTACTTCAGCGCGCGGGCCTCGCCGCGTGCCACTGCCGCCGCCCCTCCGCGCCGCTGCCTCGCCACTCCCGCGTGGTCCTCATCACCCCGCGCCGCGAGCTCCGCCCCTTCTTCACCCCGCGTCGCCCCTGCCGTCCCCTGCTCTCCGCACGCACTCCGACCCGCCTTTGTCGGACCCGTCGATGTCCCTCGCACCTCCTCAGCTCGGTACACGGCCTGCTCGCGTATATCCAGCATCGTTTCCCTTTGTCGTCGCTCCCCCACGACCCTCCGCACCCGCCCCGACCTCCCCTCCCTCGCCTTCCCTCATGTCGCTGCCGCCATCGCGCCGTCCTCCCGAGCACCAGATCCTCCGCGGGTGGATCAAGACCACTGCCGACGCTCTGCTCGTCCTCGAAGCGACGCGCGCAGGGCTCGTCCCCCGCGTCACCCGTCGCTTCCACGAGATAGAGAAACGGTCGATCATCGCATCCGGCGCGATCCTCGTCTTTGCCGAAGAGGAGAGCGGCATCAAGCGGTGGACGGACCCGTTCCTCTGGAGCGCGTCGCGCATGCAGGGCCACTTCCTGGTAAGTCGTCACGTCTTTGTTGCATGCTCAACTGATGTGCCCGCACAGATGTATCGCGAGCGAGAAGACAGCGAAGACGCAGACGTCGGCGCGCCATACCGCTGCTCGACGATGCCTCCGCTTTCGGCGGGACCTTCTCAGTCCAGGGAGACTGACCCGGAGCTCGAGCACTACATCCTCGGCAGCTGGAACAAGGGGCGCGGGCTGAAGCACGATGGGCTCATGAAGAAGGCGCGTCTCTTTGTCCTCCTCTCGCGCGTCAGCTGACCGTTCCCGCATACAGACGCTTTCGATGATCATCGACGGCTCGACGTACCATCTTATCTCGTACTACTACCCTTCGGACGTGCGCTCGGGAGCGCTGCAGACGCCATCTTCCATGCCGCACCTCGCCGGCCTCGAGGTCAGCCCCGCGGTCCTCGACGGTCTTTCCGACCCCCATTCTGTGCCGTCGTCGTCGGGCACCAAGACGAAGCGCGGGAAGTCTACTCGATCGTGCGTTCCACCCCCTCCCTCCCATCCTTCTCCCTCTCACTTTGACAGGCCAACAGAAGACGTGTGCGCGGAGCCGCATCGCGCGCCTCCACGTGCTCATCTGGCACCCAAACGCCCTCTCCGACAAGCTACTGGGGACCCGGGTCCGACATGAGGCTCCCCCACACCCCCTCCCCTCCTTCATCCACCTCCGCCCCTCTTCACGACCGCCTTTTGACTCCACCTTCACTCGTATCTCCGCACGGTCTCCAAGACACGGCTTCTTCCCTCGCGTCCGCACCTCTGTGTACGGGCTGCCCCGAGCCCGAGGGCACCCTCGACTACACGCTCACCGCCTATCCCCCATGGGACGACCCGACGACAACGTACGGCCTCACGCAGTCCTTCCTCGCGTCCATGTCTGCGCCCGTGCCCGCGCCCACGCCCGAGTGGTGCTCGATCCCCATCGACCCGCACGCCCCCGCAGCCGGCCAGGACGGGTCGTGGGCGCCCATAACGGCGTCCTGGTCGCTCGGCCCCAGTCAGTACTACTGATGGGCGGGACGCGAGTCGACGTCACCCCGCTCCACCGCCGCCCGCCTCCGTTCTTCCCTTCTGCATGGTAAATAGCACACGATACGCCGCCCTGCACCCCGCGCCCTCACGAACGCACTACACCCGCATAACTCGCGGCCCGTCCTGATCGCGGACGCGGGCGCGCATTGTACATCTGATCGATGGTTTACGATTTTGCGTTGTTGTTCCGAGCCTCGCTTTTCTTGCCCCTGTTTACTGTACGTTCTTCGCGGCTTGCCTGGCCCGGACTAATGTGTACGTTGAGCGCAAACACGATACCCGAACAATGGAAGTGGCATAATTGAGCAGATGGGGGGAAGAAGTAACGGTACACGCGTGCACGGAGCGAAGGATATAGAAGAGGCGTGAGCGAGCTGAAGGTGGAACGAACGTGGGCAATACATTGCGACAAGAGAGCGGATCGAGTGAGTCCAAAAGAGTGTGACTTAGAGAGAGCGGTGTAGGGTTATAGATCCAAGAGACAAATGAGATCAAGAGCTCGAGGTCGAAGAGGAGCTGCGCGAAGAACCCGTCAGAATCAGCCCCAAGCCCTCCCACCCGCACGCGAGCACACTCACCTGTTCGTGATCGTCGCCAGCGCGCTCGCCGCCGACGCGGGGCACACCAGCCCGTCGAAGATCCCGTCCGCGATCCCGCTCAGCAGCCCGGACCAGTCGATCGACGCGAGCGCGTCCGAGACCGCGTCGCGGCCCTCGACCGCGCGGCGCCCGCCCAGCCCGCGGCGGACGGGGACCATCCGCTTCGCGCCCGCGGTGCTCCCGCACGTGCTGAACAGGTCCCACTGGCCGTCGAAGAGCGAGGTGGCGACGTTCGGGTTGAAGACGCCGAAGAGGCTCGCGCTCGCGCCCACGTTCACCCCCAAGCCGGTGTAGACGTCGACGCACCCCGCGGCGGCGCCCGCGCCGGACGCGTCGGACTCGGTCGAGAGCGTGCCGGACGCGGAGGCGGTGCCGTTGAGCGCGAGCCCGGCGGAGGCGTCGACGTTGAAGTTGACGGTCGCGCTCGCTTGGCCGTTGAGCGCGGAGACGCCGAAGGCGAGCTGGGGGATGAGGTGCCCGGAGAGCGTGCCAGAGGCGGTGATGTTGGGCGATGCGGAGAGCTTGAGGGCTGCGTGCGGTCGGGGTTAGAGCGTGGGCATGGGGGAGGAGGGAGGGCGCGTACTGTTGGACCCGGGGGTGAAGATGCCGCCGAGAAGGCTGGTTTTGGTCGAGCTGCCGTCGACCTTCATGGGCGGGTAGACGAACTGCGCGCCGCTGATGGTGTAGGCGAGGTCGACGTCCATGTCGAGCGCGGTGTCGAGGCTGGCAGTCGCGCCGCCGATGAGCGAGAACGTGGGGCCGATGGAGATGATGGCGGGGATGCTGAGGCCGGGGAGACCAACGGTGTAGAGGGTCTGCTTGACTGAGAAGGTGCCCTGGAAGCAGCTCAGAATGCACAACAGAGTGAAGGAGCTGCGCGAGAAAACTCACCGAAGCACCAGCTGTGAGACCCATGTTTCCGGTCATGACGGAGTCGAGGCCGACGGTTATCCCGAGCTGGAAGTTCTTCAGGTCGAAGATGTTGAGCGCCATCGCGATGCCAAACTTGAGTGTGCCGTTGACGCTGCCTCCAACGCCGAGATCGACGTCTGCGGAGAAGCCGGGGATGTCGCCCGACTGGGCACACGACAGAGAGACGTCCAAGAGGGTCGTCTCCGGGAACGAGAAGCCAAAGTCGTGCGTAGCGACGTTGACCTTGAGAGGGCTGCGTTTGGCCAGACTACGCCTGTCCCGGCAAACCGAAGCTGCAGCTCTGCATCGCAACCTCCGAATCAGCGAGGTGATGGTCAGAGATCTAAAGGGACTACTGACGTCGACGTGGTCTTCTCGCTGGCAGTGACGTTGGCGTGCACTTCGCTGAGACGGGTTGAGGTTTGAGCGACCCAATCGGCCACCGAGCTGTTGTCGGTCCTTGAGGGGTTCACCACGAAGTCGCTGGCGACACTCTCAACGGAAGATCCTTGGACAAAGAACATGACATCGCCATGCCTGTAGCGTAGCATGTTAGTCGGAGTTGACATAGACTCTGCAAGGTAACTTACTGCGTAGAGTTCGCGTCGGCAAACTGGGTGCTGAGGCTCATTCCCTTGACTATGGGATCCGTGCCATTGCGGCGAGTCAAAAGGGAGCGCTTACTGGCCGGGATCGACTGATCCTCGTGATCCCAGACGCTAAGCACGAGAGCGAAGGGCATGGAAGCGCACTGGATGTACCGTCTCAGCCTCACTGGGACTGCACAGGGAGGGAGTGAAGCGTACCTCATCCGGCAGGCGCACGATTGTGTTCTCCGCGCCGTTCAAGTACAGATGATCGCATCCCATGTCCGAGTCGTAGCAAGCGACGCGGACGTCCTGGTCTGCCGCGGTGCTGTTGCAGCCGAGAATCACCCATCCCGCGGCCTCCGTAAGATCAGAGATACCAGTCGACGATCCGGCCTGGATGGCAGCCAAGGTCAATGAGCGTTTGCAAGCATGTTGATGAAAGGGTGGAAGCGTACCACGCGGACCGTGCCCGAGGAGCCGCTCCCGCTCGGGATGTCCCAGTCGCACTCGCCGGAGAGACACGCCTGTGACCAGTCGTTCTTCGCCCAGGCGGCGAGAGGAAGGAGCACGACGGCGAGAAGGGGGGCCAGCCGGGAGAGCATGGTGAGGGCTCGGGATGAGGAGAGGCGGCTGGACGTGCGAGCGCATCTTTAAGGACGGTCGTGCTGTGGGCAGTGGAAGAACGGCTCGCGTGGAGAAGCCAAGTGAACGGCTCCGCGCCGTCCTGGGTCCGGAGGGGGATGCTGATGGAAAAGCGAATCGAAAGGCGGTCGACACGGCAGAGCGGCCGCCAGCGGAACGGGGCGTCGCCGAGCTGGCCGTCGTGCCTTGGAATATCGCGGCGGGAAAACAAAAAGGCCGACCAGAATATATAGTAGTACTTAGGACGCGCCGGTTTCAACATTCGAGCCAACGAGCTGCCGTAGAGTTGTACATGACGCTGAAGAAGGTCGGCGACTCACGCGGGGTCACCTCCATAGCCGTTGCGATCGTGTGGGACACCCTGGGACAAGACCCGGGGCTAAGGGAAGGCACTGGGTAAACTGCAGCAAGTCTGATCTGCACCTGAGCGTCGATTGCAACCAGCCGTTCTAGCGTGGATGAAACGTGAACGTCTTTCCACGTGAAATTCAGGACCGTCCAAGCACCGCACATCTCCGACAGCGGGCTTGAAGCGCCGATTAAATTTCTCGGCGCTCAAACGTCGGCGCTTCCACGCGGACACGACATTCGTTGACAAGTCTGTACCAAAGCTCTACAAAACGCTATATTACAAGCACGTATCACAAAAAGCATCAACAAGAACGCCCATACCAGCCACTTGTCATCCCATCCGCATTCAAACGCCGAGGACATGCTGGGCGATGCTGCACAGAATCAATCAGACAGGCGTTTAGCGCGCTCGACAAGCCCACTCACCTCGACCCCGATATCGTCTGTCCGATCAACGAGGCTACCTCCCGTGCCCCCGCCACCTCGAAGCAGCTCACATTTTGGCTGGGGGTCTTCGCCGCAACCACCGTGCGCTCCCGCTCCCCCATCACGTCTCTGAGAGGGTTGAGTATGCTCCGTTTCTCCGCCGCGCTATTCGAGGAGTTTCCGAAGCACCGCTCATACAACGTCCAGTTCTTCTCGAACAGGGACAACGAGTGGTCTGCTTCGAGCAGTTCGATGAGGTCCGCCTCCGCGGTGAGAGGAACAGACAGTCCGGCGTCGACGCTGAAGCATCCGCCGTAGCTCGTGGTCGTGACCGGCTGCAGCCCCGACGCGTCGAGGGTCGTGTCCGTCGTCGTGGTGAGGTTCATCCCCATACTGACGGAGGCGTCGAGCGCGATTCCCACTGTCGCCTTGGTGGTCTCAAGACCAGACCCGATCACGATGCCGAAGTCGATGGATGGAATGAGGTGGGCGCTCAACGTCAAGCTCACTGAAGGCGCGGCTCCCGCGGCGAGCCTCAAATCTGCGAAGCGCGGGACTCGATGTGAGTGTACAAGATTTGGTGGGAGGATCCCTGGCTTACTGGTGTCTGCAGGCGCAAAAGTGCCGTTTCCGTCTCCACTGTCCGACACACTGCTGACCGCATCCCCGAGAACGAAGTGTGCGTTCTTGACGTTGTATGCGAAGTCGACGCTCATGTGGATCTCAGCGTCGATCTCGGCGTCCGCTTGAACGTCGACCTCGAAGATAGGACCCACGACGATCAGGTCGGGCACTCCCAATGCAGGCTCGATAGGAAAGGTGAACACCGTCGCTTCGGCGGTCCACGAGGCCTGCAATCCAGAGTGCTGAGGAACCACGGATCCGCGCTGAAAGCGAAGCACGTACCGAAAGCGAACTATCGATCGCCATCGTCGCGGAGATGGTCGAATCAGCGACGAGCGAGAACGAGAGTATCGTATGTCCGGAGAGAAGCGTCGAGGGCGACGCCACGAGCACATAGCCGTAGTTGAAGTCCCCGCTGACTGACCCGGTGAGCGCCACGTTGACCTCCCCGTCGAACGCCGGGACGAACGCTTCTTGCGGACAGGACAAGGACGTGTTGAAGATCGAGACCCCGGGGGAGGTGTAGCTGAACTGCCCAGAGGAGCTGTTCGTCGAGTTGATCGATGCGAAGCCTCTCTTGAGCGAGACTCGTTCCGAGGCGAGGTCAGGCGCGGCGTGGAGTTCGTCGAGACGCGCGATAGCGCGCCGAGACCACATCCGCTTGGAAAGGGAGCGCGTCGAAGAAGGGGAGTGGTGGAGCTGATGGGCGATGCCTGCGATCGACGACGCTTGAACGAAGAACGTAATGTCACCATGTCTTTTGAGGTTTTCTGAGTGAGAGTCTGCACGCCTCAAGAGCGCTAAATGGTACGTACTGCGATATGTCTATGCTCGAGAGGTTGGCGCTCAAGCTGATGCCCTTCACGACAGGCATCGACCCATCCCTAGGCGCGAGTTTGGATCGCATACTCTCAGGAACAGTCTGGTTCTCATGGTCCCAGCCTCTTACAGCAACCGCAAAAGGTGTAGACCCACACTAGTAACCGGATGAATACGCAGAAGCAAGGCAGGGATAGAGCACTCACTCCCTGCGGAAGCCGTACAAGTGTGTTCTCCACCCCGTTCTCGAAGACGTGATCGCAATACCGCTCCGGATCTCCACACGCAACACGGATGTCCTGGTCCTTCGCGTTGGTGTCGCAGTCGAGCACGACCCATCCCGATGCCTCGGTGAGGTCGGAGATGCTCGAGTACGACCCGGTCTTGAAATCGTTGAGCAATCACACATGCAGTATCACCGAGACGATCACTCACAGCATGAAAGACGACAGAGCCTGCGTCGGAGGAAAGATCCCAGCTACACTCGCCATGATGGCAGGGCTCGAAATCGGGTGTCACAGCGCGAACCAAAGCCGGGAGGAGCACAGTGAGCGAGAACAGAATGGAGGAAAACATCTCGCTCAAGGGATTGCGCAAGGTAGGATCAGATCGCGCAGAGGTATAAGAGCCTGCTCCATGAGAGGATCATCGAAGCCGTGTTGCATGGATGTTGCTCCCGCAGCATGTCCATCCTTGGATCTGGCGTGTGCCACTTGCCCTAGCTGTCTTGTGGGGGCGGCTAGTTGGCCTCCTGGTGTCCTAGGCGCGGCAACCTGTGTCAACCTAGAGCATGGCTGTGAATCAAATGGCGGAATCACGTCACATCTGTGGGCGAGCAGTGTTACACAGAGGGTACGCCGCAGCTGATTATCATGCAAAATCGAAGAGACATAGACGCACATGTGGTTGCAGCACACAGACACGCACCCACTAGTGGGCATGGGGTGACAACTCTTGACATCGATCAACACCCGTGGTTCCCCAATAGGACTATAAGTGATCCGCACTCCCATGGATGTATACGTACGACCGACCGACCCGAACATCATGAAACACTGCCAGCATGCGATACGAATTCCAGTTCCCAGCCGCACTCAAAAGCTTTCAGAAGCCCCGCCTCGTGTGGCTCCCATACTCCTAGCGCCCCTTGTGGTTCTGCGAAATTCTATGACACGTCGATATCAGATCATTGAGAGATCATGAAGGATGGAAGAAACTCACGTCGACCCCGACACCTTTTCCCCAACCAGCGACGCCAACACCCTCTGAGCCGCATCCACGAAGCAAGTCGCGTTCGTCCCGTTCGTCGCAGCCAGCGCCCCCAAAGGGCGCGGCATGGCAAGCGTGCGGTCGAGCACAGCCCCTCCGTCCGAATTCCCAAAGCACCTCGAATAGAGCGTCCACTGGTCGTCGAACAGCGACAAGCTCTCCCCAGCGTTGAGAAGCGTGAACAAGCTCGCGTTCGCGCTCAGAGGCACCGAAAGGCCGGTGTTGACGGCGAAGCACCCGCCGTAGTTCGTCGTCGTGACAGGCTCGAGGCCGCCGTCGTCGAGCGTCGTTTCGGTGCTTGCGGTGAGGTTGAAGTCGAGCGTGGTCGAGGCGTCCATGCCGACGCTGACTTGGACGACGGTGGGCTCGAAGAAGCCGACGACGATGCCGAACGCGAGCGTGGGGATGACGTGTACCGTGACGTGGGTGTCGACGGAAGGAGCAGCGCCCACTGAGAGCATCAGGCCTGGGAAGGGAGCGCGTTAGCCTGATGAGAACCCCAGATGAATAGACGCTCACTGGTGTCTGTAGGAGCGAAGGTGCCGTTACCCGCCGGGGGGATGGCTTCGGTGGAGAGCTTGATTGGGACGTTGGTTATGGCGTACGCCAAGTCGACCTCTGTGTGGAGCTCGACGTCGATGGAGGGTTCGACCCTCACGATGACCTCGAAAGTCGGGCCAACGCTGAACAGGTCCTCGAAACCGATCGGCGTCAACGGCACCGTCAGAACTGTCGCCTGCGCTTCCCCTGAGAACTAGTGAGCCAGTTCAAGAAAGTCAGCTTTTGTGTCTGAGTGCCTATGTAGAAACGTGCGACTCACCTCGAGAGAAGTGTCGACGCTGAGGGTGGCAGCGAGCGTTGTGTTGAAGACTGCCGTGAACGTTATGTTCCCAAACGATTGGAGGTCGGTATCGAGCACGTAGCCGTAGTTGACTGCACCAACTACCGAGCCCGAGAGACCTACGTTGAACTCGCCGTCGTAAGCGGGAAGAGGGCCTTCTTGCGGACAGGATTGACTGGCGCTGAAGATAGAGACGCCGTCGGGGGTGTAGCTGAACTCAGACCTGGTGCTGTTTGCGGTGTCGACCCTCGGGAGGATGCGGTTGAGCGTCGTCGCACCAGACGCGGGATGCGCAGCGTGGAGTTCGTCGAGACGCGACACCGCGCGGTCAAACCACACGCGTTTAGAGAGCGAACGCGTTGATGGCGTCGTAGGATCCAAGTGCTGTGCGATTCCGGGGATCGAAGAGGCCTGAACGAAGAAGGTGACCTTTCCATGCCTGGTGGAACGCGCGCTGAGTTTGGCTTGGCAGCAAACGCCGAGAGAACGCACCGAGAGAAGTCAAAAAGCGACAAGTCGGTACTCAGGCGCATTCCCTTCACTTGCACGGCTTGCGATGAGGGACTCTCGGGAAGATCTTGGATCCCATCATCCCATTCACTCACAACATATGCGATCGCCGTGGAGCCACACTAGAAGTCAATCTTAGTGCTTGATGGACAATGCAAAATACACGGTGAGCGTACCTCGTCCGGGAGTCGAACCAGCGTGTTCTCAGCACCATTCTCAAAAAGGTGATCGCATCCCCGCTCCGGGTCGGCGCATACGGCGCGGATGTCCCTCGTCTTCCCGTAAGCCTCGCAGCTGAGGATGGACCATCCTGCGGTTTCAGTCAGGTCCGAGATACTGGAGTAAGGACCGACCTGCAGCGCAGCGATCCATCAGAACAATATTCCAATGGTTGAGGGGCAGCAAAGAACTTACAGCGTGCACGACCATGGAACCGTTGCTCGAAGACAGATCCCAGCTGCACTCGCCATAATGGCACGGCTCGGATGCGGGAGTGAGCGCACGAACAACGCAGAGGAGAAGGGCAAGGGAAGTGAGCCCTACAAGCAGATGCATCGTGCTCGGTGCGAGTTCGCTGAAGATACTGGTGACGCGTGAGTCAGTATAAGACTCTACATGAAGGCGAACGGTACAGCCTACCGGCGACACGCGGCGCTCGCGCTGCACCAAGTCTGAGGCCGGTGCGCAAGCTTCTAGATCGTTGGGCTCCCAAATATCCCACATTTTTGCGCGACGACGAGGGCACCTGCCATTTCTTGAAGGGAAGCTCTCACCCATAAAAGCTCGCACGTTCAGCGTGCTTGACATGAAGCATTGATGTGCGTTGCCTTATGTGAGTATGCAGGCGAATGCAGGCGCCCACGTGGTGTCCCGCTCGATGTACAATTCCAGAGGGGGTGATATTCGAACGCGGGCGCTGCGGCGGATCTGCCATGCGCACGAGGTTTCGCACGCGATGAACGGAGCAAACGTATGGAACCCTGTCAACAGGACAGTCAGCCAACAGTCCGCACCTCATCCCGACCACGTACCGCGCGCGCACCCTACGCGTGTTGGTGCAAATTCTCATATCAACACGAGTGGGAGGTATGTAGTAATGTACAAGAGATATATACTCAATGCCCCGTCGAGTCCGTTATCAATAACCATATACTCCGAGCCTCCTCCTACCGAGAATGAAAGTAAACTACACAACCGCTAAACGCTACAAACCAACGAGATGATAGAGAAGCAACGAAAGCGTGACCAGAGTATCTCGGAGCGACCTGCGCGCGTCACGCTCGTGGCGTTCACAGACTACTCAAACGCATCAGCGCCGCGCACAAAAAAGAGGCCGCAGGACTCACCTGTCGCCCTTGACCGTCACGTCCGCGACCCCCGCGATCGTCGTCCCGCTGCTCGGGCACTGGAAGCTCGACGCGTCGGTCGCGCTCGAGCTAGAGTCCGTCGCGGCCAACGTCTTCCCGACAGGGGTAAGTTTGTCCCCTGACGACGAGCCCGACGCCGCGAGCGCGAGCGCGTTCGCAGATGTGCTGCCCCTGAGCTCGTCCCGCACGGCATTGCCCCAGTAATTTCTGCCTCGGGCGTTGAGACGGGCCGCGCGTGCCGCGCGAGCGCCGTACGCGCGGTTCATGTCCAGGGCGCGCCGGCGGTAGCCCGAGCTTGAGGAGCTCGAACTCGAGGAGCTCGAACTGGAGCTGGAGCTTGAGGAGCCGGAGCTAGAGGAGCTGGAGCTTGATGAGCCTGATGAGCTCGACGAGCTCGACGACGAGGAGCTTGAGTTCGACGGCGGGTTGAGCGTCCCGACGGGCGCGCTCGCGTCCAAGTGCGCAAAGCACCGCTGGAAGAGCGTGAAGTCCTTCGCGAACAGCGGCACGACGAGGTCCTTCTTGAAGATGTTGAACAGGTCCGCCTTCGCCGCCGCGTTCACGGACAGGCCGGTGTCCACCTCGACGCACCCGCCCCACTGGTCGACGTGGACGGAAGAGCCCGCGGCGCTCGCCTCCGCGGTCGCCGAGGCGTTCAGCGTGAGCGCGAGCGCGGCGGACGCGTCGAGGTCGAGGTCGACCGTCGCCTTCGTCTGCCCGGAGAGGAAGGAGAGGCCGAAGGAGAGCGTGGGGGTGAGGTGCGCGGACAGCTTCGCGTTGGACTCGACGAACGGGCTCGCGGCGAGCGTGAAGTCTGTGGGCGCGCGGTCAGAACGCGGACGGCGCAGTGCGAGATGGGGGGTGGGCGAGACGCACTGGTGTTTTTGGGCGAGAAGAGCCCGGTGTCGTTGTTCTGCGGGATTGAGAGCCCCGAGTTGTTGCCCGAGTCCGACTGGGGCGGGAAGACGAGGTGGCCGTTCGCGATGTCGTAGGTGAAGTCGATGGCCGTGTTGGCGGCGATGTCGACGGTGCCGCCGAGGCTTCCAACGACGGAAAATTGGGGACCGAGAGCGACGATGCCTGGAATATTTAGTCCCGGGAGACCGACCGGAGGAAGAATAGTCTGTTCGAAGTTAATTGAACCCTACGCGGCACCGGAGACGACATCAGAGAGGCAACCAAGTACACGGTAGGAGGACTTACCGTTAAAGACGCGTCGATGGTGAGCGTCAAGTCCATCGTGGCATTGAAGTCCGCGACAAGCGCAAACTCGAAGGTGTCCGGGTTGAACGGCGACCCCGCAAGCACAAAGCCGAAGCTCACCACTCCGTCAACCGCTCCCGCTACAGTCACGTCGACGGACCCGGAGAACGCCGGGATGCCGCCCGCTTGCGGGCAGCCCTTGTCGATCTTGAAGATGCTCTGTCCGGGAGAAGAGAAGTTGAAGGGTACGTTAGTCTTGTTGAGCGACGTCAAGTCAGCGCGCGATTGCAAGGCGGCGGGGTTGGGGGTGGATTGGAGGGTCTCGAGATGGGCGGAGGCACCAGCAACCCACTCCCGCTTCGTGAAGGTAGACGGTGCAGAGACGAGAGCAAGATTCGGGACGACTCCGGAGACGGTAGAGCCCATGGCCAAGAGCGTGATCTCGCCGTGTCTGTGATCGAAGGCAGGTCAGGAATGCCTACGACGATGAGCGCGTTCTACTCACCGAGTGGAATCGGCGGATGCGAAGTCTGTGCTCAGGATCAAACCGCGAACGACGGGAAGGGAGCCGTCGCGGCGCATCACTCGGGCACGGTGCATGACCGGGATGTACTGGTCCTCGTGAAACCACTCATCCACGACGACGGCGAATGGCGCTTTTCCGCACTAAGTGTTTGATCAGCATCTGCACCGACCAAGAAAGGAGCTGTATCTCACTCCTTCGGGCAATCGCACGAGCGTGTGCATCGCGCCGTTCTCGTACAAGTGGTCGCATCCCAGCTCCGGGTCGTGGCAAACCGCGCGGATCTCCTGCGCGTCCGCCTCAGGGTCGCAGTCGAGAACCGTCCATCCCGCTGCTTCGGTCAAGTCCGAGATACCATAAGACGAGCCCATCTAAAGGAAGAGGGTGCCAGCGTGTCAGTCACCCGACGAAAGGACGCAGGATGGGTGGACCCACAATGCTCAGCGCGACAGACCCGGCCGGGGTAGACAAGTTCCAATCGCACTCTCCCGCGTGGCAGGGCCGCGAGCTGCCATCGCGGGCGGTGGCCGCAAGAAGGGGAACAGAAAGAAGGGCGGCAAGCCCGGTGGGGAAAGAGAAGCCCATACCGAACGAAGGAACAAGCACCAGGCTACAGGGCGAAGGCGAAAGGAGGGAGACGTCTGCTCGGGCGCACCTGCTAAATAAGAACTACGCGGCTGCGCTTTCGCGCGCTGTCGGGCGGCCCATCGCTATCTGCCTCGTCGTTCAAAAGGTGGGTACCGGCGTATCAGGAACGAGGCGGCGAAAAGCGTGGTTGCCAGGCGCGGCGGATGATGGGTGCTGTCGCCCGGCTCCGGCTGCGCCAGTCAAGTTCGACGCGGGACGTTCTTGTTGACGGTGTATGAGGCTTTTCCGGGGGCTGGGAGGGGCTGCGTGACCGCCTAGGAACACAGCGTGGTCGGGTTCTTGGCGGTGCGTAGCGTGCGCCTCAGCCGGAGCCATGATATTGCAGACGTCGAGATGTTTTTCGCGGCTGGCAGGAGTACGAAATCAGAAGCGCAAGCAGTGCGGGATTGATGCGCAAGAGAGGAGGGTGAGAAAGACGCCCGAATGGTTGGATACGGATAGCAACGCGCGTGGCGTTTGATCTGTACTTGGGCGCACAGATATTCGGCGCCCGGGTGGGAAGATGTCGTTGCAATTTGTCATGGACCAGGACCCAGCTGAAGGCAGAGGCAGCGGGGGAGGTGCGCGGCCTGAGAGATATGTAGGTGTAAAGCCCCGTTTGTTTTCGTCCACCATCCACCGTACAAGTTCGAATCCCCGGATTATCATGGCGTGACTGCGAGATGGAGTGGACTGCGTTGCTTCTTCGGCACGTCGCAACTGGCCTCCCTGAACCCGCTCAGTCGAGCCACCATCTTCCATCCAGGGAGGACTTACGGAGCCTGTGAGATCAACGCGAGACAGCTGGATTGAGCAGCGACTATGTCGACCAGGGGCGGTCACATTGCATTGCACAACACGTTCGGATACAGAGCGAAGGCTACAAAGTTTGGCTTCTGCGACGATGTTTAGAGCAGAGGAGACGAACAGGAGGACGCACCGAACGTGTACAATCATGAACACTCCTTTCCAATGTCTCAGCACCCGGCCGGCACTATGCGCACATATGGACATGCGAGCGCAGTGCACACCTGAGGCCTGTCGTGAATGGAATGAACTTGCCATCATCGCCTTGCGGTTCTCGTCGTCCACGACGACAACCTCCCCCCCGTGCTAGCTCCGCAAGAGTTCCCTCCCCGCCCACGAAGTTTGAGTTCTCCCCAACGACGACGCGCGGTATCTTGTAGAGCCGGATCCCCCCTGTGTGCGTGCCACACGGACTGCGACACCCCCAGCAGCCTCAAGCAAGACCGACCAAGAGGGGCTCCCGCCGACGCACGCACCTCAATGTCGTGTACTGTCCCCAGCACGCGCTCGTCAGCGGACCGCGCATACAGCCACCCCACACCTGTGCTTACCATCGGTCCATGGGTGCGGCAGACAGGGAGGCCTAGCGGACGGGGAAGGGGAAGCGAGGGAACGAGATGGTGGAGGCTGAAACCAAGACGATGAGCCGCCCGTCGCCACGACCGACGTCATCGCGCACGCGCACACGGAGGAGGTAAGTTGAGAGCCCGTTAAGGGCAATGCGGGTGATGATCATTAACGAACAAATGACCGAGTGTGCTTGTAGCTGCCCCTGCCATGTCGTAGCTACTGCAGTCGAAACCGAGCCAAAGATTCCCAATCCCAAGCGAGCGAGTGTGTGGGGGCGGCACGGCGCACGAACAACGCGCCGGCCAAACAAAAGACGACAATATCAAACGAAAGGAAAACCAAACTAACGAGTTAACGGATCGGGGGGTCGTCACGGTCGTAACGGCGCGCGCGCCATGGGGTATATCTCGAGCGTAGTGGGGGGAGGGGGGAGGGCGCTCTCTACTTCTTGATCGCGGCGGCGAGGACCTTCTCCTCGACGACGCTCGCCGCGGACGCGAGCGCGGTGGTCGGGCAGGTGAGCGCGGCGCGCTTCTGCACCATCGCGGCGAGCGCGGAGCGGCCGGTGTACGCGCGGCGCGCGGCGGAGGAGCCGAAGCACTTCTTGAAGAGGTCGAAGTTCTTGCTGAACAGGCTCACGCTCGCGTCCTTGTTGAACAGGCTGAAGAGCGAGCCGTCCGCGCCGGCGGAGACGTCGAGGCCGGAGGTGATGTCGACGCAGCCGCCGAAGTCGGAGGTGTTCGCGGTCGCGTCCGTCGACTTGGTCGCCGAGGCGGAGAGCGAGAGGTCGACCGCGGCGTTGCCGTCGACGGCGAGGTTGATGTTCGCCTTCGCCTTGCCCGCGAGCAGGTTCACGCCGAAGGCGAGCGTCGGGATCAGGTGCGCCTCGAGCTTCCCGTTCGAGGTCACGTCGGGCGACGCGGAGAGCTTCACGTTGGAGTCGCCCGGGACGAAGGAGCCGCCGCCGTTGCCGGTGCCGGGCGGGAAGAAGAGCTGCGCGCCGGAGACGGTGTAGTCGATGTCGACCGCGGTGTTCACGTTCGCGTCCAGGGTCACGTCCGCCGAGCCGAAGACCTCGAAGGTGGGGCCGAGCGAGAAGATCTCGGGCACGTCGAGGCCCGGGATGCCGACCTGGAAGAGCGAGATCTTGCCCGTGCCGATCGAGCCCGCGAGCGAGGCGGCGAGGTTGACGGTGCCGGTCACGGTCGTGTCCAGGTTGACGAAGAGACCGAACTTGTCGACGCTGGGCGGGACGATCGAGCCGGCGAGCGCGACACCGTAGTTGACGTTCCCGTCGACCTTGCCGTCGATGTCGACGTGCGCGGAGCCGGAGAACGCGGGGATCGAACCGACCGCCGGGCAGTCGATGCTCGTGTCGAACAACGGCGAGTTCTTCTCGAAGTTGATCGGGCTGCTGTTCGTGACGTTCTTGTCGAACGTGTTCAGGTCTGCGCGCGCATCGTCAGTCTCGCGCCCACTCGAACGCGCGCGGAAAGAGACGTACTGCTCAGGGTGTCAGTCACCCAGTCGAACAGGCCGCGCTTCGCGAGGTCACCGCTGCCAGTGGGCGGCTCGACGGCGAACGTCTTGGCGTGACCCGGGACGGACGCGCCCTGGATGAAGAAGCTGACGTTGCCGTGCGTGTTCGAGTCCAGGGACGCGAAGTCGGTCGAGAGCGCGATGCCCTTGACGGTCGGCTTGCTGCCGTCGCGGCGGGCGATGCGCTTGGCGAGCGTAGAGGGGATCGTCTGGTTCGCGTGGGTCCACTCGCGCCCGACGACCGCGAACGGCATCGAGCCGCACGACTTGGGGAGACGGACGATCGTGCCCGCCGCGCCGTTCTGTGCGAGGTGGTCGCAGCCGGCGGACTCGTCGGCGCAGACGAGACGGATGTCCTGGTTCGTCGCGGTCGCGTTGCAGTCGAGGATCTCCCAACCGGCGGCGGTGGTGATGTCCGAAATGCCGTTCGAAGAACCGACCTGTCGAGAGCGCGCATCCATCAGTCGCCTGTCATTGCCTTCCCCACCGGTGCCGACGGATTCGACGGTCGACTGTAGAAGGAATGCTCACCAAGCGGACGGTCCCCGAGCCGGTGTCGGTGTCGATATCCCAGTTACATTCACCGAAGCATGGCTTCGTCCAGTCGTTGGCCGCGTGGGCGGCGAGGGGAAGGAGAGCAGCTACGAGGAGAGTTGCGTGGACCATGGCGTTGAAGACTCGAAAGTAAGAAAGACGAAGAAAAAGTCGTCGAAGGCGAAGGAAGAAAGGAAAGGGCGCGAAAGACGCAGCAAAAGGCAGGGGGCAGCGAAGAACGAAGGAATCACCAGGACCCGTGAGGAGCCAGCATCAGCGGGGGCGGGCTTATATACAGCTGCGATGATCGAGACGCGTGGGGGGCGCAACGGCAGATCAGTTCGCCAGATGGTGTCTTGGCGTGACACGGGTTTCCAATGATCTGCTGTACGAGTCGCAACTTGCCATCAAAAGATGGCGGCGGGTCCTCCTCCGGCGGGGACGAGGCTCTTGCTTGTGCATGACAAATCCATCGTCTGCACCTGCCGCATGCGTAGAAGAAGCACAGAATATCGCATCTACTGGCGTTCCGCGCTCAAAATGCACTTGGAGCTCGAAAGCAAGTATGCATGGGCGGGGGACATAGCCCTGGCAGAAAAGCCAGATGGCGATGCGACCAACGACGCTGTCGCGATCCTTCGGCGCCCACGCACGGCCGTTAGTCCAGCACGGCATCCCCCGTCAAATTCAGGTCCGCCATCCGTCCAGCTGAGTCCGCACGCAACCGATGCGGTTCGTGCGCGGACCACAACTGACGGATATAGCACACGCGGTGCACACCGCAGGTGACGCCCGCATCACCGACCGACTCCGGCGCGCCCAGACGAGAGGCAAAAACGCAAGGCTCACATGATGTCGAGATGGAACATCGCCTCCTCCTCCAGCTCGAGACTCACCGATGTCCGCATTCCCAAACCGCAGTGGCTTGATCCGTCGCTGGCCGAGTCGCCCGCGGAAGGGCGTCTTGACGTCAGATCTCTCTCGAGTCGGCGACGCTCGAGGCTCCGAGGAGATTCGTCTGACAGCTCAGAGAGGCGCGCCCTCACGACCGCATCAGAGACAGTGGGCGGGAGGGCGCATCTCACATCCAAACTTCTCTCCATGGCCACGAGTTGCATCTCCGTTGGAAATGGCACAGATGGTGAGCGAGGACGGGAGAGTTCACCCGTGCGGTGATCCGGGGCCTGCGTTCCCCGCGCCTCTGCGACGAACTGTCCGGGCCCGAGTGCACGTGGCCTCCATCTATCAACGGCGCGACACAATCCATCATTCTTTCTCCCAATCGAGGACGATTCACTTACAAATGACTTTTTCCACACGTTGTCAATGACATTGTCATGGACCGGAAACGTCGTCAGGTGGTCGCACGCGTTCGAATCAAATATTTGGCAGATGATTTTCAAAGATGTGAAAACGTTGGTGGTGGGCGTCTATCTTATCTCATTCACGCTGGGTTGAACGAATCATCAAAGACTGAAGTGGATGCATTATGCATTACCCTTCGCCAATCCCCCTGAGTCTCTCAGCAGCAGCCTCAAGCCTCAAAACGAAACCTCCTACCGAGGTACAGCCATAGGCGCCATGCCTCTGCTACATAATCCTACAGCGAAAAGATACATACGACATAGATGCACTGTGTTGAACGTACACTGGGCGGTAGCCACCAGATCCCGCCCGCCTCATCTACCTACCGAGCAAACCAATTGGTTTTCATCTTCTACCGGCGCGCGAAGTCGAGTCGCGCACATGCCCCCGTGCGTGACCGCTCTAGACCGTGCCGACCATGTAGCGGCCCTCCGCGCCGCTGCTGGGAAGGATGCCCTCCTCAACCGCCTTGATCTCTGAAAGATGGAGACATCAGCGCCATTCATCGCAACGCCCGAGGAAAGCGAAGCGAGGCGGCGGGCGCGCGATGGGACACAACACGCGAGCAGATGACGGCGCCGCATGTTCAGCCCGCTGGCGCCGACGCGCACAGAGCCAGAGGAGGCGCAGTCGTTGTCAACGTCCCCGATGACGAAGGCGCGGACAACGAACGCGCACACAAAATCGCGAACGCGGCGTGGGCGGCATCTTGGCCCGCGAAGATACGTCCGAGCGCAGGCTTCAAGGCTCAAGCAGTTTCTGGGAGCACGAAAGATGGAAGAAAAGAAGCTGCGAGCGCAAGATGGATGCCCCAAATCGCGACGCAGGAGCAACCGAGAGAGAACGCGCCCTCCATCCACCGCCCGTCGATTCGAAAATGCGGAAAAGGACTCACGCAGCGCAACGTGCTTCGAGTGGAACCGGCACCACATCAGGTTGCCCATCATGAACCAGAAGTTGGGCACGCCCGAGTCGCGCCACGTGTTCCGCGACTCGCCCTCCTCGTCCACGTCCCACTGCGGCTTGAGCTTCTTCAGCATGTCGACCTCGAAGATCTTCGCGAGCACGTCCACAGGGGTGTCGAACCCGGTCGCGAACATGACCACGTCCGCATCGACCGTGCTCCCGTTCTCGAACTCGAGGCCGGTCTTCGTGAACCGCTTGATCGCGCTGTCGTTCTTCAGCTTGATCTTGCCCTCGATCATCATCTGTGATGCGCCGACATCTGCGACGGGATGGTGTCAACGAATGGCTATGTGGTAGATGCAGTAGAAGGCGCACCAAGGTAGTAGCCGCCCCCGCGCCTCCGCGCCATCGCGAGGAAGCCCTTCCCGTCCGGCCCGAAGTGTGTCCGGAACCCGATCTTGTGCAGATCGTCGAGCAGAGTCCTGTGCGAGTCGTCGTTAGCCCTGCAATCAATGGTAAACAGAGTACATACTTGTCCTTTGCCGCGATCTCGAGGTTGAGTCGTTTCGAGTACTCCTCGGAGAGGAGGGTCGGCAAAGACGCGTCGATGCGGTCGGCCTCATCGGTGGGCCCCCGTCCTTCCCACCAGATGTCTGCGAACAGCCGGTCAGCACGTGAACGGGCATAAGGGCGGGGAGCGCGTACGGCCGAGGAAACCAGGCATGCCGTTCTTTGTCGACATAATGTACGTGCTGTCGCGCTGGTAGATGGTGACATCTGCGGCGTACAGTGAGGACGAAGTGCTTATATGCGGACGTAAATGTCGGGGCACATACCGACGCCGTGCTCCGCGTAGTCCGCCGCGACGTCGTGCGCTAGATGGCATGTTAGCATGGTCATGCATATGACCTCATGACACTCACCTGACGTCGCTGCGCCGACGATGATGACCTTCTTCCCCAGGTGGTCCTTCGCCGAGCCGTGCTGTGTCGAGTGCAGAACCGTGCCCTGGTACTCCTCTTGGCCGGGTATCTTGGGGATGAACGGGTTGTTCCCACCGAGCCCGATCGCAGAGATGACCTGGTGCACGTGAAGTACGCGCTCGGTGCCGTCTGCCCGCTTCACGGTGACGTCCCATTGGTTGTTCGCATCCTGGCGCGCCTTGATGACGGTCGAGGACGTCCAGACGTTGAGCTCGAGGGCCTCAGCGTAGTGCTCGAGCCACCCCGCGAGCTTCTGCGCGGGCGTGTAGACCGGCCAGGTCGGCGGGAAGCTGCGCAGCTCACGACGCGTGAGTATGGGAAGCGCGACGCAGCGTGCTCGCTGCACGGAAGGATGATGGCGCACTCACGGGAGATACGGCATATGGTCGTACCCTATCGCGCGCCCGAGAAAGCGGTCAGAACGCGCTCTTGCGGCGCGAGAGCCGGCCGTGGAGAGCACTCACAGACAGGATCGTGCAGGCACAGGGCCTGGTACCGGTTCCTCCACTGGTCGCCCACGCGCGGGTTCTTCTCGACGACGAGCGCGCTGACGCCGAACATCTTGAGCCGCGCGGCGACGCCGAGCCCGCTCTGGCCGCCGCCGATGATGAGCACGGTCGGGTCGGCGTCGGCGAACTCGCGCTCGCGCTCGCGCTGGGCGACCCACTTGCCGTGGTTGGGCGCAAAGCTGCGCAGCGGACCGGTGGCCTCCGGGAAGCCCTTGAGCTCCTCGAGGTTGGTGTAGAACGTCCAGCCTCTCCACTCGCCGTTCGGGGTGGGGATGAGGCGGAAGTAGCCGCTGCAGATACCTGTCTCGGTCTTGAAGGTGAAGCGCGCGAGCACCCACGCGAGGTCGGGGTAGGGCGTGTCGAGGCGAACGTCGCCGAGCGCCCAGTCGGAGATCTTGGAGGCCGCAAGGCGGTCGGTGAGGAAGGGACGGATCTTGGCCTGGCCGTGGAAGGTGCGGAATGCCCAGGTGAGGGCGAGCATGTCGCGGAACCAGGCGTCGGGGATGAAGAGGGCGAGGAGGCCATCGATGTCGTTCGATTGCGCGAGCTGGGTGAAGGACGCGAACCAGAGCGCGGCCACCTTGGACGGGTCGACGTCGGCGGGGGCGGCGGCGACGCCGAGGCGGTCGAGTGTGGGCAGCGCGATGGGGGGCTCTGGTGCGGCCATGGGGAAGGGGTGGGATGAGGTGGGATGAAGGTGCGCGCGCGCGAGGGTATAAGTGCGACCCAGTTTGCAGCCAGGGCTGGGTCAAATGACGAACTTCCGCGCACAGATTCCCACGCCTCTTCTCAGCTGCTCGATCACGCTACAACACTTGCCGCATCTGTACAACATACGCGGGGTATAAACGCACGATCCCAAACATAGACGTTATCCTGAGTCTCGCCAGATTTCTTACTTGTCATGCCGCCGGACGGTGGCCCAAATGACAATCTACGAGCCATGCCCTCATCGGTAGCAGCCCGCTGCTCGTCAGACATTATCAATCAAAGGCACCTCACCCCACAGTTACAGTCATCTACAGTCATCCAGGTTTCACTCATACATAAGCGCTTGACCAAGCTCCGCGGAAATAGTACTAGATCGCTCTGGGGAACAGCTAGTTCCATCTCCGTAGTCACGGGGGGACGAAACAAGAGACAGTTGGCCTATGGGCAGAAGCACAGTCGACCGTACTTTGGTATGCAAGCAAACGCTAATAACGGGAACTGCTCCTGAGGGTCGAGCTTGTCATCGCAGTGTTGGAATCTGAATGCTGGTGATGATATGTTTAAAACTACGGACAGTTTATGACACGTCTTCCCGCCGGGCACAACATTTGGAAGCGATCGGACGGAACTCGAACGTCGCAACGACACCGCGGACTCTTGGCCATCATGATCACCAGTCCTCCTTGATCAGGTCCGCTGCTTTCTCAGCCACGCCGTACACCGTCCGCGACAAGTGCGCGCTCAGCTGCACCGGCAGCACCGATGCGTCCACGACCCGCAGTCGCTCGGTCCCATACACCCTCAGGCGCGCGTCGACGATCCCGCCGAGCGCGCGCCGCATCATCGCCGCTGTCGCGATCGGGTGCGAGTTTGCTAGGAAGCCGGCGCCGGACTGGGTGATCCACGCGGCCCAGTCTGCGGACGCGCCGCCGTCGCCCGTCGGGTCAGGGACGGCGGTCAGTCCGGGCGCGGACTCGCCGGAGGTGTTGCGGAGGGCGCTGGTGTAGGTTCAGCGACCGGAAAAGAAGCGCAGTGGAGGAACTTACGCGAGAGGGGGGCTGTTGAGCAAGAGGCGACACATCCGCGCGGAGGCGACTTGGACGTCGAGATCCCAGGGAACGTCGAAGTAGTTGACGTTGACGATGGGCTTCTGGAATGGGTCATTCGACTAACAAATGACAGTCAGCAGCAGGGTGTACGGCAGGAAAGTGCGGCCTACTGCAATCGTAACATTTCCTCTGCTGAATGGAATGAGGTTCCACGTGACGATTCCAAGATCGCTGAAGCATAGAGTGTCAGCAAGAGTATACCGTTCTAAGCGAGACGCGCACTTCGCTCGTGGGTTTCCTGGACCAAAAATGAGTTCCGCAACGGGCGCTACAATGACGTCATCAACAAGGCCGCAGCGCGACATCCGCAGGGGAGATCTCACCATTGTCGTCGATGAGAGTCTTGGCTTGAAGCTCGAATATCGTCCGTAGCGCTTCAACAGAAAAGGCGTTGTGCGCTTGAGTTCGTGCAAAGAACGGGAGCGACTCCTGTAGCTTTGCAATCGCGTCGTCCGCATTGACCCCAAATAACTCGCGCACGCTGGGGAAGGCGATGGCGTCAATTGGGCCCCGTCCACCCACGTCGAAGCCGTTCATTGGGCCGCCGACGACGTTCAGCGTCTGCTCTTGGAAGTTCTTGCCGACGGCAGTCAGATTCACGAGAGGGGTGATACCGAGCGGGACGAGAAGGCCGGGGTCTCCGATGCCGGAAAGCTGCAGGACAGCTGGAGTCTGATGACCGGGCGTGTGAGACCATTGTCCAATGCGGACCAGAGATTACTATAGAACCTCACATGGATCGCGCCTGCAGAGAGTATCACCTCCTTGCGAGCAAACACGCTCAGCCGGCTTCCTGAGCCATCCGCGCTTGCAAACTGAACTCCGGAGGCGGTGACGGAACCGTTGGTGCCATCAAACAGCACCTTGGTGACCTGCCGCTTCCGTCAGCCTATAGATAGAAGAGAACATGCGGATAAGCACGCTACCAGATGATGTATCAGGAACGTCAGCCCATCGCGCCTATCTTCAACGGGAGTGTAGTACGCCTCGATCGAGGACGAGCGATGATCATCTCTGTGCCAGTCTATGCTCTGCATTCCCATAAGAAAGGACATTAGAAGCAATGCATGCCTCATTGCACTGACCTGAGGCGTTAGAGAAACGCAGGTCGGCGCTCCGCTACTGAAGTCTTCGCAATATGGCGTGCCCGTCAAGTTCATCACGGCTGAGATGAATGCCGGGTTTTCGGGACCGCCATACATTGCGTCTGGGAAGGTTGCCTGGACAGGCCCGTTCGTCCCATGAAAGGCCGCGACGGAAGCGGCGCCCTTCGCGCGCTGCTGTGCGTTTGGAGGAGAAAAGCCTTCCGCCTGCGCTCAAGGGTGGGCAAAGGGCACGCGTGAGATAAGTGATGACGTACCTTTTTCATGTACGCGGAGACGTTTGCCCAGTTCCAGCCAACAGACACCTCGTCCGGCTCGAGCAGATCTGACCACATGTCGTACTGAGCCTCCGTTCCCGTCGTCCAATAAGCGGCGTTGATGGATGAGCTTCCACCAAGAGTTCTTCCACTGGGCGTCCGGCATCAGCATCGTCTCATGCAGAATATATGACATGGGAGCGACGCACCCATGAATGAGCTTGCCCTGATCCGTCCGCCACGCCCAGTCGAAGGGACCCTGGAATGCGGCCTGGTACTGGTAAATGTCATAGATCTCGGGGTTCGTCCGGTCGTCGCCTCCGGGTTCGATGACCAAGATCTCGAGCGTCGGGTCTTCCGCCAGACGCGCCGCGACAGTCGTTCCCGCAGTGCCGGCGCCGACGACGACGTAGTCGAAGGTCTTGCCCGCGACGATGTTCGAGTCGTTGGTGATGCCGGCTGCTTGGAGGTGCTGCGCGAAGGAAAGAGCAGCGACGACCGCCGCCGCGAGCGCCGGCGAGAAGGACGGTGGGTAGTACATGTGGAAACGAGCCTACAGCGTGGCTTCGCGGAAAGCGCTGTTATATATGCGTCCCATAAAAGAGTTCGAGCGCGTTCCGAAGGGGGTGCGCATGACATGGAACGCAGACGCCACCATTAGAGGTTGTGCCGTAAGACGTTCAGTAGGATTCACTAGGGGCTGAGAACCCTTGCTCTCACCTCGAAACAGCATATAGTCTATGTCATTATCGTATATGCCCAGAAAGTGAACCCCTCAGATTCCTTCAGAGCAACATGCTTGTGTTTGTGCGATTCCAAGAAAGCGCTGAGGGCAGAGCGTTTGTATTCTTGCGTCGGAGGCAATAGAAGGCGAGTTCAGTCCGCGGGAAGCGGGGTGAAGGCGGCGAACATGATGATGGCAGAGAACAACCTTGAGCTTGAGGAGTCGCACTCGATAAGAGCGCCCACGTGACTACCTTAGGGCAAGCGGCCGCGCCAAATTCCGTACAAGTACACCGTATGATACATGATATGCACAACGCTTCGATCGAACACACATCAAGGTCTCTCTGGGTATCCTTCTTCTGCATATCTTCGTCTCGAGACTCCCCACGCTCTCGGCGAGGTGGCGTCACTGCAAGCTCTGCTTGTCGATCTCGTCAACTCCCGTCCTAGCGTCGAAAACAAACAGAACACACCTCGGTCTGGGGAAAACGAAGTGGGCCCCCCACTGCCTCGCTATGCGCGCGCCGTCTCCCCTTCCGACGCTGCCTTCGCCCGCGCGCTCACTGCGCGCCGCCTCGCGCCCTCCGGACGAAGCCCCCCGTCGCGCCGCCACAGCACCTCGTACCGCAAGCCCGCCTTGCAGAACACGAACATGCCCTCTTCGACGAGCCCGTTGCTGTCGTACAGCTTCGACGTCCCTTGGGCCCCAAGCCGCTTGGGACGCGAGACCGGTCGCGGGGCGATTCTGGATGCGGAGAGCATGGTGGTGTGTGGTGTGCGGTACGTGAGCCTGGCTGGGAACGATGGAAGGAAGGCCGCAAGGGAGCGTGGAGGGCCGCTGGGCGTGAGCGAAGGTGTAGGCTTTCAGTCCTCGACAGTGCGGAGCTGCTCTTTTACGCAGGGGACCGTGCTTCTGCCGTCGGGCAATGACAATAAGGACAATAGGTGCGTATGTGAACATCTCAGCACCGCATCATTATCGTCTTGTGTACGCATGCTAGAATGTGCTCAGACAATAAATGCGAGTCTTTCCGAATCCCATATATATCCATCGTGCGAACCGGCCGTATGTACTTAAGGTACGCGGCCAAGAAACAGGCAGTCCGTGTCTACGTGTACCAAAGGAGCTGTATCCGCGGAAGAGAGAAAGGAGAGAAGGAATGGACGCGTCATATGTAAGACGCAGCTTAAGCAGAAGGACTGCGAATAAAACACCATCAGCACCCACACACACAACCAGAGCAAGCGCAGCACTCACACGATGGGAAGGACGAGCTGCTTTCCCGGCGTGATCTTGAGGATCGGGAACGGCGTGCTCTTGCACGACTGCTCGATGTCCTTGATGCTCGTCTCGGGCGGGAACACCGCCTGCTGGCCCGCGCCGCGCTTCGGCATCGGGATCACCTCCGAGCAGTCGTGCAGGCTCGCGCGGTCGTGCCCGAGCACCGCGAGCTTCGCCATCGCCGCCTTGAACTTGCGGTTCATCGCCTCGTGGTCCGTCACGAACGACTGCCACTCGCACGCCGTGCGCGGGTCGCGCGCGAGCAGCCCGTCGGACGCGAGGCGGATCTCCCCGAGGATCGGTGAGGGGGACTCGCCGAGGGTCGAGCCCCCGGTGGGGAGGGCCTTGCCGACGAGGAGAGTCTGCGGGGTGCCGTCAGGGATGCCGTCGCGGCGTCAAACGACGATGGGCTTACCTCGACGAAGAACTGGGCGTCGAAGGCGTCAGGGGTGGTGTCGAAGGGGCGCGCGTGCTGGCTCGGGTCCGCGATGGCGTCGCGCGCGGCGACGGAGTGGCTCGCCATGAGCGCGACGAGCTCCTCGGGGCTGAAGGTGGCGTCGGCCATGCGCGCCAGGATCGTTGTCACGTCCTGGAACGGCGCGGGGATGAGGCCGGGCGGCGCGGCGACGGAGCTGTTCGAGCGGCCGGCGAGGAACTCGAGGCGCGGGGCACCTTTGCAGTTCGCGGTGCCAACGGCGCCGGTAAATTGAATGCTAAAAGAGGGACGTGTCGATGATACAGTGAAAAAAAGTGCGAACGGAGAGTACGAACAAGTCGCCGAACGAGACGGGGTACTTGATCGCGAGCGGGTGGATGTGGTTGAGGATGTCGTCGATGTTGCCGTTCGCGACGTCCAGGAGCTCGATGTCTGAGTGTGCCATGATCGAGCCGTCCGCACCGCCCTTGACGTTGTCCTTGATGGAGAAGCCGATGGCGTCGTGGAAGGTCAACTGGACACCGCGGTCAGCAAATGCAGGAAAGAGCTTAGAGGTCAAGAGAATCACATACACGCAGAGCCTCGTGAGCCTCCTGGACTGTGTAAGATAATAATCAGTGAAGACTCTTGAGTGATCAGATGCGGACACTGACTGCACTGGCCGTTGTCGAAGCTGTCGTTCGAAGGATGAGTACATATTCGTGGCACACGTCTAGCAGAACTTACACATTCTCCTGGAGGTCGTCAAGGATCTCGTACCAGACACAGCACTGCGTCGAAATGTCAGCAAGTGTTGCATATCGTCACAGCTAGGAGCTGACCTTGATGTTCTCCGCGGTGTACTTACTGTTGGAGCACTGGGAGCGGCGTGAGGGCGGTGCCGCGGCGACGGCGAGCGTCGCAAGAGAAAGAAGAGGGAGGAGGGTCTTGGAAAGCATATCGGAAGCTATGTAGTCTTGAAGGCGGAAAGCAGAGGGCAGTTGCGAGTGTTGAGAAAGCGGGGGATGAGGATGAGGGCACTCGCGGCGTACCTTTTATAGCCACAGAAGACGGTCGGAGGGGGCTGGTCAGCCCCGAGTGAGGACGTCGGATGTCGAGCGGTGTTTCCTGATTGGGACGCGGATGTCAGCAACGGCAAGCTCGAGTGACACTTCCGATAAGTAACCAGGCTGGGATGTGCTGCAATACGCTCCTTGGCGTTGAATACGTGCTATTTGGTGGGTGGTCTCAGTTCTACGAAATCTGAGATGGATGTCGACAAGAACCGATGGTTCTGACCGATCACGACCGAAGTTCAACATCGTTGGCTTGCACGTGCCTGCTTGAAAGTCAGCCGAACAAGAGCTGGCATCTCGCTCCAGCGGCCCAGAGTCTGCCGGAAACCAATATTAGCGTCGAGGGGCTGCATCGAAGAGAAGATGAGAGCGACTTCGCTCGTGAAGCTTTGAAGATTGGAACCATCATTTAAAGCCCATGGGTAGGGACGACCTGTCCTTCAGTGAGGACGAACTGCGAGTAACGCTACATCTTCGCCAGATTTTTGTGCTGATCGAGTCGATGGCTGCGATTTGTGTCTAGCCAGGTACCACTGGAGTGTGGGCGGGACCTCGGCCTTGTATGATGTCCCAGATCGTATCCTAGGAATCTCGCTCAATCTGTGTATTTGCATGAAGGGTAGAACGAATACTCACTGGATATCCTAACTGTATACAAGCCGAGAATGAGGATCGTGATGGGAAAAGAGAAACAGCTTTGACTTCATGGGACACGTAAATTGCGATGAGTGTTGACGTTGAGGACGCGCCATGGGCTCGAGACGTGGCGAGGCTCGGACCGACCGACATGGTAGAAAGACAAAGGTGATATAGACGGCATCATACGGGTGACATTCATACAATACAAAGCACCAGGCGCGAAGAAAGAGGGAAGGTTAAAAACGTACACTTCGCTCCGTGCACCTACTCCTCCTCGCGCTGATCCTGATGCCACTCCTCGACCGCCTTGACCCCCACGCACCCCGACTTCTTCAAATGCCGCGTCAACGCGTCCTTCCTCGAGAACACCATCCCGCACCCGCCCACCATCCCACCCCTCGCGCGGCGCAACTCCGCGGCCGGGACCGGCCTGCGCACGTACTGCAGGTCGTCGGCGAAGCGCACCGGCACCCCGCGGCACGTCCACGGCTTCTTGGGCTGCGAGTGCGTCGCAATGTGCCGCTTGAGGTCCGGGGAGCGCCGCGAGGCCTGGACGAACTCGCAGTGCGGGCACTTCCATGGGTTCTTCGCGGTCGAGGTGGGCTCGTGCTGGGACTCAGACAACGGAGTGGAAGAGGAAGAGGAGGAGGAGGAGGAGGAGGAGGAGGAGGAGGAGGAGGAGGGAGCGGCGGCTTGGAGGTTGCGGCGCCGGATGGGCCGGGTGGCACGGCGCGCGGGCTCCTCGTGGTGGGCCTTCGGCTGGACGAGGGCATGAGGCGGAGGGGAGGCAGGGACGGGGGCTGGAGACGGCGACGACGACGAGAAAGACGTTGCGCTGGACCAGTTTTCGCTCGTCGGGGGAGACGAGCCTCCGTCGTAGAGGGAGCCCAAGGGCGTGTCGCTGTTGTAGTCGAGGTCGCAGTAGACGTCCGCGAGGTATGCGGAGGCTGCGGTGTCCCCCGTGGCCCACTCGATGCTTAGAGTGGCTTGAGATTCTTCAAACGCAACGCTCGTGGGCTGGGCACTGTCCTCGAGGAAGGCAGGACAGATGTACTCTGGGCTGTTGTCGGGGGTGCCTAGCGCGCAGTCCAGCGACGAATACGCCGATCGGAACCGTTCTTGCACAACGTCGAAGGCGAGGGAGACATTCTCGCTGTAAGTGAAGCCAGAGAGCAAAGATGGAGGCGCGATGGGGCGGGAGTCGTGTCCCGGCTCGGGGGTGGTGGTGGAGGCGGAGAACGACGGCGGGTAAGCCGCGAGACTAACGATCCCCGTTAATCGCTTATGTAACCATTAGAACGCTGCTTATGCACTCACTAGTAGTCCACAAGAGCGGCTTGAGAAGAGATGGGGAAGCCCTGATCATCGTAGACAACGCCTTTGTCCTCTGGGTCATTTCTGAACCCCCCGAAGTCGTTCAAACCGGTCGTAGAGGTGAATGGGAGCTCGGTATGGGTGTTGAAGTAGTACTGAGTGGAATCCATGCTGTTTTCGGCGGGAAAAACGCTGGGGGTGTCGGAATTTCGCTGGGTAAGCGGTAGGAGAGAAGAGAGATGGGTGTGTGGCACATCCTGGCACTGTTTGGAGACTCATGGGGGCAAGGGGAAGGGGCTGGGGAACTGGGTGAGGAGGGGGAGTGGGATGTGCTCGAGAACGCAAGATGATCGTCTCACGGGGTTTGGATCTCGGCGCCATTGACGGTGCCTTTCGTCTACCACGTGCACCACGCGAGCGAAGCATGGTCCGCACGAGGGCAACAATGGGACGCGGACATCGAGGCATACCAGGACGACCAGCAGTGGCCGCGGCGCGCAGGAGGAGGAGAAGGAGGAGGAACCTGGTAGCTGTCCCTTTAAATCGCGTCGCGCTCACCAAGAGGCCGCGGGCGGCTGTACAGAGGCACCTCCTCTCTTTGAGCACAAACACACTGCTAGTACCGCTCCGTTCCGTCGACCATATCCGTCCCAAACTGAGTCTTGAACTTCCAATACCGCACCCTCTCGCGCCAGTCCGCCTCCGCCACCCACGCCCGGCGTCGTCCGACTGCCGACTCTGCGTCCCCCGCCCCAAGCCCGAGCCCTCCCATCCCGGGCGGGAGGACTTCAAAGTGCTCCGCGTGCGCATCGAGTCCCAGGCTACCAAGAGCACCCTCCTGCTCCGCGATCGACAGGCCCGCCGTCGGGTTGAGGGAGGAGTCTATGAAGGGGGAGTGTAGTATCATGTCCCGACGCGGGCGCACGACGAGGCGGTAGAGGCGGCAGCCGCGCGCGACGAGCACGGTCTTGAGCGCGGCCGCAAACTGCATGGTGCTGTCGAGCGTGCCGCAGTTGGCGCAGAGGCCGAGCACGGCGAGACGTGGGAGGGGCGTGGTCGTGGCCTGAGACGCGCCGTCGGGACTTGATGGCGTCAGGAACGCCAGCAGGGGTTCGTACACGGACTTCGACTCGTCGTACTTCCACTCTGTGAAGTCGAGGACCAGCTCGCGGAGCGCGGGCATGTGCGCGAGGAGTGCTGGGAGTGACGTGTCCGTGGACGCAGCGGAGGGGTTTCCGGAGAGGCGCAGCGCGACCACCGCGTGGAGCGCGCTGGGCAGGACGCGAGTGAGGTCGACCATGGCAGGGCCCCACCCCTCGAGGACTCTCCAATCGTCGATCTTCATGGCTATCCTGGGCCCAATACGAGAACCATTGGGTTCAAAGGTGAAATTGAGCATGTCACCAAGGTCGACGTTCAGGACCGCCTCCCCGACGGTGGAGAGACTTGGACGAAACGGCTGGAGGATCCCCTCAAGCAGCTGTGATCGATTGAGACCAGTTCCGATGACGTGACGTACGTCGAAAAATCCGCGGACAGGGGCCTCCGGAAGGAGTAGACTCGAGAGAAAGTCCATGACAGAATGACACCAGCTGCTTTGGAATGTGAGTGCGCGGAGGTTGGGCAGCGAGACACGGTTTTGATGAGCCGACGGATCGGGCTGATGGAAATAGTTGCAGAAGTGGAGGGATACGAGCTGCGGAGTGGTTTCGAGAAGAGAACCGACGGCTTCTGTGTAAAGAGATTGCCAGTGGTGGTCGAACTCGATGAAGAGGTGTGTGAGAGATGAGTAGTTGTTGGGAGGGAAATTGGAGAGGCATCGGCCGGTGAGCGCCAGGGCTCTAAGGTTCGCAGCGCAGCTCTGCGGTATTGGGATCACGCTGAGATCCTCAGGCCCCGAATTCAGGCGCATGACGAGACACTGTAGCTGCGGAACTTGAATGGATAAGAACTCGCTGACGTTTAGCGTCTTGTTTGTGTCCTCGAGATACAAGTGGTGCAGTCGAGAAGCGTGGGTGGTAAGGACCTGTTTCAGACCCGAGCTTGAGTTGTCGGGGAACTTTGCTGAGCACAGATGGAGATAAAGAGGTGTAGACAAAGATCGTTCGAGGAAGAGTTGGTACTGCACGGGGTTGTGATGATGGACTCTGTTCCATAACATCGGGCATGTGATGATGTTGCTTCTCCAGTGTCGACACACGGACATGCAAGTGATTAGAGAGGAGATGTAGTCGAATGTCGTACGTTCAAACATGCGGGGCCCGCCAGATGTCCGTTGCAAATTTAGGCGTATCGTTGGACGCATGTCTTCTTCTGAGAGGAGTTCATGTAAAATGTGGAGAAGAGTCTCTGCGGGGAGAGTGTTGACCGTCGACATCGCCTGCGATCAGGCATGGGTCAGCTCGACCAAATAGTGTGAGCACGATAAAACAAGATATGAGTACCCGGTGTGACCAGTATACAGGGTGCCGGGAGGTGGTGGCTTGTGATAGGCGTAAATGCGCTATGATGGTAAGAGGCAGGCCATGGGCGCTTCCGCAGCCCAAGCGCACGCAATGGGTGGAGCATGGTATGTAGGACGGGCAACAACTTTTGGTGCGCAATTAATGTGACGCGCGCTGACCAGTCACACTGTATGCGCGGACTCCCGGCGAAGATGACTATTGAGCACTTGGGTACGCCCCTTCATGATGATATCCAAGTCCTAGCCGCATTATAATTACGGCGAACCTCCCGAACGGACTACACCGGGAGACCATCAATCGAGTCCGCTCCCTTCCTCACCTCTCCCAGTGCGACATCTCGGAGCGGCACAAACGACGTCCGGTGGCCCTCGTGCAGCTCTAGCGGGGCCCGCTTCGCCGGCGGTCCCTTCCCATCCAGGTCCGCGAGCTCGAACTCGCCGTGTACGCGGGCGTGCGCAGGGCGCGAAGTGAGCGCGCACTCGTGCGCGGAGCTCGCCCGGCCCGTAGATGAGGGTCCTTTGGAGGCCAGGTCGGCGCCGTGACCCCCACGCGAGGAGAGCGTGGTCGTCGTGCCGCTCGTACAGAGCGTGGCGGAGGAGCGCGTCCAGGCGCACCGCGAGAATATCCGGTGCGCGATCATGAGGGGAGAGATGCCCTACACAGCGACGCCGGGCGTGAGCGTGAGTGGGGACGCGGGCGCGTGGAGGCGGAAGAAAGGGAGAGCGAGGGCGGCACGCACCGTGAACATGATGTAGAACGAGAAGAGGTACGCGATGTCGCTTCCGACGGCGTAGGTGACAAGGTAGATGAAGCTGAAGATCGTGAACGGCAGCGCGCTCTCGACGAAGATGGCCGCCACGCCGGTGTACATACGGACGTCGCCGCTGTGGGCGTACCCCGCGTGGCGCATCGTGCGCGAGACGGCGATGATGCGGAAGCAAATACAGCTGGTGACGACGACGTTGAAGGCGAACGTGGTGGCCGTGTAGGCGTTGACGAACATTACAGTGATGCCGGAGAAGTAGTCCGTACCAGGACGACCGCATCCGTACAATATCCCGATACCGAATGCTACCAGTAGAGGATAAGTAGTTGACGAGGAGGATAAAACTGTGAGATGTACCGAGAGAAGATATCCAGAGGAGGATAGGAAGAATCATTATACGTTTGTCGTTCCAAATTATATAGCACCGGTGCACCTGAGGAGGCATCAGGGTGGCTTCGCATCATAGTAGACATTAAACTCACTAACAGTGCGTCGCTCATGAGGTTGCTCACAATGCATGCGGCTATTCCCCAAGTATTATACCATACGGACGAGTGCGCGTCCCAGTACGCCATCATCCCTCCAGGATAGTTCACGTGCGTGACAAACATGACTTCCCCAAAATACGTCTGGGTGATCCAGATCGTGGCACTGAGAATGACGAGAACGGTGGAGAACGCATAGAGAAACTTGTCGAATCGAGTTGGGCGCTCAAGACGGTGGATGGCTGTCACCACGCTGTAGAACAGAACAAGCTCGATACCTAACGACTCCGCGAGTGAGCCAGGAGATAATGTAGACTGCGAGGAGAAGCTTACCGAAAAGAACCGCATTGATGAAGTTGACGATGTAGAATGAGTGGTAGAACAGCTTACCGGGCATTGCGAGTAGCGGCGAGGGGGCAAAAGCACGAGGGAAGTGATAAACAGATAAACAGGCTCGGCTCTCCTGAGTGTCAGTCTCGCGCGCATCAACCTTGCAATTTCCTCTCCACCTGGATAGGGACGATTCCTCGTAAGTGGCGAGACCATGCCGAGGAAGGCGTCCTTGAATCGATACGCCTGTCCAGCCGGGGCCGGACCAAGCTTTGCGACAATGTGTCAGCGGCGTACGATCGGCGTCAACCCAATGCCATGTGGTCGACACAGGGGTCAAGGACTCTCAGTACTCCGACAGCAGGGGCCGCAAAAATACGCGCATGAGCTCCTCGAAGCTTTCTAGAACAAGCCCAGGTGATAGGGGAAAGGAATAGTCGCTCGCTGCTTCGACGCGCTCTGCAGGGGAAGAACGAGGAACACGTTAGCGACCTCGCCCATAATACCAGCTTTGTTCCACCTACACCATAGAGCTCGTGCCATATTTCTAGGGGAGCGGGACATGCACAACACGCCATGCACACACGTCGCCGATGATGTTGAAGTGTCTATTCGACAAGCTGAGGCCTTCTTCTAGGCCACAGAGGAGAGGAACGACCGATATTGCGGCGGTAGACTAAAAGCCATCAAGTCTCTTGCGTAAACAAGTAAGAGATGTATGAGGGAGATCATGGTGTCGTAGAGACGTCGCGAGGGGGCGCTGGAGGGGCGACGGACTCGAACGGTGCCCCTAACCCGAGCTTCCATCATCCGCAGGCGCTGAAGCGCGGAAGGTTCGAGGCAGACCGTCGTGGAACACGGGCGCGAGATGGCGAAGAAATCGCGTCTCCCCACATGAGCGCGTGCCACCGGGGCCGCACAATGAGTCGGCTGAGGGGATGCCAGGTTCAAGAGGTCGTGAGGTTGAGTGGGTTTCAACTGAGTGTTTCTTACTACGCCACCCTGCATAACGTAGACAATGGCGCGGATTCGCCTCCTAAAACGCTTCAATAATGGTACATATACAACGCGCAGAAGTCGCTTGGTTTTTAACATCATGATATAAACGCTTCCACCTGAATTTGCCACAGTCGCGCGTACTCGCCGCCTGCGGCGATGAGCGCGGTGTGCGTGCCCGCCTCGACAACCACGGACTCGTTCATGTATCTGCAAGAAGTAATTCAGAACCGAGGAAGATGGCAGAAACAAGACGAGGCATACAATATGAGGTCCGCGTGCCGCGTGAGCTTCCCGAAGCGGTGCGAGGAGAACAAGAGCGTCTTGCTCCCCCGGAGCTCGCGCAGGCGGTCGAACAGGTCTGAGAATATGTCAACATAAAGAAATACGCGTCGAAAGAAGAAGGACATACTGTGCTCGGCGATAGGGTCCAGCGCAGCGCTCGGCTCGTCGAAGAGCATGAGTCCCACGGGCGAGTCCCCGCCCACGACAGAGCGCATGAACGTGCGCGCGCTGCGTGAAATCCTTCGTCAGCACCGCGCCGCACGACCACGAGGTCGGTACTCACACCGCGAGCCGCTGCATCTGCCCGCCGCTGAGGCCGGCTTCACTCGCCTTCTCCACGCTCGCCGCAGCCTTGAGCGCCGTGTAGTCGACCACCACACCAGGCGGGCCCCCGGGCAGCGGGGTGTCTTCGAGCAGGGACGAGTACTCGTCATCGACTGGGGGGTCTAGGAACGTTTGTGCGCCCTTGGGGAGCTTCGCAACGAGGGCCGTCGCGTCGGCTAGGTGGAGCGCGTCGGCGATTCGGGAGGCGTCGTGCGCGTGCGCGGGGCGGCCGAGGCCGATGTTGTCGGCGATCTGTGTCACGGAAGCGAAGGCGAGAGGTGAGAACGTGGGAGGACCGATGAGTAGGGGAACGCGCACCGAGAGGGGGAAGAGCGTATAGTCTTGGAAGAGAACGGAGACGGCGTCGCGCAGATCGGAGAGCTTGAGGGCGCGTATGTCGTGCCCGCCGAAGAAGATCTCGCCCTCCTGAGGGTCGTAGAGCCGAGTGACGAGCTTCAGAATGGTGCTCTTTCCCGAGCCGTTGGAGCCGACGATTACCTTTGGGTTCTTCGTTAGTTGCGCATTCGAACAACGAAATCAAAATACCTACGCAAAGTTGACCGGGAAGAATGTTGAAAGAGACGTTCCGGAGTGCCCAGTTCTCCGACTCCGGGTACTTGAAAGACACGTTCCTGCACGAGCGTGAGTGTAATTTCGCGTATACATGTGAATCTCACTTACCGGAACTCCAAAGATATGCCATATCGAATCTGCGCTGTGTCTTCGGGAAACGGAACGGTCCCATCGACAATCTCGTTGGGAATGTCGCGCACGTTGTACATCTTTTGCACGTTAGCGAGCTGCGTACTGACCGACTGGAGGCGTGCAATCAGCTGAACCATCGTGAACGCGAATGTAGTCGTCGCGCTTTGTACGAGCTGAAGCGAAGCAAGCGACACCGGGAGCTCCGTGGGATAGTTCACGGCGCGCACGACAAAGATGAGCTGCGGCAGTGAAGGTCAGGCCTGGATCGAAACGCCGACAATGGAAGACGCACCTGGGGTATAAACGCGAACGGCCCTTCGAGAATCTCGATCCACTTGCGGGAGCCGTCAAAGACTTGGTCGTTCCATTCCCACCAGTCCGCGTCTTGATCTCCGACTATTTCTGCAGCGGAAGTGTATTCTATAACACATGTGTGAGAACGAGTAGAAGATATGCATCAATGCTGGGACGCTCACCTGAGGTAGCGAATTCGCCCATGTTTCCCGCTACGAACTCCTTTCGGAAATTTCCGTCCTGAACGATGCGCTTCAGGCCGCGCGTCTTGATGAAGGCCGCATTCACCGTTCGCGCAAGCCACACTGTCAGGGTGTCAGCACAAGACGAGGTCGCCATCAGATGGACTCACGTTTGGCCGGGCTGAAGACGGACATGTAGCTTCCCCAAGTCCACACTTGACTGACCAACGTCACCATAACGAGCAGCATGCCGTCGCGCTGCTGTCTCAGGACGCCGAAGAGGACGAGTGCGTGCGCAATGAGCTGCACTCCCGCACCTGCGATGTCCGCCACGAGCTGTAGCGTCGCCCAGACGACGGTCTTGCCCCACGACGTGTTGTCGGTGTCGTTTAGCGCGCGCCGGGCGGTGGGCGAGTGGAACGTGGGGACGTCGAGACGGGCGGCGGCGGCGAATGCATGGGCGGCGTACCAGCGGCGGATGCGGGCATTCAACGGGCCCTCGATCGACTTTCGGAAGCGGTTGACCAAGACGATGAGGAGGCTGCAGACCAGGCGGCCAAGAGAGATGCGCAGGAGAAGGCCTGCGTTGACTGTGCGGGAGTCGATGGCGGTTTGAATCTGATCACGGAGTAAGCACGTGGAGGAGGCGGTATAACGATGGAAGAGGCACGTACGATGGTCAGAAGCTGCCCTTCGAACCTACAGAACTTTCCTGGTGAGCTTTTCAGGCGAAGAAAGCCATGGGAGAATACGCACCAGATCGAACCCGCGGGAAGGACTGAGATAGCAATCTCGCAAATCGCATAGATGATCGCGAGCCTTATGCATCCTGGTATGTTCGCGACATCCGTGATCATGCGGCGCACGTGGGGCCAACCGTCCGAGAATTCGCGGAATTTGTGCTGGAGAGACGCTCGCCACCCAGGCCGCTGAGCATGCTGGAATATTTCCTCGTAGAAGTCCCAGACGCCGTAGCGACTCTTCGAGATTCGCGATTTTGTTGGCGCAGGAGGCGGATCATCGTGGGGGTGCTTGCCGTTCATCGTTTGTTGGATCTGGGGTGTTCGTCAGTTTTGTCTGTGCGCGGCAGTCCCGCCGATCGACATGCTTTTATACTCACCAGTGTCCTGCTGGGACCTTCTGCCGTACAAGACGCGCATGTGGTCGGGTTCCGAGTATATCGCCATCCGATAGGCCGGAGATCAGGTTGACTCGAGCTGGACAGCTTCTTCGGTTTGGGATGCGCCGTTTCTCAACGTATGTGATGTTATGCACCGCTGGAGTCAATCGTGGTCCTCAGGAGTGGACTCGTTGCACGGTTTCCGTCCGTAATTTCAGTCGCCGTTCACTGCACTTCTCCTAAAAAGGCCACTACCACCACGAGGCAGTGATTGAGTCAATACGAAACTATAGGGCGCTTGTTAGATTACGTGTCGTCCGTCGTAGGGCGGAAGTCCATCACCCGATAGATGTACGCACCATGTTTGGATGACAGCTGTTGTCGGGGGCAGTTGTCCGGCACAAACCCTCGCCGATGACAAACATAGCCTTCGGGTAGACGAGTAGCTGTCTTTGGAAGGGACTTTGCGTCCCCAGCGTAGTCAACTTCCTCCATAAGAAGATCCAGAGATGAGCAGCCAGTGTGGCAAGTCATGGCCGGAAGTCTTGGACCCGCTTCAGGCTGTGAAGTTGCGCGACGTAGGTGAGCAAAGAACGGGCGCCAGCTGGGACTCGAGTCGGCGATCGCACGCCTTTGTTAAAATTAAAAGTCCGAAACGTTCTGCTTCTATTTGATTTTGCGGCGCCTCAAAAAAAACGTGGCGGCGGGCGCCCACACCGATGGCTTTGCAGCTCTTTGTTCGCGATTGCCTGCATCTCTTGAGAGCCTATACTTGCTGCTCCGGATATGAAGGCTGGGACAGCACCGAGGCAGTGTAAGTCGACCCGCCGGGTCGTCCTTGCATCTCAATGCTGAATCAACGTTTATTTCAGCACCACACGAGACGAAGCGGCGTACAGGAACAGTGCGCCATTTCTGTTCATCTCGTATCTACTGACTAGTCCCTGATTTATTCCTGTAGGTTGCAAAGAAGTATCTTCGAGGGAACAGCGCACCGCCGGCCATCATGAAATTGCCAGGAGAACTCCTTATGATCTTTCACTACGTTCTCTCAGCTACCGAACTCCGTCCAACACCTTCCGCTCGAGCATGGCGACATCCGGTCACCCACATGTTCAACAAGAACACAGGATACATATTCGCCTTGTTGAAACTCGCAGCGGTCTCTCGCCAGTGGAGGGACATCGTCCTTGGCAACCCCATATTGTGGACGAATATCCAACATCATTCGACCAAAATTCATCAGCTGTTTCTTCTTCGTTCGTCGTCTGCCCCCGTGTTCCTCCACCTTCGAACGTCCCTTACTCTCCAAACATCCACAAATCCGATGCAGGTACTCACTGACCTTGATCACCGCATTCGCCATCTGTATCTCGACCTGACATCCCCGGGGTGGATCTCCAGCAACTTCTCACGTTCCAGGGACGACGTTTGCAGTGCTTGATCCTGTCTATCCACCCCGCGTACTTGGCCGATTCAACGAACGACGGTCCGCTTTTACAGAGCAACGCATTTCCGAACTTGGAAGCTCTCGCAATGGTGGGACACTGGAGCTGCACGTTCCCAGAAAACGGCTTTCCGCGACTAACCCACCTCTTTCTGGATTGCGCCACCGCCAAGGATGTGTTCGACCTCGATGCGCTCTTCGCGCTTCTTGCGCGTACATCGGTCCTGCAGTCACTGCACCTTTGCCACAGAATCGCACAGAAGGCACCCACCTCCGAACAACCCCCGATCCCGCTTCTTCACCTCACATCGCTCGCGCTCGCGCAGTGGGATGTCTTCGGAGTTTGCACTTTCCTCGGACACCTCCTTCCAGAAGCCCCCTTCCACACGTTCGTCCAAGCCAACATGTCCACCAACAGCTACGACCAATACTACGTCCACCCCATGCTCCATTTACTCCACCCCTTCCTCCCGGCTCTGTCCGTCTTTGGGCATGCCTGTATAATCATCCAGGATACCGGAAAGGACGCGGGTTTCTTGCTTGAGAGTCACGGACAGGAGCAGGGCCCAACGATTCTTCTCGACATGTTTGACGGCGGTATGCTCAACATGGGATGGCCCTCCGCCCTCTCCCAACTACCGCAGGTTATCCCTCACGTGCTCAACCAAGTCGTCTCTCTCCAGATCACACGCAGCAAAGAGATTTGCAGCATCATGAGACAGCTTCCCGGCGTCCTTGCACACATGCCCATGCTCACGGAGCTCTGCACCAACTTCGCCGCATGCCTCGGGCTTCAGAGGTTCCGCGACGCCATCATGCCCTTCTTCACATTCCTCGCCGCCGCGGCCCCGTTCCGCTCCCCCGCCTCGAGGTCCTGGCCATCTGCGCAAACTGCTGCACGCTCGAGGCCACGTCGCTCCTCGCCACGTCCCTCAAGGACGCCCTCGTCGCCCGCCGCGCCGCCCTGAAGCACCTCATCGTGCGGCCGCTCCTCAACGCGTCCCCTCGGGCCGACGGCGAGTTCACGAGCAGGCCGCCGCGGACGGTGCCGTTCCGGACGCAGCTCCCCGTCTTCTTCGACGCCGGCCTCGACGCGCACGCCACGGAGTTCCACGTCCTCCCGCCGATGGGGCGGGACGAGCCCTGCGACGAGTTCGGGCTCCTCTCCCTGCGGAACGCGGAAAAAAGTGACGAGCACGAGGTGCTGCTGGAGGTGCTGGACGGGAACGAGTCGCTGCCGGAGTCGGAGGGCTCCGAGGGGCGGATCGTGCCGACGCGCTGGGAGGCCGCGACGGCGCGCGGAAAGGACGTGCGGGAGCGGTACTGGAGGTTCCTCCCGGAGGACGCGTTGCAGTGCGACTGCGACTGCGACCGCGTGTCGGCGTCGTCGGATTCGGAGGGGTTCGACTGAGGAGGGGCACGGGATGCGGGTGCCCGACTGTGCCCGAGCGCGACCGCGTCGACGTCTTCTCGTGCCATCGACTGGTGCGTCCTTGCGTTCCGGGGATCCGCATGGACTTGGTATGCCACAGCTGACTTGCGGACTCCAGTGAACCTGTTCCGTCTCTTTGCCGGAGGTACGCGACCCTGCGGACGCCGAAGAGTGACCCTGCACGCCTTCACCGGCTTGTACGGGCCTAGCAGTAGGCAAGATAATGGCACCCTCTGCGGCCGCATCGAAGTGCTCCCGCCCACGGGAAGGTACGGGGAAACAGAGGGAGCGTAGCATTACATAACGCGCATGTTTTAGTCAAGCAACCCTTTCTCGCGCGGCGTCTTGCTCGCTCACGGACCAGGCTCGATCGTCCGGCTTGATCGTCCATACGTACCGCTCCCGCAAAACATTTGCCTCAGCGAGCGCCAATCTATCAGATTAGATAGCGCCCCCGCCGACACTGGCCAGGGAGGATTTGTCGTACGGAAGCCGGAGGTCCGGACCAGCCTCTGGGATATGGAGAGCGATCCGCCAGAAGCGCGGCCTTTTGTATCCTATACATTTGTCGATGCGCGCGCAAGTCCTTGTCTGCCTAGTGCGCAGAAGAACACGCGAGGCTCAACGTACGTTACAGGCTGACTGCGGAGGTCGCTGGTACGCTCCAGCCTCCAGGCACACAGGCTAACTGCAGTCCGTGACGTGCATCAGGAGGAATCGCCTGGGGCGCGATAGCCTAGGCGTGTCCGGACGGGGCCTTGCTTACCAACGCCGTGTCAGAGGTGATTTCCGAAAAAGGGAAATCTCCGTACCACTGTTTCAACCCCCGCGCACTTATGGACATACTAGTCTGAGTGCGTTTCTTATTGCTGGCGCATCGCCTTCCCTGAACGGCTAAGGGTTTCGAGACGCGAGAAGCGCGGCATAAGTACTTACCCAACGGCGGAGCTGGGAGCGCGCACGGGGCCGGACCGGAAGGAGAAGAGTGAGCCCGTGACTGTGTCATGGAGGACCAAGAACGCAGGCCGAGTTTCTTGAGCGAGCGCACCTGCCATGGGACCACTTGCGGGACTCCTCTGCGCGCGCATATATATACCCCTGTCGGACCCCGGATGGCTTCCCCGCCCGCTCTCACCCTTGTCCCCAGTGCCCACCTCTCCCTCCCGCCATGCCTGAGACGTTCAAGCACACGTTCGACACCCCCGTCTTCAAGGGCGACGTCGCTGTCCCCCTTGGTCTCTACATCGACGGAAAGTGGGTCGACGGCGCGAACAAGACCACCATCGAGTGAGTCTAATCTTTCGCCTCTGCGATCCACGGATTCCCGAAGATCCATCTGCCGTCAAACACTCTCTCGCCTTTCTTCCTCGGGGCGCGGCGCGCTCGCGCTCGCTGTATGCACTCGCTGAGGGCGATGTCATCATGCGCATCGATCCCTCGAGAGAGCGTTCCCTCGTCCTGCTTCGCGCGAGCGCGGCCTCGCACGCCCTGCCATCGGCGCCCATTGCGTCATTCCCCCATCACATCGCCCACGTGACCGTGCACGCGATGCTGACCTCCACCTCCCCAGCGTCATCAACCCGACCAACGGCAAGACGTTCACCAAGATCTCCGAGGGCACCCCCAAGGATGTCGACATCGCCGTCGCCGCCGCCCAAAAGGCCTTCGAGACTGTCTGGGGTCTCAACACTACCGGCAACGATCGTTCCCGCCTCATGCACAAACTCGCCGACCTCATGGAGGTCAACGAGGATAAGCTCGCCGCGCTTGAGGCCCTCGACAACGGCAAGACCTTCGTCTGGGCTAAACGTGCAGACATCGCGCACTCCATCACCTGCCTTCGCTACTACGCCGGCTGGGCCGACAAGATCCTCGGCCAGGTCATCGAGACCTCCGAGGCCAAACTCACCTACACCCGCCACGAGCCCGTCGGCGTCGTCGGCCAGATCATCCCCTGGAACTTCCCTCGTGAGTAGTGCCGTTCATCGAGCGAGAGTGTGGACGCTGAAGCAGCTCCACGAACAGTCCAGATGATGGCCTGGAAGATCGGTCCCGCGCTGGCCACCGGTTGCGCGATCGTCATGAAGCCGTCCGAGTTCACACCCCTCACTGCGCTCTTCATGACCGAGCTCATCCACGAGGCCGGCTTCCCCCCTGGCGTCTTCAACCTCGTCAACGGCTATGGCAGTGTCGTCGGCCAGGCGATCGCCGAGCACCCACACATCGAAAAGGTATGCGCGTCGCGTTCTCTTTTCATTCCTTCTGGCGCTGATGCGTCCACGCCAGGTGGCGTTCACCGGAAGCACCCTCGTCGGTCGTAAGATCATGGAGGCCGCCTCCAAGTCCAACCTCAAGAAGGTCACGCTCGAGCTCGGCGGCAAGAGCCCGACCATCGTCTTTGACGATGCTGATGTCGATCAGGCTGTCAAGTGGGCCGCATTCGGTATCTAGTACGTGCTCTGTTCGTTTTAAACATCACGATAGGTTCTGATGGAAACTTCAAGCTTCAACCACGGCCAGTGCTGTTGTGCCGGCTCGCGTATTTTCGTCCACGAGAAGATCTACGACGAGTTCCTCCAGCGCTTCACCGAGCACACCAAGACGCTCAAGGTTGGTGACCCCTTCGACCCTGAGAACTTCCAGGGCCCGCAGATTTCGCAACTGCAATATGACGTACGTCCTCTCTTCTCCTCTTGTTTTCACCCACGTTGACGGTCCGCAGCGCATCATGGGCTACATCGACTCCGGCAAGGAGCAGGGCGCGACGCTCCACCACGGCGGCAACCGCGTAGGGAATGAGGGCTTCTTCATCACCCCGACCATCTTCACCGACACGAAGCCAAACATGAAGATCGTCCAGGAGGAGATCTTCGGGCCGGTGTGCGTGGTGATCAAGTTCAAGGACGACGACGACATCGTCGCGCAGGCGAATGACTCCATCTACGGTCTCGCGGCGGCAGTGTTCTCGCAGAACATCACCCGCGCGCTCTCGACGGCGCACAAGCTCAAGGCGGGAACCGTCTGGGTGAACACGTACAACATGCTCTACCCTAACGTTCCTTTCGGCGGCTACAAGCAGTCCGGCATCGGGCGCGAGCTCGGCGAGTACGCGTTGTCCAAGTGCGCTCCCTCTTTCTACCCCTCTTCTGGCGATCGTGACTGACGGCACCCCCTCCTTCCAGCTACACCGCGACGAAGGCGGTTCAGGTCAACCTCCACATTAAGATGTGAGCGGGTTGGTCGTGCGCAGGATATGCGGGCCGATGGGTGTGTCGGGCAGATGATTATTGGCTTTTTGTGCCTCTTGTGCTTGTACCGTCGTTCCTCTCATCATGTACCAATAATAGCATGCTTCCCCCGGATCCTTGTTCGTTTAGTCGACCGATCAACTGTGTGTGCGCACAAAGACGCGTGCTGAAGCGCTGAGCACTGAGCTGCATCGCCCTAGGTGCCGTGGGGTATCACACGCGCGATGCTGTCGCGAGATGCTGAGAGGCACACAGAATTAATGAGCCCCGCCACTCGACGGTGCGCAAGCGTGGTCTAGTACGTATGCTGACATCCGGCCAGCCCCGCATGCGCGCCGTCCACGCATGCCATGTGTCCGACTCGTGTCTCTGAACGTCTGGAAAACGCAAGTGCCAAGCACCCCGGCCAAGCCGCACTGTGCGCAGGTTGGTCCACTCCGGCGCGCGCATGCGGTCGAGCATTCGGGCGCTGGACGTTTGGACCCATCGCCGCGGTCTTCGTATTCTACATCGTGGTACTGTACAACATTTTATCTAGGTATATGTACGCCAGAGAAGGCGGAGAAGCACCCCAGCGTGGAGTTGGTGCGTTTATCGCCACCTTTCGTGTATGGTGTGCCTCGCCAGGGAGATCCCCGTACTTGGGGTCTGCTACAGGCGACGCCGTATCAGGGAAGTGGGGGGAGGGGGGAGCGTGCTGTAGGGACAGCGAAGAGAGGGTGCGAGGTGCGAGCACGAGGGAGCCAATGCCATCTGTCGACCCAACGCCGAAGGGCGGCGGACCGCTCAGATCTTGATGTGGAGGTTGACCTGCACCGCCTTCGTCGTGGTGTAGCTGGACAAGCGCGGCGTCAGTTTCGATGAGCAGGGCGCCGCAGGCTAAGACTCACTTGGACAGCGCGTACTCGCCGAGCTCGCGCCCGATGCCGGACTGCTTGTAGCCGCCGAAGGGCACGTTCGGGTGGAGCATGTTGTAGTTGTTCACCCAGACGGTGCCCGCCTGGAGCTTGTGCGCCGTCGAAATTGCGCGGGTGAGGTTCTGGGAGAAGACGGAGGCGGCGAGGCCGTAGACGGAGTCGTTCGCCTGCACGACGACGTCGGCGTCGTCCTTGAACTTGATCACCACGCACACCGGCCCGAAGATCTCCTCTTTGACGATCTTCATGTTTGGTTTCGTGTCGGTGAAGATGGTCGGGGTGATGAAGTAGCCCTCGTTGCCGACGCGGCTGCCGCCGAGGTGGAGCGTCGCGCCCTGCTCCTTGCCGGAGTCGATGTAGCCCATGATGCGCTGTAGGACAAGCGGGGTCATTGTGGAGCTGGCTAATAGAACACAGGATACATACGTCGTACTGCTGCTGCGAGACCTGCGGGCCCTGGAAGTTCTCGGGGTTGAAGGGGTCGCCAACCTTGAGCGTTTTGGTGTGCTCCGTAAAGCGCTTGAGGAACTCGTCGTAGATACCCTCCTGGACGAAGATGCGCGAGCCGGCGGAGCACGTCTGGCCGTGGTTGAAGCTAGATGAATCTGTCAGCAGTGCGCGCAATGAGAGGGAGGAAACACGCACTAGATACCGAAGGCGGCCCACTTGACGGCCTGGTCAAGGTCTGCGTCGTCGAAGACGATGGTCGGGCTCTTGCCGCCGAGCTCGAGCGTGACATTCTTGAGGTTGGACTTGGCGGCGGCCTCCATGATCTTGCGGCCGACAAGGGTGCTGCCGGTGAAGGCGACCTGGCAGAGCGCGTCAGAAGCAGGCTCTGCAAGCAGGAAAGGGGGGCGCGTGCCTTCTCGATGCGAGGGTGCTCGGAGATCGCCTGGCCGACGACGCCGCCGTAGCCGTTGACGAGGTTGAAGACGCCAGGGGGGAAGCCGGCCTCGTGGATGAGCTGCGACATGAGCAGCGCGGTGAGGGGCGTGAACTCGGACGGCTTCATGACGATCGCGCAGCCGGTCGCGAGCGCGGGGCCGATCTTCCAGATCATCATTACGACTAGTCTCGGGGGGACGTGCGTGAGCGAATGCGCTAGCGCGCGCGGGGAAGCAGGCGCGGACTCACGAGGGAAGTTCCAGGGGATGATCTGGCCGACGACGCCGATGGGCTCGTGGCGGGTGTAGCAGAGCTTGGCCTCGGAGGTCTCGATGACCTGGCCGAGGATCTTGTCGGCCCAGCCGGCGTAGTAGCGGATGCAGGCGACCGCGTGCTCGACGTCGGTGTTCTTCGCGAAGTGGAAGGTCTTGCCGTTGTCGAGGGACTCGAGCGCGGCGAGCCTGTCTCCGTTCGCCTCCATGAGGTCCGCGAGCTTGTGCATGAGGCGGGAGCGGTCGCTGCCGGTGGTGTTGAGACCCCAAACGGTCTCGAAGGCCTTGTGGGCGGCGGCGACGGCAGTGTCGACATCTTTGGGGGTCCCCTCGGCGATTTTCGTGAACGTCTTGCCGGTCGTAGGATTGATGACGCTGGAGTGGTGACGGTCAAACCAGGTCGTGGGCGAGGACTCGGGAAGCGGGTGCACGGTCACGTGGGTGATGTCATCCCGGGCTCAGGGCTCAGGCCTTCAGGAAGGACTGGGGAGAAGAGATGGATTGACAGAGTTGGAAAGACACGCACTCGATCGTAGTATTGTTGGCACCGTCGACCCACTTGCCATCGATGTAGAGACCGAGGGGGACAGAGACGTCGCCCTTGAAGACGGCGGTGTCGAACGTGTGCTTGAACGTCTCAGGCATGGTGGAAGGCGGAGGAGGGAGATGGCTGGGTCGGATACGAGGGTGAGGTGGTAGGCATCGTCGTTGTCCTCAGCTTATGTATATGCGGGAAACGGGACGACTGATGGTGTAGGATGCGCGCCGGCGTCAATGACGTTCCTGGATCCTCATCGCATACGCTTTGTCCCGCTCATTTTCTTTGCACGGATGTACGCGCAGTGCAAGATGAACTACATAGCTGGGGTTAGCGACGAGATTCTCACCGAAGCTGGTGGTTGGACACAGTGGAGGGCAGGCCCAGGTCGACATCCTACGATATGTGCATGAGACCGACGCCTCTCCAGCCGGCCCAAAGTTCTGCCTTCTAGCCCTTGGCGGTTTCTCCATGATAAATGATGGCCCCGTCCCTAAAACGTATCGGCTGCCTCGCGAACGCACCTCTCCAGACTCCAGCGACTTGTTTCAAGAAGCATGCACAGCACACGTAACTCGCAAGCCGAGACAATCCGCTACCGTGACCCGCAACGTGTATCTTCGCGAAGATCTCCGTGTGCGCCCGAGTGCGATCGACATTGCCTCCACCCCCGCAGGCGCAAACGGGGCAGCCCTACGGCAGCGCCACGACCTCCCCCGCCACCCACCCGCCCGTCGCCGGCCCGCGGTAGCGCATCTCGACCTCCCCAAACACCTCGACGCGCCTCACGACCGCGAAGCCGAGCTTCTCGAGGAGGCCGATGCTCGGCGCGTTCGTCTCCGCCACACGCGCGACGAGCGCGGCGCGGGGCACGGGCACGGGCAGCGCCGTCGTCGCGTACGCGAGCAGGAGCTGCAGCGCGGCGTGCGCCAGGCCTTTTCTGCGGTGCGCCGGCTCTGTGGCGGCGGTGCGGGCGCGGCGGGTCAGCCTCGTGGGCGCGGGGCGCGGGGCGTGGGGCGTGGGGAGTGAGGAAGAGGAGCGTACGCACCTGCGATCATGATCTCGACCTCGGCCTCGAAGTCGTCGTCTGCAGGGGAGCCTTTGAGGAAGAGGTTCACGTCGCCGACCATCGGCTGCGTCGTCGCGAGTCCTGGCCCCGGCTGCGTTGCGGTCGCGCCGGCGCCGGCGAGGACGATGAACGTTAGCTCTGCAGGCCGTCAGAGACCCGTGTGTGGCGGGTTACGGAGAACGGCAGCGAAGTCCGGAGTCAGAGGGGGCGGGCCCTGTCAGCGCAGCCAAGCAGAATGGGGGAGGCGCACGCACTGTCGTCGTCGTCCCGCCACTTCCCTGAGTCGGGCGCGTCAGTGGGTGATGGTGAGGGCGGCGAATGAGGTGCGGGGTTGTGCCCCCGGACGAGCCGAGACAATGCGCGAGACAACGAAGCTCAGCCTCGTGACGGATGGGCGCGCCATGCTCAGGTTGACAAACGGCGCCCACAGCAATTGGATCCAGGCCGCCACCCTCTAGCTGTGTTTCAGGAAACTGCGCGCTGCGTTTGGTTACAGACGACCATGCCGATCGGAATGCGAGCGGGACGCTGCCCCGCGGGGGTCCTCGACGGCCGGCGCTCGAAGAGCGGGAAGAAGGGGGTAGAAAGGGGACGCACTCTGCATCTCGTACTCTTCCTCGAGCGTGAGGGGCTCGCTCGCGGTCAGCTCACGGAGCTCGGGGTCGGACATCCATTCGTGGTACTTCTGTGGGCCGGTGAATCTCAACGCGGAGAGGACATAAACGAGGAGGAGCACCTCGACGTGCTCTTTCCTGTCAAGTCGGATGAGCGATACGATGTGGACAGAGGGGGGAGGGAGGGGGAGACGTACATGTACGGCACGAGCACGACGTCCGGGTGGACGATCATCGTCTTCTCATTCGCCTTCATCGTTTCTGAGCTGTCCAGGATCTGTCAGCCCGACCGATCTGTCGTAAACGGAATGAGCCGTCAACTCAAACACGACACGGAGACACGGTGGCTGTATGCAATCCTCAAAAACTGCCAGAACTCGGAAAGGCACTCCGCGGGGCCTCGCAGGGGAGTCGGAGCGACCGAGATGGGAATGAGATGGCGCTCCGGATGGATTCCGGACGACCGACGGGACGGCGACGTCCCGCGTCCGCGGAAATGAACCACAACGTCTAACAGAGCTAGTGCAGTGCTAGTGTGGGGAAGCATGCGGGGTGCGGGGCGCCTCAGCTTCGAGGCAGGGCCGCGCGAAATGGGGTGGGGAGGAGAACGGGTCGAGACGAGTCTGGAGTCTGGATGGCTCTGGAGCGTGGGCGGTGTGCGGGCCGACGCGGGTGCTGTCCTTGGTGAACACCACGATCACTGGATGATAAGAATGAGCAGAGGAGGAAAGCATCCTATGTTCTGGCATGTCACGGCGTGTAGAGCAACTTGAACGGCGACGACAGGACTGATAGAAAACGCACCTAAATGTAGAATCTACCGATATGAGTAATTTTTGCCAAGCGAAATGTGGCACTTGTCTGTGAGTGACACTCACCCGATCTCCGGAGATGAGCCTGTGGGGACACCAGACAGCCGGCGCGAGTAGGCGCGGGCGTTGAGTACAAAACGGGACGGGCGCCAATAATCTGCCCCAGGACTGTCCGGAACGGCCCGCTCCTCCGGCTGCTACTCAACGCCCGCCACAACGCATCGTCTTCCTCTCGCGCCTTCATGGACTCTGTCCGCGCTCATACGCACAATTGTGCCCTTCGTGGACCCAAAATGCGAGCTGTCTGGCAATTTTTCTCCATTGCGCGTGCGGAACGTCCCGGTTGGCAGCTCGCGTTCCGCCCGCGTTCCGAGCCGCGCGCGTATTGGGCCGCGCGCGGTCGGAAGTGAGACGGGCTCACGGCTGTTGGCGCATGTCAGAGTCGCAGAGGGCGGCTGGCCATCTTGTCTCCGTACCCCCACCATCGCCGTGCTGCCAGCGTGGTCTGCGTCTCGCCGCCGTCTGTACTCCCCTCCGCCGTAAGAACCGACTTAGAAGCCACGGCCAAGGTTCGATGGCGAACTCAGGTGAGTTGGAGCATCATCCTTCTCGGATTCGCTGACTCTGTTCACTGAGTAGGCCATGACGAACTCGTGCGCGTTCCAATGACTGCACGCCGCTTCTCTTCACCTCAGACTTTAGGGCAGACCTGGCTGCAATCCCGGGTGAGACCGCCCCACCTCGCGCACGGGGCAGATATATATACGGCACATACGCCATGTGCGGGGATCCCATCCCTCCACCCCAAGGACGGCCTCGCGACCGCCTCTGCAGGGGAACTGCTCCTACCACCCCACGCAGAGAATCGACCGCCGCTCCCCCACCGCCACCCCATCCTCCCCTTCCAAGTTCTCACCGCCACCGCGCGTGCCGAGCCACATCAAAGCAAACATCCTCTCACGGCGATCCACGCCCCTGTAGCCCGCGCGCGCAGACCGTGCACGAAAACGCCGCTACGGCCGCGGTCCGTGCGCGCGCGTGCGGCGTTACAGCCGCACCCAAGACCCACGCTAGGTCAGTATATAACGCGCGGGTGGTTTGGTTGGCCCCACGCGTGGCTCAATCACTCGCGCGCCCCGTTCTCCCCTTCCTCTCACCCTCGCCTTGTCCGCGCGCGCGGGCCTCCCGCCCAAGGCATCCCTCGAACGGACTGGCGCCAAGCGATTCAAGAGGAGAGGGGGCGGGGGATCGGGGCGCACTGGGGCTTGGCTGGCGCGGCGGAGGGATATAGGGTCGCGCGTCGCCGCGAGCCCGCCGCGCGCACTCTAAACTTGGAACCCCTGCGGTCGACGGTGTTGCTCGCCGGGCTCCTGTCTCGCTCTCTCGCCTCCTCGCCTCTGTGTTCTCGTCTTCGTGCCGGCTGCTGCTGCTTGCTTTTTTGTTTTCACTGGCTGTTCTGGGGCGTTGGAGCTCTGGGTTCTGGGAAGGGTTGGAGCCGGGGATTGTCGGTCGACGCGACGGAACGCTCGGACTCGGGGTGCGGACGAAACTCGCGATGAAGCCTGAAGCGCAACAATTGATGGCACATCCCCGCTTGGATGATCGTTCCCTTGGTCTTGAATGAAATCGGTCGCCTCCTGTCTGGGCTCCGTGCGGACAGCAACAGGCACTCGGTCGACGCAACATTGTCTGACCGCATTCCTCACGCCACGGTAGTTCGAACCGCTCGCAACGATCCATTCCTAGGAAAGTGCATTCAAGGTTCAAAGTCTCGTTCATTGCTATTGTTCTCAGCGTGGGCCACGCGTGTGGATCTACTTGTGGTGAGTCCGTTCATCTGCCTCTCCCTCTGCGGGTTTCAAACGTTCACTAGTGCGGGGTTCAGACGAGCGGCATCAGCATTTAGGCGAAAAGGTTTGGGGTGCGCCACGGAGGCGGGGGTGGATAGCCGCTGCCCGCCCACCGTCCTTCACTGGATGATCCGCCCTCTCCGTCCCTGCGCCCCGGCGGCTGGTCCGTGCCCTCGACTCTCTCTCTGGTCTTATCCGCTGACCTCAGCCCATTCGCCGCTCGTCCACAGCCGTGGGGACGCGAGCGGGGACGGGCCGGTCAGGTGGCTGCCGCGCGCGCTCGCCCCAGCCGCCAGTTAGACGCCCGGACCCTGGGCGGCCTCAAAACCAGTCGCCTCTCCGTCTCGGTTTGCTTCGTGCCTCTCGACTCTCGAGCCCCCGCCCCCGCACGCACGCACGCCCTCCTCGCCAGACTCGCGCTCCGTCCCTGCAGCCATGTCCCACATCGAGAAGGCCGAAACTGCGACCGTCTACGCCAACGGCACCACCGCCCAGCCCCAGTACTACCGCAAGCTGGGCAACCCCGGGCCTCTGTACGTCGTCTCGTCTCCTCACCCGCCCTCCGCACCTACCCTTGCCTCTGCTATGTTCCGGTCGATCCTCGATTTGCGCGATGCTGATGCTCATCGCCAACTGCCCACAGCGGCCTGTATGGCTTCGCGAGCACGACGTTCATCCTCTCGATGTACAACGTCTCGGCGCGCGGGATTGCGACGCCCAACGTCGTCGTCGGCATGGCCCTCTTCGTCGGCGGTCTCGCCCAGTTCCTCGCTGGCATGTGGGAGTTCGCCTGTGCCAACTCGTTCGGCGCCACTGGTATGTCCCTCTCCGTGCTCGCACTCCCATCCCACGCCCGCCCTCGCCGCTCCTGTCCCCATACTGTACACGCGTCCTATCACCCCACGTCCCCCGCTCGCCGTCAGACGCAGTCGCCGGTGCCTGAGGCCCGCGCGCGCCGGAGAATGCGCAGCGCCATCATACATTCTCCGAACTTGATCCTCTGTCTCCTCCGCACTGGGACCCTCGCTGATCGTACCATTCCATGCAGCGTTCACGATGTACGGCGGCTTCTGGATGTCGTTCGCGACCGTCTTCATCCCCGGCTCGGGCGTGACCGCGGCGTATGCCACCGAGGAGGAGCTGCTCTCGGCGCTCGGCATCTACCTCATCACCTGGTTCATCGTCACCTTCCTCCTCCTGTGAGTGCTTCTTTCCGTTGGTACCCACGCTTGTCCACCCCGCACTTGAGCCGAGCCCAGGCTGAGTGCGGGGCGGGAGAGCGGATCACCCGGCCCCGCGTTTCGGTATCAGGCGCTGACCGCCCCGTGCGCCCTCCATAGCATCGCCTCCTTGAGGAGGAACATCGGCCTCATCGCGCTCTTCTTCTTCCTCACCGTCACTTTCGGCCTTCTCGCTGGCGGTATGTTTCCCTCTTTGTATACCCACTGTCTTGGTGCTTACCTCGCGCGCAGGTTACTTCTCTGCAGACCACATGCCAGAGCTGATCAAGGCGGGAGGTTCGATGGGGATTGTCACCGCGCTGATCGCGTTCTATGTCGGCACCGCCGAGCTCCTCTCTGACCCCGTCAACTCGTGGTTCGCGCTCCCGCTCGGGCCGATTCCCAAGGGCCGCATCGATTAGATGTCCTCTGCCTCTTGGCGCACACCCTATGTGCCTCGCGTTCTTCTATTGCTCCCGTGGATACCTTTTCCTGAGTCGGCGCTCCCATGCACCCTGCACCCTCACCTCGTCTACGCCTACGCCCATCGCTGTCGCCTCCGCCCGCCATGTACTCCGTAGCCCATTCCACCCACCCCCTCCATGTCGCCCTACGCCGCACATACCACCCACGCCCGCCTTCGCCTTCTAATCGTCCCATACCAGGTACCGTACGTAGTCTTAAAACCGCCATACCTCGCGCCGGCCCCTCTGCGGAGGCCTCTCGCGCACATGCCCCTCTGGAATTTTACTTTTGCTTTCACGCCTCTTCCTGTGTGCACGGCGTGGATGCGTCGAGTTGTTTCAGCCCAACCTTGGCTTGCCTGTGAACGGTCACCGGTTCGTGTTTCTGGGCACTGTGCGGGCGCCGCGGGGAGTGCTTCGCGCAGGTCTCGATTTGTGCTTCTGGGCAGTGCCCGCGCTCGACCCGGAAGGGTATAACCTACTGCGTAAGTTCTGGGGCCCCGCGGTGGTGGGAGAGGGCCAAGTCGGTGTGCCTGTTCTACTTCCCGTTCGTCGTTCACGCGCATTACATATCCGGGACAACTGGTGTGAAGGCGTAGAGGAAACAAATCGATAAAATTGTAGCACACAAAACGAAACCGCGCATTCCAAGCAACTCCCTCCCTCGTGCGCGGAAGGTTGCCCCCTCACCTAGCCACACGGAGTCTCCCCGGCCAGCTCCCAGCTCGTACGCCCCGCCCCGCCCGTTCGCCACACATTTCGGCGCTGTCAGTCGCACGCACACCGCACCCGGCGGTCGAACGTCCAGAACCGTTCCCGGACTTCCGCGCCACGGGCCGCCGCGGCCGCCCAGCGCGAGGGCGAGGGATGGTCGACGTCGACGCGACCACCACTGGCATACTCGCGCGCCTCGTCCTCTGAGGATGACGACTCCGCGCACAGCCAGCCGAACCCGGATCCGGGCCTGGACTCGTCGTCCCCGTCCCCTTCCCCGTTCCTGTCCCAGTGCGCCGCAGAAGAGCGGGGTGCGATGGGCGGGAGCGCGCGGAAGTCGGCGGCGTACGCGGCGAGGCCGGCGCGGTCGAGCACAGCGCGGACCTGTGCGAACGACGGCGCGCAGGCGGGGGCGGCGCGTGCCGTGGACTCGGTGTCGGTGTCGGTGTTGGTGCGTGCCGTGGTGTCGATGTCGGCGCGGGCGGTGGAGTGGGCGAAGGGGGCCTCGAAGAGCGGGCGGAGGAGGAGGCGGCGGAGGGGCGGGGCGACGCGCGCGCGGAGGCAGGTGGCGAGGAGCGCGGCGAGCTGGGCGACGGCGTCGAGCGCGTGGCAGGTGGTGCAGAGCGCGAGCACGGCGAGGTGCGGGAGCGGGGAGGCGGGCGCGGCGGCGTTCGTGGGGGGATGGAGGAGAGGAAGGTGAGGAGCGGCGTGAGGGCGGCGTGGAGCGCGCGGGAGGTGGGGCACGAGGCGAAGTTGACGCGGAGGTCGGTGAGCGCGGGGGTGTGCGCGAGGAGGAGGGGGAGGAGGGGGGCGACGGAGTCGATGGTGCTGCTGCGCGCGAGCCGGAGGGAGACGACGGCGTTGAGGACGCACGGGGCGGCGCGAGGGAAGTCGGCGAGGGCGAGGTGCCAGCCCATGTTGGACGGCCCGCTGTCGTAGACCTCCAAAAGGAGGCTGGGGCCAAGATCGGCTCCGAGGGGCTCGAGCAGAATCCCGGCGTCGGGACCTCTGTCCTGGATGTGGAGACACGCGGGCCCAAGCAGAGAAAGCGCGGGGAGGAACGGGTCGAGCAGGGGGCTGATGGGGTCGCTGTGGTACTGGTTGGTAGATATGTCGAACTGCAGGAAGGTGTGGATAGGCGCTTTGGGGAGGCGGAGACGCGAGAGGAGCTGGCGGACAGGGTGGATGTTCCAGTTCTGGATGGTGATGGTGCGGATGCGGGAGAGCGAAACGGTGTGGGCTGGGTTGTCGGCACGAGGAGGACGTTGGATTTCCAGGAGGCGGTTGGACAAGTGGAGTGACTGCAAGATAGGCGTCCCAGCGAGCAAGGAGATGAGTGCCTCGAGGTCGAATACTCTGTCGCAGCGCTCGAGGAAAAGGTGGGTGAGACGCGGGAATTCGTTTGCTGGGAAGATGTGGCACCAGTACCCGACGAGCGCGAGAGCTTCCAGATTAGGTGCGTGATCCCGTAAGAGCGGCACCTGGCGCACAGTCTCCACGCTGTTGATAACCGAAGGGTTGACGGAGACCACAAGGCATCTCAGCGTTTCGCCAGGGAAATCAAGTAACTGTCCAAGATCTATGGCGGGATCGTCGACGTCAAGGTAAAGATGACACAGCCGGTGAGCCAGGTCGACAAGCATCTGTGAAAGGTCTAAGGATGACTGTAGAGCAAAGGAGGTGCGCAGGTGGAAGAAGAGAGCCGTCGAAGATGATCGCTGAAGGAATAGCTGGTGCTGAGAGGGCGTGTGATGTTGAACTCTGGACCAGAATGCGGGGCAGCCGAAGATGACGTCCTTCCAGTGACGACAGACGGAAGCGAGGATGGATAGAGCGGGAAGATATGTGGTGTCTCCTTCGAACATGTGCCCGGTCGGTCCTGCGGACAGTCGGGTTGCAAGGGTCGGACGGAGGTCGTGGGCTGACAGGATGTGATTGAACACTATGACCAAGAGCTCTGTCGGGAGCGACAGGGTGCTCGCGAGAGTGTGCATCGGCATGACCAAAGGTCTGCAATATCCGGGTTCGATCAGAAGGTATCAGTGGGGCAAATGCAACGCATACCGTAGTCTCGATTTCGGTGGATTTATCGCCGCTCTGGAGTACTTGAGTCTTGAGCCTAGGAATCAGAACACAGATGCAAAGAAGATAATGACGCTGCTCTTGCTGCGATGCCGATGTCGTTATTCCGGCACTATTGTTCGAGGGGTAGACTAGCGATGTTTGTAGGTGGGCGGTAGAATGCCAGAAGGCTGACAGAAACACCACGTAGTTGGTCACTGCTGGGGCCGAATACATTTATAACTCCGAAGCGCACCAACGAGCTGACTTGTGACGGAGTTTTAATTTATGGTCCGCCAGTGCCGCCACGCGGCATCCGGCCCAACACACTGCGATGCGCCATTGCGCTCGCAACCTGTCGATATTCTTGCCCAGCTCCCGGACGGACATCTCTATTCAATATCTCCACTGTCGGAGGAACGTCATCCTCGCGTCTCCCTTGTTCTGGACCCAGATCCACTAAGTATTTAGTGGGATTCTCCCTCGGAACCCCGGACTCTTTTCATGACGCATGTTCACGATGCGAAGGTGTGCAAGGTCCCTGCCATCGAAAGAGATGCAAATGCTCTGGAAACATGTAATATGACATTCGAATCAGCCCTTACACACCCCACACACTCTCCAAATCGTCCCTGGTGCCATGCTCGCTGCAGTTTCCATAAGTGCATCTTCTCCTGTGCGTACGCTCCGCCAGATTCTGCGAGACTCACTCTCTACGCGCTCTGCCCGCCCGTGCTGGGTTCAATATATGCGCGAGGCTGGTCCCTCTCACGGTCCCGCCGGGCTTCCTTTCTATCTACTTCTGCGTCCATCTTCTTCCGCGTGCGGCACAGACGACAGCGTCCCGAGCTGATCGCAGAGAACAGATGGGCAAACGCTAACGAGGATGATGACGACCATGGGGTAGATGGCCTGAAACCGGGCAGAATCAGCATGTATTATTCGGCGAGCGCACAGCCCGGACGATGTCGAACATACAATCGCTAACGGCAAAAAACCTCTCCCCACCACATCCACGACGCCGTATATTGCTCGGCCGCTTCTCTTGGAGCCGTATGTGTGCACTGCTTCGATCGCGACCATCACGACCTGTGCACGTTGATCATAAATACGATCGGCATATGCGCACGCGCTGTGCCATAAGAACGTACCCAGATGACACAGTACCCAACTCCAGACTCGACGAGCAGTGACAGAACGGCAAGTGAGCGGCTGCCGTGCTTGTCGCCGAGATACTCACGCAGGAAGCGACGGTGCTGCCTATTAGGGTGTGAATAGCCACGGACCATGCAGCAAGCGTAAGGACGACGCACCACGCGCGAAAACCAATGAGCGCCGTAGCCACAAGATTGGTGAGGAGAGAAAGGGAGTACGCGGCCAAGGTCAGGCCGCTTCCGATGAATCGTGTGTCATCGGCGGTTGCATATATTTGCTGCATCCGGAGCGGCCCACGTGAATGCCGTCGCGCTCACGAGCAATGCTGTAAATACGAGTATTATTTTATCTGCCAAATGAGCATCGGGGGATGCTCACAAGCGATAGCAGTGATGAAGACCGCCCCCATAATGTAGACTGGGCGATGCCCAGACCAGACTGCACATGCCCGCCACCAGACGATAGCGTCGCCGATGAGTATCTGTGCGTGAATCAGCAGGCGCACACCCCATAAGCTGGTGATACACACATTGAACATTAGCGGGAGAGTGATCGCCGTTGCTTGCGCCAGCTGCGTGTGCACGGTCCATGCTGATGTCGAAGCATACGCATCTGCTCCGGCCACCGAGCCGGTGAGTATGACGTCATACGTGTACAAGTTCACGCCGTATACGGTTGATGCGGCCATGTACATGCACGACGACAAGAACAGGATAAGCGTGACGAGGATATGGATTCTGACGCTTCGGAGCTCGCACGGACCCCGACGCCTATCATAAGAACAACTCGTGAGTGGATCGACGACCAGCGCGAAGCGATATTTAGAAGACATACAGCAACATGAACAGGGTCAAGGCTATAAATATAGTGAGAATTCCTGGATTGTGTCTTGGTAAGAGATTGAAGGCAGCATGGGCGGTATTCGTGAGACACGTACCAAAGCAGAACGCCGAAACGATGGGGATGTATGCTTCTAAAACCGTGTTCGGCGCGGCAATGTACTGGAACACTGATGACCGAGGGTGGAGCATGAGTGGGGACAGCTAACCAATGGTGAAGTTCACGAAGCGCGGGAGTGGGGAGTCGCTCACAGACGCACGCTGGCGGGTGCCGTGATATATTAAGTACTTCGTGGAAGTAATATCTACAGGGTATCAAACCTACAAGAAGGAGCCCGTCAGCATCCGCAGACTGGGCGGAGGAAAACAGAGGTACTGACCGGTAAGCAGTGCCAGCGACGTTTACTTCCCACCCACGCCATGCGCATCACAGCACTTTGATGATACAGAAGACGAGGAGACTGAACGCCAACTGTTCTTCTGTCAGCCACAGATGATTGGGTTAGAGCTGATACGCAAGGGACAACAGAGATTCTGAGAACGTGCAGGGTGCTCATCTCCTCGGAAAGCAAGGGGTACAGAAGCTAACCTTTACAAATGGTAGACCCACGCGATATGGAAGACCTATGACCGGTACAGGTTGCCCACCACCGACGAGGAACTGATGGCATTGCAGACCTGCGACTGAGGCCTGAGAAGGTAGCTCCGAATGGCGACGGAGAACACGATGGCCACTCTTGAGCATGTGGGGGCGCGACGCGATCGGGCAAGGTTCGCCGCCCGGGAAAGAAAACCGTTCTGTACTCACGCGAAAGAAGACCACGACCAGTACGTCTCCAGTGAACCGCCAGGCCCCCCCTCTCCACATGCATCCCTCCGATGCCCGCCGCACAACGCTCCTGCAGGCATCTTCTCTCGCCGACCCTGGTACCGCCCTGCTACTCTGTCGCGGCCTCTTCGAATCCGTCGCCCCGTACCGCCATTTCGTTGTGCTACCTCGGTTGTCGACGGGCGTGGATGAGAATGCACACCAACGGCGAACCAAGAGCCCAGCGCTCCTCATCAGGCTCTCGTCGGATGACTTTGTGGGTGATTTCTTAGTCACGAGTAAAGATATACCGTCAGGAGAGCGAGGTTGGGGGGAATGGCAGTAGCTGGGGGAAGAAGAAGGGTTTATTGTTCATAAGGAGAACGATTTAAAGAGCTGCTCTGAGTTCGTTCACAACGAAGCTGGCCGGAGGTTGTTTGCGTGTGTTAGGATGTCATGTGATCGGGCCGGGAACAAACGGCGGTAGCTGCGCTGCAGCCCAGTGTCACCACCTAAAAGGCTTATTCCCCTCTCTCTCTCTCTCTCTCTCTCTCTCTCTCTCTCTCTCTCTCTCTCATCGTAACGCTCTTTCGGCTGCTGCTCTTTTCTTTGTACACCTCGTCGGAGGGTCACATCACCCTACTTATTTCCGCTTTCGTGTGTTCATTGACCGCACCGGCCTTTCTCCACTGGCATTGAGGGGTACAGCGCCTCGGACTCCGGGCCAGCCGGCGCCGTGGTCACCGTTTGCCCTGGTGTGCACCGTCGAGTGTGTGCTATGAGTCACCGGGCTCTACTTCGTGCAGCAGCGTTGGCAGCACGGCCAGATTCTCAAGGTCGACCGGCCAACCATAGCCGCCGTTCGAGGGAGGCTCAGCGTAGATGCTCGAGCTCAGCGGGAAAGACTCGAACAACTTACCCAGCGTTATGGAGAAGAAATCGGGGTGCGATTCCGCGCTCTAGTCTCTCTCTCGTGTCGTCTTCCTAGTGACTAATGCTGTACAAAGTGTTTTTGCTTTCGTAGGCTGCATGTCCTGGCTGGGCGTCCTCCTTGGATGCGTCCCCGACTCCTTTACTTGGTTGGGAGCCTTCCTCAAGGGCTGTGCATCGACCATGGATCTACGAAGCACGATCTGTTCCATTACCTCGTGACCCTCGTTCACATCCGTCTTCCTCACTGGAACAGGACTAACTTGCGAACATAGAGCAGCGAGGACGACCGGTCCGTGGAGGCATCAAGAGGTGCCGTAGCTGAACGCCGTCGTGTGCACGTGAGTCGAATCCGTCTCCATGTCAAATTGAGAGTCGCCTGTCCCCGCCCGGCCTAGAGTGCACGCTGCTCATGGGGCCGCAGTATCGTCGGGGAGCGACGGCTGGTTCGATCGTCGGTACGTTCGATCATTACCCTGCGGCCCGCAACGCCGAGGCTCACTCACGGTTCGCGGTGGCCAGATGCCTCCGCCCTGGCGAACGGCTGGGCGCACGCGTGCTCGATCGACCGCGACCGCAGGTGCTTTCATCCGCTACCCGAAAACTTCTGGCTCGAGCGCTGGTTCGGTGGCTCTGGTGTTGGTCTCGGTAAGGCCGAACACGAGAACGAATTGCTGCACACCGAGGCGGCGTTCACGATGGAGGAGACGCGCGCGCGGGGCGACGGAGAGGTGATAACCTTGGATACTAGTATGCGGGAGGGGTTTGAGTACTTGTTTATGTAAAGTACTGCTCGCGGATGGTGAAGAAGCGTTTCGGCGAACCTCTTCTACCTCGCTTTCGTCAAGCCCCTCGGACAGACCTCGAGTCGCGCGGGCGATTCAAAGGCTTTCATTCGAGCACGGAGGAGCGGAGGAGAGCGACTGGGGCGTTGTGGAGGCAGGTGGACCATACTTGGCTTATGACCGAGACGATGACGGTGATCGTACAAGCACACGTGGCGCATGGCCGGCCCGGTGCTGGGTCAATGACGTCACTGGGCCCAGACCAGGCAAGGCGCGTGCACCGTGCGGTTTCTGCTGATCCCGTCCGCCGTCTTCCTCTTCCTCCCACCATCCTTGCCGTCGCTCTTCTGCGCCTGCTCGCCATCTCTCACCCACTCGACGCCGTCGCACGTTGCCCACCACGCCGTCTGACGCTGCCCCCGCTCCCTCCGCCCGTCCGGAGGCCTCCCTCGACGGCTTCGCGGCTGCCATCTCCGCCCGCTATGCGTCTCAGGCCACGTCCCTCATCCCCCTCAACTCCCCCGATTCCACTCCTCATCCCCCACCGCTCTCCCTCGCCGCCTCTCTCCCTGGCCCCCGCCCCGGCCCGCCGCCGCAGATGATGCCCTCGCTCTCCCTGCCCTCCATGGCCTCTCCGCCCGCTACGGCCCCCGCTCTTCCTCCCTCTTCCTTCTCCTCCCTCGCTCCCTCAGCCCTCCTTGACGTCCTGGACGACCCATCTGCCCTCGTCCTCGACATCCGCCCACACAATGCGTGGGTCCAGGCGCGCCTTCCCCATGCCCTCTCCCTCTCCGTCCCCTCCACCCTCCTCAAGCGCCCCAATTTCCCCCTCGCCAAGCTCGCAGAGATGCTCCCCACCCCTGCCGCACGCGCACGCCTTGCCTCCTGGTCCAATGCGAGCCGTATCCTCATATATGACGCTGATTCGGCCGTCATTCCGCCCACGAGCAACCTCCTTGGCCTCATGCGCAAGTTCCGCAACGAGGGCTTCCCCCCCACCCGCGACATCGCCTGGCTCCGCGGAGGCTTCCACGCTGCCTTCAAAGAGAGCCCCGACATGGCCCATACCGGTTCGCCCGCCGACGAAGGTGACGAGGACGAGGCAGATGTGCAGATGGAGACCGATCGGGACCCCGCGCCACTGACGGCACTCGCTCCAGCTCGCGTGCTCCGCGCGAAGCTCCTCCCCCAGTCCGCCTTCACCTCCACCACCACCATCCCGATCCGTCCAAGGGTGAGTGCACCGTCTGCATGCGCTCTTCACCGTTTTGATTGCCCTCTGCAGCAACCACCTCCGTCGTCCCTGCCTGTCACAGTCCTCCCTCCGACCCCGCTCATGCCCCGCGACGATCCCGTTCGCAGGGCTCCCATCGCACCCACTCCCTCCACGAGTGGCCTGCCTCCTGTCGCCGGTCCGTCACGACAGCGCAATGCGTTTGCCCTTCGCCTCCCTCCCGGCCAAATGGACAACAAACCGGCAGACACACGGTCCACGACGGATGCGTCGAACGGCCCGCTCCACAGCATGCCCACCATCTCGCCCCAGTACACGCATTCAGGCGCGTTCAAGGGTGGTAACAGCTACTCCGCCCCCGGAAAGCCGGTACGTTCCGTCCATCTTCTTGTCACACAGCACCCTCATCCGCCACAGGTCGCCTACAACCCCTTCTTCGACACCATCCGCCAGAACATTGAGCTCAACCGCAACTCTAAGACGGCCGATAGCGAAGGCATTCCGCTCAAGCTCCCCCGCCGCGTACGGCGCCGCGTCGGTGAGCTGCCGTTCGAGTGGCTCCGTCAGATCGCCCGCAAAAGTCGCCACGTTCCCGACAGCACCAGTACGAGCGACGACGGAAGCGATCCGCTCAGCGAGAGCGACGGGGTGAGCGGGGATGAAAAGATGGCGTCCGCGTCCGACGATCACTCTCACTCCAAGTCGCCCTCGAATCCGACCGCCGTCCCGCCGTCCGCGTACGCGACCGTGTCCTCCGCTGCGTTCCGCTCCCCCCAAGCCTCGCCCTTCTCTTCACCCTCACTCCCCATTCCAATCCCGCCCTCTCGACCTCGCGAGTCCTCCGAAGGCCCCGCTTTGTCGGAGCACTCCCAATCACCCTCCGACGCCGACGAGCTCACTCGTGCGCTCGAGACACAGTTCTACAACATCGAACTGGGCGAGCAGAAGCGCCTTCTCGGCGTCATGGAGCGACATAGCATGGAAAGTGGGAAGGTCATCCAGGAGGCGCCAGGTGTGCGTGGGTTCGTAGGGATAGCGCCGCCGGGCATGGCGAAGCCAGCAAGTGCGCCTGGAATACACGGAGAGGATGCGGAGGCGGCTGCGGTGATCGGCGAGGAGGCCATCTCCTCCTTCCCGTATAGTATCACGGCGGGCCTCGAGAAGGGGGCGAAGAACAGGTGAGCACCTCGTGCGCCCGTTTTCTTGCATTTGCGAACAAGTACGCGCATAGGTATCGGAACATCTGGCCCTTCGAACACGCCCGTGTGCGGCTTCGCAAGTACAAGCCGGATGATGACGATTACATGAACGCGAGTTATGTACAGCCGTTGGGCACGTCGAAGCGGTACATCGCCACTCAGGGCCCGTTACCGACGACGTTCACGGACTTCTGGACGTGCGTTTTTTCTTTCTCATCCATATGTCATGCTCATCATTGCTGTAGTCTTTGTTGGGAGCAAAACGTGCACGTCATCGTCATGCTAACACGTGAGATCGAAGGCTCGTCCGTCAAGTGCGGCAAGTACTGGGAGGAGGGCACGTACGGTCCTTTGCAGCTGCACCTGATCGAGACTAACGACACGCCCGAGCGCGAGCGTAAGCGCGAGGAAAAAGAGACGGGCGGCGGGTTCTTCAGCGCCCACCTCGCGCAAGCCGATGCCAAGTTGAAAGCGAAGCAGGCGAAAGACGACGGCGAGCCTTCGACTCTCAAGCGCGTCTTCGAGCTCACGAACACCGCCTATCCCCTCGCGCCGCCTCGGATCGTCACCCAGTTCCAGTATCTCGAGTGGCCCGACCTCAACGTCCCTGACGACCCTCGAGGCCTTCTCCAGCTTATCCACGACGTCGAAAACACCGTCGAACGCGCCCGTTCGACTAGCCAGAACCTACGGGGCGAAGGACCGTTCGGCCAGTCCACCAAGAAGGGCCTCCCACTTACCCATGGCAAGACGATCGTCACGAACAAGGACAACGCCGCGGACGAAGTCGACGCTTCCACGGGCGTCGCGATGCTCGCGAAGGACAACGCCCCGGTGCTCCTCCACTGCTCGGCCGGAGTCGGGCGGACTGGCGGGTTCATCGCCGTCGACGCGGTCCTCGACGGCGTACGCCGCGAGATGCGGAAGCGCAAGGCGGGCCGGGTCAAGGACTCCGTCATCGCGCAAGCCGCCTCGGAGTTCCAGGGGCGCTCAGGCGCGCCCGAGGAGTACCGCAGAATCATCAGTGTGCTCAGCGAGGCCCACACGGACGCGATGGATGTCGACCCCCCGGCTCCACCCAGCGACCCGACGGCGGATGACGACTCACAACTCACGGTTCCAGTCCCTGTCGGTGACCGCGAAGTCCACGTCCCCGTCGCCGGGTTCACCCAGGTCCTCATGGACGTCGATGCCCACTCACGCCCTGCCCTTGCCGCCCCCAAGTCCATCGCCGACACCGCCCACGCCCCACCATACCCGTCGGGCGCCGTCCTGCAGGCTTCGTCCGAGCTCGTGGAGGAAGTACGTCGCGCGGCGATGGGTGTGTGGCCGGCTACCCCCCGCACAGAAGCTGCCGCATTCCGCCTGACGGCAACAAGTGCGTTTTCAAGTGGCGATAGTAGCGACGCCTCAGCGGGCCCGAGCAGCGGAAACGGGAGCGGAGGTAACGGCACCAACCTCCTCGCTCCTCGGTCAAGCTCGCCAACGATGAGCGCGTCGGACGGCCTCCCGAGCTCCGTCGTCGGACGGACGGCGAGGCTGTCCGTCAACAGCCCGGACACGGCGCCGACGAGCACAAGCCCCCATCCCTCATCTACGCCTGCGTCAGCGAGCAATATGGTAGCCAGTTCACCTTCGCCGCCGCAGACGCAGGCCAGTTCGTCCTCGAGCCCGTCCCTCGCCGCCCAGTCGCAACGGCTCAACACCTGGCGCTCTGAAGTCCAGTCGTCTAAAGCCGGGAGCTCGCCCTCGCCCCCTGCAGCGCTCGCGTCTGCTACCTCCCCTCTTCCTCTTCCCCTCCCGTCGTCCTCCACCAACAAACCGCGGAATGCGTTCCAGACGTCCCGTGGCCACGACTCGTCTGACGACACGATCCCCGTCGCCGAACCGTCGCCGCCACTCCGCGACCCGCGCAAGCTGCACTCGGACTCTTCACCACCGCTGTTGTCGACGTACGACGAGCCGATCCGGCGCGTGATCGAGGACATGCGCGAGCAGCGGATGAGCCTCTGCCAGAGCCTGCGCCAGTACGTCTTCGTCCATCGCGCGATCATCGAGGGCTCCTTGATGGTCGTCGACGAGGAGAAGCGGCAGGCGAAGCGCCACGCGAATCCGCATCCGCAGCCGTCCCAACAAGCTCCGCAGCATACTCAGCACCCGCCGCAGCCGCTCAACCTGGGCACGCACCACGCGACGCTCTCCCTTCCCCGCCTCGCCTCGCCCTTCGCGCCCGACACGGCGGGCTCCGCACAGTCTGCAAGTCCCGCCCGCGCGCTGTCGAAGAAACGGAGCGTTGGGGATGTGAACGGCGACTCCACGTTCGACGCGGGCGCGAGTCCCGGGCGGCCGAAGCGTGGCGCGAGCCCGACTGAGCTCCTCAAGGAGGGCCTCGACGGCGCGGTGCTGCTCACGAAGCGGCCGAGCCTGAAGCGACAGGGCCGGGACGGCGCGAACGTGCCCCCGCCTGGCCCGGTTGCGTCGGGGTACCCTCCAGCATGAGTATCACCACGTTTTCGGGAGATGGTACTGTACTGGTACGACTATCGTCCATCCCGCCGTTCGCACTCGTCCCCGTCTTGATATGTATGATTCCGCATCGCCGCGTCGTTGTCGCCCTCTTCGGTCCCTCTCTCGACTGCCGGCCTTTGGTCTGTTATCGCCATCCACTCGCATCGCTACTGCATCCATTCTTCTGCAATCCTCGTCACTGTCCACATCTCCGTTTCAGCCCCTGCTCCCGCACTTCGCCCCCGTTGCCCGCTTGCGGCGCTGGGCCCCAGCCTCGTACTGTATAACCCTGTGTGGCTCCTACACGTGAATTGTATAATTTCTTAGTACTGCGTAGGTGCAGTGCGTCTGCTTAGAGCGCTCGCGAGCTGCGTGCCTTTCAAAATGACTGTGCTGCCTTCCGTTGATTTGATCGCAAGTGCCGTTGATGCGCAGTACTTGATGTACACGCCAGGGGCTGTTCGCGGTTAGACTTCCTAGATGAGGTTGATGGCCCCGGCCGAAGCGCCGAAACCGCAGTCCCTCCTCCTCCCATCATCCTTTCTTCCTGCCAACCAGCACCGACTCCCGAGGAGACACCGAGGCCAGGACTCACCGCCAAGATGTTGTTCGCGGGGTTAGCTGCCCGTCTCCCAAGCCCAAAAGGTGAAAACGGGTCTGACGGTGCCGAGCCGGTAACTTGGCAAATTGTCGGCAGAGGCACAACGACATCTACATATTCCTTTCGGTCCCCCATCCGCCCTCAGCAGTTTCCTCTTCGATCACAACCACAACCACTTTCCTTCACCGTTCACGACCCGCAACTCGGTGGGACCGATCCTTCGATCCACCTTCGTTGTCGCGACTATGCCGGACTCGTCCCAGTTCGTGAGCCAGTTCTGTGCGCTCTGCGTCAAGAACTGGCTTATTCTCTTCAAACATCCTTTCGCAAGTGTCTCCCATTTGCTCACGCGTCTACATGCTGATCTCCACTGCAGCTCTCTCTTTTCCGCTGTCTCATAGGCCCCATCGCAATTGGCATTCTACTCGCATACTCACCAAGCTTCACCTCAAAGCCTGATATCGTACGTATTTCCTTCTCAGGCACGACTCTCCGCGCTTCGAATAACGCTGATCTCCGTTCTGCAGGGCGGCCTCGGGTCTATGGTCCCTATCCGCGCCCTCGCCGACACCTTTGATGCCCGAGGGATCATGCTGTGGTCTGACGACACCAATTCTACTACCACGGGTTTCACCGCAAATGACGTCGTCGCCCGCATGACCGCTGGATTCTCTAGCAAACAGCTTGCCGCATTCCAAAAGGTCACCACGGACGAGATCGCAGGCCGGTGTGTCGAGAACCCAAACGGCAAGTCTCGGTGCTTCGCGGCCGTCACCTTCGACCAACTCCCCGCCCGCGGCAACAACAAGACAATCAACTACACGATCCGAGTCGACGAGTCAACCAGCTTCGTCGACATCAAGGGGCACAATAGCGACTACGAAGTCAGAGTACTGCCTGTGCAGTGGGCCGTCGAGAGTGTAAGTAGGCTCTCGTCAACTTACTCGCCGCGCTGACGTTCGTGCAGGCGATTATCGAGATCCAGACGGGCACGAAGCCTCCTACCCCGCTCGAGTGGCCGTTTATTGTGGATTTTGGAAACCTAGCCGGCGATGTGCGACTCAGTATGTGGCAAGCGCACTCCCACCGCAGCCCCGCTAACGCGCGTCGCGCCAGACTTCCTCAAGCGGGTCGGCTTTCTTTTACAGCTTCCATTGTACGTACCCGTATAATCTGAATCGTCTGACGCGTTGCTGACGGCACTACCTAGCTATATCTGTCTCATCGGCATTGCGTACCATATCCCAGGAGCCGCAACCGCCGAGCGTACAGTGGGTCTTACAAGCCATATGAAGGCCATGGGATTGTCTGACACCGCCCGCGTCTTGTAAGTTCTTTCCTTTCGCTCGTCAATCCGGGGACCAACTGTTTTCTAGGTCATGGCATCTCAGTCTCTCGCTCGCTTATCTTCCGGCGTGGCTTGTCCTCTCCATCGTCTGGAAGGTCAAGCTATTCACTTTCACCAGCTATGGTTTAATACTCGCTCTCTGCCTCCTTACCGGCTTCGCAACTGCCTCGTTTTCCATGTTCATTATGGCGCCTTTCGGGAAGTCTCCTTCGCTCGCTGCAATTCTTTCGACGCTCTGCTGCCTCGTCCCAGTCACGATCACTATGTTCTGGACGAGCATCAACCCCACCGCCGCCGCCATCCTCACATTCTTTTTCCCGACCTTCTTCTTCGGCTGGACATTTGTCGCGATTGTCAACTTCGAGACCTTTCTCCTACCCGCTTCCCTCACGGAGCAGACCCTGCAGGACTTCCCACCTCCGACAATCCTCCCAATGTTGATCGCTGTCATCGTGCGCTCTCCCTTCTCCCTCCTTCACACTCACTCGCTGACCAGCAACTGTTCCCCGCACAGATCTCGATCTTCTTCTGGCCCGTTGCTGGCGCTCTCATTGAGCGTTGGCGGTTCGATCCCTGGAACCCGTTCGGGTCGCGCGCGCCGTTATGCGGTCGCCGCACAAAAGACCAGAAGGCGCACGCACACCCTCCCGGCACCGCGATCTCCATTCGCGGGCTCGAGAAATCGTTCCAGACGTCCGTGTTCAGGCGCAAGTCTGGGATCGTCACGGCCGTGCAAGACCTCACGCTCGACATCCCGGAGCATGGCATCTTTGCGCTGCTCGGCGCCAACGGGTGCGTACCGCGCACCATTCGAGCGCATGCGTCGGGTGTCGATCGGTAGCTGACGCGCGATGTTGGAATTCCAGCGCGGGCAAGTCGACTCTCATGGCCGTCCTCGGAGGCCTCACTGGGCGCACACACGGGACGGTTCTCTACGGCGACGGCGTGCTCGAGCCCGCGCGCGGCAGCGTCGGGATCGTACCGCAGAAGAACGTGCTCTTCGATGAGCTTTCGTGCCTGCAGACCCTCAGGGTCTGGCGCGAGATCAAGACCGCTGGCAACCCGGGCGCGCCGCGCGAGTCGGACGCGGACCTCGAAGGCCTCCTGCGCGACTGCGATCTGGCGGAGAAAATCCATTACCCGTCGGGAAAGCTCAGCGGCGGACAGAAGCGGAAGCTTCAGCTCGCCATCGGCTTGGTGGGAGGATCTTCAAGTACGTTCGCATGCGCTCGTGTACGAGTTCATGCGTGCTGACTGACTTTTCTTCCAGTTGTCTTGGTCGACGAAGCGACGTCAGGTGTCGATCCGATTTCGCGGCGCGCGATCTGGAAGACGCTTGCTGCAGTGAAGGACTCGAGAGCGATCGTCTTCACGACGCACGTAAGTCGCTTGGACAGATCGCGGTGTGTGCGCTGGTTCTGACATGGCCTTGATAGTTCCTGGACGAGGCCGACCTACTCGCTGACTACATTGCCGTGCTTGCGAGCCCCGGAAAGCTTGTCGCACACGGTACCTCAATCTCACTCAAATCGACTCGAGGAGAAGGCTACAAGCTGCGCATCACTTTCAACGCGGAGACCGCCATGACCGGGATCCCGGAGTCCTATGTCCTAAAGTTCGTGCAGCGCATCGCGCCGGCGACTTATGCGACCGTGACGGGGCCTCGAGAGCGCGTTTTCCACCTCAAGACGACGGACCTCCACGTCGTCAAGAAGGTGCTGGAGGACGTCGACAAGGAGAAGGCGCGCATGCAGATCTCTTCATATTCGGTATCGGCCGCGTCTATCGAAGACATCTTCTTGGAGCTGATGGATGCAGAGGACAAGAACGAGGATCCGGACAATATCGCGGAAACTGGTGGCAGCGCTGAACGTCGAACCCACGAGAAAGTCGAGCTGACGACCGGCGTGCAGCGTTCCGTTCTCGGTCAGGCCCTTACGATCTGTTACAAGCGGCTCTTGATTATCCGTCGCTCCTGGCTGGCGCCTCTCCTTGCCCTTACTTTCGTCATCATCCCGTCCGTGATCCCGCTCAAGTTCCTTGCAACCGACGGCAACAAGTGCGATGTCATCAATCAAGACTTCGGGGGAGACTCGCTTTATCTTGCCACTTCGCCGCTCCAATTTTTCTTCGGCCGAGAAGATTTCGGGCCCGCGCTGTTCCCTCCAGATGCTCTCGCGCCGCTCAACATTTCCGGCGTGCTCACCAATACCTCTATCCCCTTCACCTCCAACACCTCCTTCGTTGAGTACATCAGCCGTAACTTCACAAGCATTTTGACCCCCGGTCTCAGCATCGACCTCGACACCGGTGCTGCACTCCTTTCCTGGAATGCCTACGAAACCCTCTCCGCTGCTACGTTTCTGAACGCCGCCTCCAACCTCCTTCTCAATCACGCGCTCAACAGTACCGGGGCCGGAACGGGCTACACCACTCCTCTGCTGATCACCCCAACCATTGGCACTTTCGCATCCAAGAGTTTAGGTGACCTGACCCCCCTTGCATGGGCCGCGGTGTTCAGCGCAGCGATGGCCGTGTTCCCCGGGTTCTTCGCGCTGTACGTCGCACGCGAGCGCCGCTCGGAGGTGCAGGCGATGCAGTTCTCGAACGGGCTGTCGAACCCAGCGGGGCTCTGGCTCGGGCATCTAATGTTCGACGCGATGGCGACGACGTTTGCAGCGACGCTGCTCGTGATCGTATGGGCAGGAATGTATGCGTTCTTCTTCCACGGCTTGGTTTACTTGGTGAGTGCGATACTGTGGCTATAGTACGATTGGAGTGCTGACTTGTGTGCCATGGATCAAGTGGCTCGTGGTAGTGCTCTACGGGATCGCGAGTATCCTGTATGCGTACTTGTTTACGCTGTACTTCAAGTCGCCAATTGGTGCATGGGCGGCGATTGCTGTCTGGCACGTTATTCTGTTTCTGGTAGGTGACTCTTATATAATCGCCATTGTCTTGATTTAACATTGCCCCACAGCTCTACACAGTTGCCTACTTCCTCGCGCGGACATACGGAGATGCTGTGGAGACGCAGTCATTGTACGCTGTGATTCGTGAGCAACCGAATTTTCCTTCATGTCTACCTCTGAGCTGATCATCATCCCAGACTTCACGGTGGGCCTCGTCTCTCCTCTTCCGAGCCTCGTAAGTCTGTACGCGATTCCAGATACTTGCTCCCTACTCACGCCCCATTACAGGTTCGCGCCTCCTTCATTGCCACCAATCTCTTCTCACTCCTCTGCGTTGGGGAAGTAGTCACCGGACCCTCCCTCTATGGCGATATCATGCACTACGGCGGCCCCATCCTCTACCTCATTATTCAACCGCTCATCTACTTCGGCATACTCGTCTACGCGGACTCCTTCTCCCTCGTCCGCAGCACCCTCATCCGCCTCCGGACGAAGCGCCTCACACGAAACTCGCTGACATCCACGGAGAATATCCGCCTTACATCCACGGCCGGCATGGGTGGCAAGGATGTCGCTCTCCGAGTGCGCGACGTGTCCAAGTCCTTCGGCGCTTTCAACGCCGTTGAAGACGTTAGCTTCAATGTCTCCAAAGACACTATCTTCGCCCTCCTCGGTCCGAACGGCGCGGGGAAGACAACGACGTTCAACATGATTCGTGAGTCTCCTCGTCGTGGGCGCGTGTTCGTCTTGCTGACATGCTTGCTCTCAGGCGGCGACATGACACCCGACTCAGGCGAAATCTTTGTGAACGGGCACTCCGTTGTCGCGAACACCAAGGCCGCCCGCTTTTCACTCGGAGTGTGTCCGCAGTTCACGGCCATCGACGCACAGCTCAGCGTGCGCCAACACCTGCGCGTGTACGCGCGGCTCAAGGGGCTGCAGGGCGGCGCGCAGGTCGATAAGAACGTCGACGCGGTGATGCGCGTCATGGGCCTACGCGTGTACGCCGACCGTCTGGCAAACAAGCTCTCGGGCGGGAACCAGCGGAAGCTCGCGCTGGCGATTGCGCTCATCGGTGAGCATCCATCTGACACACTCCAACTACAACAATGGAGCTGACCGTTCTACAGGGAATCCCTCGGTTGTGCTCGTCGACGAGTTCTCAACTGGAGTCGACGCGAAGATGAAGCGTGACATGTGGAGCACGCTCAAGCACGTCGCGCCCGGCAAGGCGTTCGTGATCACTACCCGTGCGTCTTCCATCTGCCCTTGAGGTTGATGTCCCTGCTGACGAGCGCGCTCCCAGATTCCATGGAGGAAGCCTCCACTCTCGCGAGCGACGTCGGCATCATCTCACAGCGCTTGCTCGGTGAGTTTCTACCCACACATCCCGTTTGGTGTACCCATACTAATTGCTGCTGGACAGCTGTCGACTCCACCGATGCACTCATGGCCCGATATGCGCGATACCTGGTCCACTTCCCTGGTCGCACGCGCGAAGACATCGTGCGCGCGCAGGAGGTGATGGCACGCATCCCTGGGGCTCGCCTCTGTGACGACGTTGCAACGCGCTTCGAGGTTCCCGTCGGATCTGGCACCGCCGAGGGCGTGCCCTCCCTCGCTGCGCTGTTTGGCCTGCTCGCAGACGCCGGCGTGGGTGAATACGCCGTGGGGGAGGCGAGCCTCGAGAGCGTATTCATGCAGGTCATCCGGGACAACGACTCCAGGCCCAACGGACATGGCAAGAAATTTGCCTGATGGGGTGTCTATGACGGCTCGGTCTTCGCGCTAGCGCTATATCACCAACAATCTTTACCCCACTCTACTACCAATATACCTCTCTGTGTGAGCTCGTCCACTTGTAATTATTAGCCAGAGTCATCTGCGTATCCAGGTTAACCCTCATATGTCATGCTTCAGTCGTGACCGATACTGGGGCCAGTCACATCTCGCTCGTTGAGCCGGAGAAGACGGACACGCAACGCTCTACCGCGACGACTGCGTTGACCGCGTCCGCGGGCCACACGCACGCCACCGGACTCTAGAGCTCCAATCGATATCCTCAGTTGACGTTCCACGGCGCGTCGCAGAGCTCTCATCGTCGTCGCGCCGTCGGCGTGCGCCGAGAGCCGTTCGAGCGTCCCTATAATGGAAACGGGCTCCGTTCGGCTTCCGCAGGCTCTTGGACCTCGATGACCGGCGAACGAACCGACGTACCTGTGGATGTTCTCCGCCGTGTTCTCGTGTTCTCGACCTCGCACGCCCGCCACACCGGCATCGCGTGCGTCGCCACCGCGATCTCCGCGAGTGCGTCACCGGCAGGTGGGAGAATGACAGTCGACGGGCCACCCTCGTCCGCGTTCGCATCTGACACGCCCGCAAGTGGAGACTCAGGAGGCAGCGTCGGAGGCGCAGTCTGACGCGCAGGAAGGCCGCAGACCAACAAGCCCCGGCCCGCCTCAAACGCGACGGAGAAGTGCGCGGCGTATATCGAGGAGGATGCGGGGATCGCGGAGTTGCGAGACGAGCTGACGGCGAAGAAGAAGCGGCTTGAGGCAGTGAACGGGAATCTGCAGGAGTTCGGGATGCCTGTGCAGGTGGGGCGTTCGACTGGATATAGTTCATCAACAATAAGTACATGTTATTATGGCCTCTCGCGTTTTAAATGCGAGCCAAGCGTTCGCCTGAGCCTGGTCCAAGGTCTCAGTGGGTGCTACGTACATTAATTAAGAAGTCTGTAGTGTGGGCATCGTGAGTACTGAGTAGGCAGCCTTCTCCCGAGTCGTGCGATGCGCGCCTGCCACTGGACCCGCGCGCACAATTGGCCGGCAACGACTTCTTCCGCCTCTCTAGAGCCCCCACAACGTCCGCGATGCGCGGGCCCATGCCCGCCCCTCGCTCCTTGTCCTGCTCCCGCGATGGCTGTAGAGCCGTCCTCGCCCGTCCTCACCTCCATCCTCCTCGGCCTGGTGAGCTCTTTGCATCCGACCGCCGCTGTACAAAACTTCTAACCGTCCTATCAGGCCGTGCACCAGGTCTTCCGCAAATTTGAGACATACAGCATCTCGACGCACGCTGCGCTCCTCACCCTCCCTCCGCTCGTGACCGCCGTCTTCAACGCACCCCCAGGCCCTCCGTTTGAGCATGCGCTCAAGGTCTCGTTCGTCGCCTACCTCGCCACCCTCGTGCTCGCCATCCTCGTCTACCGTGTCTCGCCTCTCCACCCGCTCGCGCGCTACCCCGGTCCACTCGGATGCAAGCTTACCAAGTTCTGGATGGGCGTGATTTCGACGAGGGGTTACCAGCACATGTACATCAAGTCCCTCCATGACCAGTACGGCAGCGTGGTCAGAATCGGTGCGTGGTCACGGTCTCGCGTTCTCGTTGCGGTCAAGATGTGTGCGTGCCAGTGTCAGGTTCTGATGTAGTCCGTCCCCAGGGCCGAATGAGCTCTCCATCCTCGACGCATCTGTGGTGAGCAAGCTCTACGGCAACCCTGGCGTCCCCAAAGGCCCTCGTACGTTCCATCCATGTCCCCCGAACGGTTCACCCCCTCACTCCTCTCCGCAGACTACATCGGCCGTGTGCTCAGCGACACCAACTTGCCTATGGTTGGTCTCATGGACACAGATGCGCACCTCCGCCGCCGCCGCAACTGGACGCGCGGCATGGGGCCGGTCGCGATCAAGGGCTATGAAGAGCTCATCTCCAAGCGCGTGAACCAGCTTCTCGGCCGGTTGGAGGACCAGAAGGGCCAAGCGGTGATCATGGGGCATTGGTTCAACTTCTTCTCGTGAGTGGCCAGTTCATTTCGTGCATTTGGGGCGCATACAAGGACCACGCGCTGGTTGGGTTTGAAGGAGGGCGCAGCGGAGGACCTGCCACGACGCTCGATGCGTCGGCGAGTCGACCATTGCGCGTGCCGTGCCAAATCGCATTAAAACATTGCAGCGGTTTCGCACTGGGATTAGCGCCATGGTCATCGTGGACTGCGGGCGATTGTACAGCTGGCCGTGCGCGAGAGTAGAAGTGGAGCCATGAGCAGCCACCGAGCTGTCTCTGGACAGACGGCGCTCATCGGCGTTGGGAGTTGTCTCGCACACTACCGCCGTCAGAAGCGTTGAGTGCGGTTGGTGGACTGTTCTCTAGATGCCGCTGTAGCAGTTGTTCAAGCACTCACTGCCGGTGGTCGTGATCGTCCCGACGGTTGTGTGCGCTCTCAATAAACGTGCCCGTATGCCACGCTGTGGATGATGCAGCTGCGGGCCCTGAAGCCGGCGATGATTGCAGGCTCGAGGACTGTAACTGTCTGCGTCGAGTGCATGCACCGTGTGCACGTGTTCGGGATGTTCATACTCTTGCGATATGCGACTGACGGCTTTCTTAGATATGACTTCATGTGCGAGATGGCATTTGGAGGTGGTTCGGAGCTGCTCGCCGCCGGCAAGGATGAGAAGAAGACCTGGAAAGTGCTCGATGATGCCATGGCGTGAGTGCTTCGTCTCCTCGTGCAACTGGCGACATGTTCTCATGTGCTACAAAGCATTGCAACGTTCTTCGGGCATGCTCCTTGGCTCGCCATCTATGTCGCCAAGATCCCAGGCGCCACCGGTAATTTCAAGATTTTCCTCGACTACTGCATTAGCTTCACCGTGACGCGCCTGAAGCGTGGCTCTGAGCACAAGGATCTATTCCACTATCTTGTACGTTATCTCCTCGATTGCGTCATGTCACGCTCATTGTGTTTCAGAACAACGAGGACCTCCCGGACAAGCCCTCTCCGCCTGTCCAGCAGCTCGTCGACGATGGCGTGCTCGCCATTGTCGCCGGCGCTGACACCACCGCGAGCGCGCTGACTATGTTCGTCTTCTGCCTCCTTGAGCACCCCGAAGTGTACGAGAAGCTTCAGCGAGAGATCGACAAGCACTATCCGGCTGGTGAGGACGCGACGGACGTCAAGAATCACCGCGAGTTGTTGTATTTGACGGCGTGCATGTGCGTATTGACTCTCAATTGACGTGACTGCCACTTACCAGTGTGTTGTAGTAATGAGACCCTTCGCGTCTTCCCATCCGTCCCTGGAGGCAGCCAGCGCCAAGTCCCCGTCGATGGCCCCGGTGTTGTCGCCGGAGACCTGTGCGTCTCATCTCAGGGTCGCCCTTCCACCTACCCTGCTGACTACTTGTCCCTCTAGTGTGCTCCCACCCGGCACTATGTTCTGGTGTCACATCTACTCGCACCACATGAGCCCGGCGAACTTCGCGCCGCACACGACCGACTTCTGGCCCGAGCGCTGGCTGCTCGCGTCAGGCGAGCTCGCAGAGGCGCGCGGCGTGTGCAACGCGGACCTCGTGCACAACGAGAGCGGCTTCCTGCCGTTCAGCGCGGGCCCGATGAACTGCGTCGGCAAGGCGCTCGCGATGCAAGAGATGCGCACCGTCGTCGTCGCGCTTTTGCAGCGGTTCGTACTCAAGAAGGGTGCCAGCTGGGATGAGGTGCGTGTGAGGAGGGACTACAAGGACTACTTCACCGCGCCGCGGCCGGAGTTCCCGGTAGAAGTGCATGCGCGGAAGCAATGAGCTCAGGGAGGTGTTGTCGATGAGGGGGGTATGTGAGTGCATGCTTGGTTATGTACTATCTATCTGTGCCGCACAGGGTGGCGTGCCGAGAGCTTCCTGCAAGTCACGGACCGGCGCGGCTGCGTGAGCGCGTCGGGGCCCGCGAGCGACGCGCTCAAAACCCACGATAGTAAACCGCAGCTCGATGCCACCTATCATGGAAGCTGTGACCAACACGACCTTCGGCGAGGCGTTGACATCGCCGACTGCACGGCCTGCGGTTTGCCTTTATGGACACGTCCTTGCCATCCTCCACCGCCTCCGCCCATCTGCCTGTCCCTCTCTCCTCGCCACGACCGCCTCCCGCGAGCCATGTGGCCCCCATTCGGCCCCGCCCGCCACCTCGATCTCCACCGGCTCCCCGCACACGCTCGGCTCGCCCTCGTTTTCCTCTGGCGCACCCTCCTCTTCCTACTTCGCCTCCCCGCCGTCCCCCAGCTTCTCGCATTCTACTTCATCTGGTGCTATGCCAACCTAACAATCATCGAGTACCTTGGGGGCGTCTGGGACCCCGGCTTCCCGAAGCTCTGGACCGCATGGATCGCGTTCCTCGTCACCCTCCCCACCTCCGCCGCGCTCAAGCTTGCCTGGCTGCTCGTGGGTCCCTTTTTTTGCCGCAGACTCGCCCGCAAGAATGACCCCGAGGGCGGCAATGAGTATATCATGCTCCAGACCGACAGTGGAGAGGGGTTGGCTCAGGACCCCCGCCCCCACCCCCGCTCGCCCCGGACAAGCACCCGCGCCCTCCGGTGTCCGGCGGCCACGCTCCCCTGGGGCGCGCAGATCGCGCTCTGCGTGCTTATCGTCCTCCTCGGCCACTACCGGTACCGCAACTACGAACACCCGGGCGATGTCCGCTTCCGCCCCGCGCTCCACAAGGCCCTCGCAGACCCGTATCCCAAGCGCAGCGGCTACGCTCCCCGCGCGGAGAAGGTCTTCATCGCCGCCGCATTTCACCAGAACGAGGAGGTGCTCCCGTACTGGACCAAGACCATGCTCGACACCATCACCTGGCTCGGACCCGACAATGTCTTCGTATCCATCGTCGAGAACTACTCGAGCGACAAGAGCCCCGAACTCCTTCGCGCTTTCGAGGCCGAGCTCGACAGGCGCGGCGTCAAGAACCGCATCCTCGTCCAAGACGAGTCCGTCAAGCGGTCGCCGAACATGGATGGGAACTCGCGCATCGAGTTCCTCGCAGCGATCCGCACCCAGGTCCTTAAGCCCCTCCTCCTCACCGGCGGGTACGACCGCGTATTGTTCTCGAACGACATCTACATTGAGCCCGAGTCCGTCCTCGAGCTGCTCGAGACCCGCGATGGCGACTACGACTTCGCCTGTGGCCTCGACTTTGGCCACTTTGGCGCGTACGACATGTGGGTCCTCCGCGATCGCGTCGGGCGGCTCACCGCCGGCATCTGGCCCTACTTCTTCGACAAGGGCTCCTACGACGCCATCAAGAAGGAGGACCCCGTGCCCGTCTTCGCCTGCTGGAACGGCATCGTCGCCTTCCGCGCAGACCCCGTCCTCCCCATTGCGCTCCGGGCGAACGCGACGCTGTCAACAGCGCGCATCGAGCACATGCCCCCATCGAACCACCCGTGGACAAAGGAGATCGGGGCGAGCCCCGCCGTGACGCCACCGTTGCGGTTCCGGGCGAGTGCGGAGGGCGAGTGCTACTCGTCTGAGTCTTTCCTCCTCCCGTACGACTTCCGACGGGTGATGGCGCTCACCAAGATCTTCGCGAACCCGCGGGTGGTGACCGCGTACGTGTGGAAGTACTACGTCTGGCACAAGTGGGTCCTCCGCGCAAAGTACGTCAAGTGGTTCGTCGAGCACGTCTACGACGGCGCGTGGATGCAGTACGCGCGTATGATCGTCGGCGATGGCGACCGGGTCTGGACGTGGGATGGGGTGGACTGTCATCTGTGGTGGTGATGAGGTTGGGATGATGGTTTTTAGAGGCTTCGCATTCCCATATTTTTTTGTACCAGCTCTCCACATCACCACTTAAAAGAGGCATGGCTTTCACGTTACAGTCTCCGACTAGCCTAGCCTAGGGGAGGGAAGACCTTTACATATCTCCGCCAGTTTTTATGGTACGTTCTTCGTTCTTGTTGAGCTCGCAAGCCCTCCTTTCCCCCTTTCTGTCTCGCCAAACACGACGGATTTTCGCCCAAGGACGCCCCGGGACGTTGCGCTCGAAGACGCAGTCCTCCTCCCCATGCCAATATCTCCCACCCCAGTGGTCCGCGATGCCTCCGCCGATTCTTGCGCGACCGGACGCGTTCTGTGCGCGTCTTCAGTCGCTTTCAGGTGCGCCCCTCCGCGTCGTGGAGCGTACCGTCGTCGTCGACCTACGTCTCGATCACTGCCGCCCTCGACACATAGGTCACTCTAGCCAACTACCACCCCGTCCCACCACGAGTCCTCACCCGTTGGATGCCCGTTTGGGCTTATTTCGTGCGTGTATATCCCCTCTTCCCTACGAGCCGCTCCGTTCTGAGATCCGCCCCGCCATCGTCCCTCTGCACGTCGTGTTCTGCGACAGAAGAGCACCCATCCCACTGCCAACTTGATGCCCTCCTCCCCCGACGGTTCGGAGGCCGTTTGCGACGCGGCCGGGTTCTTTCTCTTGCCATAGTAAAGGTCTTTCAGACGCACCTTCGCGCGTGCAGGTATGCCCATTCCCTCGCTCGCGACAGTCGCCACATCATCGCCGTCCACACCGTCTGCACCCTCCTCGACTCTGGCGATTTTGACCACCACGGCGTATTCTCCCATCCGTTCTGCACGCGATTTGGTACGTCTTCTCCCCTCGTCATCTTGCATTGAATGCGTCCTTACCGCCGCCAAGACGCGCAGCCGTTCACCCGCGGGAGCCACTTCTGTCTCCCCACCGCTTCCAGGCATCCTCAGGCACGAACTGGACGCGCCGCCCCACCATTTCCGCTCCGGTTGCGCTGCAAGTTGGGGCGTTGATAGCCCTCGCAGATCCCTTTCGATCGCGCCCCCCACCGTCTCTTTCGCCGCGCTCGTTCGCCCGCTGTGCGCTGTGCAAGAGCGCCCACAGCTGGCACTCCCTTCCCCTCTTCCCAGTGCTCGATCTCACCCACCTCGCCGACGTAGTAGACGCAGCCGGCATCATTCAATGCGCGTCGTGGAACGCTTTCGAACGCGCCATTGGCCGTAGAGATCGGATGGCATTTGCGTCGGGGATGCAAAAATCTGTGTACGTCCGCCTAAAGGAATGAACCCGCGCGCCATGGGCCTCGCGGACCTCGCGCGCGCCGCGCCCCACGTGGGCGCCGTCCCTCCCACCGTCTCCACCGCCTCGTTCCGGGCCAGGTCTCCGATTTTCCCGCCCCTCGTCCGTTCCCTCCGTGGGCGGGGGGGCCCACGTGGGTGGGGGGAGCGCCCGTTTCGGCCGCCGAGCGCGAACGAACGAGGGGCGGGAAAATCCGCGACCTGAACCACGTGCACGTCGATCCCACGGTCCCAACGTGGGCGTCCGCCGGTCCCGCCGATCGTTCGTTCTCGACGTGCCGACGTTTCAACGCCGTGGGAAAATTCGGACGCCGGCCCGGCCCCCACCGCCCGAGAACGCCGAGGAGAGTCACTAAGGCTGCTTGAGAGTCCGGCTCACTTCGCGGGTAGATCCGCGATTGTCCGGAGCCGTGAGCCGGGGATCACGAGCCGGGCGGCTCCGGCTCTTTCCGGATCCGGCTCCAGATCAAGAGGGCCAAAATATGGCGGCTCTGAGGCTCGATCCACGGATTATCCGCAGAACCTCGAGTGAAATGTGTATATATACTACAATACACGTTTTGTGTTATTCTGTCAAGAAGTAACTGAGTTACAGATAAAACATCACCTACTCGCATTTCGAACGCGTTTGGCGCCCGCATCTGGCGTCTGCCCGCGGGAATTCTTCCCGATCAGGCAATGTTCAGATTCGAACGCTGCGTACCGCGCGCCGCTTGCCCGCCTTACCTGCAGCCCCTCAATCCCTCCTCCGCTTGCCCTCCACCCTCCAGTGTCATCGCGCGCACGCGCGCGGTCTCTCTCAAGCCCGAGAGTTCCGTCATAGGGCCGTGGTAAGCTCCCGCGGCCCCTGCCTCATTTGGTGAGTCCTACTCGCCCCCTTTGCTCCCCCTTCCAGGTTCCAGCCGCGCTAGCAATTGCGCCCCGACCTCGCGCCCTCCACCCTCCACGTCCTCCGCGTCCTCCACGTTCTCCGCGCCCTCCCGGCCCGCGCCCTCCTGCCCACCTTGGCCGTCTCCCCGCCACGCCGTCTCTGCCTCATCCCCTCGCCCGCGTCGCCTGATCCTCCGTCCTCGCGGCATTATCGCGCTCGCGCGCGCGACCGTTTGGGGTCGCGGTGAGCTCCCGCAGCCCTCATATCCCCCGGTGAGTTTTCCACTGCCCCCCTCTGCTCATCGCGTCGCCTCCAACTCCCCCTCCCGTGCGCCGTTGGCAACCTCTGCCCTCCCGCTCCCCGGACGACCCTCGCCTTCGCCCTCTCTGCTTCCCCGTGCCCCCGTGTTACCCATGACCTCACCCGTGTCGCCCACCACACCCGCGTCGCCCGTCTCGCCCACCACGCCCGCGTTGTCGGCCCTGCGTCGCCCTCCACCGGTGTTACCCCCTCTGCTGTGTCCCTGCCCTCCGCATCCTCCTCGCCGCGTTTCACCTCGCCCACATCTGCCCCACCTACGCGTCGCCCGCGTCCCCGACCTCCTCCGCGTCGCCCTCAGCGCCACTCGTCTCGCCCTTGCCCACCCCCACCACCGTCTTTCCCTCGCGTCGTGCACCACGCCCTCACCTGCCTTGCCCGCGTGGCCCATGTGCCACACTCACATTTGCCGCGCTCGCGTCACCCACCTCGCCCTCATCCACCTCGCCCGTCTTGGCCTCGCCCACCTACTGTCCTTCCCCCTCATCGCCCACCACTCGCTCACCTGTCTCGCCCGCGTCGCCTTTGTCCTCGCCTGCGCGTCTGGTGCCCTCGTCACCCACTTTCCCCACCACACCCACATCTCCCGCCTCGCCCGCACTCCCCTCTTGTCCACATCGCCCTCATCCGCCTTCTCGTCCGCCTTGCCCCCACCTGCATCGCGCCCGCACTCTCGTCGGTGTCGTTGCGTCGTGCGCGCCCGTCTCGCCCCTGCGTCTCCCGCCTTGCGCCCACGTTATCCCCCACGAACACTCTCAGCCACTACGCGATCAAGTACGGCCGCGTCGAGATCTCCGCGAATCGCGGCCATGCTCGGGCGAGATTGACAGCACGGAGGCCTGCAAAGTGAGTGACCACCGTCCCGGCGCACGTCCTCCACCCCCAACCTCATCCACGTCCCCTGCATCACTCCCGCATCTCGCCTACCTCCCCCGCCTCGCCATCGTCTGTGTCGCCTGTGCCCGCGTCATCCACTGCACCCTTGCCTTGTCCCTGCACCGCTCTCGCCTGCGTCCGTGTCGCGCCTGCGTGAATTGTGCTGCTGCCATCCCACCAACACCCACCTTGCCTGCCTGTTCCCACCGAGCCCACGCCACCCGCCTGGCCCGCGTCACCCGCCCGTCGCTCGCACGTCGCCCACCATGTTCCTGTCACCCGCATCACCCATGTCTTGCACACTTTTCCCTCATTGAAGTAGCATATACTGTATTTATATCCACATGTAGTAGTTATTTGTTAATGATCATGCATGCATTGCAACAGCCTGAAATTAGACAACAGAGTGAGAACAATTGAGGAAGAAGGATCCGCAGAACCAGCTGATCCACACTGAACCACGGTCTGTGGCTCAGTTTGCGGCTCGATCCGCAGATTGAGGCTCCAGCTCGCGCGGCTCCGGCTCTTCCGGAGGATCTTATCCGTGCGGCTCCAGATCAAGCCTCCCGAGTGGCTGTGATCCACGGATAAGACTCCGGATCATCCGCGGGTAGATCCTCAAGCAGCCTTAGGAGAGTTCGAGAGAGTCTGCGTTTCTGTTGCTAATTGTGACCTGTGACGCGAAAGTTGATGGTCCGTGAGCCGTGACATGTCCGAAATCTCGACAGACCAATCTGAAACATGCGAGAAACCCGTTCACGCGGCGTCTGGGTTCATTGATGTTCTTCTACCACGTGTTTACATGCGTGCGACAAGAATCGCCTACCATACTCGCTCCCTGGCCTAAAATGTGGCTCCCGTAGTTTTGTTTGTGACTTTCGACAGACGCCCCAGTGACGCGTGGCAAGCGCCCAAATCTCGTCCGCCCCGCGGGCTTGTGACCGTGACGTGACAGAGTGTTTGAATTGGTACAGTATATGTATGGCGTCTAGCGTCCCCTTCATCTCCCTCTTGTCAATGCTGTTGAACATTGGATATCGAACATACGTACATTAGGACAGTTTACGCATCCACATGGACTCTGTGAGATACTTCCCATAGTTCCATATGTCTATTCACTGCCTTGCAGTCCCTTATCTCTTCCATTCCGTTCTTCTACGCTTCTCTCTTTGTTCCCTTGTTCCACTTACGGACTCTTTTTGTCTTGAGCGCACAGCCCGCACAGCATCGTATCCATCTTCTGTCCGGTCTGACCTCTGTGCCAATTATGTCTTCCCATCGCTGCTTACGTATGCTACTCCTGGACAGTATATAGGGAGGACTCTGGCTCGCACTGCTCTTCAGTCGTTCTATCACTGACTGAGGAGTAAGTACCTACACTCTATGCGCTCCTTTACACATATGCTTACTCTATCTGTAGTCGCTCCTCTTCGTGTGCTACAGGTACCTATGCTCTCAATATTAGTCGTTCTATCACTGACTGAGGATCGCTCCTCTTCGTGTGCTACAGTCGGTCCTTGCCTTACTCAGAGTTCATCAAATGCGCGCCTCGCGGCTTCACTCCGCCTGCACCCACTGGGGTCCTTGGGCAGTCCCACACCGTCTTCATCGCCTCTAGGGGCGCTCCCACAGTCCCCCCCCGCCCCCTCAGGTCGTCATGTGCATCCACCCCTCCACCTCCATCTGATGCGTCTCCACCCCACTCCAGTCATGATCCACCACCACTACCAAGGGCGAGTCAACAAAGAGCTGGCGGAACGGCATCCGTGGCCTTTGTATTCTCTCCTCCAGCATTCACCCAAAAGGTACGATCTGTGAGATGGCTGAGGTGAACCCATTGGACCACCCCCCACACCTGCAAGGAGATCCTCAACGCCGCTGCTGAGTGGGAGAGATACTTGTACAGGCTCACAAAAAAAGCTTACAGTCGGGCGGTAAAGAACAAGGACCGTTAGATCGACACTATCAGCGAACAGATGACGACCGTCGAAGCGGAGCTGGTCACTATCAAGTCGAATGCTTCTGTCTACCCCGCTGATCACAACATCCCCACTGATGCCACCACCGTTCAAGCCAAATTTGATGTCCTTGAAGAAAAACTGCGTGGGACCTTGGGCGTCGCGGTTATCCTGAATCAACGAACAGAAGCCTACGTCGACCAAATCGAATGCGAGCTCGCGTGGTACAACCATCTGTCGCACGTACAACCATCTGTCGCACGTATTTGCAGGCCGCCAAGACAGCGAGGGGGAAGGACCCCTCCTTTCAAAGAGGTGCAAGATGCAGCAGAAGCGGGGCTACAATAATGGGGGGACACTGACGATGACGCTGATGCGCCGCCGGACATCGACGCTCTACCGGACACCAACATGCTACCGAACATCGACGCACCACTGGACACCGTTGAGGATACCGGACACCGTTGAGGATACCGGACACCGTTGAGGATACCGGACACCGTTGAGGATACCGGACACCGTTGAGGATACCGGCCCCCATCGTGGGGAGAATGGATGTTGACCTAACTTACCCCCGACTCGGACGCCTCCAAAGACCCCGAGAATGACAACAACAACAATGGAGGGGATGAGACTGCTGAGAGGTGACATTCCTCCCACCCTCGTCCTCCCCAGGTAGCCCCCAGGCTGGTCAAAGTCGTCCTCATGTGGGCAGTTCTTCACGCCAATCTCTCGATGAAGCACGTCCTCCCATGGAGAAGCTCCGTAGCACCGTCGCAGATCAAGAGCTCGACCAACATGTTGAGCAGCCGGCCTTCTCAACAGGTTGATTTCTTGGTCCAGTGACCCACCTGCAGGCCGTGTATGGGATACTACACGGAAGGCTTGACCACTCCACTGGAGTAATTGCCAACGGCTGCAGTGCGGACATTGGCTATACGTAAGGCTGCATGCGGATTGATCCACAGATGATCCGGAGTCTTATCCGTGGATCAAGGCCACTCTGGGGGCTTGATCTGGATCCGCACAGATCAGATCCTCTGGAAGACCCAGAGCCGTGGGAGCCGGACCCGCAGCTCACGGATCCACCCACGGATAGAGTCGTTGCACTCATTTAATTAACACATTTATTAAGTGCACATTCAGTAGTAGCTACGGATATACAAGTACACATAAGAGAGGTGAGCGAGACGGGTGATGTGGAGGTGAGACGGTGGTGATGCGGGCGAGCCTCCAAAGGCGCGAGGCACGAGACGCGGGGAACACGGGGCAGGCGGGGGACGCGGGCATGGGTAAGGTGTGTGGCAGCGAGGGCGACATGGGCGCAAGTGCACAGGACGAGGACGAGGACGAGGGTGTAGCGGATGACGCAAGCGTGACGCAGGCGCAAGGCAGCTGACGCAGCAATGCGGGCGAGGTGGGCGATGCAGTGGGCGACGCGGGGGGCAGGCGGCGGCAAGATAGGTAACGTGGGCGGCGCGGACGAGGTCGGTGACATGGGGGATGTGGGCCAGGTGGGAGACAGTACAGGCGACATGGGCGACGCGGATGAAGGCGAGCCGAGGGCAAGGCCTGCGACGCGGGGGAAGACGAGGGCGAACGCAGGCGAAACATGGGCAAGGACGAGGTGGGCGAGGATGATAACGACGCGGGCGATGCGGGTGAGGACGAGGAGAACGAGGGCGATGCAGAGGGGCAGAGGATGAGGGTGAGATGGGTCGCAGGAAGCAGAGTAGAGAACTCACCGAAGGGGATGGGGCAGTGGGAGGTCACCGCAACCCCATGGAAGGCCACGCGCGCAAGCGCGATAACGCTGTGTGAACGAAGGGTGAGGCGACACGGGGCAGGCGGGGGACGTAGGCGACGAGGGGGGCTGAGGCTGTGGGCGAGGTGGGCAACGCGGGGCAGGCGGGCGAGGTAGACGACACATGTGAGGGCGAGATGGGTGGTGAACGACGTTGGCGACATGGAGATGATATAGAGAGGCGGGGGCAAGACGTGGAGGAGACACGGGTGGGGGGAACGAGTGGGCTGGGCAGGTGAGGTAGGCGAGGGCGAGACGGGCAAGGGGCGGGTGAGGTGGGCGAGGGTGAGGTGGACGAGGGTGAGGTGGGCGAGGGCGACATGGACGAGGCGTCCGCGAGGTGGGAAACGCGAGGGATGTGGGAGATGCAGGGGCCGTGGGGGTGGATGCAGGTGGATGGATGCCATGGAGGACGGGCGACGCAGAGACGCAGAGGCATGACAGGCGAAGACGACACAGCGGGGTGGAGAGCGCGCACCGGAGAGCACAACTCGGACGAGCACGAGCGCGAGCTGGAAAAGCCTGGGAGGTGGAGGAAGGGGGAGGCGACGCGGGGAACAGATAGGACTCACCAAAGGAGATTGGGCGACCCACAGAACGGCCGCGCGCACGAGCGCAATGACGCCGCGTGGACGAAGCATCGAGGGACATGGGCAAGGTGGACAATGTGGGTGAGACGCGTGACACGGGGGAGACGGGAGATGTGGGGATGCGTGGCGCTGAGGACGTGGAGCGGATACGCGGCAGGGACGCAGTTGAGGAGGCGGAGGGCAGCGCGGGCGGGCGGCAACGGCAAGGCAGAGGACGACAAGGCGGAGGCACAGGACAGGGGCGAGCTAGAGGATGGTGAGGTGGTGAGGCGGAGAGGATGAGGTGGATGAGAGTGGCGCGGACAAGGGCAATGCGGACGAGCGTGAGCGCGAGACGGGCAAGGACGGGGGATAACTCACCAGAGGAGATTGGGGCCGCAGGAGCTCACCACGACCCCACAAAAACACCTTTGAGCTTGAGAACAGCGCCGCGCGTGCCCGCGCGATAACAGCGCGTGAATTGGAGGGTGGCCAGAGGATTAACGGAAGAGGTCGAAGGAGGGGCAAGGTGCGCGCGTTCGAATCCAAACATTGCCCAATCGGGATGGATTCCCACGAGCAGACGCCGAATGCAGGTGCCAAAAGCGCCGCAAGTGAAAGGACATGGTGTTGTATCAATATCTCGATCATTTGTGCACTAAATCACAGGCAAATAATATCGTTAGAAAGCTTCTTCAAATTCATTTCAGCAGGTATAGTACATATGCACAAATATGAGCTATACTCAAAACTCTGCGGATAATACGTGGATTGAGCCTCAGACCCGCAATATTTTGGTCTGCTTGATCCGGAGCCGCTGGGAGCCGGAGCTGGAAAGAGCCGGAGCCGCCCGGCTCATGACCACCGGCTCACGGCTCCGGATAATCACAGCTCTACCCGCAAAGTGAGCTGGACCCTCATGCTGTTTAACATTGGATATCGAGCATAGGTACATACAGACAGTTCTACGTACACATGGACATTGTGAGATAGTTCCCATAGTTCCACATGTCTATTCACTGCCTTGTAGTCCCTTATCTCTTCCATTCTGTTCTTCTACGCTTCTCTCTTTGTTCCCTTATTCTACTTTCGGACTCTCTTTGTCTTGAGCGCACAGCCCGCACAGCCCTATAAACATTTTCTGTCCGGTCTGACCTCTGCACCATCTATGTCCTCCATCATTCGCTTACGTATGCAGCTCCTGAGATAGATATAAGGAGGACTCTGGCTTGCACTGCTGACTGAGGAGTAAGTACCCCACTCTATGCGCTCCTTTACACATATGCTTACTCTATCTGTAGTCGCTCCTCTTCGTGTGCTTACAGTCGGTTCCTTGCCTTACTCAGAGTTCATCAGGTTATGAGCCCTGCACTCTAGCTTGCTTACGTTGAGCAACCCGCGCTTCACCTTTCGCCAACGATTCAAGATCTCCCCATCAACTACTCATGGACGGTTTCGGTCGGACATAGCTTTGGGTTTTACCCTTGCAGTCCTCTTCCTCCGTCTTCACCTCTACCCTCCACAAGGCCTTCCGACAGGCTTTCATAGCGAGGTTGCCCCAACGGGTGCTCATTCTCCACGAGTAGGGGATATCGTTCTCAACATCGTGCTTCTCTGAACTTTCACCGACTTCACCGTGGCAGACAACGTTGCTGGTCCTTCTACCGACCTCAACGACGTTCAGATCTCGTCTGGCAGCTCTTCGGACTCCGACGTGATTGACGTTTTCGACTGCTCACGTTTTTACCACCGATACGAACTCCGATCAGGAGGACAAGACGTCTTCTTTGACGACGAGGACGGAGATTTCTTTGTTTGCGACGTACAACCTTGCCCTAACCGTCACGTGGACATCAACCAGCCCACGAACTGTACGCCTAGGCCATACCACCTCGCTCCAGACTCTCCTCAACACCCTCGTCATTTTGACGCCCTCCGTTGGTCGGAACTCCCTCAGTTCGACGTCTCTGCACCAGGTTCTCCACTTTCCTCGGTCGCTGCAGACCTTCCCCCATCTCCTCTCTCCTCACACCACTCTTCGCTCGAAGTTGAGCAAGTCCTTGAAGCAGACGTCACCCCAGACGCTCCGCTCTACGGTTCATTCGTCTACGGTCCCCTCGAATTCTATCCTATCGTCGTTCATACTCCCTCTCCGTCTTCACCCACTCTCGTCCCTCTAGACGATACCCTCGAGATCCTATACACGCTACCACTCATGGACACTGTCCCCGTCGCAAAGGGTTCGGTGCTCAAGGGTCGCGATGGATACAAGCAGTGGGCGCATGACATGGAAGGGATGTGTCTTATGTTGTCCTGCTGGGAAATTACCGCCACTCCTTCACTCGACCCTGCACCTGCTGCCACCGAAGTCACTGCTCTTCTTGCCTGGAAGCAGCGTGAATCGAAGGCACGAGGCCTGATTGTCAAACAGGTTTCGATTGAGGTCAAGGAGGCGCATCTCACTGGCAAGACTTCTGCGAACGCAATGTGGGAGGCTCTCAAAGCGGCTTACAACAAGACGGACGCTGCGTCGAGCTTCGCCCTCTTCGAGGAACTCATCAATCAGGACCGTTTCGACGAGAACAAGGACCTCGCCGACCCAATCTCGACCTATAACGCCAAATTCGACCGCATCGACTCCTCCATCGCGAAGTATGGTGATGGTCAACGTGCCTTCATGTGCATGGGCAAGCTCCCGGTCTCCTATCGCGCCATCGTCACGACTATTCTTGCGACTTACGAGTCCAAGAACATCACCGTCGACAACGTCATCTCGCAGGTTCGCTCTGAGCAGACCTTGTTACGGTCGCGGAGCGCGGGAGCGCGGAGGTCGGGCGAGTCGGAGACGAGCGGAAAGGCGGGATCGGATTAGAGGACGCGCTTGACCTCGGAGAGGCTCGCGGTAGCGGGGAGACAGGAAGGAGAGGCGACGGGGAGGAGCCAGGAGGCAATCGCGTAGCGATACAGTGAAGCGGGTGCGAGAATATAAGTCATGTAAGGTAACCAGTGGCGGACGATCGTATGCTGGGCGTCCGTAGCGGGTGCGCGCTGAAGCTCGTAACCAGACAGGCGAAGCAGGCCATAACAGACCTTGCGCAAGACATCGATCGGCAACGGCGAGGAGTCCGTCAGCAAGGTCACCAAGACCAAGCCCAAGCCCCGTGGTCCCTGCGCTCACTGCAAAGGGAAGAACCACGACAAATCTCACTGCTGGCAGAAGCATCCTGAGCTTAAGCCGCAGGGGAAGCGTCAGGGCAACGGAAAAGGCAAAGGCAGAGATAATGGTGGTGGTGGAAATTCTGGACATTCGCATAACATTTCGGCTCAGACTGTCAATGTACTTGTAGCGTCGGACACCTCGTCCACGTCGAATGAGATCTCTGCTGCTTGGTACAACGCGGGTAATACCGCTAAGTGTGATTCTCACTTCGCAGTCTGGTGCATGGATTCGGGTGCTTCGCGTCACGTATCGGCATACAAGCATGACTTCTCCTCATACACTCAATACCGTGAGCCCAAAATCTTCCATACGGCTCAGGAAGGAGATGCTGGTATCGTCCGCGCACTCGGAGAAGGAACAGTTATTGCTCGAATCGATCTCAACGGCAACCACGTCAAAGTTGAGTTTAAGAACGTTGTATACATCCCCAACGCGGGTACACGTCTCTTCTCAACTGGTGCCATTGAGAACGCCGGAAACCTCATCATTCAGGGGAATGGGAAAATGGTCATTTTCGATCCTCGCGTCACAGACGCATCCTTCTCACACGCTGGCTTGACTTTCCCTGGTGCTATGCGTCTTGAGGCTCTGTTTAATCCTATCAACAACCTCTATCAGCTGCCCACGGATATAATGAATGGCAAAGTCGTCCAACCCGTCCAACCTGCAGAACCTCAACCCGCGGCTCAGTCGTCGTCCTCTACTGTCGACTGGGAACTCATCCACAACCGCTGGGGTCACTGTTCTAAGGAAGCGATCAAAAAGCTCCCCAAGGCAGTCAAAGGTGTTGACGACATTGGTCCTGCTCCTCCCCCGTCTACTGTTTGCGATGGTTGCGCCAAAGGCAAAATGACACACAAACCACACCCTCTATCACCGAAGCGTGCAGAAGCTCCGGGCGACATGATCCACACTGATCTAGTCGGCCCACTGCCCACTTCTATCGGCGGATATACGTACTTTGTAACATACCTTGATGACTTCTCTGGTGCTGGTCGAATCTACTACCTGAAGGCAAAATCGGAACAGACGAAAGCTTTCCGAGCATACTACGCCTGGGTATCGACACAGACTGGTCGCAAAATCAAGAAGGTACGATCCGATCGAGGGGGTGAATATGCCGCAACAGAGTTCCAAGAACTTCTTCGTGAACTTGGGATTGAGCACGACATGACCATGCCAGGAACACCGCAGCAAAACGGTCGTGCCGAACGCTGGAACCGAACCATCATGGACAAGGCCCTGTGTATGCTTCACTTCGCAGGTCTGTCTCACGGTTTCTGGCAATGTGTGGTCGACACTGCGGTGCATATCTACAACTGTCAGCCAATGCGTCGTCTAAAATGGAAGTGCCTGATCACGGCATGGAACGGAGTCGTCTCAGACTGTTCCCACTTCCGAGTTTTCGGCTGCAAAGCAGTCGCATGTGCAAAGGGACAAACGCAACAACAAACTCGAGCCCAAGGCACTCGAAGTTGTGTTTGTTGGTTACGAGGGTTCCAAGGGTTATCGTTTCTGGAACCGCTCTACCCGCTCCATCATGGTCTCTAGCGATGTGTACTTTGATGAGAACGTCTTCCCTGCACGTGAAAACCCCACCGGCCGTCGTCGTGTAACCCCCGATGATTCACCGTTCCCGGACATCCCTGAAGGAGAGCCTGACAACGAACCAGTCGAGCTCATACCTCCTCCTCCAACTCCTCCTCCGGAACCTGCTATGGTCCCACACCCTCCTCAAGCTCCACCTAATGCCGAGCCTGAACCAGAGCACGAAGCTCCGCCTCCGCCTCCCGTCGTACCAGGTGCACCGCCACGTGCTCCTAACCACCGTCGTAATTGTCATCCCACTGTTGAAGAAGTACCTGATGTCGATGCTGGTCCTCCACCACAACCTCAGCGCCCTCAGCGTCATGGTGCAGAACAGAATCCACGTCGTAACAGGGACAACTTCTACGGTGACAAACCGCCTGCACACGTCGATGCCAGGATACGACGAGACGGACAGCTACGTACAGCTGAAGAGCGCGAATACTTCGATCTGCTCAATACCATCATCAATCACGCTGCGCGCAAGAAAGGCATC